ATAGTTAGCTAGAATAGCTGCTTGACTTTGGTGAAAAAATTAACAACCAACTACACAATATAACTAGTCTTTTGCACCTTACTTGCCTACCTTACTTTCTGCCTTTCTCAAAAGGTTAGGTTGTGACCAAAGAGGTAGGTTGTGGAAGCAAAGTATTCAACTAGTGAAAATACTACTGTAAGCAGTAGTAAGGCAGGAAGTAAGGTAGGCAAGTAAGGTGCAGAAGACTAGTTGTATTGTGTGGTTGATAATTTATGATGATTTTCACCAAAGTCAGCCGGCTAATCTAACTGACTATATAGTAAAAATTCAGTCTTCTTGCTTTACTTGATCTACTAGGTCAAACAACTTGATACCTCGGATCGGCTGATTAGACCGGGTCTGTAGGATCCAATTGTTTGAATCAGTAGTAATACGTAGATCACACACTTACAAGGTGGTGATACGTATCAAGTGGTTTGGCAGGGTTTGAAAGTTTTAGGTGGTTTGATTTTCTGCACCTACCCTGTACTTGCAAGGTTACCCTGGACTTAGGGTTAGGGTTGTCTTTGACAGGAAAGTCTTTTTGACTCAAATGCGAATTATAAGGTAAGGAGTTATCACGTGACTTAGCTACTTTGTAGACTTATAAATACGTCACTTATAATGCTTAATTAGCAAACAGCTTAGTCATCACCATTGTGGTTACCTTAATATATGGGTTTGAAGTTAGACTTATCAAGTAATCTTTATATCTTTATACTTTCCACTACTTACAGCAGTACTTTCACTAGTTAAATACTTTGCTTTTACAACCTACCTCTTTAGTTACAACCTAACCTTTTGAGAATTAGTAGTAATATATAGATTACATACTTACAAGGTAGTGATATATATCAAGTGGTTTGTTAGGGTTTGATAGTTTTAAATGGTTTGATTTTCTACACCTACCTTATACTTGCAAGGCTATCCTAGACTTGCCAGGCTATCCTAGACTTGCCAGGCTATCCTAGACTTGCAAGGCTACCTTAGACTTGCAAGGCTACCCTGTTTTTAAGGTTAGGGTTGCCTTTGGCAGGAAAGTCCTTTGGACTTCAAATGCCAATTATAAGGTAAGGATTAATCATATAACTTAGCTATTTTGTAGACTTATAAATAAGTTATATGTAATGCTTAATTAGCAAACCGCTTAGTTATTACTATTGTAGTTGCCTTAATATATAGGTTTGAAGTTAGATTATCAAGTAATCTTTATAGATTTTAATGCAATGTCTGCACCAAAGTTATAGTAGAAGAGTGACAGTTAGAAACGCAGAAAGCTTTGAGCAGAGATGGTGGGAATATTTAATGTTACTTGATTGGAAGAGAAGGCAACTGTGATAGAGAAAAATAAATAACATGGCTAGCAAGATCACGCTTGCAAAGCAAAATAATAGCAAGCTGCAGATTTTGTAGCTTAGACGCTAGTTAGTTTATCAATATGTTGATTTCAAAACTTTAAACTAGGAAGCTAGATCCTGGTATAGACATACAAAAGCTGCTTTGTTATAGGCGCTTTGCAGCCTTGCCTTTTCTATATCCTTTCCATATCCCTTCCACTTCCTAGCCAGGTGCAGCAATATTAGAAAAAAGGCGTTGTCTTTATAAAGAACAGCTTTATTAATCTTGCCAACTAGGAATAAGTTGTATTTTTGCTTCTCCAATTTCTTAGTAAAGTTAAGCTGCAACTTAGACAAGCTATTGTTTAAGCCAATTTCTTTTAAAAAGCCTGTAAATGCCTAGTTAAATACTTGGTGGTAACCCTTGTTACCATACTTCTTTAACAGCTTCTTGCCCATCTTAAAAACCATAGTAGCTTTGTTAAAGGCTACCTTAACGTTGCTAACATAGCGCGTATAGTTTGACTTTTAAGGGAAAGCAGTTGCATAGAACTTGCTAATGCGTTTGTAGATATCTTTGAGGTTTTTAAGCAGCTTAGAGTGGTGTGGATAGAGGATAACATTCTTATAGGCATGGTCGGCAAAACTAGATAATATTATTAATGTGGTTTTTGTTGCTAACGACTTGACTGTAGAGTCAGGAGGGGAAGACAACGCTTTTCCTCCCTAGCTTTTCCATGCCCGCTTTAGTATTCGTCATCGTCGCCGTCGCTACCAATCTGTCGTTTCTGCAACAGTGTGGCTAGAGACACTGTCTCTAGTCTATCAACCTTGAATGTAGGGAATAAGGTAGGCTTAGGTCTTAGCTGTTGTAAAGTTGTCTGCACAATCTTCTCTGTTAGTCATTGGCATACGTAAAAGACTATTGTCAGACCTTGTCCGCCTGCTCTGCTTCGTCCATAACTATAGGTCATTGTGTGCCCGTCCGAGTCAATCAGGCTCTCCTCGTCAGTAACAGGTCAACCTTGGAACCCACATCGCTCCGCCTTTTCATATGCATCATTATTGTCCATACCAACAGAGTGGTATATCACCAAACTCGATAACGGAGTGGTTTATCTAAGTACCGTCGCAAGACGAAAATGTCATAAGAGTTCTAGTGCCTCCAATCCCCCAAGCTAACCCCTTGCGTCGCTTTAGAGATAGACAAAGGCACCCCCTCAACCAAGGCATCGCCGTCCACGTCAAGAAACCACAGCCTAAATAGAATACTTAAGGGTAACCCGACTTATTCCACATAACCATAAGAAGACCCACCTCGCTTTAGTCTCGCAGCATTGTCAAGGTTGTCTTCCTTAAAGGGAGCCTAAGTCTAGGTAAGGATGCTATAAAAATTACTTGATAATCTAACTTCAAATCTATATATTAAGGCAACCACAATAGTAATAACTAAACGGTTTGCTAATTAAGCATCACATATGACTTATTTATAAGCCTACAAAGTAGCTAAGTCACATGATTAATCCTTACCTTATAATTAGCATTTGAAGCCTAAAGGACTTTCCTGCCAAAGGCAACCCTAACTAACCCTAAGGACAGGGTAGCCCTGCAAGTCTAGGGTAGCCCTGCAAGTCTAGGGTAGCCTGGCAAGTCTAGGGTAACCTTGCAAGTACAAGGTAGATGCAGAAAATCAAACCACCTAAAACCTTCAAACCCTGCAAAACCACTTGATACGTATCACCACCTTGTAAGTGTGTGATCTACGTATTACTACTAATTCAAACAATCAGATCCTACAAACCCAGTCTAATCAGCCAATCCAAGGTATCAAGTTGTTTAATCTAGTAGATCAAGTAAAGCAAGAAGACTGAATTTTTACTATATAGTCAGTTAGATTAGCCGGCTGACTTTGGTGAAAGAATCATTAACCACACAATACAACTAGTCTTCTGCACCTTACTTGCCTACCTTACTTCCTGCCTTTTTACTGCTTACAGCAGTACTTTTACTAGTTGAATACTTTGCTTCTACAACCTACCTCTTTGGTAACAACCTAACCTTTTGAGATGCTCTTGACGTTATCACGAGAGTCAATCCCTTGTTAAGTGCCCAGCTAGAGGCATTGGCGGCAACGCCGGCTTCTCCGCTTGGATGTAGATAGTGATAGCTGTATAAAAATCTACAGAAAAAAAAGCTTACAGTGTCTTTGCTAGCTAACGCAGTCCATGTAGACTTACGTGGAACCAACCCCCAGCTCCAGTTCCATCCCAATGGTGACAAGAAGGGCTACTAATAATGGCAATAGCTATGTTCAGAAAGATAAACACAAGTCTTCTCTTGATAAAGATAACTACTTTTGGGATCTCTTAGTTACAGGGAGCTAGACGCATTGAAATCCCCCAAGCCTGTTGCTATGCTTTTCTATCGTATCCTAAGCCAGACACAGGGGCCGGTACTTCTTTCTTCCTGTTGGACTTGTCGGCGCCATCGGGGTTTCTAACTTGGGCCCAGAGGTCGTCGAGATTCCCCGTCATGTAACCCCGGTTGGTAACGGCATAATTATGCCCATTGAATATCGGTATCAAGGTTGTGGACCTTGATGATAGCAGGGATATTGAAGTGCGAAACTCATCAACCGAACAACTAGAGCGACCCTGCAAGACGAAGAAACGGGCTTGTCGACCTTAGATCCAAGTTTTTAGAGACAAAGGCTTGGCACTTCCCAAGGAGTTTAGGGTGGGCTTGTAGACGCTGTGGACATTTTCAAATCTAGCAGCGATGCTGCAGTACGGACTCTTCTTGCTAAGCTTCTGGTGGATAGCCCAGATGTCGCCAGGCTGAATGTAGAGCGGGTTGTTATCCACTTGTTGCTAACCCCGTCTTCCCCCCCTCTAGTAATGCCAATTTCTACCCCAAAACATTGCTTTATAGGGGCAGCGACCTCTAGGTATTTCGCCGTGGTTTTCATGTGGCTTCTGAACAGTGGGTGCCATGCTTCTCGAAGGATTGCTCGTCTTCGTCAGCTCTCCATCCAGGAATATAATAAGTTTCCTCACGCAATGGTCGGTGGATCATAACGGAATGCCGTAGTGCAGAGCAACTGAGCGAATATAGTGCATAGCTGCTATAGCGCCAGCAGCAAATACCTCCCGCTTCTTAGCACTTGATGTCATTGATCCCCTTGCTAGCAAAGAAGGCTGACCCATTCTAGGAGGCCCGGATAATAATAGGGAACTTCGAAGTTCTCGCAGACTCGTAGGAAGCAGTAGAAGAGGTGGTCACATTGGCAGTCGGAAACCCAAAACTGTGAGCCTTGGCATACTGGAAGATTCAGAACATCATCGCCAAAGATGAAACCAAGCTTAAGGTTAAGCTCTTGCATAAGGCCAGACATTGTGAGTAATGGCAGCTGAGTCTTACCTAGGAGGGGGTAGCCTCTACCTAAGAAATAGGTGATCTTTGTGCAAAGAAGAGAGACACTAATTATCATACATGGTACTGTAAATCATTATCGGTGTACGCGGGGTAAAAAGTAGGAAAGTAAAAAAAGCACACGGTAGGTCTAAGAAAATTATTCCATAACGAGTTCCGGAGAAGCCAGTGAACTAGCCCTGCAAGTAATTATGGCGAAACTCAACGTGATCAGCCAATTGCCGCCCCATGTTACCAAACTCTCTGGTTGACACCTTCATCATTGGCCTGTGATCGTCCACTGGGGTGGCATGAGCGCTTGTTTGATAAAGTCTTGTTCTAGTTCTACAATGTAGAACGGCATCTGTGAGGCTGGCATGCGTATCAGAGATGGTTCAGCACATTCTGGGCACCTATGGCGTCTCCTTCATTGATCCAGTCCAGCTGTTTAAAGTAGGCTGATTAGCCCAAATCACAGAGAGAGTTATACCAGTGTCACGCAAAGACACGGTGGGGCTCAGCTCACCAGCACGACGTTGGGCAAGCGTCCCCAATTCTGCAGGCAAAGATTTGCCTGGGCCACAATCGACGAGACTGAATTGGTAGTTGACGCGTGGATTCGGTCCGGAATCAAGATGCCAAGAATGTCGACATCGAGGAAATGGTTCACGATACCCATGCGCCCGTCAGCACCCGCCCCAGCCGGTCGGTCGAGCGTGCACTGAGGAAAGTTCTTGTCTGTGGTATCAAATGGCGTCTCGTAGAAGTAGGCAAACTCGTCCAGGATATAAGGGACCGAGTTTGTGTCTGAATGATAATCTGGCAGGCGGAAGACGACCAGTATTAGAGAGCGGCCACTCGCACTAATTACATGTCGGCGGATGGAGAGGTTCCAACATACCCATGAAGACGACCAGCCTGTTCCCTGAATCTATCATGGCTTGTAACGTAGGCCATTGGTCCAGCGTCAGGGTCCCCTCTGGCGTGTAGGCATATTTATCAAGCCCGGTTGCAGAGAAGACGTTTCCAAACTGCGAGACCGGTATCGCATCGCCGTTCGTCAGAAGTAATGTCACGACCTCGTCCGGATGACCATCGAGCCAAGTCTTGATGGGGCCCAGATACTTGCTCAACGAGCCGGCATCCAGCTCGATGCAGGTTGTATGGCACATCTCAATGCCGCCGTCCTTCTTGTGCGTCTGAGCCTGCAGAAAACGGACACCCATGTCCAGCTGTTTCGCGACCGAGACGTACTGATTGTCGGGCAACAAGATGCCAACAAACGCACTGTCATGGGCGCCGACTTGGGTTATATTACTGTAAATCCGCGAGCAGAGGGCCGAGTTCCCGTTGCATGCTGCCGCCACGGCCTTCAACCCGGCGAGGCCAGCCAGAAGCCAACCCAAGGAGGAGCGCATTTGAGAGGAGAGGAGGCTTTTGCGCGTGTTTGTCAGTTATCCGCGTCCACTTCATCGCGCAGAGAGAATCAGGAAGACGTCTAGCACAGATTGGATTCATTTAATATCAAGGCCGTTTTCCTAATTTCCTTTCTTCTACCCACCCCGCCCCTGAGTTCAGCCCCATGATCCGTGGGTGTCAAAAGTCAGTTGATCCCTTGGGTAACAATGGCCAGTAGTGAGGCCGAAGGAGCATTGGAACGTGCTGCAATTCTAAGTCAGGCTGGGTTAGTGTGAACCACTTGCCACGTCTGATTTGTCCACATGCTTGAGAGTGCCATTTCATGTTACAATGTTCGGGAGGGGATGAGCGGCGTGATTGGTCGACAGATCAGCCGCCGTCAGTCGGGTGCAGTACCCCTAGATCATCTTCCGAAGACTGCAGGGTGAACTAGCAGCACCTGCCTGGGAATTTCGAGTTTTCTTGGCACAGTCTTTCCCTCATACCTATGATTTTTTGCGCATAGGGGCAAACACTTCACGAAAGGAGTGGGAGAGAGCAATGACACCGTGTGGGATAGCCTTACTAAAAGTATCCCACTAACGATCCTTACCTAATAGAGCTCTGGTTTGAAGGACATCAGGGTTGCGCTATTACTGGTTAGGTAATTGATGTTGTGAATCGCACTAGTGCACGTGGAATGCAGGCAAAATTCTTCAAGCGACCCCACACACATGCATCCAGGCAGGGGGCACTCATACAAGTCCCGTTCTGTCCATAATAATTCCTTGGTAGCCAAGACAACACCAAGGTATGTAGTTTAGCATTCATGGAAAGTATGCAGTCTGTACGTGCGTCTACTACGTAGTAGGCGCCAATCCATAGTGATAATAGCTTGGCTTGCATGGTGTGGCTCAAGTGCGTGCCACAGTACGGGGTGGACGGTGGGAAAAAATGGCTAGTGACAAAATGCATTAGCCACCCACACCACCCAAGTACAGTACCTGCCAGGTTTTTAGCACATGCATAGGCTGCTAACCTAGTGTATTCCGAACTACCCACTCAAGCGGTGGAAGAAAAAAGTCGTGCACGAGTTACCCTGGTTACTAATATGTTAAAAGTATATACTAACAATTTCTAGTGGGTTTCTCCCCAGAGTGTTATTAAGGGGCGACCTAGAGAAGTTAGTAAGCTGGGTAACTTATGTGAGGTTTTTGTTTCCACCACTTGCCACTGTGTACGGAATATTCCGTATGCAGTAGGCGGTACCTAGGTACCTTTCTGCCATTCGTCTCTTTCCCTGCGGAAACATCCATTAGGTTTCTGGCCATGAGGTGTGCTCTTTTAACGTTCGTCACAACGTGGCCGCTGCGCGAGCATAATAAGGCGCCCCGACATCATGGTCTTGCAGCTGCAACGAACAAACAGGCAGGGCCTGCAGGGGCTGCAGTCTGCACTGTATTTTGGCAACCACTGTCATTGGCCATAGAAGACGCTTGTCTTCGACTAGCTCGAAGTGCTAATGCATGGAAGCCGGCTAGACATGAGAGAAATATTCTTTCTCGACAGATCCCGAATGCCGACCAATGTTTGGACGGATTATTAGGATTCCGGGAATGCTCTAGGTGTGTGGCCCAGTTGTTTTTTGCGGGCACTTGGTGGCGTCTGGAAATGGGTGTGAGGGTGAACACATTTCTGAGCACAGGCACAGTACATTGGTACCCCGATATCCGGAGGTCCCGGGCACCTTGGGAACAGCAACATGGACACCACATGGCGCGGAATCGAAGGAAGTACCGCACCGCGGTGGGTTGCCAGCTGGTCAACAAGTTGATGGAGGGCGAGTTTCAGTTTTTTGGCGCCGTTGAACTTTGTTTGCATGATTTGCCCACGGGAAACGGGAACCGCCACATACGTTAGTTACGTACAGGCACTCACTGTTCGGACACCGTCATCAGGGGCCAGTCCGCCCTGGGCGAACGTCCCTTCTTCTCACGTTGTAAGTGGGTAGATCGGCTCGCTGCCAAGCCCCCGCCATGAGGGGGAACCAGGGGCAATTGGAGACACGCAATGCCTTCGAGAGCTTCTATCGGCGGTTCCACACCTTCTAGCCTGCGATACTCTTGCCTCACCTACGCAGTAGTCGATGCGTTTTGCAGGTCTGCACCACTAAGAATTCACCTATTTGACCAGGTCACGTCTTGTGACCACCATCGACCCCGTCCATCACCACCCCTGTGCCAGGTTCGACTTCCCCCTTCTCGAAAACCAGGGATCCGTCCATTGCCCCGTCATGCCTATACAGGGGACTGGCTCTAAGCAGCCTACTAGTTGAAGATCGTGGCGGCAAACCCCGTCTCAAGCTGGCGATCTAGAAGCTTTTCCCCCCCTCCCCGCGGCTAAGGGACGAGAATCACCAACCGCCTCGATGCCTGCGAGGGAGCATCCTCAAAGAATGGCGCCATAGCCCACATCCTGTCTGGCCAAAGCTCCACCTACATGATCGTTGCCCACTCACCCATCCATTGACCTCACAAAACCCGAGGGCGATGACGCACATGAGGCCTCTCTCTCCGTCCTCCATGACACCTGCTTCGCGCCAGGCCGTTGTGATCGTGATTCGTGATGTCTTCCATCCCCCTCCCCCCTGGCAGAGGCGCAAACTCAAGCGCTAGACCCACCACTCCTGCCAGGCTAGGTCTCTAGGGCACCCACAAAGCGTGTATGAGCTTCTCCATTTTGCCCCTCCTTGCGTAGTAGGAAGGGACAGAAAGGTCCTCCGTCCGTCCTAAGCCCTAGGGAGAGGGACTCCTGACAGGCGGCAGGGGTTTTGACAACTCCAGACACAAGACTTGTCCCCAAGGGCCGAAAAGGGTCCGTAGTGTGCCAAGTCGTTCGAGGTGGACGCTTTGCCTTTGCCCCGGAGAATTTGGGCGAGGCCTCACCCTCTCAGCTACCACATACACTATGCTCCTGGATCGGCGTGACCGCCACGGGAGGCGATGATCAGAAAGCAGGCTTTCGCCCGGGGTTGTACGGGAACAAGCACGTTTCGATGGAGGATGATGTGGGACGGCCGCGTCGTTGCGAAGAGGGAGGATCTCTCTAGATGCACGAATCACACACACGCGCGCGGTATCAAATGGCTGATAGACTTCCCCCCCTCAAGCCGAGACCCCCTCCTTCCGATTGTCTTGAAGCGCGGGGGACATGAGGGGAGGCAGGCATCGAGGCAATAATGGGTCTTGGTAGTTGACTCGCTAGAATTCCAGTCTATATTCTATGTCGCTTCGTGACCGACTCTACCATGTCCCTCCTCCCTCCCTTTGTGTCCAAGAAGATAGACGTGCATTTCGTTGTCCTGCGTAGTAGACTTGTGTGTCCCAACTCCCCTGACACAATGACCAATTCCTCAAACTCCTGGTCACCAACACTTCGCGGCCGTAAATGCGCCATGTAACAGGCATAAGAAAAAAAAACGGGTTTGACAATCAAGGAGAAGGCTGTTCTCTCCGGGGTATAGTGCCTTAACATGACCACCCCCCCTTCCCTTTTTTTTCCCCGATGCCGGATCCTGGCCCTTAGGGGGAGCCCGCCCCCTTAAACCAGCCAGCCAAAATAAACGCCCCCTCCATCTCCTGACACCACCCACAGCTGCGTCCCGCGCAGGCATGGGCATAGAACGAGTCGACCGTTTAAAGTTTATAGCACAAGAAATACGTAAAAAGAATCGAAAGAGATATTGCGACGCCGGCTGTGCGGATACTTTGTCTTTGCACCCTTCCGTCGTCGACGCCGGGGTGCGGCACTGGCACAGCTCGTCGTCTGGTACTCAAATGTGGTGTACCGCAGCCTCTTCGGTGCCGCTCACAGGCCAGGGGATTGCGGATAGTAGACCCCGCCGAGTGGCCAGTGATGGTGGGACATGTAGGAAGCTGGCGTATGATGGCCGCTGTGGTGAGAGAACCCGCCGTCTGTTCCTGGGCGATCAGTACGAGGCACACAAAATGGCCGTAGAGGGGTTGGTTGGTGCTTACCGCTTTCCATATCCTCGTACTCGATTTTGATGTTGTCCAAGCATTGTAGTGCTGGCTGGGGCAGAAGTCCACGCTCCATCATGTGGCTTGGGACACTCGTCGGGATGTAGCCGCCCATGTAGTCGTCGCCGTTGCCTAGCGATGATGCTGGGCTCGAGAGGACCGACGGCATGGAACACGGAAGAGTCGAGCCCCAGGATTCTCGTGGATCTGGGGCTGGTACGTAAGGCGAGCCAAAGTGCGGTACTGAGCTGTACTCGGCCGAGCTCTGGCCAAACGAGGATGTTCGACTGGACATGCCAGAAGCCGAGGGCGATAGGCAGTGTTCGTAGGCAGCTGCCGAGCAAGTCAGTAACCGGTGTTCCAATGAAACGATCGCCACGGCGGGACTATCAACTTACGTGTCTGGGGTACTGAGCGGCTGGTTTGAAGTCCAAGGCTCTCGCGTAGGCTCGTGAGCTCGCTCTCCAGGGCCTTGTTCCTCCTGAGGAGATCCTGGACCGTCTCATCTCGGCTGTACCTGTTCCGGAGCTCTTCCAAGTCCCGCTCGAGCCTGTCGATATGCTCCTTCGTCCGGGCGCGGATGGCGCGCTGTGCCTCTCGATCGTTGGCACGCTTCCGAGCGAGCTGGGAAGGTGTCAGGGTAGAGACACTCCTGGTGCCTAGAGTCCGCCAAGAGTCAGTAAGTCTGTATCGCAAATCTGAGGTTTCCGCGAATATCACCCACCCTTGCGCTTGGATGCCTTTGCGTCTGCAGATGGTGATCGAGTCATCTTGGGCGTTGTTTTGAGTTTCTAGACAGGCGTTCGTTCGACTTGAGGAAACAGGCGGTTACTTGACGTGGATGGATTGTCGGCGGCACCGATGTCGTTGTGGGAAAAGCTCAAGTGGATGGTCAGATTCCGGCTAGGACGTCTTCCAGGGGTCACTTCGGGTTTTTATAAGATGGACCTGATCTGGTTCCCAACCGGCTGGCAAGGTCCACTGTGGCTTGTGCTAAGTACCGGAGGGGTTTGGGCTGCTAGGCTAGTGATCTCGGTGGAGTATAGGTAATGATCAATCAACAGGAAGATCACATCGTGCGCAGGTGGTTTTCCCACTCGACACTACGCAGTGCCGGACATGGAGCTAATTGCCTGGCTAGACCGCTAGTGGGAATGTATGGAATGGCCCACGTTGGAAGGGCTGCTTGCATCTCGAGATCCCGGTCGGCGTGATCGAGAACGGCGTGTTGGATTTCCTTGGCTTCTTACTACTGCGGTAGTGCAACACGCAGGATGCGTTAGTGTACCTTGGTCCATGGCAGAGAGGCTTGAGAGGGTGTTGAATTACATTGAATCACTAGTATTACCGTATACACACTATGCTCTTGGCAGACGCGTGGCCAGGGATGGCAATGACATCCACAGATTTAGAGTTCACGCTAGGCCATCGCCAGCAAGGATCTGCGAACAGGTCCCGTCGGCAATAACACGGTACTGGGTGTACACTGTCCACCCTTGGTGGGTAACTATGCATCAAAGTGAGCTGACATCCGTACCCATCCATACCTACACCCACACTAGGGAGGTACATACCCATCTACCTTGGATCCATGTGGAAGGTCGGATGGATGCCATCCATGCACCGGATGATGGACGTCACTGTATTGTGATAGGTGGCCATCCAGGTTCAGGGATACCCCGTGGCCGACGAGGTTGGGGAACGACGTCTGAGTGGGCAGTGCCTGGGAGCCACACCCGGGATTGATGGATGTCTTGGTGGCGCTGATCCAGAGTTTTCCCGTGCACGTTACCTAAGATAATATGCATCCTGTAGGAAAGCAGGGCCAGGGCTGGCGAATGTCTAAGACCCCAGCTAAAAGACTCAGCCCAAACAGCAAAGAATTTCTCTGGGGAACTGTGACGTGGGGCCCATAGTTGTGTCTAGCCTCGGTAATCCTGCCTACTAGCGGCACAATACCCAGTGCAAGGAGCGCTCTACTAGAGGCACGCGGACCCAGGTGATGGCCTGCGTGGTTCTAGATACTCTGTCGAGATCTCAGTGTGCCTACTACGCAGTAGTGTGATGAGGGATGAGGCCGGATGTGGAATTCGGGTGTGGAATTCCCTCATCCTTGTCCGGGAAGGGAAAAGGACGGAAACTGTAACAGGGGGCTTCATTCACACTTGCTAAGGTTATGCCACACAATCTCGCGTAGGTATCCCACATCATAGGCAAAGTTGGGTGTACTATGTAGTAAGTGTCTTTGAAATTCATAATCATCTGTGCTCAATTGGTGGTTGCGCTTCATGCATGCTGGGATGCTGGCAAAACAACCAAAGAGACTCGGGTATCACAAAGTTTCCGTTCCGCTGCGCTCCGGCGAGATCTCCGGGTCGAGGGCCTTCGCTGCCCCGACCAAATCCTCAAGGCCGCCAACCTGCGTTGGACCGCTCATACCGTCGGGCGGGAGAGCCCAGCGCGGAAGGGGGCTCACGAAGCTCCACGCGCCTCCTTCATCCTCGTAGCGTAGACTGTGGAGCCATAGGGACAGCTCTCGCTCGCTTGGGTCCGAGTAGAGCGGTGCCTTGCACACATCGCAGACGTTTCCAGTCAGACGCTCCGCTCGCTGCTTGTTGTACTCATCCACCATCTCGTCGTGGTAGGCCACAGCGTGCGCGACCTCGTCCTTCCCCATGCGCGAGAGGCGGCTAATGATATCCTCGTCGCTGTTCTGGGTCCCATTGGCGTCGTTGCACCCGAGGTCGATGCCCCAGACCTTCTGGTTCGCGTAGATGGGGTCGTTCTGGATTGGGTGTCCGAGGAACTGGAGGTGGACTCTCAGCTGGTGCGTTCTTCCGGTGACGGGCAAGCAGCGAACGATCGAGTATCCCTGCTTACCCTTCCATGGCCGCCCTCCGTCAATGGCTGGCGGTGGTGGTGTCTCAGAAGAGGGGAGCTCTCCGTCTGCTTGCTCGGAAGGAGGCCCCGTGCTGGGCGGCGGATAGTAGGCCAGACGTTTGAAGACGGTGCGCGCCTCTTTGCCGTTGGCGCGGATCCTATTCAGGCCCAGCTTGGGCGAGATGACCAGGATGGGCTGGTCGCACACCACCTCTCCGTCGGGGAACTTCCCAATCACACGGGCAATGTATTCCTTCCGTACGGTACGTTGCATTATTTGAGCGCTTAGCTTGTCGGCAGCCTTTGGATGCTTGGCAACAAACATGATGCCGCTGGTCAGTCTGTCGAGCCTGTTGCAGGGGTGTGGGATGAAACCAGGACCCCTCTCGGCCCTCATGATCTCAACGATAGAATTGTAGTTGTATCTCCCTGCGGGGTGCACAGGGACGCCAGGTGGCTTGTTTATAACGATCATGTCATTATCTTCGTGGAGGATCCCGATAGGTTCAGCCGTGACCGGTGGTTCGTGTCTGTGTGCGGTATGGGAGATCAGGTCTCCATTTTTCAGGATGTAGTTGGTGCCCACTATCTTGCCGTTGACGGCTACGAGGCCGGAATCTATGGCTTCTCTGTAATATTCGACCGTCTTGTCTCGAAACTCGCTCTCGAAGATAGCGAGCAGCTCTCTTCCCCGCCATCGCTCCTTGCAATTCGTGTTATACGTGAAGTGGTACGGCAAAACACGTCGCAGGCCGTTCTCGAGGTAATAGGGTCGCGGCCAAGGATCGCAGGGCGTTGCAATGATGGCTGGGAGTTCATCCTGTGCAGGTATGCTAGCCTTCGGTTGAGCCTGACCATCCAGGGCCTTCTTGTCTGGGAGCACCGCGGCAGGCTGCTCGTATGGGACCAGGCTCATGACTGGATTGAGCATATTCCTGCGCTGGTAGAGAAGCGCCAGGATTCTGGGAACGGCAGCCAGGGTTTATTGTCGTGAGGCCTGTGGCTAGGCTGCTGCTGAAGTATGAACCAATTTTCTCTCTCTCATTCTCATTGGGATTTTTGGTCGGAGAACGGCGCCGATTAGGCGGTGACTGGCGGCAGAACCACTTGAGGTAAGTCATTTGGGTGAGTGAGGTCCGTGTCACCGGACCTCGGCAAAGGTCGGTGCCCCACGTCGGAACGTCGCGCGGCGTTCCCTGTGTCCTGTGCCGGCGCCTGGACAATGGCCTTGCACGCGATTGACACTTCTTAAACGAAGGTATCGGCGGTTTTTACGATGGCTGGTTATGCTGCCCTAAAGAACCGGTCACGGGCCGATTATCCTTACATCCGAGAGTACAGGACCCGGTGGTAAGCGCAGACCGGGGAATCCAATGCAAGCAACCCTTGCCTAAGTCATGCTAACTCATAGTCTCGTCTCATAGGAGTGACAATGACATGTACGACCACATGAATAACTCAATCTACAACTTTCTGTTCGCCTCGCTTTGCCTTCCCATTTTATAACTTTGCATCTCGTTAACCATTCTTAACAGCTATGACTCGGTCATCAATACCTATCTCATTGAGCACTGCGGCCTCAAGCCGCCCACCTCCCCTCAGTACGGCATGGTTGTCCACTCGCACAATGACTACTTTGGCCCCATTTCGTTCCCCGCGGTAGCCGAGCTTGCTCTGCGTGTCAACCACCTCGGTAAATCGAGCGTCAGATATGAAATCGCCCTGTTTGAGAAGGGCATCGACAACGTCAAGGCGGTCGGGGAATTCGTCCAAGTCTTTGTCGATCGCGCCACGGGGCGGCCGAGCGAGACTGGGATGAGTGACTCCCTACGGGAAGGCCTCAGCAGCATCCACGCTCGTCCGATCGCGAGCAAGATCTAACTAATCGCGCTCTTTGAGGCCTACTGGAAATCCCCCGGCTCGTTAGGTGACACCGTCCCTGTTAGCCGCCTTGTTGAGACTGGACCACTATCATCCAACCAACCTATCTGAGGGTGACAGACGCGGTGACGGTGATCCCACTGTCGACCTTGTGTGCCTTGTTAAACAGGGGCTTGCCTACTTTCCCGTTTCCGTCATCATCATCGTCCCGTTCGTGCTCTTCGTGCTCTGCTGGAACGCCTGTTCCGCGGCCTTTCCGCTTGCACGGCTCCGGCCGAGATCCCTCCGCTAGGCTGCGATCCCGAGCCCTGGCGGTATCAGGAGGAGTCACTCGGCGGGACCGGAGCACCGCACGGCGCGACGGCGGGCGCAGGCGGGCAGTGGGTTCAGCGAACTCGACGCTCGGAGTCGGCGAGGAAGGGGAGAGAACAGGGGGATCGGGCATGTTGCCATGGATTTTCGTGGAGAGATACAGATACCCAACCTCTTAGGGCGGCTTGAATGTTATTAGGACTGCAATGTTGACTTGCCTAGTGCCAGGGGAGAGTCTTGGACAGGGGCTTTTTTTTATTAATTCAACGACAATACCAAAGCCTCGACTTCCGTTTGATACAAGTCATATTTGGGTTTCTTTCCGTTATTCTATCTAATGCGTGATACATCACAACAGCCCGTCGACACCACCTCACTCCTCATCGCCCTCCAACCAGATCTCATGGCCGTCCCCCTCCCTGACCCACCAGCTAGCCAGGACCCCGCACACGGCGACGCCGCTCAGGCCCCACCAGACGGCGCCGACGACGCCCCGCTCGAGGCCGAGGCCGTACAGGAAGCCGCACAGGACGGGGCCGACGGTCCTGGCGAGGCTGCTGACGCTCTGACCGACGCCGTGGACGGTGCCCAGGACGCTGGGGTGCGGGGTGCAGTTGTTGACGAGGATCGTCTGTGCGGGCAGGGCGAAGGTGCGGCCGGCGACGTGGCACAGCAGGACGGCGGCGATGGAGAGCCAGACGGCGGGCCCCGCCTTGGGCGCGGGCGGCGGGCTGGCGGGCGAGCTGGGCACGAGGCTGAGGTAGGGGGCCAGGGCGTAGGTAAAGGGGAAGAACAGCAGGGACAGGCGCCAGGACCGGACGGTGCCGAGGCGCGCGGAGAGCGCCGGGTACAGGAACAGCTGCAGGCCGATGCCGAGGACGCCGAGGGTGGCCATGGCCAGGCCGACCTCGCGGGGGTGCAAGCCGAGGCCGCCGGTGAAGAAGAAGGGGGGCCGGCGCGGGAGGGCCGGGGGCGAGGGCGGGGGGTGGGCCGGGTCGTAGACGGGCGTCGAGAGGAAGACGAACCAGAGGGAGTTGAAGGTGCCGATGTGGAACGCCATGATGGAGTGTGCGATGAGGGTGAAGCTGACGTTGCGCGTGAAGATGCGGCGGAACGGCAGCCGCTGCGTGTACCGGCGCCGGGTTGGGCGCTTCGACGCCGATCCCGTGGCCGATAAAGGCGCGGAGATGGAAGACGTCGACGGCCGCGCTGTGACGGACGTGGGCGACAACTCCACCTCGATGCTGGCGTCTCGAATGCTGGGGTCTCGGGATGCCAGGGGCGTATAAACAGCTTTCTGCCCGCCTCGCGAAAAGCACGCCCTAAAGACACGGACTAGTTTGCTGCCAAGCTCGATGCCGACGTCACGCCGGTCTCTACGCGCATCCAGAGTCTCCTCCAGGCCCAGCCATACCGCCAGCACGGCGGAGAAGAGGAAGAACGCGCTGAGAAGGTTGGGAGCCGCATATGGGTAGTCGAGGAAGAACTTGACGTTGCCAAACAGGTTCGGATAGCTCCCTGCGGGATCCGAGAGAATCCCCCCGAGAACTGGACCTATTATGACGCCGATGTTGAATGTCATGGGCAGCAGTAGGAATGCCCGGGACTGATATCTGGGCCTCTGATTAGTAACAGACATGTTGAGGCCCGCTGTCGCGCGGGTCAGCTTACTTTTTCTCCCTGATGATTTCGCTGATCCTATCATTCAAGACATGTTAACTCACTCGCCGCCAAGTTCTGGCACGCCGAGGTGCATGCTTACATAGTCCTGAGCACACCGATATTACCGTTCGTGATACCACCGAGGGACCTAAAGAACAGGGCCTGCGCGAAGGAGGTAGAGAAGCCGAAACCGATGCAAGATAACACTGCAAATATATTAGAACCGTGCAGACAGGCGAAAATCGATAAAGGGAGGAGATATTCGCCAGGACGTACTGGTTCCGCTCAATCCGATCATCAAGACGGATTTGCGCCCAAAGTGACTGGAATCGGCGATCCGGCCCCATAACATGGCCGTCAGGAACTGGGCGGCGGTGAAACTGGCATGCATGACGCCGGCCTGGCTGGCGATGACCGAGTCTGGAAGGGTGGGGTCAAACCACTTGAGTTGGTAGAACATATAAGACTGCGAAGGGGTTAGCGGTACGGAGAGAGACTTAAAAAGGAGGAGAAGGGGCAAAGTATGAGAAGCAAGATGGTGCAAGGTAAGGGAGTCATTACCTGCAGAGATGTCTGCACCAGCGGTTCGCTCAGCCTAGCCAAGGTGAGGACTATGAGTTGCTGCTTCCGAGGGAGGTCCGCCCACCCCACCACCGCCTCCCTCGTCCCCGCAGCTCCTGTCTGGCCTCGATCGTCGGGTTCGCGGCCCACACCGACAATCTCGGGGCTGTTTTGCAGAGGGACCGGGCCGCCAAGGCCGTCGTCGGCATTTTCAGCCGTGACCCGAATGCGGAGCTCGGGAGGGTTGAACAGCAGTGGAGACTCCTCTTCCCCCTCTTTCTCCGAGTCTTCGTCCTCGGTGTGGTTCAGGCCCCTCGCCCAATCCTCAGTCTGGGTTCCTGTCATCGGGCTGGGAGATATCGCATGCAGCCTGAATCCGGAGTTTGTCTTATATGGTCGGACTTCTGGTTGTTGCGCCTGCTAGCGAGAGGGACAAATCGCATTGGCGTTTTGGAGGCGCGTGAAGTTTCGAGGGCAGGGCAGGGAAAACAAGAACGGGGTTGTTTGTTTGTTTTAAAGAAAGTAGTAGGCCGTCGAGGAAGAAGAAGAGCAAAGTCGGGACTGAAGATCGTCACATCTGCAAGGCGGGGGTGGGGCGGGAATAACGGTGGCGATCACATCATGGGTGCCACCGGTGCCGGCATTCCGGGCGGACTGTAGGGTACACAGCAATCATCCATAGATAATAAATACCATCTATCGCACTGACGCTTCCGAATAGAGGCAGAGGCGGTGCGCAGTGGATCTGGCGGTGGCCGAGACCCCCCGCAATCGGCATTGGTGACCAGGATGTTTCACCTTGTGCGCATAGGTCCCCGCACTCGGATGTCGGTGAGGTCCCCTCAGGCGGTTCGTGTCCGCCGAGTTTGCAATGGCCTCCAATCTGTTCGGCCGCCATCTCGGACGTCGGTCTCGCTTGAGGGCTGGCTGACCAGCATCGAATTGGGAATGGCGTCATAGCCATTTGAGATGGGGCCATTCCATTCCAGAACACAATCAGGGACGGCGGAGGAGCTATCCGGAGATACGGGGGCGGACATGGATTGCGCCGGGATGACCAGGTAGGTCGTCGGTCCGCAGTAAAACATTATAATGTCCTTTTCATACAAGAGTTGGCAAGTTGGCAAGTTGGCAAGGCAGGACAGGACTCCCAAATCCTCCATTAAGCATATAGAGAATAGACTGTCAAGTGTCATACTAGATGGAGCCCGATTCCTCCCTTCCCCCTATTCATCCCGAGCAATGCAATACCAAGGCCGCACGTTTGAGTACACTCTGAGAGATTGCGACAAGAATTAAGAAGTATTTGTTGTTTTTTGTTGTTGTTGTTGTTGTTGTTGTTGTTGTTGTTGTTGTTGTTGGTGCTGTTGTTGTTATCATTATACCCAAGCTGCCGGCCAGGAGAGATGTATCGGCGCGCCGAGGGCCTCGAGCACCCGTTTAGACACCGATCCAGCCGCCGGCCCTCCAGCAAGCCGTGGCACTGGCCGAGTTTGTAAAAGTGGTATACTGCGTTTGACTGATTGAGGTGGCCTCGGTCAGCATACTGGTCTAGAATCTGGGCGCTGAACCCGAGGGAGGAACGAGACAAGGGGGAGGGGTTATGCCGTGGGGACGTGACTTACCCAACCCATACTGTTCCCGCGGCGCGAGTAGTTTGGTAGACAATGTTGGTCTGGGTGACGGCCCCCGAATCGCCCATGACAACGGTGACGGTGGCTTGATTGCCACCACCAGTGCAAACGGTTGTGGGTGCGGGAGCACTAGAAATAGTTTGTCAGTATCCATGGTCGACAGTGCCAGGGGGTTAAGAGGAAGAATATACATAGTGGTAGTGATAGTTCGGTAATCTGGGAACCAAGTGTTAGCATGTTGTTCAACGTGGTAGACCGGAAGCGGGAGGCGGAGGGGGAAGGGGAGTGACTTACCAACTTCGGTCGCAGTTCTGGGCGGGATGGTGGTGACGCTAGTCCTGGTAACCGTATAGGTCGTTTCTGTGTAGGTCGAAGTGACGGCTGCGACGGCGGCGGAACCAGCGATACCTCGCTCCTGGACTTTGTTGACTCCCTCTTGGTCTCTGGCTTGCAGATTGCAGGCATCGCCAATGCAGAAGCTTGACCGGGCCGTGGGAGCAGCGGCGCCATCATAGTTGTTCTGTGTGGATGGGTAGTGGCACACGGCCGTTGCCGAGGCCGTGGTTGTCCAGTAGCTTGTCACCTGTCCGTCCGTCAACGAGCGCGTCACAGTGGACTGCACAGTCACGGTTTGACCCTGCTGGTAGTTTGTCACGGTTCTCGTGCCGCCATTGCAGGCTGCGGTAACCGTCGACGCCACGATAATAAGGGTCTGTGTTTGCGTGATCGTAGACCGAACAGCTGCGACACTGGTTAGAATCGAGACTACAGAACAGAGGCTCCTGGTATCAACTTACTCTGGGCCTGAGGGGTGCTAGTTATGCCAAGCACGATGGTTGGGGTAGCCTAGTCAGGGTTAGTTAGCAGGGCGATACACTGTTGACGTGCACGTCTGAGGGAGGCGGAAGGGTATGTATGGCATACTGTCACGACCACTGTCTCAGGGACGCCAATCTTCAGAGTAATGGAACGCTGCACAGCGATCTGGTTGCTCTCCAGGACGATCTTCCAGACTCCGGATTTCATCGCCGAGAAGGGGATACCACTAAGATACTGAGGTGAGTCTCCAAACCATGACTTCTGAAGGCATACATGGCGTGGACTTACCATGTTGAAGTCACTTGGGCGCCATCCGAAGAGGTATCGATGCTTGAGCATGCGTATTCGTTGCCATCGGGGCTGACGAGGACGGGGCTGATGTTCTCTCGGTTGCAACCTACGACGACAATTATCAGTTTGTCGTTCTTGGTCTCGGAGCGAGCCCCGAGGGGAGGTTCTCTTACCTTGGAAGACGGAGATGAAGCTGAAGTACTGGTTGGAAGATCCGTCGATTTGGTAGGACCCGCCGTTGGAGAAGTCTACACCATAACTCTTGCAATCAGCACGCACCCCCCGGAGGAGCATGAATGCAAGGAGCACCCAGATATAGCGAAGGCTTGACTCCATTGTGACTTGGCAGATCAAAGACTAGAGATGCTCGTTGGATGATGGGATGCGCAAGCGTGAGCAGAGACCAGACCACTCAGTCCCAGCCCGGTCATTATATAGGAAATCGATAAGTACGCTCCCGGGAAAATGTCAGGTAATCTTCATATTGCCCAATATCGACGGGCTTGCCAGGAACACTGAGTGTAAACAGAGGGCCTGGGACCCTTCCCCTAGATCGCGCTCGAGATTGTTTCTGGCCGGGACCCCGTAGCTCCAGATGATCTTTTTTTGGGGGGAAGCGAAGAAATGAGCCATATTGCAAAGGCAGCGGGCCCATATTGGATGCCATTCAGCCTGTGGCAAAGGGTTCCCAGGAACCAAGATACTCGCAAGCTTGACAACACCTTGGCCCGGAGAGGTGTTGATAACAACAAGGGGAAGCGAAGCGACCCCTAGACTAGGCGGCGGACTGTGGGTGGGGACAGGAGGAGGATCTCCCCTGTAGACCCAACAACAGGGCGGCTGGGTGTTGTCAATCGTCCGGGACGAGAGGACGCGCAGTGCAGGGCGCCAATGACGGGGGAAGCAGAAGAGGTACAATATAAACCCTATTTGGCGGCACGACGGAATGTATATATATACAGATTGACCCCGAGAAGTGCGGTGCGGCTGCAGGGCCGAGGGAATTCTCGCCTAAGGCCTGCGGATCAACAGCGCATTCTCTATGTTCTCTCGCCACCTCTGGCCCTCGTCCGTGCCGACGAGGACAAGGCCTTGAAGCAAAGGCCCTGAAGTTTAAGGATCAGGATAGCCTGGTAGAGAAGGAATTCTGCCAGCATGGACAGATAGGTTGGACGAATCAGCCCCCCAATGAAATGGGCTCAGGGAGGACTTCCTCCCAGGGAGTCTATGGCGGGGAAGGGAAAAATCGGAGGAATAATAATATCAGACGAAAAGGCTTGAGCCGTGTTGTAGGCGACAGGCGGGTATTGAGGCCCGGGTCCTGGAAACAAGAATACTGAATCCTTGCTCCTCGGGTCGGACTTGGCAGGACAGGTGGGTCCATATTGCACGGGCCACGAGCAGAGCATGATGTGACAATCTCCCGCCGCCCAGCCGGATTAGAAAGATACAGGAAGCTCGCCAATGATTGTGGACGGCACGATTTTGGCGAGGCCGGCGGTTGCTGGATTCGCGAGTTAATAATAGCCTAAGCGTCACTATGGGTGATCGGGCGATAGCATGTAAGACTCTTGGCAATCCCGAAACGCAAGAATTGCCCAGGCCGGTGCTCCGTCTAGACTCTGATGGTCTGTACTCTGTAGTGTGTGAGTGCATGTCCCAAAGACAGACTGGATGGGATGCCTCGAGGCATGAAGGTCGAAGGGGCTGTCTGGACTCGAACGACCAGACTAGGAGGTCAGACGAGTGTTTGTGACGAGAGAGAAGAGGGGAAGGTGCGGGGGCGGGGTCGTTGCTAAGATGGGAAACCAAAAGAGAGCAGAAACAGAAAATCCCGGATGTTTCTGAGGTCGAGGAGGGAGGGAGGTGTTGTGCGACTGTTCGCTGGTGGAGGCCGTCAGGGACGGGAAATTTGGCGGGTGCCAAGGCTGCCCTTTTGCCAGCCCACCTGCACATCATTCTTCCTTTTTTAAGTGCCCCTTTTTTTCATTTCAACCTCGTTCCGACTGTCCACTGCTCCACTGCCGGGGTCCAGGTCGTTGGATGCGAACGAGGCTGAAAGCAACGCGACGTACGCATATATTAGCACCCCTTAATTACACGAGCATCGTCCCTTCCTGCCGCTCTGCAGGTTTGGAGCGGCGAGCACCACCTCGAGCACACCCTCCCAAGTCCCAAATCCCACATCCCACATCCCACAACCCAGATCCAAGTCCCAACCCTCCCGCGCGTCTAAAAATAACCATGCCTCGTCCATGGCATCTAGGCATCCCCCCTTTCCGCTCTCCACGCCCATGCGCCGGCTCCCACGACTCCAAGATGCGTCGCGAGTGGCCTCTGGGTGTGCCATCACGACCAGCTACTAGCTACACCACTAGCTACGCATAACTCTCCCCACACTCTGGACTCGTGTGCGCCGGGCTTGCGTCGCGCTCGGCCCTGAACCCCCGCCGACGAACCTGGATATTCTACGCGGACCATAGTACACACTAGTGGCTCACCCGAAGCACCACACACCCTGCTTACTCACTCGGGCAGTCGGGCACACTCCCACTCACCTACCCTCCCTGTCTGCCCGATGCTTACTGCGCATGTTGGGCCCTCTGCTCGGCTCCGGGCTAGACCACGGGCAACCAACAACCAATCCCGGCCCAGTCCACCATGGGCTCCAAGTTCCGAGACAACAGGAAGCGAGAAGCGAGAAGCGTCCTCTACACGCCTCCCAGAAAACCGTCTCGGGAACCGCGCGTCGTCGAAAATACTCTTTTCGCCCACACACGTGCCTCTAGAGTTTCCTCTGACCGACTTTTCCTTCTTCACTGTGGTCTTCCTCCTTTGGTTGCTACTTGGGCCTGTCTCTTGCCTAATATGTCGGGTGAGATCTGCCGGCCCTTGCTTCTTAGAGCTTATATGTCGGCACAATCCGGCCAAGCGGCTCAAGCCTGTTCTAGTTGGTGGCCCGGTCCTTGATACCCGTTTGAGCAGCTTAGAGTTGCTCGTCAACGTCCAGACACCTTTCGTCATCCCTACTTGTGGCTTGGCCCTTTTCGCTTGTTGTGCCACCCCTAGTGGATTGGAACTTTAATTGGCTGAGCCTTCCCGCCGGGATCTGAGCCTCAGTATCTGTCAAAGCTCGATGAGTCGGACAATATGCATGCAGCAGCTTCCATTCGGCAGGCATCCCTCGAATCTCGGTCATCGCTGCCTTGATCGAGCCATGCCTAGCTGAGTCCCATAGGCCCGAAGTCTGCGGTCTTACCTGGTAGCCCTCCCTGGAGGATCCTGCCTGGTCATGCGGCCGAACTTGCCCGGGGTCCCCGTCTTGGATTGCCGTGTCTGTTCGTCCATGCGCTGGTCTTCCACATCTCACGCAAGGCCTCGTCTTCCTTGCTACCTTCTCTTCTTGGATTGCCCAACCGTCTAGGTTATGGGGTGGTTATCCCACCACCCTCACTGCCGTACGGAGTAGTCGCGCAATCTTATGCTTATCGTCATGTAATATTGGTCCGATGTTGGAATAGCTAAACCCTGGCACCGGGCAACCTACCAGGCCCTCCTTGCATGCTGAACAAGTTGATATAAAAGCTGTGCCCCCTTCACTTGGTCTATTGGTAGTGCTCTGCCGAATACCAGGCTGAACTGTCCTTGCCACACGGCTTTCACTTCGTCGCCCCAGTTCTCTCCAAATCTCGCATCGCAAGGATGCTTCACAAGTCTTGCCTCCTGGGCATTGTCCCTGCCTTGTTCTTTGGTGACCTTACGTCAGCCACCCCGAGGCCATCTCTTGTTGCCCGGGTTCCGCAGGCGTCCACGACTATCATACCCGGCGGAGCCCCTTGTGGAGCGAACAACGCTACCAACAGAGGCTGCTGGAAGAACAATTGGAATATTAGCACTGATTATGAGGGGACTACCCCGCCTGGCAAGACACGAACTGTACGTTTCGCGGTCGTCCCGGGACATGCTGCCGACCGTAGGGCTTGCTAACAGTCGCCAAGATCGACCTCTTCATCACAAATGTCACTTCCTTCGCCCCTGACGGGGTTGCAAAGCCAGTCATGCTCGTCAACGGTTTGTACCCACAACCCTAACAAGAGCCTTCTGGGATGAAGACTAACACAGAGAGTTTCCCAGGCGCTTACCCCCCACCCACCATCATTGCTGGTAAGTTCATGTCACGTTCACCAGATCCTTGGTCCCCACAGCGGCTCATCGTTTCTTAGAATGGGGCGACTACCTCAACATCACCGTTCACAACCAATTGAAAGACAACGGGTAACTTGTCCCTCCCAAGGGAGCGAACGTTAAAACGCAGGAGATGCTGACCCATCTGCGTGACAGCACCTCGTTCCATTGGCATGGGTTCAGGCAAAAGAACAGTAACAATCAAGACGGCGCAAATGGCGTGACGGAATGCCCCATCCCGCCGGGCGGCAGTAGGACCTACAGCTTCAGGGCAATGCAGTATGGCACTTCTTGGTAAGCTCGAACGGAGGTGTCCGGTTATCTCCTTATCTCTATGGGCGCCTATGCTGATGCTTCGGCCAGGTATCACTCCCACTTCTCGGTTCAGTATGCAAACGGCATTGTGGGCGCCATTCAGATCAATGGCCCTGCATCGGCTGATTACGATATCGACCTTGGACCTTATTTGGTCAGCGACTGGTATCACAGAACTGCCGATGTCCTGCAGCTGGTGTCAGAACAGGCTACTGGGCCTCCGCCGCACAGCGACAACGTTCTATTCAACGGCTCGAACATCAACCCCGCCGGCGCAGGGGGTGCCTACAACAGAGTCAAATTGACGCCGGGGAAGAAGCACCTAGTTCGCCTCATCAACCCTTCGGCCGAGAACCACTTCACCCTCTCGCTGGTCGGCCACACCTTCACCGTCATCGCCGCCGATCTCGTCCCTGTCAAACCCGTGGTCAAGTCGACACTCTTCCTTGCTATCGGTCAACGCTACGATGTCATTATCGAGGCAACGCAGCCGGTTGGGAACTATTGGTTCAACGCAACGCTGGACAGCTCAGGGCTGTGTGGCTTGTCCAACAACCCGTTCCCTGCCGCTATTTTCTCTTACCAGGGAGCCCCAGATGCTCTACCAACCGACCCTGGCGCACGTGTCACCGCCAACTGCCACGACACGACGGGTTTCACCCCGGTTGTAGGCCGCACCCTGGATCCGTCCACCTTCGAAGCCAACGAGGAGCAGCTGGACATCAACTTGTCCACCGCCGTCACCAGCCGCGGGACCATATTCCAATGGCTGGTTAATGGCAGTACTATTGACGTCGAATGGGACAAACCCATCCTCCAATACATCGCAGAGGGCAATAACTCGTTCCCCACTAATGCCAATGTTGTCGAACTGCACGAGACGACCGGCTGGACCTATGTGGCTATCAATAACCTTCAGGGTGGACTGGTGAGCCTCTCTCCCAGCTGAGCTGTTACGCTTCGGGCTTGCTAACTTGAACCCCTCCCACAGCCTCACCCGATCCATCTGCATGGTCACGATTTCCTAGTGTTGGGGACGTCCGACTCTGGAAAATTCAATCCCGTGACAGACAAGTCCAAGCTGAACTTCAACAACCCGGTCCGCCGCGATGTAGCCATGCTACCGAACGGCTGGTTGGTCATTGCCTTCGAAATCAACAATCCCGGGGCGTGGATCATGCACTGCCACATCGCGTGGCACGTTAGCCAGGGGCTCAGTGTGCAGTTCCTCGAGCTCAAGGACCAGATCGCGAAAGCCATGCACCTCGATCAAATCCAGCCAAACTGCAACGCGTGGAGGGCCTATTGGCCCCATGCATACTACCCCAAAGTCGATTCTGGGCTCTGAGCGGCTTTTGGTGAGGGGAAAAGAAGTCAGGGGGCGCCAAGATCTGTATGGGCATATATCTGCGGCTTGGTATTTAATCCAGGAGTTTCCCCTTTCTTTTACTTTTTATTCCTTTTTTATTATTGTTATTGTTTTTCTTCCCTTTCTCTTGGATACCACACGAGGTCGTATACATTTGGGGCCTCCAAGGCGTTGCACAACTCCGTACCCCTGGAGATGCGTGCTTTAGCAGGAGCAGATCTAAACTCGGAATGTTTTACGCCCCCTATCATCTAGATAACTGAACAAACGCATGGGATTTCTGCCTTGAGCATTAGGGAGCCATCTCGCTTCTGCAGGTGTCTGTCATTTTGACGAACATGCATGCACAGTGAATGATCTGAAAAGGGGACGTTCACACCTCCCAATCCCACCCTGCAGGATCCGACTTTTTTTTTAATAAACCACATCGGCATTTGGGACACGCCTTTCAATTTGGCCAGGCTTTGGCGGTAGGCTCATAACGTGCTGCATGGTGTTATTCTCCGAACTTTGGAGAAAGCCAGGTTGGGGAGGCATAAGCGAATCCCCCCCTTCGGCTCCACGTGTAGTCTAGTTAGTCTCTTCGGCAGAGAATACAACCCACCTCTTTTCCCGCGTTCTTTCGGCAGAGAATGCTACCCTACTCTACCACCCCCCTCCGCCAGGCGGAGCTTGCGTGCGGGGACCAGACGGCTTGACTTTTTTTCACACGGGCCCGAGGCTCTCAGCTCGTGTCCGGGTCGGTGGGTTTGGGTTAGCTAACAACCGTATTCGCCTGGGCAGAGCGGAAAGGGTGAACTGTGGCTGGTTAACCAGGTTGCCGACTCTCTTGGTAGTTGTTCTAGCTCGAACCCGGAGCGAGCTGGTTGACAGTCGTTAGTCACTGGAGGTTCTACCTCGGAGGCCACGCGGGGATGAGGCCGGGGAATGTCGTCACCAAAGGGGGCTTGCATCCCCCAATGGAGGGGAAACGCGGGGAATGGCGCACGCCCCCCCACCCCTCCCCCCCCCGGAGCGCAATCGCGATCGCTCGGCGTCGGCCTGGCCTGCTTCCCCAATCTCTCCCTGCACTCCTCGGCCATGCCATCCCTAAGACGGGACGTCTCGGCGCCAGCCACACCCACCCCCCGCAGCTGCGTTCCTTGAAACACGACCGTGCAGGCCGGGGTAGCAGTTCCACGTTTTTTTATGTGCCAGACCGCGCCCGGCGTCAAAGGCGCTCTGTTCTCCCCCCCCCCCCCAACCACATCTTCCTTCCCCCTTCACCGTCTCCTGCTGGACCCCTGACCCCTGCCCTCCCAGCTGTCTCTCCCAGCCCAGTCACGACTCGACAGACGGGTTGGCACTTGCATTTGTGCCCGGCCCCACGATTCAGCCCCGGCGCTAAAGACACGGGACAACGTCGATCTCCTCCAGGCTTCAGAATCTATCTATGCATGAGCTGTTGACTGACTGAGCTGGCTGGCGCGCTGTCTTGTCCTTTTCAGGCAGGTGCTGACAGGCGGGCGACCCCTTGTGGCCAGCCCTCCGTCGCCCGCCTCGGGCTTCGAGTCAGAGCGGTTCGGCATTCGCAGACTGATTAGAATAGCCATGCTTGGTAGGAGGAGGGAGGAGGGGAGAGGGACGAGGAGGAGTGTGCACTAATGGTGACACGGGGATGGTCTCCGCGGGCAGGCAGATGCAATCCACGAATATCGTCGAAAGGCTCGCGGGACCGCGAGGATTCGGTGTTTGCCGAGGGCAGGATGGCCAGCCGACCAAGCTTCCAGGCAACACCACTGGTGGACTTGCACGATGAGAGCTGCCAATGGCGGTTGCTATTTTGGTGGTTCGCATCGGGATTGATCCAACATAGGTCGTGGCCCCCTGGGTTGGGTTGCCATACCTATTTTTGCCTTCGCCGCGAGAAGAACGAAAGTCGGTTGGCAGGATACGGGTCAACCTGGACCCAACTCTCGAAAGCCGTGTTGGTCGAATATCCTCCCACGTCAGGAGCATCCGCTGATACCAATGAGAAAGAGTATCAACCATCCCTGGAAACTCACTTGCCACTTGGTTTGTCGAACACGGCCTCGCCTTCGGCCTCAGTCTTCTTGGTTTCTGGTTATTGCATAGTGCGTTCGGATATCTTTAGGCCAGGCGTGCGGTCCCTTGCAGTCCACATGGCGCGGATACGCAGCCAGTATCCAGTCCTTCTCTCCAGAAGTTATATGGATTATCTCTCTTCCGTGACGAGATTCCGGTAGATCTAGCAGAGCACCGCGAGTATTCCAAGTGGAATGGAACGGGAGCCATCTCGCAAGGGTGCCACCGTCGTATCAGTCGTTGGGATGGAGATGTTAGAAGGAGACTGTTCAAACCAATAGCGCCCTTGAGATCGGGTTTTGTATTGACTAGATGCTGTGAAACCTCGAACCGGCACTTGAGCACCAGGGAGCTCAGGATATTCGACATTGATCATGGCCGATGCCACATGCCAGCATCAAATTTTGGGTGGGGGGGTGCATCTGTCAGTCCCGTAGTTAAGGAATGCTAAAGAAACTGCGTCTAATCAGTGGGTGCACTAACAATAACAAACCCCCAAGTTCGATCTCAATCAGCACAAGCCTCATCCTTTACATCTCAGAACACCATCTACATACATCGAATTCCACCCAAACCCGAGTTCATCAACATGGCCACCCCCCTGACACTACACATAACCGGGCAAGACATCCACCTCACAGCCACGCCCCTAGAACAATCATCCTTCGCCCCCTTCGGCGACGTCATCGAGAACCCCAGACCAGACCTCCACCCCTCATCAGCCTTCACCTCCCCATCCCCCCTCCCCTTCAACGCCATCCCCGCCAACCAAGGCACAGCAATAAAATACCAGCACGTAACCCACCTCACAAACCTCTACCCCTCCGCCCCAAGCGGCCACCCGGGCGTCCCCTCGTCAAGCCTCTTCTCGTGCGCCGCCGCCGCCACCCCGGCCCCAAGTCGCGGGTCGTCGTCGTCGCTGGTCCTGTTGCCGATCCGCATCCTCGAGCGCCACCCTTTCACCTCGCAGACCTTTATCCCGCTTGGCGCCGGGCACAGACACAGCAGACACAGGTATCTGGTGGTCGTGGCGCCGAGCCTACCTCCCGGCGGCCCGGATGACGGGGTATTGTTATTGCCCGTGCCGGGAAGGGGGAGGGGACTGCCGGATGTGCGGGGCCTGAGGGCGTTTGTCGGGTCGGCGGGGCAGGCGGTTACGTACGGGGCGGGGACGTGGCATGCACCGATGGTGGCGCTTGCGGGGGGGCCGGGACGGGAGGGGGACGGGGGCGGGGTGGTGGATTTCGTGGTTGTGCAGTTTGCGAATGGGGTCGGGGTGGAGGATTGTCAGGAGGTTGTCCTGGCGGGGTCGGACTCGGGTGGTGAAGGAGCGGCGAAGGTTTGGGTTAGGATCCCCGAGAGGGGGGACGTTGCTGCCAGGTTGTGAGGGGATTTTCATGGTCGTTTTCCTGGATTGCGTGGCGGGTTGATTGATGGGTGCTGATGTTGTTGGAAGCCCCGATTATTGCTGCGCATCTACTCAACTTTTAACAAGCAATCGCTCGTCTGTTTAAGGCAGAGACACTCTTGAGTTACGCAGTAAAGACGGAATTAGGTTAAGATCTCCTCAACTACCTCAGCCCCCAATGATGGGCTGTCTGTCTGTTCCGAGAATAAACTATCCCTGGGAATTATGGCCAAACGCCTCTTGTTTGTTCGCCCCTGAAAAACAAGCCCCCTCTGCAGATTCTGTTCCGCAGACCGTGGCCGTGTCCATGTCCATATCGGGAAGTGGTCACATGTCATGTACGGGATATATGACTCCCTGATAAACCCCCTGGGTTCTCATAGACCTTGCTCGAACCAGTAGACTGTGGCCACCTTTGTGTGTAGCCAATCCATTAGTCCATCCTCTATGATCCGAACTCCCCTCCAAAAAAGTAACAAATGAAATAACAAAGAAGGGCGATAAAGACCGCGATGTCTCCGTCCCCATAATCCATATCCCGGCTCGATATCACCGCCGTTTTCCCTCCTCTAGAAGCCCCAATAATGCTTGGGCCTAGTCGTAGAGATCTTCCTCGGTAAGGCCGCCATTGTCAACCACGTCCCAGAGGAAGGGAGACACATACGGTTGCGGAGCCTGGGCCGCCACATCCTCGGGGGGTGGCCCGTTATTATTCTTGTCATCATCGCCGGCGCCGCCGGCGGTGGCAGCATCGTAGCCTTGGAAGATGTAGGGCGCCGGCATGAAGGAGCCGGTAATTTGCGCGGCAGATCGGCGCATCCTCTCGGACCGGATCGCGAGCCTCACGCGGTGGTAGTCCCAACTGAGGGGCAGGTCGTCATCGTCGCGGACCATGCCGTTGTCGATCATCAGGCCGGCCATCCGCTGCCACAGGTCCGGCGACGAGACGGGGTCCTCGTCGGGCCCGAGCTTGGGCTCGAAGGGCTGGCCGCCCGCGGGAGCCAGGGGCACGGGCGTGCGCTGGGCTTGCTGCACCTTCTCTTGAGCCGCGGCGGGTGCCGGGGTGGTGGACGGGCCCGGGTCGCCGGCGCCGCCGTTGGCCTCGTTGGCGGCCGCCTCTGCGTCGTCTTGTTGTTGGAGCCACCAGGGCTTGGGGCTGTTGCTGAAGTGTCGAGCGATGGCGTTGTCCGGGTTTTGGTGGGTCCTGGCGTAGTCCCGCAGGACGCGCTCCTCGATCGTGTTCTCGGCCATGAAGTGGTAGACGTGGACGACCTTGTCCTGTCCCGGGCGGACGCAGCGCCCGATTGCCTGCCTCATGTTCTGGTTGCGCTTGTACACGTCGGGTTCGAGGAATGGCGCGGCGAAGATGACATGGTTGGCAATGGTGAGGTTGATGCCGGCGCAGGACACCTCGGTGGGATCCAGGATGAGGGCTTTGCTGCAACCGGTCTTGAACAGCTCAGCACGTTCGGACATTTCCAGGTCGGTAAGTCCTTTCTCCCCAATCAGGGTGATATAGGTTATGCCCTCTTCGCCGAAGCAGCGTTCAATCTCCGCGGCCAGCCAGACGAAGGGCACGAAGAGGAGGACATGGTCGTCGGCCGGAACGCTCTTGACTTTGTCGATGATGGCCGCCAGCTTCGCGCCCCTCTCCGCCTTGACGGGCAGACCCGCTCCGGGGTTTCTGGATTCCTGTGTCTTCGGAGTCCGGCTCCAATCGCAGGAGTCGACGTGCTCCTTGGGGACGCCGGAGATCAGATCGGCCCATCGGAGGATGGGAGAGTTTCTGCAGTAGGCAGTGCAGGATTCCACGGTGCAGGTCGATCTCTCGCAATTTTGATCCATCTTCGCCTTGCACTTGTCGCACATGATGTGCCCACAGGCGACGACGACGAAAGTGCCGGGGTCCTGACCGAGGCAGCTATCGCAGTGCAGCCGGGCGCCTGGACCGCTCTGCGCAAGCCTGGAGATGGATTCGAAAAACTCGACTCGCCGGCATGTCTGGACATAGTCCTCTATGCTGCGAATGAAGCGCTGGTAGGTCATGTTGATCTCGTCGAGGGTGGCCTCGGGGGCTGAGGAGCGAACCTTCCTGATTTTGTTCAGCATGGGGAATTCCTGGGACATGCTGGTTCCACGCCCGTCGATGTGGTCGTTGCCGTCGGTCACGCCCTTGGTGTAGCGGTCGATCTTCTCGAGGAGCGCCTTGCCGGTGTCGGACTCTGTGAACTTCAGATTGTGGTTCCTGCAGATGTCCCGGAGATCAGGTTTGCTGGTCTTGCCTCCCGTATCGATGAGCCGGGAAAGGCTAGCCTCGTTCGCATCGATCTTGCTTTTCTGGCACGCCATGATGAAGTTGGCCAGGGTGCGGTTGTCGAGTTTCTCAATGATGGGCCGGCCAACTCGCTCGTACATCATGCTCCGGTGAGCAGTGTTCTGACGCAGATGCCAATTCGCATAGCCACCGTCACTGAATAGCGACTTGATGATATTTTCATGCATGGAAAGCCAATGCGAGACGGACGATTCCTTGATGGGAGGACGCTCCAGTGACGAGTAGCTGAGGAGCACGAGGTCCGACGCAAGGTGAACGAGTTCGTTACGGTCCATCGTAGCAACTTGGGATTCGGTGACGTCGTACCAGTCCAGCCAGAAAGTGTGAGCCATGTCCCTTCTCCAGACTCTTGGTTCAAAGTTTGATGCGTCCGAAGGTGGAAGGTAGAGAGCGCGGGGGGTGATGGGTTGAGAGCCGGCGCGGATTACCGTGGCTGGAGCTAGCCTAGACATGAGGCGAGTGAATGGGAGCTGTCCACCGTACATGGAAAGGTTGCGATTTTCTCCCCTAAAATCCCTGACGAAGCCTCGGATGACCCCCTCGGCCACATTACGGACCGCCTGAAACTTGGAATCGTTCTGGATCTTAGCACCGACTGAGCGTGCGCGGTCGAGCAGCCACACCAACTTGTCAAAGCAGAACTTGGTATCGTTCTCGAATTTGATGACCGTCGTCGCAAGGGCGCGGCCCATGTCCTCGTACCACTCCCCGTTGCCGAGGACTCCGTTGGCAACCGCGGCCAGGGCGAGGTTCGCAGCAACCTCTCCGGAATTTGTGGCGGCGACATTGACACGATTCAGAAGCTTTCGAATCTCCATGGGCACTTGGAGGAGATTGCCGTTGGCATCCGAGATCTCGAGATGAGCCACGTTGTAATAAACGGCTGTCCGCGGACGCAGCCGGACGGGCACGACCCCCTCGTCGACGAGGATGTTCGAGTGTAGCAGTGGGTTCGATCGATAGACATGCCGGACGAATTCGATGCCGTGCCTGTGCCGCTCCATGATGAAGTCCATGGATTTGATGCGGGTCGAAAACGATCTGAATTCCTCGCTCGGCGACATGGGGTGTAGTCTCGGTCCTTCCGTGACGGCAGGAAGGCCCGGCCTGACGCAGGGTTCCGATCGAGCCACATGGATGCCCAGTGCCATGCCAACGTCGGTAATATTCGAGAGGTTCTGCGAGGGAGGCGTGCCGGAGAGAAGCCATTTGGCGTAGGCAAGGGAGCCGGAGAGGAAGGATAGGGTGGGCGTGCTTTGGTACGAGTACTCGTCCACAATTATCCTCGCGAAGCTGAAATTCTCCAGGAACAAGGTCGGATGCCAGAGTGCGACATGACCTTCCTGGTTCGCGGGCCGCCTCGGAACGGCCTGGGTTGCCTTCCCCTTGGCAGTCGTCTTGCCCCCCTTGGAGCCCTTCCGGGTGGAAGGAGCAACATATTCATCAGCCACTTTCTGACCGGCCGCCTGCCTCTCCTCGACCAACTTTAGCAGCCCTTCGTTGGTAGATTTTACGTCGGACCCGTTCTTCAGGTAGTGGGTCACTGCCCAGCGGATCATTTTCGTGCCAGCTCGGTACCTGTCTTGAGCCTCTCGGTCCGATACATTGGACTTCGAATCAGGAGTTGACTTGCCCAAACGATCTATGTTCTCGATATACGCGGCCGACCGGAAGAGCCCCTCCGACACAACGATGACGTCGGCGTCTCGCAGGGCTATCAGTGGCACATTCTCAAGGGCCTTGACGTCGAGGATCTTGATGATCTTAGCCTTGCTCCCGAATTTCTTGAATTCGCTGATCCACTGGTCGGAAATGTGGCCTGGGACGATGATGAGTGTCGCTTTCAGGTGGAAGAACGACTCCGAATGGTCGCAGGGAGCGCTCCAGAGAGCTGCGGCCTTCTTTCTCTCGTCGATGGATGATCCGTCGCAGTCGAAGCCCCTTCTCAGCTCAAGCAGGGCGATCACGACAACCGTCTTCCCATACCCGATATCATGCGCAGCGACGCCTCCTCGAGAGCACAGAAGGGACCCGTCGTTCTCGAACACGGCACGCCCGACGATTCGTGTGTTCAGGCCGAGGGGCACGACCTCTTCCAGTTCCGTCTCAGAATATACTGCCGGGCAGACTTCTCGACCAATCATCCATCGGACCGCTCCGGCTTGGTCTTCCCTCAAAGAATGGCCGGCGGCTCGGAAGCAGGGCAGATCCAGGGGTACGTTGGCTATATGATGGCGGAAATAGTCTTCTCGGAGGCCGTAGAGGTTGGTGGTATCGTGGATGGCTTTGTGGAAAGGGACAAGCGAATCGAGAGTCTCCTCAGGATGGTATTGCCAGTCGACCTCGCAGAACACCCTCGAATGTCGCATCACAAGACCGCTGAAGAATCTGGACCTGGTACCGTAGGCCAGGTGGGCCATGGCGCGCGAGGCGAGGGTTCTGGAGTTGAGAGTGAAGCTGATATCTAGAGTGCCGTTGCTGTGATCCTGGAACGAGTGACCGGCGAATTTCACCATGGCGGCAAATGGCGGCGGAAGCATCCTCAATCGCTGCTCGAACAGCTCGACGTCGTCGGGGTCCTCCCAAGGGTGAGCTGCCCCAGCCCCCGAATCAGGAGGTTGCCAGTGGATCCTGGGCGGCGCAATGCAGCACTCGGCACAAAAGACAACTTCAGCACCACGACCTCTGGTGCCAAGTTCAGCCAATCGAATGGCGCCGGCCTTGAAGATGCTCGGGCAAGCAAAGGCGATATCCCGCAAGAAGTTGTCCAGCCGTGAAGGCGGGACGGCGTAGAAGTTCAGGGGCCCAGATCGCCCATTCGTCCACCGAGAGACCGTGGCCAGCGGGAGCGGGAGCTCCGTGACGTCCAGATGGACGTTGAAGAGAGTCGCCGGCTTGCTGGGAGCCCTGCAGCATGGGCCATTGCCCCCCGTGAAAACACCAACAGAGCTGACAGCCAACGGCTCGCGCACCATCGACTTCGGCACCGCCGAGTCGAACGGCTTGCACGTCGCCCAGTACCCGTCGACGTGGGCCCTGACGACGACCCCTTGCGCAGGGGGCATGGACAGCTCGCCTGTCCGCAGCGAGACCTCGCGGTACTCGCCGGCCTCGAGCTGCCGGTTGGTGTCGGAAAACACAAAAGTGTCCTCTTTGGGCGGCCCCGTGGGCGCCACGTCCTTGAACAGGAACTGCTCCGAGGAGCCATCCTGTCTCACGAAGAGCGAGTCTTCGGGGGTCCCGCAACGCGGCTTGGGACAGTACACCCCTCCAACTCGCTCCTCAATGGACTTGAGGACGTGGGGGGGGAAGGCGTTCCGCGTCGCCGCCCCCCCTTCCGCCAGCCGAACCCTCAGGGCCTGCTGCGCCGGCTCTGCCTCCACCACGAGGTCGTGGTCGCACCGTCTCCGGACCCAGACCGACCAGGCCGCTTCTCTTGGGTCCAAGGTCTGCTCGCTGCTCCCGGGCTGACGAGACCCAGGAGCGAACTTGCCCCTTGCGACCGGCTGAGAGTCCTCGCGGGAGGACTTCACGTCCTGGTCCAGTCGGGCCGGGAAGAGATACCAATCGGCACCTGTGTTCGTGAGAACCAGGCGAGCGACACAATCTGTCGACTTGTAGTCGACCGTCACACACTCCGTGACCTTGACCTGCTGGAGGTAGAACAGGTTGGTGCGACCAACGAGTCTGGCCACACCCGCCACATAGTGTGGCTCGCATCCCTCGCGGGCGAGCACCCCAGCGACATCGCCGCCCTCGGCACGGACCCTGAACACCCCGGGAAGACAGCTTCTGAGCTGCAGCTGCAGCTCGGCCTGGCTCATGCGGCGAAGCACGGCCAGCTCTGCGAAGCGGTGTCGGGGATTGCCTCTGCAGCCCTTGCAGGCAGTTGCTCCGCAGTCCTGGCAGCGGAGCCACTGCCGCTGGCCCGAGGCGATCCCTTCCACCCCTGGACAGAAGCACAAGCGCATCGACCGCGAGACAAGCGTCATCACCTCGTCGATGTTGGCCCCCCGGAAGCTTCCCAGGTCCCAAGAGCCCATGTCTTCCAGGAAAGACGACTCTGGTCCCTGGTCTTCCTCCATGGGGTCCCCGATGCTTGTCCCCGTCGGCGGCGAGGCGCCTTCCGCTGTCTCCCGGAGGACGTCGTAGGCGGCAGCAAGGGCTGCCAGGATGACGGCCCCGACGACGGGCACTGTCATGGCGTTGCCCGCGAGGTCCAAGAGCTGGGCCTGGGTCTCGGTCGACAGCACCAGGTCGTCGAGGGGCAGCCCTTGCAGGCCGAGGGCTTCGATGCCCGTGATGGGCCGCACCTGGTCAGTCAGGATCGGCTGGCCGGTTGGCGTGATGCAGCCGATGGTGCCGAACTTGGACTCGAAATTCGAGGTGATGATGGTGGAACGGTCGACGTTCTGGCTGACATCGAGTACCCATGTCTTGTATCGCAGGTCACATTGCACCTGGAGGCCCTTCAGGATGACAATGTCGATGAAGTCGAGGACCCGGGGCATCTGCTTCTTGAAGTATTGGATCCATGATCGAGATGGCGGAGTCACTTCCTTCAGTTTGCCGTGCGCGAATACAGACATCGAGAAGGGGTGGGCTGCCGCCGAAAGCCCTTCAGCCTGGCGGGTAGCCTCGTGGCGTAGCTGGCTGAAACCCCAGTCGATTTCTTTCTGGTTGGCATTTCGCTGTTCCATGTCCGCTCGGGCCTGGACGAGCCGAGGGTCGTCGGCTGCGAGCAGGAAGTCGGTCACCGGACTTGAGACGTTTCGCTCCAATTTCTTCACGAGCTTCATGCAGTGCTCGATCACGGCTTGTGCCCTCTCGGCTCCGAAAACTTGCACGTCGACCGCGACGAGATAGCCACGCTGCCGGGTCTGAGGGACATAGTACCTTCTCGAGTTCACCTTGGCATGGGCTGCGACATAGCCGGCTCTCGGGAACCAGAAGTTGGTCTTGGCGGTCCACGGCGCCGAGTCGATGTTCTCGAGAATCACAATCTTCGGTCTTGTCCGGATGATGTAGCTCATGGCAGCTAGGAACGTCCTCATTGATTCTCCCGTCTTGAGGCCCTCGAGGTTCTCGAGAGTCTCTATTAATCTCTCCACGAACTCGGCATCGAGTCGAGGTGGGCTTTTTTCCTTTCCACTGACGATGTCTGGGGGATACTTTTCGAACACGGGAAGATACGTCTTGCCATCCTTGGAGTTATTCAGGCTCGAGTAATCAACGCAGGAGCAGCCGGCAATAAAGAGGTCGAGCTTGTCCGAAGGAATGTCCTCGAAGTAGCCACCGGCAACCATACTGTGGGAGAGACACGTCAGTGGGCTTGCTTCTGAGGAGAACATGTGTTTGGATTGGACTTACGCCTGGGTCGCTCCTCTGGCACCCAGCTCCAGAACATTGCGGAAAATGAGCGGCGGGTCGACATTGCGTCGAATAAAGGCTTGCTTGAATGCCTCAAGCTCGCAGGCGAACTTATGACTGAAATGGATGAAATCCTGTCCGAGATTCCGCGCGGCTTCCTGCACGAGGTTCAGTGCGAAAATCGGGGAATCTGTCCCCGAGCAGACCGTCGCGACATTTATCGACAATGGCTCTCTCCCAAGCACGTTCTGGTGAGCATCGAGGTTCCGTAATAGGTCCTCGAATATCTCAAGGCCCTCGTGGAGGGGGGGAAGCCCAGAGTCTATGCCAGGGGCCATCGCGGTCTTGGTGCTGATATCAGTCAGAAGAAAAATTCAAAATCCACCGACGCGGAGGATGAAGTGTAGAGGATGTTACCTTTGAGTAGATGAAGTATGAAGGTCAAGGCTGATGAGGAAGACGGAACTTCAGGTGAGGGGAGGAGAGAGTGGAGAGGCTAGAAGAAGGCAAAATCGCGGGCTTCGATACTGCGAAGACCCTCGACGGAGATGGAAGATGGATATTTGCCAGGAAAGGGACCCGGAAAGACCGAGTTTTTTCTAGGCAGTGCTTGAGTGCAATGGAAGCAGGAAGATGTGATTTTAGGCCTCGAAAGAGCACCTCAATGGGGTTGCATGAGGTTGAAAGTGATGGCTATTGGGGAACTTGGAGGTAAAGAGCGTATTTGTGGGAGGGAGAGTTTGCAGATTTTGGGAGGAGAGAGAGTATTTTTTACCAGAAGACAGGCTTTTCTGTTGTGATTAGTCGTGGAAGGATCCATTGTGTGAAGGCGACAAGACGAGGCTGGGATGCGGCTGGAGTAGGGCAAGCAAGTTCATGCCCTAAGTATCGCCATCCAGGGGTCCAGAAGAGAGATCAGGGCTGATGCCGAGAATAATGCTGAGTCGTTGAGTCGCTAAGTCGAGGATGAGAGTCTGGGATGAGAGTCTGGGTCGAGAGTCGGAGCTGAGAATAGGGGGCAGTGGCACAGGGCGGGACCACGGCGAGAGCACAGGACAAGACTCGGAGCTACTTAGGGATAAGGAAGGGTCAGGAGTGTAAGGTGCTTCCATTGCAGTAGAGGGCGTTCATGCCCAAATTATAACCATCAAATAACATCCAGGCAGACAAAATGTTAGAGTGTTGCAATGCTCCCAAGATGTCATGATATCACATGTGACCAGCTCCTGTTCCACTAGGTGAAGGTAGGCCCAAGCCTGGGAACCCAGGGTGTAGAAGCCCCTGTCCCTGCTGGCAAAGAGGAAGGGCTGTTTCTACAGAACTTCTGTTAAGACTCATGATTCTTCAATAGTTAACCAAGTCCCTATTTTAAAATGCTTGGGAGAATGTAGTTGGTGGCTTTGGCTGTGACTGGGAAGCTCTATGAAGCTAACATGGAATTAAAGTCCCTTGCAGACTTTGGAGTCCATCTCATGTGCCATGAGGCTTGTAAGGCAGACTTTGTCTGGTACACGGGTCCTGACATGTCACCATCAGTGCTAAGGCTCCATCAACAAAGAACAGGTAGAAGTGGAAGTCACGGTTGAATGTATACTCTGGTTGTGGTCCCCATCTTCCATGTACAAAGGCAAGTTGGTACCTAGACCTAGGTAGATAGCTCAGCCAAGTGATACCACCAGCCCTGAGATTCCGACTCCACTGGGAACCAGGTCTCAGTACGGTGACGGAGAAGGGCTGGCTACAATCAAGAAAAGGCAGTTTAGCAGATTAGGGAATCTCCAAGAGAAGAAGGAGCGACAGAACTGGTTATAATCTGGCTCTTAACCCCAGGAACAATGTCGCTGCTGAACGGGAGCATGGAGGTAGCAATCAGAGGAGAAAGAATGTGGGAGAGATACAAGGTTAGTTCTCCAAGTTGTTTGCAAAGACGGAGAAGAGAAACATGGGCGAATGGGCTAGGAGTCTATAGGAACCTGGAGATGGGCATATGGCTCCTGGCTGCGTTTCATCGTTCAACATTTCCTGTTGATGTTCATTTCGAAGCGACCATTGAGGTTAGTTGGGGACGTCTGTCGTCGCATATGCAGGGGTTCGCGTGGGAGTGGCGCTGTGGCGCAAAAGTGGCTGAGCCCAGCAGCGGGGACACGCTGGAAGCTGGAAGGAATCGGGATAAGTAGGCTCAAGTTCCATCAAGGTCAAGCTGGAAATCTTCTTGGAAAGACTGATTCAGAAGTGCAGTGCTTCTACCACCTAGAATGAGTCCTGCGTTGGAACCTGCCGGCGCCAAAAATGACTTCGTGGATCTGTCTGGGGTTACAACCGGGCCTGGAGAAAACCCCTATGACGCCTTGATCGTGGCTTGTAGCAATGATCCAGTGAGTTAGATCAAGATGCCCGGGCTAAAGTAGCTGAATGGGATCGGCGACTTGACCGAGCCAGACTGACGGATGCTGCTGCAGGCTGAGATCCAGTCATTGTACTCTACCCATCGGCGGAAGAGAAACTCCCAGCAGAAAGCCAAATTTCTGTCGCCCGACTTTAGCGAGTTGGTGATTGATCCGGTCCTCCTCAGGCTCGAAAAGCCCGATATAGAACCCGGCTTTCAAGATCCTCGAAACTGCCTGGTGTTCTGGGCGAGACCCCCTGACCACATAGTAAAGTTGGCCACCCATCTCCAAGCTCTCCTGAAAAAAGCTGCTCCCAGTAGGTTCCTCCTCTGAATTCGTGATCCCGGTCCTGTCTTTATCTCGGGGCAATATTGGGTGGCCACTGCTAGCTATGCCGTCCTTCCTTGTGGTTTACAGTGGGAATCCAACGTGCCAAATAGGCTGACTCCGTGACTCGCAGACCTCTGGCTGATGCCGCCACACCGAATGCATATGACAACCCTGGAGCTCACCCACTCACGGACGCCGGACGAAATCGCCGCCTTGGTGGCAGCAATGCGGCCTACCATCCCGGCGCTGACGAGTTATACATTTGGGCACCGCTCTCGGCTTGTCAAACCGATGCTGTCGTACGATCTGTCTGCCATCGCCGTCTCATTCCTGCCAGCGGCCGGGGAGAAAGTGCTGTCTCCACCGCCTGTACCGCCTCACCCAGATGGAATAATGCATCCGGGCATGGATGGGACTAGTACTGACGAGACCGACGTCTACACATACCACCATCTTCGCCGGGACGTGTTCGATCTCGCACGCAGTACGGGGGTTGAGATCGGGTCGAGATATGTCGTTCCTAGCGCTCATATAACTCTGGCCCGGTACCTCGAACAAGCTGACCACGCCACCCCCGAGATGCGGGAGGGTTGGATAAAGACCATCGAGGAGATCAACAAGTGGCTGGAAGATGAGGCCTGGGAGATAGAGGACGGTGAGTTTATTGGAGAATGGATTGTTGGGCAGGAGAGGGGCCTAGATGCTCGGAACGGCACGCTTTGGTACGGTGGTGGCCGGTCTATTATGGCAGGAGAAGGATTCTGATCCTCCAAGCGTAGATATAGATAGACTTTAGATGGCGTATTGAGTTGATCACACATGTGACCATACCTTATCTCATGGCCAACGAGACTTAGATCGGGCAGAGTCGGGCAGAATCAGGCAGAAGATAGTCAGGTCGACTCGTCCGAAGCATCACTCGAGGTTCCGCGTCTTCCTGGGCATCGTGTTCGCCACTCCTAGGTTTTCCCAAGCCAAAGGGATGGAAATCTCAGCTCTCACATGCGATCAGCAAGTCAAGCTCGAACAACAGCCCATCGCACAGGTAGGTAGGCGCCTAGCTTTAGTATCCGTATAATCCCGCAATGACGACGGGCCAAAAAGGGATTCTACACTAACTACGCAATCCGTACGGATCCGTACAGCGTAGGTAGTGTAAAGAAAATAATGATGGAGCAAATAAAAGCTAGCACCCCATGGCGGGACTCGACCCCGCAACCTTTTGATTGATGAATTATTGCTGATTGGGATATCGGGGGGCTAGCTCCATATTCAGAGCTCCACTCTACTTCCACAGCTCCACTTCCAGAGCTCTCAATGTCGTAGAGCCGCCGTAATTCCCATGACCAGGACGAAGCGGACCCCTCCACACAATCACCATCTTCCTCGACCTCGATGTCCTTTTAGCATTGCTTGCAACAGAGTCACGCATCGAACGTCATACGAAGCCGAAAAACTAAAGAACAGTAGCGACGGCCCTAGCTTAAATACGAGAACGAGGCACCAGACTCGTGAAGTCGACATTCGAAATTTTGATCACGCTGTTGCCGCGCCGTTACTTCAAACTCGAGCCCGCTTTCCAACCTCGACGCTACTGCGCACACCGACTTCTCTCCCAAATATTTTGACTTGGTATGATGGGCTCTCAGGTGACGACAATGCCTCGGTGCCTGAAAAGTTGAGCCGTGACGGACAAGTTTACAAGGCACTCTAATCTCTCGGACTGGTCTTCCGTCTTGGAAAGGAAACAAGAGGACGAACCACCCCGAAGTGCCGGAACGCCTACATGGGAAGCTCTGGGAACACAACCTGGCATCTGATCACCACATACAAAGAACCCATTTTCGTTGGCGTGAATGTGGCCAAAAAAACGCTTGTCTAGCATGCTACCTCCCGAGATGGAGGGGAGGACTTTCCCACTCATCAATGACGACGTGGCTCCTCCTCTCCCAGAACGCCCCGTCCAGGACGCGGCCGTCTTCATAGCAGCCGGCATGCCGCTTGCCAAAGAGAGAAACTCGTCCAGTAATGCTCGTGGCCCCTTCCGCTCCAATGTCACCCCACCGACCACCATCCGCGCTGTCACGCCTGAACCTACCGACGGTACACCGAGCATGTCGGACACGGGCACTAGCGTTGTGCCGCAGGTCGCCCGCGGCCTTGGGTCCATGTCAGCCCAGACCTCCCCCAGGTCGATACCCGGTGCTGGACGCGGCGTGGGCTCGGGAGTGAGCGGTAGCTTACCTACCAGTCGCCGTCAAGGCGTCGTCTTCAACGACTTTGCCGGATCCCTCGACAGCTCCTCATCCAGCCCGCCACCGAGACTGGCCTCCCACCGGCCGAGGACACACACAATGGACGGCGCTTTTCGCCAGCAAGCAACTGTTGCGTTTGATAGTCGGCAACGCGTCGGCTCCTTCTCCTCATCAGGCTCGCTCGCTATGAACGATGACCTGAGAGGGCCGCCTTTGCAGCTCCCGATCGAGATACCGTACGCTGCAACCACCAGAGATAGGCCGTCGGACCTCCAGATCCCCGGTTCTATGACGTCCAAGGAGAGGAAGAAGGCCACCGCTGCAAGAAGTCGACTTGTAAAACGAGCATCCTCACGCCCTACCTCTCCCTTGATATCCCCGCCGCCTTCTGTGGATTCACTACCCTTGCCAATTCCCACGGTTAACGCAAACAAGGTACTTCTTCTGATGAAGACGCTCTGTGGACGAATGAAAGGCAGCGTCGAATACCAGGGAGACCCGACCGGTCCCTGGCTCTCCGGGACGTGTTACGTTGATGAAGAGAAGGGAATCTTGATGTTTGACTCGGGCGACATGGGCCCGTTTCACACTCCCATTCTTCCCGACCTGCGAGGGTGTCGAGTCTTGCCCGTAGACCGGCTAGACAACGGCGCCCAATGTCTAGAGGTTGCCAACCTACAACTCGGCATAGATGTGCTTCTGCGCCCGCTAGTTGCGGAGGAATTCGACCTGTGGTTGGCCGCTCTCTTGTGCTGGCAGCAACTGCGTCCGGCTGGGGTGAAGCTATCGAACGGTCGGGCTGGCAATGGGCCAGGCCATGCGCGAACGGAGACCAAGTCTCGAACGTCGTCTTCCGGTGGAAAAGACCGCTCCATCATCAAGATTGGTAGGGTGATGTTGTGGGACAAGGGTCTTGCCACGTCGCCCCGAGCTATCATTAAGCGCCCATCGACGCGTGATCTGCGATCTTCACACACATCATGGAGACGGGTGTCTTGCATGTTGCAAGATGATGGGGAATTCAAGCTTATGACGGATAATGATGTGACAGTCCTGTCTGTTATCGAGTTGTCACAGCTCGCCCGATGCGCCATCCAACGGCTTGACAAGTCGGTTCTGGACGAGGAGTATTGCATTGGCATCTTCCCCGTCTATGCATCCACCTCTACTCAGCTGTCCATCTTCAGGCCAGTCTACATTGCATTGGATTCGAGGATATTATTCGAGGTCTGGTTTGTCATTCTCCGGGCCTTCACCGTTCCATGCGTCTATCGAATCGACCATGAGAACGGAGACCAGGTTTGTGAGGTAACGGATCTGTCGGCGGAGCCCACCAGCGATATTTTCAGAATGGAGAGGAAGATGACGGTACGCATAACCGAGGCGAAGATCCGAAAGGCTGCTCTATCACCAGAACTTGGAGTCCAAGACCGCCATGCCAGGGGAGATCAGGGTGGAGTGGTTGGCAACTACCTGGCCGAGGTGATGCTTGACGGGGAAGTCCGCGCGAGGACAACTACGAAGCTCGACACGAAAAACCCATTCTGGCGGGAGGAGTGTGAATTCATCGACCTGCCACCCACCATTCCTTGCATCTCCGTAATACTCAAGAAGGTCGAGGGCAATTTGGACAACTCGAACCACCCGATCCAGGCGCCCATGAGCTTGTTGAAGTCCGGCAGCTACGTCGAGGCTGTATGTGGATCTGTTGACATACCGCTGCACCAGACGGACCGCGACAAAGGCCACGAGCAATGGCTCACTATATACGATGACAAGCAACAATCGATTGGCACGATGCTCGTCAAGGTTCAATATGAGGAGCTGATCATACTCTTTTCCAAGGAATACCAGCCCCTGTCTGAATTGTTGCACAGCTTCAGCACCGGGTTGACAGCCCAGATCGCACAAGCGCTCCCTGGGAACCTCAGACGCGTGGCCGAGGTCTTCCTCAACATCTTCCAAGTGTCTGGCTCAACTACGGAATGGCTCATGAATCTTGTCGAAGAGGAGATTGACGGGATAGGCAACAAAGCGTCTCTGAAGAAGCCCCGATTTAGCACGCGGCTCAAGTCCAACGAATCGCTCGACTCTGTGAGTGATCGGGAGCAAATAGTGCGCGACCTAGGCAAGTCCTTGGCAGGGGAAGCCAACCTGCTGTTCAGGGGCAACTCGCTCCTGACACAGGCTCTGGAGTTCCACCTGCGCCGATTAGGGAAAGAGTACCTAGAGGATATACTTTCAGACAAAATCCAGGAGATGAACGAGCTCAACCCGAACTGCGAGGTCGACCCGAGCAAGCTTCAACATGGCGACGATCTCCAGCAGCACTGGACAAGGCTCAACAATTTCACAAACGAGGTGTGGGACTGCATATCCTCTTCGGCAGATCGTGTGCCCCCCGAGCTACGACACATCCTGAAGTACATTCGGGCCGTCGCCGAAGACCGCTACGGCGACTTTTTGCGCACCGTGGCCTACACCTCCGTCTCGGGCTTCCTCTTCCTCCGCTTCATCTGCCCGGCAATCTTGAATCCGAAACTTTTTGGCCTGCTTCGCGACCATCCCCGCCCCGGCGCGCAACGGACGCTCACTCTTATTGCCAAGGGTCTTCAAGCGCTTGCAAATCTTTCCACGATTGGCAAGAAAGAAACTTGGATGGAGCCCATGAACCGATTTCTCAATACGCAACGACAATCGCTCAAAGACTACCTCGATGACATCTGCGCCATCCCCATGGAACGGACGAACGTAATCCTCCCGGCCAGTTACTCGACGCCCGTGACGATCCTCGGCAGGCTCTCGCCCGTCGGCCGCGAGGGCTTCCCCTCGCTCCCGTACCTCATCGACCACGCCCGCAACTTCGCCGCCCTCGTCAAGCTCTGGATGGACGAGAACTCCATCTCGAGCGCCAACGCGCACTCGTACGAGGGCGGCGTCCTCGAGTTCCACGCCCTCTGCGCCGAGATCCAGAAGCGCGCCGACGAGTGCCACGCCCGGATGGAGGGCCTCCGCCTCGCCGACGCCCCCAGCCTGCCCCAGCTGCCCGAGGTGGACCGCCTGGTCCTGACCGACGCCATGGAGCAGGTCAGCCTGCACGACGCGCTGAGCGCCACGCCGTCGTCGTTCGGGAGCGTCTCGGCCACGGCACGCATGGACTACGACGTCGGCGGCAAACTCCGGCCGCCGGGATCGTCGGGCACGGGCAGCGACATCGACGTGGCGGGCGGCGGCGGCGGCGGCTTCCACGGCAGCAGCCACCACAACAGCGGCAGCAGCAGCAGGGAGCCGAGGCGCGGGCGCGAGCAGGCGGGCCCGTCGCCGCAGCAGAGGGCGGCGTCCGGGGCGGCCCACGACCCGGCAGCGGGCCAGGGCCAGGGCGGCGGGACGATGAGGGGCCTCCGCAACGGCAAGCAGGCCAGGAAGTTCCTCAGCGGGTTCATCCGCAAGTCCAGGACGGCGTCGCCGGACGCCTTGGCGGCGTACTCGGCGTCGGCCACCAGGGAGCGGGACTTCTACTACCCCCTGGAGAGGGACGCGGATCGGGCAGAGGAGGGCGGCGGGGATCGGGGGAGGCAGGGGCAGGGGCAGGGGCAGGAGCAGGGACAGGGACGGGGACAGGGACAGGGACAGTAGTACTTGCGATCCGAGGGTGGTGGAGGAGGAGGAGGAGGAGGAGGCTTTTCAGCGCTTTTTTGGAGTTGTGGCAGGGTAATAACTACCTTAGCATTTACCGGTTTTTCAGCATGAGCTCTCCCTGGGTCGCCTGGTGCCTGGCTAGAATGAAGATTTTATATACAGGGGAGGGAAAGGGGAGGAAGTCCAGCCGCAGCATGTTGCCCATCCAGTCTTTTTGGCTGACATGGAAGGGAGGAGAAACATACACGGCGCTGGATATGGGGATGGCCAAAGCGAGCATTTCGAACCGTACATACTTTCAAATTTACTTTGAAAACAAGAGATGTGGATATGTCATCCTACCGAGTTTAATATCGTTCCTCACCGCCAACTCCAGTTCATGCGCAGATACAGCTCACGTGGTGAGCTGACCCAACTTGCTGGATGACAGGACGCGTTGGGAAGGTACAGAGAGTCACACACACCGGTGTTGTGCAACTTTGATATTTGTTTGTTCTACCTGAGCAACTAACCGCCATATGACTTCTCTCTCCTCCTAATAGTCGAGAATCACTCCTCTACGCCCCTGCTTTCCCCGAAGATGTCAAAACACAGTTGTCCCCCTAGAGGGCAAACCCCCAGAAGACGCCAGTGGTTTTCCGTGTTCCGTCTAGAAAGACAAAATCCCAAAAACTGCCCTAACCGCACAGCACCGCACCGCAGCGAATCTCTCCACCCCACCACCCTCACTGACTCGCTCTCGCCCCACCCCCCTCCTCCCTCCCTTCACTCAAAGAACTTCTTATACGCAGCCTTCTCCTTCGCCCGCCTCGCGGCGGCAGCCGTCTTGACGGCGGCCAGCTCGTTCCGGACGGCGGCGTCGTCGGGGGCGAGGCGCGCGGCCTCCTCGAGGTCGGCGAGGGCCGACTCCTCGTCCCTGAGGCGCACGTGCGCGAGCCCGCGGCGGTACAGCGCCTTGGCGCGGTCCTTGCCGCCATTGTTGCCGTTGTTGTTGTTGTTATCCGCCGCAGTGTCGAGGGCGGCGAGGGCGGCGGTGGCGGCCCGGACGGCGTCGTCCCAGGCGCCGAGCTTGATGCCCATGAGCGCGGCGTTGCTGTTGAGGGTGGCGCGCAGGGCGCGTGCGGCGGCGACGGCCTCGGCGGGCTCGTTCTCCACGTCCGGGTCCTCGTCGAGGTAGCGGATGCCCTTCTGGTACTTGTCGAGGGCGGCGCTGGCGTCGCCGGCCTTGAAGGCCTTGTTGCCAAAGTCCTTGCAGTCGGTGGCGATGGCGAGCACCTTCTGCGCCGACAGCGGCTGGCCGTCGGTGGCCTCGTCCTCGGGGAAGTCCTCGTACTTGTCGCCGTAGGCGTCGGCCGTCTTGGCTTCGGCGGCGGCGACGGCGTCGCCGGGGGAGAGCTCGCCGCAGTCGGCGATGATGGCCTCACTCTGCGGCTTGTCGCCCGCATGAGTTGGCAGGTTCTCGAGCCGGCGGACTATCGACTTGCCGCTGAGCACCTGGCCGAAGACGACGTGCTTGTCGTCAAGGTGAGGGGTGGGCACGGTAGTTATGAAGAATTGGGAGCCGTTGGTGCCTGTACGATGTCGAGAGAACGCTAGTCAGTAGTCTGTCGTAGCATATGGGTAGTTACAAGGGCCGGCTGGGCCTGGCTGTCCGGAGGAAGGTCACTCACCCGGACCGGCATTTGCCATGGACAGCAGGAAGGGACGGTCGTGCTTCAGGTTGAAATTCTCGTCCTCGAATTTCGCGCCGTAGATGGACTCCCCGCCTGTTCCATTGCCCTCGGTGAAGTCACCACCCTGGACCATGAACTGCTTGATCACGCGGTGGAACCCGGACCCCTTGTAGTGCAGCGGCTTGCCGGACGAGGTAGTTCCCTTCTCGCCGGTGCAGAGAGCGCGGAAGTTCTCTGCCGTCTTCGGGACAACGTCGTTGAAGAGCTCGAAAACGATTTTCCCGGCATCCTTATTGCCGATTTTCACATCGAAGAAGACGCGGGTGCGAGCTTCTTTGGCTCCCTCCGAAGTCGACATGCTGGGCTCTGTGCGTCGAGGTGAAAAAGATCAGACGTCCGAGGTGGGGGGGGGGGGCAGTATGTAAGGCCACGATAGAGACAGTGAACACCGAGGTTCAGTACGTATTTGCTTCGACTGGAGATTTTGTGTAGCTCCCTGTTGAATTGACAATTGGTCTGGTGTGTGTCTGTCTCACGAGTTATATCAATGCTGTCCTAGCTGGATTCCAGAAGCTGTTTGTTGGCGGGGCAGCATATTGTGGAAGCTTCTAGTGCGCGATGTAGGTACTGTACCTAGGTACATACCTGTGGTGTGGTGGGGCTGTGCTTGCACAATACCCTGCAGGCGGTCTGGGTGTGTCACGGCAGAATCCGGGGGGATGGGTTGAATTGGGAACCGCGAAACCCGATGAACAACGAGCCCTTACGGGCCCGGGGTTGTGGAAGGGGTATCTCTGACGGAGCATCAACGTAATCCTAGCCCAGAGTCTCGCCTCCTCTACGCAGGCACCCGCCACTTTGCCGCAAGTGTATGTCGCCAACTAATCCGTACCTCCACCCCATTAGTTAGGTACCTTGGTACCTCAGACAAGGCTGACGATCTGTTGGTTCTATATCTCACAATAGCGGTCATTCATCTTGCCCAGGTTCGGTTCAGCAACAGCATCAAACTGGAACAACTTGCTGAAAGTCCAAATTTTATTGATGTGGAGGGAACCTTGTGGTCGCTATTGGGGCTGTTGACGGACTGGCGACCCTGTTCGTCCCAGTGTGCTCAGCCGCTTTTTATGCGTTGTAGGCTAACGAGGTACGCTTTCACAACGTCAGGTGTATCTTCGAGGCCGTCCTCGTTGACGCGTATGCCGCGCGCGGCCGATAAAGGGGGACGTCGGCCAGGCAGCGCGGTTCCTCGGGCTCTTCCAGTCGCTTTTTGAGGGCTCCGCGGGCGTGTCCCTTAATCTCAAGAACCTCGTTCGTAGGGTTCCGGGCCTCGGCGGCGCTGAACGAGCTTGGACCGTCGCCCCTGCGGAGGATGGTGGCCGTCCATCCGCCCGTCCCGCCTCCGGCGCGGCTCCGGCGGCTGGGCGCGAGGTCGGCGTTTCAAAATGCTTCGTGGCAGAGGCTCCGACAAAAGAGGGACGAAGTGTCCAGGCACTCCACATACTGCAATTTGCTGGGCAGCATTCCCGACTTCTTCAAATGTGCGTAATGGAAACATGGTTGGCATACTGCAGTCTAGACTAGAAATTGAGGTAACTATCTCTCAGCGCCTCTTCCTCATCGTCGTTCAATTCCGCAGACGTGACTTTCGTCTCTGGATTGGAGCCGGCTGCAGCCCTGCGTAGAGCACCTCTTCGACTTCTCCGTGCTATAGGAGGGTCCTCCCCGTCATCAGGTGTACTCGCCTCTTCCCCATCATCGCTTGATGCCGCAGACTTGACTTTCGCCTCTATAATTCTGGGTCTAGCACGTCTTCGCCTCCTCCGTGCCTCGGCGGAGTTCTCCCTGGATCTTGGACTCCAAGACCTCCGTGGATCCAACTTGCTTGGCCTTTTTTTGTCGTATCAGATCCATCGTCCCCCTTCTCCTACTAACTCTTGCCCAGTCCAATGCCGACCGTCCCTTGTCATCCTCGGCGTCAATGTCAACGCCAGGGTGATCGAGCAGCAGCCGTGCGATTTCCTTGTAGCCTTGCTCAGCGGCGTACATGAGTGCCGTGCGCCTTTCTTCATCGGCCACATTCGCATCGATGCCGCCCTGCGCCAGCAGCAGCCTCGCGATGCTCAGCTTGCCTCCCCCCGCGGCGTACGAGAGCGCGGTGCGGCCGGCGTCGTCCCGCGCGTTGACGTCCACGGCTTCGTGCGCGAGCAGGAACTTGACAGTCTCGGCGCCTGCCCGCTCGGCAGCATTCGAGAGTGGTCTCCTGCCTTTGCCGTCTTCCGCATCCAGAATATCCGGATGCTTGATCAATAGTAGCGCGACCATGTCCTTTAGCCCGTACTTGGCAGCCGTGGCCATAATTCTAATCCTAATATCCCTTTCACGGGACATGGTGTCTGCGATGTGCGGCTCCGAGAGAAGCGCCCTGGCTGTATCCTCCCGCCTGTGCGACAGAGCAAGCTTCAGAGCCGGGCACGGACTCCGCATGTCGGCGACGAGGAGCTCCGCCACAGTCTCGGCTCTTATCAGTGACGGCACTAGCGGTCGTCCTCGTTCAATCTCATCACTCGCGGCTTCGGAGCTGCAGCCATCCAGCCGCAGTAGGTAGCTCACCGTCTTGGACTTGCCGCCTGCCACGCTGTGCCTGAATGCGTGCTTCCAGACTCGTGTCCGACAAGGTCCCTCGGATAATTCCAGCATTTTCGAGACGGATTTCGTGTGTCCCTTGCGGGCAGCCAGTTGCACGGCTCTGCGCCAGTGGTGCATCTTGAACAGATCCGTCTCGCTAGCAACACCGGGGGCCATGTCATCCGGTTTGTCGGATTCACTCTCACCGGCGTCGTCCTTGTCGACTTCCTGCCGCCGCTCTACTAAGTTCTCATGGGTCTGTTGGCTAGGGTTTTCGCCCGAATCAGTGCTGGTGCTGGGGGCCGACCGCGTAGTCCAAAGCTTCACCAGTTCTTCGACGCAGCCCGCCGCATCGACATCGGCCGCGACTTCGATGGGTGTCATGTCCAGCGAGTCCTCCCACATTGCCCAGTCCATACCGTCGCCAGCAAGCATCGGTATGACTCGGCGCCGGTTGTGCGCCACAGCCATGTGAAGCGGTGTCCAGGCCCGCAGCTCGGGGCGACATCGAATGTCGATGTTGGCGGATGCGTCCGTTAGTAACCCGACGACCGAAACGACTCCTCCCGCGGCCGCAAAGTGCAGCGGCGTCCTCCCCCAAATGTCTTGGGCGTCGGTGCTCTCGACCATGTGGTCCAACAGGAACTTGGTGATGTCATGAGACCCAAAGTCGGCTGCCATATGCAGCAGCTGCATCCCGTCCCGGGTTCGGGCCTGAGACGCTTGACGGAGGGCTGTTAGGGCTGGCCGCTCTCTGGCGGGCTCAAAACACTGCGCATGCATCCAGTAGTGCACAAACGTCTTGCCCACGATGTCTGTCTGCGCGAGCGTGCGGGGCGGGGTGAGGTCGAGCTCGAGGTTGTTGCTCCTCGCGGCATTGTAGTGCAGCGCGCCCCAGCCGAAGACGTCGGGCAGGTTTTCGAACACCGACTGCGCCGCACCAATGTTTTCCATGATTTCTATGTTTTCTAGATCGTAGCTGTGGTGGTCCATGAACACCAGGTGGAATTCAGTAAGGCCCCAGGTCTTGCGTGACGAAGTCTTGAACGCTGGGTCACGCTCCTTCTCGGGCGCGGTTGTCTCGTAGACTGCATCGAGAACATGCTTGCGGTTTTGGGCGCTGTAAAGCCACCTGAGTTCGGCAACGAAGTCCGAGTCCTGCCCAAAATCTGTGGATTCCAAGAGATGACGGAGTTCTCGCTTCAAACGCCCAGATTCCGCCAGCGGGACTGCGCGGTTCCCGGTTTTTGCTTCATGCTTCAGTGGCTCGCTGACCAAATATATGAACTCTATGCACGCAACCACCGCCGTAGCGCAATACTGGCACGGCCGGCACAATAAACACGTCCCAAGAAGCTCGCGGTAGACGTCGGCGGACGTGTTCCATTGACCACCCAACTCGAACAGATTGGTGAGTGTGGTTCGCACATAATCAACCACGTCTTTGGACGGGAGTTTCTGGTACCAGCTGAGCGGGGGAATGACGCTCATGAAGGCTTCCTGGAGACTGAAGATGCCAGCTTGCTCGATCCTCTGCGTCAGCTCAGTCATGCCCTGGCTCTGAATCTTCGGCGACACCCGGCTCATGCTAACTTCGAAGGCATCGAGCACTGAGATGCCGCCCAATTGCTGGGAGGGCTGCAGGGAAGACTCGGGGACCTCGGCAGCGATGGCCCACAAGAAGCCGGAGAAGATATGCTGGGACAGTGCCTTGGCCCTAGGCGCAGTGACCTGGTCGGCAAACAATGCCGGATGAAACAGGGGCGTGAGTCGACGTTCCTCCTTTGGTCGCACTGAGGGCTCGGACTCGACTATACTCGGGAGTTGTGCTACTTCTGCAACATGCTGCTCTTCCGTGCTGGTAGCGCCAACGGCCTTGGAAACGACTTGGACTGGAACGGCCTCGACCGGAGCGGCTTGGGTTAGAACTGCCTGGACTAGAGCAGTCTCGGCCGGAGCGGCCTCGGCTGGAGTGACCAGGGTTGAGACTTCCCGGGTTAGAATTTCGGGCTGGGTTGGAGTGGCCTGGGACGGAACTTCCGTGGTTGCAACAGCCTCAGCCGGGACGGCCTGGGAGGCGTCTGACTTTGGTGGACCATGCCAACCAATGACCAATGTCTTCTCCAGGTTTGCAACACAGCCAGCAACGCTAGAGCGAGCGCTGGCCTGCTCGCCGTCGGGCGCCAGGTCTCTGCCCATCTCGCGGAGCTTCTCCACAGGCTGCGAACCCATCCACCACGTCATGTCTCGGTGCAGCGCGCTCGTGGCGTCTCTCCCGAGGATCCGTCGGACCGACACGTCCGACTTCTTCTGCTGACGCAGCCAGTCGTCTTGACGGACATCGGCCTCGCTGTGGTACGAGATCTGCTCAAGGGAAGACATCCAGAGCGACAAGGCGGCTTCGAGCTCCGTCGAGTCCGCTTCCCACGACTTGGACGTCTCGTTGTAGCAGATAGTAAAGTCTGCTGTTCCCCGGACCGGAGCAGAGTCCCGGACGACTTCTGTGTCCAGCGACCACCGGAAGACATCGTGGAGCTCCTCGCCAGGGCCGCTGTTATCTGAGCACGACGAGCCCTCTGAGCAGGACGAGCCCTCTGAGCACGACGAACCCTCTGAGCACGACGAGCTCTCTGGGTGCGATCCTGGATCGAGCTCGCTGCTCCAACCTGGGCCACTCCTCCCAGAGCTAATTGTGCTCACATAATTCTTGGAATTCGTAGAGCTTTTGGAGAGTGATAACCCGCTGCTGCTGCTGTCGTCACTCTCAGAGCTTGTAGACTCTTCCGGGGTTCCCGAGTCTGTAGTCAGCGTGCACTTCGTTGTATCACGGCATGTCATCCTCGTCCTATCTGCCACTGGGACGGAGGAATTAGTCTCGCTTGGAGAGCTCTGACGACTATCATAAGGGCTAGCAGCACTCTCCCTGGTGCTTGCACTTGCAGTGCTGCTCTTGGGTCTTTCGACCACAGGCACAATCTGGGAAGGATTGGGGAAGAAGTGGTTCATTACCGCCTCGATAGATCTCGCAAGCGTAACTGCGTCGGCCGAAGCCGGGCCTGTCCAGCGCGTCAAGACTCCGAGACGTTGGCGCAGTCTCCATATCCGATTGTGAGGTGAGGTGTCGTCGCCAGTTGGCGCTTTATTAGCCCGACTGCTGGAGAATTGGCCTGGAGAGACAAAGCATCCGTCCTTTTCCGGGCTGCTGTTGGCAGTCACAACCCTCCAGCAGATTCGCTTATGAGCAACTCGTGGTTCTGGCTTCCCATCTGCGCCCTTCTCTCCTGGCGTCGCTGGTCTATTGTCGCCTCCGTCCTGCTGGCCAGCGCCGGCCTGTGGCGTGAAACAGTGCTCCTCGTTCAGGACGAGATTGCACGCAAGCCAGTCCAGCTCGTGTCCCTCGTGCATCTGATGCGCAGGGGGTTTATTGCCGATCTTGCGTCGAACGAAGGCCCTAAGCACGGCCATGATTGCAATGGCAGTAAGTTGAGCAACCGAGGACGGCCAGGTCAGTCCGCGGAGGCCTTGGAACTGGATGATGAAGCCGACCAGTCCGAAAAAGGCGCCGGAGAGCGCGAGCAGGTAGTTGAAGGCCGCCCCCTGCCTCGGGTCGGCGCTCGTCTGCGTGTCTCTCCGCGTGGACGTGATGATGCTCTCCTTCCACCCGCCGTGGATTGCGAATGCTGCGAATTTCTGGTCGCTGACGCGCTGGTCCCTCTGCAACCATACGATGCCGATCTTGTCGCTGTCCTTGGTGCCCGTGGCCTGGGCATCGTTGCTCGGGCTGCTGACGCGGTACCACAGCCGCTCCGAGGTGCTCCTCTCGATGGTCCACGAGCACAATATCATTCCGACCACGAGGCTGACCGTCCCCGAGACGAAGAGGGGAAATCCGTAGGGAGCGCTCGGTTCGCCCACTCGGGAGGCCACATCTTCGTTGTAGACCGACAGCGCAGATATCGCGAGTACAGCAGCCTGGATGATCGTGCTGACAATCGCAATAGACAGCAGCTTCCAGCCTTGCTGTGCTGCCTCTCGCGAGTAGTCCGAGAGGTTCAAAACGACATTGGGGGCTGCAGAGTCGTTATAGGTGCCGTCAGATTCCGGGTCGGAATTCTGTTTGGCATCGTTCCTGGCCGTTTCTTCGTCTTGCGGATCGTTCCGCGCAAGCACAAGCGGCCCCGCGAGTCCTACGGACCAACATCAGCGAGAGACCACGTCCAGCCCAGCGACGGACCGTGGCACGTACTGCGCGACTTGACAAGCCCCTCCCGAACGGCCGACTCCATGGTGTGGATCTCGCGCCGCGCATCTTCACCGCTCCCGCGCCAGAGGTAGAGGAACTGCTCTAGAGACGGCTTGCCTAGCGACCGCACGATGTACCGGCCGTTGAAGAGCTCGCAGACCTCGTGCGACGTCGACGACATGAGCTCGAGCTCGGCGGCGGCGCGAGTCTCGCGCGCGCGCCCGACTACGGCGCGCGCCCAGCTGGGCCCGCCGACGCGGATGGCACCGATAACGGCCGTCAGTATGCCGAGCGGCGCCATGGCGAAGATGACGTGGTCAGGCCAAATGAGCGTCTCCCTCATAAATTGGGTCGCGAACTGGTCGCCGAAGAGGGCGAGCAGGCTGTTTCCCTGTAGTGAGTATCCACAATATGACAGGGAACTGTCTGCGACGGGGAGAACAGCTTACGGGGCGAAGTCGGTGAACAGGTCGATCGCAGCCTCGCTGGCCGTGGCATTTTCGGCGGCGACGGGGCAGATGAAGGCGCCGGCGCAGATCAGGACGGAAGCCCTGAAGGCCGCCATTTCGCCGGCACGTAGCGAAGCGCTTCCAAAGAGCGACGTTGTCGCCACGGCGGGACGGTGATGCTGAAGGATCTGGCGAGCTGAATGAGAGGCACCAAGAAGATGAGCTGAACCAGACAATCGTCGGCTTGCAGGCCATTGGCAGCCATCTTGGCATCCTCATTGGGCGAGAGGAACGGTTCATCATCTGCACAACGCTGTTTCGAGAATAGTTAAACGGAGTGTGGACGGCTCTGTTTTATTGGCTGGTGCTGGTCTTTTCATCTTATCTTATAACAAGAACGACAGGAACAGCGTATCCGCGGCGACCACTGCCAGCGGATGACTCTGTTAGTAGCCAATCCGCGCACACAATTATGGAATATAACCTTTTTGTTCAGGTACAAGAACCATCCGCTCCTGTTCCGGTGCACGGAAAAGGAGGTCTACTTCTCAATAAAAGAAGAAGTCTCTGTCTCTTGCCTCGGATGGTCTTCAGCGTTCTGAAGGAGCTCCTCAGCGAGTGCCGGGACGAGTACCTGAAGCTGATCCAGAACAAGTCGTCGATGTTCGATCACCGAGATCACCGCGGGGATCAGATCTCAACAAGAGACATCAGACCAATGTCGACCGTCATCATGGATGAGAAGGAGAAAAGAGGGCTTTGGAGGATCCTCAGAAATTCCTCGGGCCCCAAAGCCGAACGTGGTGCCCAAGTCCCACTGGGGAATGGGAACGCACTGCGATAATTCATGGAGACAGATCACACCGGAGACACCGGAGCATGAAGTGAATGGTACTTTGACGAGGGCAACGATGATCCACGAACAGCTGGGTTGTGGAACAGGCAGATGCTCGCCGGCACAATAGAAGGATCGTCTTGCCCTTGGTACATGATGCGGTGCGACCACGGCGAGGCATAATGGCATGGGCATCGCCGTCCTAACTGGCAGCTGGTCTTTTTCGTGCTCCAACTGTCCAAAGTTTTTTGGCGGCCCGGAACCCCTGCCCGTGGAGACAAGCTCTTTGGCCAAGGGACCAGAAACCGGGGTCCTGCGCAAACGGACAACCTTAAAACCCAGCAGCACCAACACCACGCACAGTAATGGAAATTGCTGAGGGGCAACCCATGCAGCTGTGATGCGAACATCCTCCCTGCCTCTGGTCCCTTATCCCTATGCGGATGCCAAGGCAGCCTAGTGTCCCCATCAAGCCAAACTTATCACCTTCAGACAATGCCAACGGCCTGACGGACAGAGGTGTAGCAGAGGATTGCAAGGGAGCCTTGCTGCCGTGTCATGCCCCGAAGGCGAGGGCCGTATTCAACGTCCTTTGCGTAATTGACACGGGTTCTCAGCACCAACTGGCAGAAGCGGCCGGCACGGTTGAAAGAGCCAGTCGTACACGACTCGATGCTCTTCTCCATCGATAGATCGTGACCAGCCCAGTTTGACCAATCTGTCCACCATGTAAGGAAGAATATACGGTTTAGAAGCTGATCTTGGTGGACAGCCATGACAATTTGGCGATATGGCTGGTCTAATAAATATCCGAATTCTCTCCAGGTAGGTAGCCAGGATCTGGGAGGTACGGTGCGCGTACAGTGGACATTGCCAAGAACTTCCGTCCCCCGTGATATGTACTTGCCGGGGGTGTTTAGACCTGCCGAAAGTGGCGAGTTCAGGCTGCCAAAAACGGCCGTCCCAAACTACGACACACTAGGTTCCAGGTTCTTCTCCCTGTAAGTCGTTGGCATAGAAGTCTAGCCCAGCACTCTCCGGCAGCCTCGGGTGCTTGTGACATCGACCAAGACACCACGCTCGCCTTCCATTCGCGCACGCCCTGCGATCCCCTGTCGGAAACTTGGAGATGACAACCTGACTACTTGTGGAGACGAGCCGATGATCCCGAAGCCGCAAATCTCATGCCTACATATCTAAGCATATATTCAGGGCTGAGACATTGGGCTGAAAAGGCGGGCCGAGCAAAAGTCCATCGTATATTTACTTCATCTCGATTAATTGAGGCTCTATCTTTCTAGTTGCTGCTCCATTCAACTTCACCCCCATTTGTCGGACGCCAATATGGGCCAGCCAACGGTGTTCGCGGGCAATGGAGTTGGCCCGCCATCCGGAAGTCAAGCAAGAAACTCGCAACAAATAACCCCACCCGGATCTCCCCATTCACTTCGTAACGCTTTGAGGGAGGCGGATGGGACGTCCGGGTTTGGTTCCTCACCAACAAGCGAGGAGGATTATGACGATATCAAGCCGTCGGCGACTATTATAAGACGGAAATTGACCAAATCGAGGTCACAGCTGGACGACACGTCCTCCGAGGACAACAGCTTTGCAGCCTCGGGGAACTCTAAATCGGACGCACGTCCACCCCTGAAGACTGGCAAAGACGGCGTCAGATATGTCCTCGAACCAGAGGATGGGGAGTTACGCGAGATCGTGAAGCGTGGCTTGCTGCGAGCCAAGGATCCGACGGACAAGGGGAGGCGCCGCCCAAAGTTTAGTGACCTGGTGTTCACCCGGCAGTTCTCGACTTTCGACCGGCAGAACCAAGACGCTGCGAGTAGCCCCTTCCACGGCTTCTTCACGTTGTTCTGGATGGCCCTTTTCTTGTTCATGATCAAAATAGGGGCCGACAACTGGGAGAAGTACGGCAACGCACTGGGGGACAACCAGATCATGAAGACCATGTTCGGGGGGGAAGTCGTCCTGTTACTCCTCTCGGACGGCATCATGTGTGGCCTCACAGGGGTAAGCTGGCTTATCCAGAGGCTTGTATATGCTGGTTATCTCGACTGGGACAGCTCTGGCTGGACCATCCAGAACGTGAGCACTGCCCCTTCCTTCCTTTCGTGAGACTCTGCGGGCTGACTGCAACTTTATATTAGCTGTGGCAAATTACCTTCATATTTGGAGTCGTTGAACTGACCCGATGGAGGGAATGGCCGTGGACATACACCGTGTTTTTTGTACTACACGGGCTCGTCATGTTGATGAAGCAGCACTCGTATGCTTTCTACAATGGCTACCTCTCTACTGCCTGGAAGACGCGCAAGCAACTCCTTTGCAAACTAAAGCAGCTGGAGAACATATGCCCAGTCCAGTGCCCTTCGGCGACCGAACCACTCCCGTCTGCTCTCTGTACCACGCATCTATCGCGTTTGCCATCGGCGCACATGATGAAGGAACGCCGTGTATCCATAGACTTTGAGAAGAACAACCCAGATATCGACAGGATTGCAGCCGCAATCGACTCCGGAGATCCCCTTGATGAGGAACAGGTCCTTGTCTTTGAACGGATGATCAAATGGGAGATTGATGCTCTGACGGATGAGCTCAGGGGCAAGTCTACAAACCCCGACAAGGCGTATCCGTACAACCTCACACTTGCAAACCACTACGAATACATCGTTCTTCCGACTGTTGTCTACGAACTCGAATACCCAAGGTCGGACTCGATCAACTGGTCCTACGCCGCGGAGAAGCTGGCGGCCTCTGTCGGGCTCATCTTTGTCATGATCATGATCTCGCAGGCCTTCATCTACCCGGTGGTGATGAGGACGCTGCAGATGAAGGAGGAGAACATGTTGCTTGCCGACCGATTCCGGGAATTTCCCTGGATGCTGAGCGACCTGATCTTCCCCTTCATGATGGAGTACCTGCTGTCGTGGTACCTGATCTGGGAGACCATCCTCAATCTCCTGGCAGAGCTGACCTACTTTGCCGACCGTACCTTCTATGGCGCCTGGTGGAACAGCGTGTCCTGGGACCAGTTTGCGCGAGACTGGAACCGACCCGTCCACAACTTCCTCCTACGCCATGTCTACCACAGCTCCATCTCGGCCATGAAAGTAAACAAGCACACGGCCACTCTGATCACCTTCTTTCTCTCCGCCTGCGTCCACGAGTTAATCATGTGGTGCATTTTCAAGAAGCTCAGGGGCTACCTGCTGATCTTGCAGATGGGCCAGCTTCCGGTAAGATGACTTTTCCGTTTTTGCTTCCATCACGGGTTTTAAAAGCTGATGTCACTGCTAACGTTAACCGCACGCAGCTGGTAAGATTAAGCAGGACGAAATGGCTCCGAAACAAAGCAACATTAGGAAACATCATTTTCTGGTTGGGAATATTTACGGGTCCCAGCGTCCTCTGTAGCCTCTATCTTATCCTATAGGGCTCGGCATGATGGCGTTCTGCGGGTGGTAACGGGCACGGTCGGCGTAAATAAGGTTACCAGATTCAAAGAAGATCATATTGGATATCAATTGAGAACTTGTTGGTTGAATCAGTAGGTACCCATCCTGACCGGTATCAGTGGCTCTCTAGGTGTGAACTTGTGGTGAAGTGGGTGGAGCCACCATCAACGCACGGACCAAGCCGCGGGTCCACCAGCTCCGCACACTTACCCTAATTGCCGAGACTCACCGCCCACACACCAAAATTTCCATTGACTCCATTTCTCACAGCCCTGCTTGAGAGTTTCCGTCCCTCCAACCCCGAAAACGACAACCTCGACATCCCGCCCATCGACTCAAGCTTCGGCAATCGAGAGTCATTCGACAAGATGGGTACGTAAGGTCTCTTTTGGAGCCTTTGTGTGCGAGTGGAGGAGATCATTCGAGATCCTCTGCGAAACCCCGGCGTTCGTCATCTTGACCACGAGATATCCCATCTACCGACTCAAGGGCATGCCCCCTGGGTCGAGATATGGGTTATTTCGCGGCCAAGATGCTGCCAATCTGAGCATACCAGAGAAAAAGGCTGACCATGGATTCTTTTTCTTGATTAGGTATCGATCTTAACCACCACCACGTGCGGAACACCCACCGCAAGGCCCCCAAGAGCGACAATGTCTACCTCAAGCTCTTGGTGAAGTTCTACCGCTTCCTGGCCCGTAAGTTGTCTCCCTCCTACCACCCCATGCGGAGAATCGCCTCCACAATATCACACGGGGTTCTTGCAGAGGTGCTGCTGAAGCTGGGAGATTTGAGACGAATCTGACTTGGGTTCTAGGCCGCACCGACTCGCCCTTCAACAAGGTCGTCCTCCGCCGGCTCTTCATGAGCAAGATCAACCGCCCGCCCGTCTCGCTGTCGCGCATCGCGGGCAACCTCAAGAGGGGCAACGAGAAGAAGACGGTCGTCGTGGTCGGCACCGTCACCGACGACAACCGCCTCCTCGAGGTGCCCAAGGTCACCGTCGCGGCCCTCCGCTTCACCGCCACCGCCCGCGCGCGCATCCTCGCCGCCGGCGGCCGCACCCTCACCCTCGACCAGCTCGGCCAGGAGAAGCCCACCGGCGCCAACACCCTCCTGCTCCGCGGGCCCAAGAACTCGCGTGAGGCCGTCAAGCACTTCGGCTTCGGTCCCCACAAGAACAAGGTCGGTCTCTTCTTCCCCCGTGCCGCTTGGCCTGACTTCGATCGGCAGAGGCGCGGACCGGTAGCGAGAGGAGATGCTAACCCGTCGTACAGAAACCCTACGTCGAGTCCAAGGGCCGCAAGTTCGAGCGTGCTCGTGGTCGCAGAAGGTCTCGCGGTTTCAAGGTCTAAGGAGGATACCCCCGTTAGTTGGTCTGTGGACCGAGATATCGACGATTTCAGTGGTCTGCCGGTGGTTAATCCTAGGCATATATTCCCACCTCGGTCTTGTGTGCTGCGGAGTTGTGCATGGTTCGGCGTGAAATGGCATATCAAAAAGGTCTATGACGATGAATTAAGATTAAAGAGGCAATCATTACCGCAACCCAGACCAACTAACTATTCTGCTGCTTCTTGTCGTGAGGTTTTGTCGTGTGATTTCTCCATGAGAAGTGATGATCTACATGTTCCCGTATGAGGCCCATTTGCTGGACGCAGCCGCTGCCTCCAGAGCAATACGAAATGTGATTCTATCGCTGTCATAGCAGGTTAGGAGTTTTGTCTCTTGCTAACTCTGGTAGTAAACATGGTTTATTTTGATGAATACATTTTCGCCTGACTTCTCCCGATACCGTGTTTTCACCCAGATCAGACACACTTCGTCGCTTCCCGCAGGAGTGTTGAGCACCAGCTTCAGGCTACAAGCAAAGTTTCCAAGTCTTCAGGGTATCCGTCAAGCTCTGTCAACGCAGAATGAGGAAGACATCTGAGCTGTCTCTGCTGATTACTCCCCAAGCACAGTTTTTCTCAACAGGGCAAGGCGGGATGAATATCGTCGTGACATCTAATTGTACAAAAGAGGCTCGCCAGTCCTGACTGGCTCTCATGGCCGTTCCAGCTTCTCACCCGCCGACCACACCACCGAGAAAGCATTCAGCCCCTAACAGCCTCAAGGGTTCTACGCGCCCTCGGCATCCCCAAGCGTCACGCTGGGCTTCCTGTTCAGCGCGACGAAATACGACTCCTTCGATTCCTAATCATGACAACCCCTCTTGCTTAGCAATGACCCATTTAATCCACCGGCGAGAGCGTATATGGGAGGTGAGGTGAGTGATCGGGGTTTGGGGCGGGGCTTACGCTGCGCGAGGATTCGGGTTTCTCCCGATGTACTTTCCTGAACATCTTCTTCAACTTGGCCTCGAACGCCTTGTCGTCGGCGCCCTGGTAGAACTTGCATACGAAACGACCGCCCGGTTTGAGGGTGTCGCTGGCGAAGGTTAGGGCAGCCATGCAGAGGTCCTGTGAGGCCGTATTAGCCGCGGTGAAGACTGGATCGGGAGGGGGTAGGGATGCAGATAGTTCTCTGTAGGAAGATGTTGGCTTTTGGCTATGATCGATGTTACTTACCATGCTACCGACGTGGTCCCTGAAGTTATTGCCGCTCGTGTTCATCATCCTGAGATACGGGTTACTCAAGCTGTTGACAGAGAATCCATAGGTTTGGGGCCAGGGTGCTGACATGTCGCTAAGAACCACCTAGACACCAATATATGTGTCAGCACCGTTCCATATTATTGACGGGGAGAAGAGGCAAAACTTACATCCACCAACTTCTCTTGCTTCGCCTGCTTTCCCTCCGCCGCATCCGCAGCAGGGTCCTTCCCAGCAAGCGGCGACCCCCGGGCAACCGCCCTCTCCGCATCGATATAGCTCGGCCGATCGACCACCTCGTCACTGCTCAGCCCGCCAGCCTCCCCGTCATCATCATCATCGACGATTGCGGGCGCGCGGCCGCTACTGGCCTTCCCAGCAGCAGCCTGGGCAGCAGATCCCGGCGCCAGATCCCGGCGCCGCTGGTCGTCGGTGAGGAACCGCTTCACCATGGCCTGGACGCCGGGCGAGAGGAAGTTGCCCTGGATCGTCGACACCCCCTTCGGCGGCTGCGCCGGGATGATGTCGATCCCGACGACGCGGCCGAGCCGTCCGGCGCGCTCGAGCGCTACCTGGGACCAGGAGCCCGGGGCGTATCCCTGGCGGTGGGGGAGCGAGCGTTTGTTAGTTGGGTTTGGGGTGGCGGGGCACAAATCTGGTAACCCCTGATGGGGGAAGGGTAGAGAGAGAGGAGAGAGGAGAATCGGGACAATGCTTACGAGGTCGACGACAACGTCACCCTTCTTGAAAAGCTTGAACTTGGCGTCCATCTAGAAACGGAAGAGTTCATTCAGTATAAGCTTGTCGTATCTCAACCGAGCGACTGATCACGTGGGTTTGTTGCCAGACAGACAGACAGACAGACCTCGAGCAACTTGAAAGCGGCCCGGCTCTTGAGGCCCTGGACCTTGGCCTCTCGCGCAAACACATCGCTGCCCTGGCGCTGCTTCCACCGCGAGTTCGATGAAGAGAGCCGCGCCTGCCGGTCCCCTGCCGGAGGAGCGGGCGGCGGCCGCGGAGAGGAAAGCCGGACGCCGGCCTGGGCTGTTAGGGTGGTGGTGGCAGGGGTGCGACCTCTACTGAATGCGCGGCGGCATGGCGTCTTGCTACATGCTGCTAACATGAGGGGGTCGGGTCAAGGGCATGCGGGTTCTCAACTGCCTAAACGTCCTGTTAAACGCTTGTCGGTTGAAAAGGGCAATGTCAAATCGCTTGCGTTGAGGCAGCTCCCATTGATGCATAACTCTCTTGTAGCGGATAATGGATGCCCCGCTAATTGACCCATGCTGCACCTTAATTTAACGCGGAATTGAACCACAGCTGCTTCCGTCTCCATTTGTCATGGAACAAAAATCACCGATCGAATATGGGACGCCAATCACTTCCGATTATAGTTTCGTAATAATCATATATATACTGAGCTATATATGTATATATACACCTGAAGAGAAACAGCCTTTCCTTTCTGCCGCGTCTAGAATCCCTTGCCCGCGGGCCCGGAAGCATTGGACATATTCCCGAGCACCACGACTGCTAGTGCGGCGGCGGCAACGACGGCATTGGCGAGCTTAGAAAGCGGGCTTGGCGTTCTTGAGGAGCATCTCGAAGTAGGCCTGGTTCCAGGTACCGGCCTCGGGCGAGGGCTTGAAGGCGTCGGGCTTGCCGCAGAAGCTGTCGTAGCGGGTGGCGGACTCGTCGCTGGTGCCGTCGGACTCGCCACCGGGCTTGATCCAGACGAAGGCGTCGGCGAGGTCGTCGCCAGTGTTGGCCGTGGGGCGGACACCGAAGCCGGCGCCGTCGACGTTGCACCAGTCACCCCACTCGTCACGGAGACCGGTGACGGCGTTGCGGCCAGTGTCGACGATGGCGTAGCCGGGCATGCCGTTCTTCTTGAGCAGAGGCGAGAAGGTGTCGACGTAGATCTTCTCGTTCTGGCAGCTGTCGTACTTGGCGTCCGAGGCGGTGGAGAACTCACCGGGGCTCTCGTCCCTGTTTGAGATTGCGTTAGCGCACGCTGTTCTCCAATATATATATATGTGTGTGTGTGTGTGTGTGTGTGTGTGTGTGTGGCAAGAGAGGGTGGAGGAGGGCTTACCAAGAGTTCCAGCCGGCGGTGTTGGTCGCGAAACCGCGGACCTGCTTGGGGCTGCCAGCGTCCTTGTAGACCTTGGCAAGCTCCTCTGCACCGGGGTCGAGGTTGGCGTCCCAGCCGAGCCAGCCACCGTGTCCAGCGTCGACGTACATGACGACGTTGGGCAGGTTGAGCGACTTGAGGGCGTAGGCGACACCCTCACGGTAGCCGGCGGCGCTGTCCTTGCAGGTCTGCAAGTCGGCGTTGGTCACCAGGTTGGGGAGGGAGTCGGGCTCGATGACAAGCGCGAAGGCCGTGTTGGAGTGGGCCTTGAGGATCTTGACGATGGCTAGAGCGACGCTTCCGTCAGTGCCTTGCTCTGGCGACCCCCAGTGTCAGGAACGCCCGGGAAGAACTCACGGTCAATGTACGAGGTCTTGTATTTGTCGATCTCGCCAACTTTCAACTCGCCGTTGGAAGCCTTGGCGGCGCAATCACGACCGGGCAGATCGTAGATGACCAGACCGAGGATGTGGTCGCAAGGGACATCGGCGAGAGCTGGCTCAAGCCTGCCGATGTTCTCAATGGTGTCGCTAAGAGGCCAGTAAGTAGACGCACCCAAATATTGTTCCCCCCCGAGTGCATCATGACTTACAGCCACAAGAAGCTACCAACGTCGGCAACCTTGGCGGCGGCCGCGGCAAGGCTGGAGTCGGTCATGGTCTTCACGGCAGCCTCAACCTCGCTGCGGTAGAAGGTGTTGGCATGAAGCGTGTACTTCTTGAAGGCATTGGTGCTGGGGTCGAGGGTGACATCGGAGGAGCACCCAGCGGTGGTTTGCCGGGGTTCCGAGGGAGGGGCGGCGAGCACCGCGGCGGCGAATGCCAACAGGGCGGACTGCGAGAGCTTCATCTTGGTCGACCACGGGGATGTTGACCACTGATGTTGTGAGTGTGAGGGCTGGGAAGAGAAGGTTCATTCGACGGGGGAGATGGCGAGGATTTATACCAGGGGAAGGTCGACCAGGATCACGGCCGCCCAACCCGAGTGGGCATCGGGGCCATGCATTCTCGAATGCCTTACAGGATCAACTTGCTCGCAATCAGGAAGTAGGCCCGTCCTCCGCGAGGCAGCTCGGCCTGGAACGTTCCGAGCAAGCACTCAGAAGCTCTACCGGGAGTATACTCTTGGACATGGAGTGCGTCACCCTTGCCGTTATTGCCAACTGGTCGATGCTAGATCTCATTTCGTCTCTTCCATATAGTGAGTACCTCATTTCTGGTCAGTCGACGACCACCGGGCCGACTCAGGATTGGCTACGATCAATGGTCAAGTGTGGGGAAGGAGAAGGCTGCTGGGCAAAATAAGGCCGTTTTATTACCCCTTATGCAAGCTTCCTATGGCCCTTCCGTCCTTACCCCATCGAGGCGTTCGGCCCTTGCAGACAGGCTACTATCGCCAGGCGCCCCGTGGGGGAGCTGGAGAGCTTGGGAGTGGGAACCGGCTTACAGGGGGAAGGGGGGAGGGGGGGGACTGATCGGCAAGCCGTGTTGGAGAGAACCAGGCGATGCCAAGGCCAGGTGCGGAGATGGCTCAGGGTCCAGAAGACAGCTATTCGACTCTCGGATAGCGAACGGGACAGAAAGGCTTGGTGGGTTCTAGGCGGCGGGTGCGGGATCGAGACTCAAAGCCCTCGCATGACCATTGATTGATTGAGGGCAATATCCCCTCCAATACGGTAGATATGTATGGCTTCAGAAAGTGCCGAACATTGACGCTCGGATTCGGGCGGTACCACGCAGGTACGTCAACTTCAGCCTTTCTCGCAAGCACCCATGGACGAACTACGTACGCATAGATAATCCCCATCCGGGGGTGGGAGGGATGTTGATTGCCATGCGGGGTGTTCAATGGGATCAGACAACGATTACGAACCCCATATTGTTAAGAAACGACCAGGGCCCAGCTGGCTCAGAGTCGCCAGTAACCGCCAAACGACAGTCGATGGCTAAAGTCTGTCATTATCTGAAACGGCTCTTAATTACTTAAACCTCCTATAGTGGCACTATTAAGCCGTAAAGTTTTAGCCGTCCAGTACCGCCCAGAACGGTGGGAGGTGGACCTGAAGTGCATGCACCTACATATGGAGTTATATAATCTGCCGTCCAGTACTACCACGCGCGTCAACGACTCGCCGATCCGGCTAAAGAACCGCCAACCATGTCGGCCGTCGTGGGACGACTCAAGGCGGAGGAGAGTTTAGGCCGCCGAGAAAAGGGGGGGGGGGGGGGTCACTGGACTCCAGACTCCAGAATCCAGACTCCGGAGGCCTGAGCCCGTGCAGTGCGTGGTGGTGTAGTTGAGGTGAGACTCACAGAAGGTCCCGGTCGATTAGGAAGTTAGCGACTACGCAGTCGGTATGTAGGTAGGTAGGCAATATGAACAAGCTTCCAGACCACCTGGTCGCTTACCTACCCGAACGCATTCAATAGAATGACAAATTTGTATCACCTTCTATGCAGGAGCCGCTGTCCCAATGAAGACGTGTAGATCTTCCGCTTTCTAGCCGCTTCAGGACTCTCAAGACGGCCTTTCTCTCGGCAACCGGGGTCCCAGCAATCAATGCGAACCTCCCGGGTTTCTGGCGAGCATATGCTGGGAAAGGGAGAGAGATACCCACTGCGCGATGGACTCCACAGGCCGCGGCCGTATGTCGACGACGCTGGGAGTAATCATCGGGGCATTCGCAGTCGGTTTACACATGACTCGAGCAACATGGAGAGGGAAGGCGCAAATCCCCAAACGAGGGCTTGTATATATTAACGGGAGTGCTCCGGAAGCAGCGAGCGGAGCAAATACGGCAAGTGATCTGTCCGGCGTTGCATCCAGTCAATCAAGATGACCAGAGATCGCCATTCCACGCATGCACAACACTAAACAGAACCAAAATCCGTCCGTTTCTTCAAAGGCAGACCAAGCTTACGAACCTGGGAGGCTCGTCGACCTGGGTAGGGATACTGCTGCGGACTGCGAACCTCCTCTCCGGCTCTCCGGATCTCCGGCATCCCTGGCAGCTCCCACCCTACCTGCGTCATGGTGCAAAGGAGATTCCGGGTCGGGGCAGCAAGCCCATCCCCCCCATCCAAGATCCGGCTCGAGAGCATGCATTCCGTGGGATAGAGCCAAGGCCGCGTTGCCGCCGTCCAATGTGGCCGGACTTGCCTGACTAGGCAGTTTCTAATATACCTGGTTTTCGATTGTTCCGTTCTTCCTCCATTGTAATCTCGACAGGTATTGTGTGAAATGCCGCCAAGAATGGAGGCGACAATCCGATATAGAAGGCAGGAACAAATCCGATTCAAAGAGAGCTGTGATGCTCCGCCTCCGAGATGAGAGATGCCTGAATCCAATCGCCGAAGCACAACATGTAAAAACCCACAGCGGCGAGTGAGGTTATTCACGTTGGGAACATGTAAGTCACAAGAGCTCGACGGATCAGGTGAGTTCGGGCAGCGAGACGACGGGACCTTGACGGGCAAACTGATGCGAATCATCAAGCTCTATGAAACTAGCCAATTCATTTCATGCTCATGGCTAGTTCGGCTTTCATCCTGGAAATGTTGTGCGACGTCAAGAAGCCTGACGCGATACCCCTCGAGTACCATACCGACGTCACATTCCCCTTTTCTTTCGGATACGCCCGCCCGAGTCTATTTGTACATGTGCAAGCCACCTCAGGGCCACCCTTGCAGTCCCCCTCGTGATTCATGTTTGTTCTCCTCGATTGTAGTAGAGGGCACCCATCGGATCAGCTGCTGCCGTGGTATCGTTCCCCCCACTCACATGAATGGTGGCAGCGAGAATGGGTAGCCCCCGTTCTTGATGCGGAAAACACTTAGCAAGAAGCTGTACACCACGAAGAGTATGCCGACCCAGGCCAAAACAGCAACCTGCTGCGCCTTCGCGTCAACGATCCGAGGAGCCCTGAGAGTCAAGGATATCGCGGCAAAGGAAAGAATGCCATCTGTATTGCATCAGTATACAGACCATCCCTGGGATTGCTGGTCAAGAGGGGGGGAACATACAAATGGCGGCAATAATCTGGGTCTCCAATCCGAACTGGTTCTGGAAGCCGCCCGCGAAATAGCTGATGCCACCACGGCCATCGGCTGCAACATATGGCACTTTTCGGATGTGGTTGAACATGTGCCCGCTGGTGAAGAGGAGGATCATGATCAGACTGGAAGCAGCCCAGATGTTTCGGCTCTGGATTATCGGCAGCAGATACGGCCAAACGAGGTAGGCTGCCGTCATAATACCGGAGCCTGCGACAAGTGTGACGATCCACTTGAACAAGTTAATCGGCCGCTTGACCGGTGGGTGTGGGCGGTCGGGCGTGTGGCGGGCCAGCCACTGGTGGACCTGCTCGGCAGTCTGAGGTCTGCAGGTCGATTAGAGACAGGAAATATATCTAACCCCCCTCCTTGGAGAAAACTAACCCGTTTGTAAAGTCATATCGAATAGGCTCTGCAGACGGCCAGGCGTGAGGGCCAGCGGTGGGCTTGAAGAGGAGGAGGACCGGGGCAGTTTGTAAACCGAGCTGTAACCAGGAATCAGCAAAGCACTTTCCTGGAAGTAAGCCCAGCGGTTGGAAAGTGACGAACCCCGAGGAAGATGTCCCTGCCATCGGAGAAGTCCAAGGTACCGAAGAGAAGTCGTGAATCGCCAGCCTTGTCTCCCTTGGTCCAGCTGTTGGACAGCAGCTCCCATTCTGGCTGGAATTCTGTGCAGAGGTGGCACGCAAACCGCGCCTCCAGTGCTGTCAGGAGAACAGCAACCGAGTAGTCCCTCGGAGCGCTGGTTAGCTTCTTGTAGGATGCATCCCCGAGCTTCACGGGTGTCGACGACAGGGATTTGGCATGGTATTCGTTGAACCGATCCTCAGTTGACTTTCTCGCAGCGAGAGAGCCCCCAGCGAGGAGGGAAAGAGAAAAGAGGGCTGGTAGCCAGCGCATCTTGAACTCGAAATCAAGAAAGAAACAACCTCAGGAAATGAACGTAGATACGGCGTTGTGCGATGGGCCAATTGCACCGGGACAGGCCTCTCTTGTCATTGACGTCGCCAAAGAAACGTAAGCTTGCTGAAGCTGTCCTGAAGGTCAGCCAAAGTGTCCTCAATTGAAGCATTGGGATCCACAATTTAGTGGGACCGTGCACCACTAGAATGGTGGATCCAGGACAACGGCGGGCCGAATTAAACCCGGCCATTTGTTTGGTGGGGTTTTGGGCGTCTAACCGGTTTTGGAAGACTGTTTACTTACCAGGTTACCAAGCTTGCTGTGGTTGCTCCTCAATTGGCATCTTCCCACACTGCTGCCACTCAACATCAGCTGGAAACTTCAAGCATCTCGTCTATTTGTAGACCTTGAGTGTATTCAATCACTATCGGGATTTTTTGCTTGCTTCTCCTTCTAGTCGCATCTTCACGTCGGCTCTCGTATCGCGCTGCCAAACGTAAACATGGACTCCGATCAGGTAATTAATTCTCCAGCCCACAATTGCTGCATATACACTCACTGATGTTTGCCCTCCCATCAGAGATCCGAAAGAATGCGCATCCTGGACACGAGGTACCAGAATATCACTCATCAGCACAGTATCGTTGTCAAAGACGAAGAAGCTCGAAGGTTGAAGCTTCGAAGCGTCTTGCTCCAAAACGAGAATGGCACCCTGAAGGATCAGCTGGCCCAGAAAGACGATCAAGTGACACAACTGATCACGAAGTGCGATGCCTTCCACGGTCAGCTCGAGGCCGCAGCACAGAAGTGCCGTCAGCATGAGACGCAGATGCGGATACAGGCAAGGGAACTATCCAATTTGAAGGTACAAACGCCCCGGCCCTTCCGACTCGCCCGCCAGGAACTAACAACATCTGCAACAGGAAGAGATGAGTTCCCTAGACAGCGTCACAAAAGATTCGGCGAAGACCTTGACAGAGAAGCTTGCCCTCTCAAGGGAGGTTGCACTCTTGAAGCCCGAGATCGAGCACCTACGGTCGCAGCTGAGCCATCAGAAGGATGTCCTAGCTGAGAAATTGGCCCTCGAGCGCCAAATCAATGCGTTGGAGGTCGAGCTTGCCAACGAGAAGCGCGCTGTCCAGAAGGCCGCAAGCAAACAAAGCCGTGAGGATGATGGCGGCGAAGAGCTCCGGAAACACGTTCGCGACCTGGAGAAGCAACTTGCAAAGGAAAAGCGGACAGCGCAGAAAGCCCTACAGAACCAAGGTAGCAAGGACACGGCGGCCGAGGAGGAGATACAGGAACTCCGAGAGAAACTCGCTGAGGCCGAGCGAATGCTTGCCACGGAGAAACAGGCAGCCTCTAAAGCCACGAAGACCAAGAACGCAACTACCACTGATTCGACCGAGGAGCTCGACCAGCTTCGCGAGAAGATAGCTGAGACCAAGGCGGCCCTGGCACGGGAGAAGAAGGAAAAGGATCAGATCCGAAAGGAATACGAGAGTGCCCTTGCCGAGGCTGAAGGTCGTCGTTTGCCACTCGAGGAGAGGCTGGACAACGTGAAGGCGAAGTTGCGAGAGACACGCGAGGAGCTGAAACAATGTCGCGCAGATCTCCAGCGAGCGCAAGAACAGGCAGCGAAGAAGCCCGCCGGCAAGGCCCCGGCCGGGAAGAAGAGGCGCGCCAACGACATCACTGCCGAGGAAACACTACTACTTCACACGCCTAACAAGGGCGAAGACCGGCCGAAGCGGACAGCTAAGAGAGGGTTCGGCCCGGCAGCAGTAGGGGAGAAGTCGACATTCTCGATCACACCTTTTCTCAACAAGACCATCAATCTGAGCGACATTTCTCCTAAGCCACAGGGAGAGAATAGCACGGATGCAACGACAACTGTGTCCATGTCAGCTAATGGCGAGCCCACAGCCACCGAGCCATCCGAAGAACCAGCCGTCAAGGCAGCCGCCAAGACCACAGCTTCGGGGGGGAAGCCCCGCGGCCGGCCCACGACAAAGGCCCTGGCGGAATCTTCTCCTTCGAGGAAGAACATGCCAGCGCCAAAGAGGCGGAAAGCACCCGTTGCCGAGTCTACGTTGGAGAAGGTCACGGAGGAGGCGGAAGAAGACGGCCAGGGTCAGGAGAACCGACCAGCCGAAGAGGCCGCTGACGGCAAAAAGGCCGTCTCGGCCTTGAAGAGGCAGCCCCAACTCGTCCCCCCAAACACGACTGACCCTACGGGAGCACCAACGGCCGCCGCCGCCGCCGTCGCCTCTGTGACAGAACAGTCGGAGCCCAAGAAGAAGAAGCGCAAGCTGCTCGGGGCGTCATCCAAGGCGACGCTCTTTGGCGGGGAGGCGGACGCCGAGGACGCCGAGCACCCTGTCGTCGCAACGGCCGCAACGGCAACGGCAACGGCAACGACCGCGGCCACCAAGCGCGCCCCCGCGGCGCGGGTGGCGCTGGGCGCCGGAGGGGTGGCCAAGAGGGCGGTGGTGGGTCTCGGGGCGGCCAAGAATGCGTTCGCGGGGGCGGCGTTCTCGCCGCTCAAGAGGGACCGGAGGGGTGTTAATGCTAGCTTCCTGGCTTGAGCGTTGGGGCACATCCCCGCCCCTTAACCCCAGCAACGTCGTGTTTTTGGGACTCGAGGTCCATTTAAGTTGTGTAGGATATGATATGAGCACCTTTTGGGGTGTTGGGCAAAGGAAAGGGGTTGTCGTGTTTTGTATTACATGCATCGGTCAGGTCTGGGATTTTGGAGTTTTCTGCCGTCTTACTCTACGACCATGGATGGGTAGAGACGGGGGGTCAGGATTTCAGGTATTGACTGTTTTGAGCAATTGACTTCCTTGTCGACTGCCTTCGCTTTTTCTTCGGCTCGTCTCGACCCGGACTTTGAACTCAACGAACGTAGGACTTTGCCGGATTGGTACCGTGGTAACCACATGGCGCTATGACAGAATAGTATCGACGCGAATACAGTAAACGACGCCGGCCTCGGACCAACCGCCAGTGGATATTGACCAGTTTGATCTTCAGCGAGCCCAGGTGAGATCCCGGCTTCGGACGTGGGGGGAGGGCGAAACGGCGAAGCAAGCAAGCAAGCAAGCAAGCAATTGGAAGTAATCAAGTGGCAACCAGGTGTTTGGCAGGCCATCCTCGCTCCGCCCCGCTCGGTGCTCTTCGCTGGCACAGGCAGAAAGAACCTAGCCAGCTGCTTGAATGACTCGTCGTTCTCATTTGTGATCTATCTAGAATAGAATAGGGAGGCTAAGCCCCAGCTTCGCTCGGTGGCCGCTGGTCAGTGCGCGTAATATTTTAGCCGCCAGTTCAGCATTGTAGCCTGCTAATGATTCGCTGCTAGAAAAGCTTACTTGTGCCGATACACCGTTCTTTAGAAAGGGGGGACATTGTCAGCAGTGTCTTTTGGCTTGGACTGCTTACAGCTAAGATTGGCAACTCCCGTCTTCTTGATTTGCGGATTAAAGATGCACACGCCACACGTCGGAAGCATAATCCAAGCGCTTGCTTCCCTGTTCACGTCTTCATGCGTACTAAACACAGCTTGGACGGGGCGGCAGAGCGGTGTAACCTGCCATTCATTGTATAGGTAGCCAGCTCAAGCTAAGATCTCCCGCTCAGGGCCGGGTTTTCTGTCTCCTGTCGATTTCCAAGTTGCCGTTGCATGATAACTGGAGGTTTCGCCCGCCATTCCAGGGGAGCAGCACCCATTGACTTCCAGACTTCTTATCGAGAGCCGAAGGTCGGATGGATGGGTCGTAGGCTAAAAGGCTCGTTGTTTTAGCGCAACAGGTATGAAAGTTTGCCTTGCGGCTGTCGGTCTCGCCACAAGGTAAGGTAAGGTACCCTAACGTTAGCGCGGTCCCAACCTTTAGACATCTAGACGCCCCAACTCTGGGGCACTAACTCAGGTACAGTATCCGTACATGCCCAGGTACCTTCCTTGTTATGGCGGTCTGCAATCCAGGCAGAGTGGCGGTGATTCCAAGCCAGAGATATTGGGATCTGTTGCCATTCAATCCTCTTCTTCATCCTCCGCCACAGTGTCTAGAAATACTGCGCATCCGTATTACCACTGCCCATGCAAGGCACGCTGGCCAGCGCACATAAGCACATACCTCTGCTTCGTATCTGTAGAACCCTCAATACCACAAACGTTATTGCAATGTTGTATCTTGAGTGGGGGGGCAAAGCTCAGACCAGAAAGCGACCAGTCCGCCAAGGGCACCCGGGCAACACAAAATTTCCAGCTTCCGTGACTGGCAGGTGGCTTGCCGCTCGCCCCAGTTTAGAAAAGTCCAGGCATGGTTAGGGAGGTGTGCAATCTGGGCGCTTTCTCTTGCTGCTCCTGGCCTTCTTTCCTTCTCCACCCTCCCCCATCCTCCCGCCCCCCTTCGGCCATACAACGAAGTCTCACCAACCATCAAGATCTGTGTGGCCTCGCGACGAGGCTCGCAGACGACAAGTCTTCTTTTGGGGGTGCCTTCTCAATCTCGCAGCTTCCCTTTGTGTGCTCGCGGGTCCGACCGAGACCTAAAACGGCACCCTCCGCCCTGCAGCAATCCAATCCCAACCGAGGGAAACAAGGAACAAGGGACGCCCGCCACAACGCTTTCGCCCTAGCCACCAACTCATTTTAGACTCGTGTGCAAGGAGGACCAGTTGAACTGTATGGATCTGCACCGCCAACACAACAAGCCTTTCCCTTCATCCACCTTCTAGATCAACCCCGATCCTCGAGACTCTCTCACTAGACCCTATGGTCCGGCCTGGACTAATCCTACATGTGCCTAGATATTGATTGAGAGCCTCGACACTTGACGCCGACGCCGAAGCCAACTCAATTCCCCCCCTCCCCGGGCCTCCTTCGCCGGCCCTCCCTACCTGGCTCAATCCAACACTCGATCGCAATAGTGTCCGTGGCCGACCCCTAGATCCGTCACAATGGCCTCCTCTTCGTCCAACGTCGTCGGCGTACACTACAGGGTAGGAAAGAAGATTGGAGAGGGTTCTTTTGGTGTGATTTTCGAAGGCACGAACTTGCTCAACAATCAGCAAGTTGCCATCAAATTCGTGAGTGTTTATTTCGCCGATTACCGTCTCACGCATCTCCCCTGTAGCAGTACGACCAGAGCTAACTCGACTGCCTTCAATAGGAACCCAGGAAGAGTGACGCACCACAACTGCGGGATGAGTACCGCACGTACAAGATCCTCGTCGGCTGCCGTAGGTGAACCCGCCTCCGCCTTCCAGCCTCACGATGCTAACTATTGTCTTCCAAAGCTGGCATTCCCAATGTCTACTACTTCGGCCAAGAAGGGCTCCATAACATCCTGGTCATTGACCTTCTCGGCCCTTCCCTCGAAGACCTCTTCGACCACTGTAACAGGAGGTTCACCATCAAGACGGTCGTCATGGTTGCCAAACAGATGGTACGCTGGACCAACTCTCTGTTCTTTCTCCCCGTGGCTGTCCCCGGTCGTCTAACCGTACATGTAGCTGTCCCGAGTGCAAACCATTCACGAGAAGAATCTCATTTACCGCGACATCAAACCCGACAATTTCCTCATCGGTCGGCCGGGAACCAAGACTGCCAATGTCATTCACGTTGTCGACTTCGGCATGGCCAAGCAATACCGTGACCCGAAAACCAAGCAGCACATTCCGTACCGCGAACGCAAGTCTCTTTCGGGGACGGCTAGGTACATGAGTATCAACACGCATCTAGGAAGGGAACAATCTCGGCGAGACGACCTCGAGGCTCTTGGCCACGTCTTTATGTATTTCCTTCGTGGCGGCCTCCCGTGGCAGGGCTTGAAGGCTGCCACGAACAAGCAGAAGTACGAGAAGATCGGCGAGAAGAAGCAGACGACCGTCATCAAGGAGCTCTGCGAGGGGTTCCCGGACCAGTTCAACCAATACCTGACCTATGTCCGCAACCTGGGCTTCGAGGACACGCCGGATTACGACTACCTCCGCGAGCTGTTCACTCAGGCCTTGAAAGACACGGGCGGCGTGGAGGATGGCGAGTACGACTGGATGAAGATAGGCAAGCATGACAAGAAGAACGACTGGGATCGCCCGGGGGGACTCCACAACCCAAATGCCAGGCCGGGGCCGTCCAACATGGAGCTACACGCCAACTCGCGGGGCGCGGCCGGCACCCCTCATCAGAGCGATCCCCGAACCACTCAGCAACTCACCATGGCCCGTTTAAACGCCGCCCAACCCCCGACCCCACCGATCAAGCAACCAAAGCAAGGTCGGCAAAACGTCCCCGGCGCCTTGGCAACGCCGAGGGCAGGAGCCGGGGGTTACAGGGATATGGCGACGCCGACGGGGTCGACGCAGGCTCAATTCCAGACAAGTACCCAGAACCTGCCCCAGAGGCCGATGGTGCATCAGACCAACATGACCCCACCCCCTGCCAACACCGGCCTGCCAGCTGAGCCCCAGCCGTCCGGTTTCCAGAAGTTCCTGAAGATGCTCTGCTGTGGCTAGTCGCGATCGATGCAAGGGGCGCCAGCTGGGTGGTAGCCTACCCAGCGTGTGCGATTCTCGGCAATCTTCACAGACGTCTTTGGACGATCTTCCACCAGGGCGCGATCTCGGTCGTAGAAGCAGACCGATGTGGGAACCTCTGCGCGGGGGGTGAAGCACCGATCTTCCTTCTTACCGGGGATATGGAGGAGATCCCCCATGATGGTCTCTTCTCCTATCACATAATCACGCCCTAACCTACTTTGACGAACATTTTCCGACGCGGCTCTCCAGCTCCCTGTCTCCCTCCTCCCCATCTATTAGATACCTCGGCTGGGAGGTTGCATATTTGGGCAGGCATAATAATAGAGCTGGCTGAAAGATAAAACCCCTTCGACAGGATTCTCCTCACAAATGTCTAATAATACGGGCTTCTTCTCCTTCAACAATATAGGAAAAGGCGGCATTGCAAATTTGGCATGGACCACTTATGGGCTGCATAACTCGACGGCTAAACCGGGGAGAGAGGCGCGCATCCCATTCCTTCTTACGCTCATGGATGAGAACGAGGCAGATCTCAGAACAAACTCTTTGTTGTTTACTTTAAACGTTGTTGTAGCTAGGGCGTCGGCATGGGTTAGCATCTTTTGGTTCCAAGTTTGACACTTTTCCCAACCCGTGAATTCTCCTTTGTTTCTTCCCCCAAAGTGTCCATAATACTCGCGTGTGGCAGGCGGGCAGGTTCGAGGTCGAAGTCAGAGGGTTGTCGAGATAGAAATTCCTAGGTAGAGAGACATGGGGGGTGGGGAGTAGTATGTATCTCTTTGACTCTGCGACTTGGCCGATCAGTTGGTCCGACTTGCTGATCGTGCTTTTTGCTGCTTACTTGACTCTATGTGCGGATGTTGTGTGAGGTATTAGACGAGATATTGGACGAGGCAAATGGGGATCTTGGAACCCCTACCAGCGGATGCATGACTGTGTTGGTGGGTCTAGTTCATCATGGCTACTATCAAGAGGAGCATGAGAAGGGTTTAGAAGGATTCGCGGGCAAGGCTTTGTTTTTTTGGGGTTGTTTTTTCATCGGCCTCGCCGAAGAACCACACTGAGGGCTTCTCTCTACCGTAGAATTATAGATATTTGAGAATCGTCGAGACCAGAGTTCCGTTCTCCAAAAGCCATGTCAAATGTGTATCATCGTCACATCGAGAGCAAATGCCGCACTCAAAACGCACCATCATCTCTATATAACGATGATTATGAATGGACTGGTGGTATCCCCGCCTGGTTCCCGTCCGATTTACCATACAGCTCCACACAGTCCGCACCGTTCCGTCATCCAAGGCTCGTCCCCCCGCGGGAATAACAGCAAAAGCAAAGAAGAAACCGGTGTAGCGTAGCCGCCAAACGACATGGGCGGCCTTTCCCTTATGTGAGCTTCTGCTTGATGAAGAAGGACCGCAGGTGGGACAGCTGCCAGACGCACGTAGCGCCCATGATCGTCAACTGGATTAGAATCCACCGGATGACGCGACCATTGGTCGACTCGGACTGGTCACGGAACTCGGCTTCTCGTTCCTGGATCGCGTTCTATGTTAGCCCTGCGCGGTGGCCCTCACAAGGAGCTGTCGGAGTGATGGGGTGGGGGGATCAATCCAAGGAGCCGAGGGAAGTTGGGAGTTAAAGGGGCAGAGTGTAGTAGTAGGTGGTGGCATGGCGGGGGGAAACTCACCCGCTGGAACACCTGCTCCCTCCTGATGTCGTTGAGCCTCGCGTTCAGGTCCTTGACGCGGGTGGCAATGTCCTCGAGCTTGTCCTTGTCGTTCCGCTCGATGGCGCTCGACTCGCCCGTGGCGAGGTCGAGGGTGAACCGGATGCCGCCGTTGGGTGCCGACGTCGACAGCCAGTTGCCCCGCCCGCTGTTGGACGTCGGTGTGAAGCAGACCCGGTGCTCGCCCGCGTCGGCGGCCGTGAAGGTGAACTTGCTGCTGCTGCCGCCCGTCTGGGACACCACCCGGTGGTCGTTGTCGAAGATTTCCTGTGGGAGGGGAAGGGTTAGCAAGGTGTGCATTAGGAGGTTCCCGGTAGAGGGAGGGTCGGTCGGAGAGGTCTGGCAGTGGTCCCAGGAAGGAGATTAGGTTGCAAGAGGTATTAGACATACGTCAACTGAGATGTAGACATGAAGCCCCTCGTGCTGCCACCATGCTTGCCGGTGGTCATCAAATTCTTCTGCTGTGTAATGTCCAACAACCAGAGTGTCCTTGGGAAGGTCTTCGATGAAGCACTTCGGGGTTTGGCCGTCGATATAGAAATAGAGCGCCTGGGCGACGGAGCTCAGGGCGAGGAAGGGGAGGAGGGCTCTCATGGTGGTAGCTGTACAGAAGAATCAATCGAAGTTGTGGGTAATTATTGCGACTCTTAAAAGAGGCCCCGGAAAGATTGTCTCCTTTGAAGCTCTTCTCAGCGATATCAAGTCGCACCCGTCGCCTAGAATTCGAGGTGAGGCTAAGAATCCACCAAGAGCAAGCAAGCGCGAGCCTCCTTCGAAGCTGCCACGTTCGAAAATTCCAGCCAGGGGTACGAATGGAGATCATCACGTGCCCAACGTTATCGCGCCCAATTACGTGTATTCGTACAGCCAATCCTGGTCACTATCAGAATTTCGCGTCTTCGAAAACGGCCTGAATCATCGCCGACGACAGAATCCATCGCCTATCGCCCCATTTGCAGACCCTTTTCATCGCGTTACAGGAGTCTACGCCTTCCTGATCCCGTGCGTTACTGCTTCGCAGAAAAACTATAATCCGAACCGCCCCCCGATGCTCCAATAATTCGCTTTACGCCTATTCACACCCCCCCGGGCCTCTCCCCGCCTCAAACGTCCATTCACTCCGCCCTCAACATGGCGTCCCACGACCTCCGCGATGTGCTCAACCTGCCCTCCGACCACGCGGCGGGGTTCCGACCCACCAAGAAGCAGAAGTTATCGGCTCCGCGGTCCAGCCTGAAGGGGCTGGCCCGCGAAGTCCAAAGCCTCGGTGGCGACAACCCCATCGCCATCGTCCCCGAGGTGTCTGTGTTCAAGAAGCGTCGGCTTGCCAGCCGGAAGCCCCCGGCGAAATGGGAGATGCGCCAGTTCAAGAACTCGGCGCGGGGGGATGATGGTGGCCTGGTCTTGCGACACTGGAGACGGAAGGCCGATGGAGAAGCACCGCCGACCGAGCACGGACAGCAGGATGTGGATATGTCGACCCCGGAGGACGGCGCTGATGGACGTGTGAAGAAGGAAGAAGTGACTGAAGACTCGTCGTTTGCGAAGTTCAACGTTCAAGTGGTTGTGCCCCAGTACAATGAGGACCAGTACAGCACAAATTTGGCCAACGACGACTGGACAAAGGAAGAGACCGACTACCTGCTCGAGCTAGCCAAAGTTTTCGATCTGCGGTGGCCCATTATCTGGGATCGTTACGAGTACGTTCCTAACGCGCCGAGCCAGGACGGGCAGGAAGAATCCAGCACAGCAGTGATCCCGGCGCCAAAACCGCGGACCATGGAGGACCTCAAGGCGCGTTATTATGAAGTCGCGGCCAAGATGATGGCTGTCCAGAAGCCGGCCCAATATATGACGCGGCCCGAGTTCGAGCTCTACGAGATGATGACAAACTTCAACCCGGCACAGGAGAAGGCGCGCAAGGACTTCGCTATCAACTCGATGGCGAGGTCCAAAGATGAGGCCCGCGAGGAGGAGTCGCTCCTCCTCGAGATCCGCCGCATTCTCGCCCGGACGGAACGGTTCAACGAGGAGCGCCGCGAGCTGTACAACCGGCTCGACTACCCACACACCGATCAGGACATCAGCGCCTATAAGAGCAGCGCCGGCCTGCAGACCCTTCTGCAGAACCTGATGAGCATCGACAAATCCAAGAAGCGCAGGAGCCTCATGGGCGGGCCCGACGGCGTGAGTCCCGCCTCCGCCGGCCCCAACGGCCAGGCCGGAACCGCGGCCGAGGCTAGCAACCGGCGAGAGAGCATCGCCGCGCTGGGCTCGGCCCAGCGCGACTCCCAGCGCGGCACCCCCGCGACGCCGGCGGACGCGGTGAGCGGCACCGCGGGGGCGGGGGCCAACAAGAAGAAGGGCGCGGCGGCGCAGGTGGAGCGCCGCAAGCTGTCGGAGCAGGAGGAGCAGGTATACGGGCTGACGTACCACGAGCGCCTGGGCTCCGGGCCGACGTTCCGCTACGAGAAGATCAACAAGTTGTACAGCCACAAGTCGGGCCAGCAGCAGCTGCGCATCACCAACGCGCTCGGCGAGCTCGACGTGCCGCCGCGCCTGGTCATGCCGACGGCGGCGGTCACGTCGCAGTTCGAGGTCCTATGGGCCGCCGTGACGGCGCTGGTGGACCTGAGGAAGGTGGGCGACAAGCTGGACGCGGAGATCAAGCTCGAGGAGGCCAAGAAGGCCGAGAGGGACAAGGCAAACGGCGTGGTCGGCGGCAGCGCCGGAGCGGCCGGGACGGGCGGCGAGGGCGCGAGCGGCGAGAAGGGCGAGGCCAGCGGCGGAGAGGATCGCACAGCGGCCAACAGCGAGAGGGCTTCCAGCCCGGCCGGCGCCGACACGGCGGTGAAGGCGGTAGCGGCGGCGGAGAAGCAGGGAGAGAAAGCCGCAGATACCACCACTGCTGCTGCCCCGCAGGTGGCGGACGACGCCGCGAGCAAGCCCACCGCCGACGGGCAGGATGGCTCCAGCGGCCGCGCAGCCGTCCAAGTTAAGGAAGAGGACGGCGAGGCGGTGCAGGAGAAGGATAAGGATAAGGATAAGAACAAGGAGAAGAACCTCCGGCCGGGGAGCAGTGGCGCCCACAAGCGGAGCGCGAGTGTGCTTAGCACCACCAGTGATAAGAGCACGAAGCGGCAGAAGAAGTGAGCGGGAGGCAAGAGGGAGGACCGCCGGGATACCTTTTTTTGTTTTGGTACGGCCTACGAAGATCGGGCTTGCTCCATCAGGAGTAGCTCGCGTTTAATGATAGACTTACAACGTTGGGAATCGATGCATGATGTATGATCGGTTGATTGTCTTACTGTTGATTGCGGCTTTTTTGCTCGAGTGACCTCGTCACGGGCATATCCAGGACGTGTGTATCTGCGTTGGGGAGGTGTTGCACAGGGCGTGGCCGTTGGGTTGCTGGATTGCTTTTCGCCGGTTGGTCGTCCTTCCCCTCGTCATCGCCGTCGTCAGCATGGTGATATCGCCCATACAGGATATCTCAGGGGAAGTTCGAGATTCTGCACTCGTGCCCCCAAGATTCGGTGTCTCCCTCTCTGCTGGAAGTCCCTCAGGCGTATGATCAGGTCCTGCTATATCCCTTGACCGAGGCGGAAGACCAAATCAATGATGTATCCTATATCCGCGCCGATGTCTCCCTCTTCTACCGCGGATCCCATCAACTCGCTGTGAGGTAGGAGGGCCGTGTGCCAGATGTGGGTGGGACTGACAAGATGCCCATCGTCGTCGTTCCTATTGTCGAGTTCGGATGAGCTCGGCCTGTGTTGCAGCTACACTGGGGGGCTTTGGCTACATGGACATTTACACGCAATGGCTACTGGCACTGGCTTTGCTCTTTGAACATGAATATTCGTTGCAGTGGGAGGCTTTTCTATTATCCGTCTATCTTGTCCGTTGAGCAATACCGTAATTCAATGATACCCTGATAATAGGTGGGCCCTTTTCGCCCGGTCATCACAACTTACCAAACTAGTTGCGGGAAACGCAGCCTGCGAGACCTCTCGCCATGTTCCCGTGGCCAAGGGTATGGAGGTGTGGTCATGTATTCTATCGGGGCCCCTCTCGACAGCTAACACTTGGTGGTCGACACCTGGCGGCTACCAATGCAAGCACCGAGAACATCCAATTGGAAGTGACTAGATTGCGAAGAAGCCAGCAACCCAAGACTCACTGACGCTGCACGACAATGGTGAGTCATACTCCTCGGAGTCGAAAAGGAGGAAAAAAAAGGGGGGGTTGAGAAGGAGGCGCTTCGGGGACAATGACGCAATAGTAAGAAAAATGGGGGAGCTCTGGTTGGTGGCTTAACACATATCACAGTGGGAAGGGGAGCAAAAGACCAACAAGATAGCTTGTTCGCGTGAATACCTAGACGGGTTGGGAAATAACTCTGGCGACTAGCCACGAGTTGCAGCGCATCTTTTTAGACCAAGGATTTGAGTAAGCATGCAGCAACCTGGCTCATCACAAGTCCATAACCAGTTTGTCAGATGCCATTGGGCCTGACGGAGAGTGAGCCAAGCGCTGGGATGCCGAACTCGACTTAGAGAAAACACTCGAGCGCGTAGTGGGGAATTTCGGGAGCGTGCGAAGGTTCCTTGGAAGTGGAGGGAGGGCGCCGGCGCCAGATGCAGGTACCGATCTTTCGATCTGCCGCAAGGTTGCCAAAGTACAGGTACTTGTGCCTTGAGGACTCCCGCGTCAAGGGGATGGGGCGACTTGATAGAGTGGAAGGTGTCCATTGACGCATTTATAGACGCAATTTCTTCACATAGGCGCAGGCGCTGAGGAAAACTGCACCTGCTGCTAGTGGACTTAGGCGCAGGCGCTGGTGATTAACGCGTGGGCGGTTACACTGTGACGGAGTTGACGACAACGACTGGCCCTGGTTAGAGGCATGGGAAAGGTGAGGAGCGAGGTGATTCGGTCTGACATGCCTAGATGATCTGGGGCAGTCGGGCCAGTGATTCTCGGAGAAGCTTGTCTCTGCACACGTCGTCTCATTAAACTTGCAGCCGCCAGCCATGTGCGTCATGCGGCTGCTGGTCTTAATTTGGAATGCCATCTCTTAAAATAGCGACAGGAGGACACACTGACTTTGGGGCCCCGGCGTCTGCATATGGGTTGCCTTGCGTCACGACCACCCACGTGTATGATGTACACCCTGCAAGATCTGCAAGCATGAGTAGGGCTACTGCTCCATGGCCTCACCGACGGCGTCGCTAATGCCAGGTACGCGAATGGCACGGAAGTGTGACAAGAAGCGCCGCGATGCAGGCAGCAGAGCGGGAAGCGCCATGGGTTCAAACAATGCGTGATCTTCCCGGGCCTCGACCAGCGCGGGTGGGCCTCAAAGTAGGCTGCACGTACATCTGGTCATCTGGCGTTTGCGGTGATGGGCCGGTCAGCCAGTCGCAGGAGGCCAGTGGCAGGAGGCAAGTCGCAGGAGGATCGGGGCGTCTCGCCGTCAATAACATGCCCAGCGGTAAATGTTTGGGTGCAGACATGCGTGCCGCCCCTGTCCCCTGGTATTACTTGCAGACGATGGATCTTCTATGCGGAGGGTGGGTGCAGTCTCCCGCGCGGCAGCCAAAAATAGGGGGCAATGAAAGTGTAGGATCGCAGGTACCTGCAGACAGAGGATGAAACAACAGGCCGCAAGTGGACATCAGGCCCTATGAAGTCTTCTAGAGAACCAGGCAGATACTCCTTGGGAGTAGGTCCAAGGATTGGAGGAGAGAAGAACAGAGGAGGTTGCGGGTCTCGTCTTTGGGCGGCTAACTGGGCGGTTCCTTAGCGCTGTCATTGGTCAGAACCGCTAACCGTGAACGACGAGGGAGATGACAGGGAGTTCTTGCTCAAGAAAGCTGTAGAAATAACTCTGCATACCTCGTTAGGAACGGAGAGAATCCGAAGCTCCTTTATCTGCCCGGTTTCTGCTGGGTAAAGTGAACTTGGCTGCCGTGATGGCTGCGAAGGTGTGATGTCAACAGCGGCACGTGTATGGAGTGACAGTCCCTAAAGGTATTTTAAGCGACGGGGCGACCAAGATCGGCAGGGGAAGAAGGTGAGGTGGGTCCCTCTCTCCCCTGGCTGAGCCCGGACCGTGGGAAGGGCGTGCCCAGACTCTTTTAGACCAGAATAGCCATCCCGTTCTCATACTCGGATTTCACGATCTTCTCGAGACCTCACCAACAACTCACCCCGCATCCCCCGCCGCCACCCTGCAGCTTAAGATGCAGGCAGCTTGATTCTGATTCTTTTTTAAAAAAGGTTTTGCTCTTCGCAGAACACACCCACCAACTCCCTCCCACCAACAATTTTCTCCTTCCCAATCACACCGGGCTGACCTTTTCGGTCATGTGGCTCACTCCACAAAAAGCGCATCACGTTGTCATCACGCCGATGGATGGCTGTTCAAGGTGGTTACAATCCTATTTTCCGTTCCGAGGAACCGGCGGCCGGTCCTTGAAGGTTAATCGCGAAGCTATTGGCTCTGCAGTCCCTTGATTGATTAATCGCGCCTATTGTCGGCCATATTTAGACCTGTGGGGGTCTTATTACTCCGCAGGCTGCAGAAAAAGATCCTAATTACATAGTAGATGACTGTTGAGACGGTTGAGACTCTTCGTCGATTTCTCCGACTCCTTCCCCTGCGTGGGGAGACTAGGACAATTAATCCAATTAATGGTCCCCATATCCAAAGTAACCAGACACAGCTCCGCGTGGACAGATGAGAAGAAGCATGACCAGTGGGCAAACAAACAGTATAAACTTCTCGTTCCATATGCGGCGTGCGTGTATGATGTGAGTGGCCCGGCGCACTTGCATGGCGGGTTGTTTCTAAGAATGGACCAAATGTTCCAGGTTCCCAGGTTCCTTGGCCTACTGCCGGGGTTACGTTGGTGTTCCAACTTTCACCTCTCCTGAGAAGAGGTGCGACGGTGGGCTTTTTGGCCAATCAGGAAGTGCGCGCCGCTTAAACCCTCATCACGCAAGGTATGGCGGTAAAGACATCCGAGCGGGGCTTCGTTCCCCAGAAGGCTACCTATCCGAAGGATCTGTCTCGAATTTCACTCAACCGGATCATGCAACGACATCAGGCACATGCCTTAGGTCCTTCCAGAAAATTGAGCTTGCCGAATCAGGTGTTGCAAGATGCGCTCTCGTCCGGACGCAGATAGGTCGTCGATATTTGGGTGTAGCACTGAGAAATATTAATCAGCTGCAGGATTCTAAAATTATCCCCACCCCCGACAGATCCCTGGGAAGGCCTGGATGTCCTCAAGCTGTTTCAAGCCTCTCTCAAAAGGCAATCCCTGGGCCCTGCCTGGCTGCTCGGCCGCATCACTGGTACACACGAATGTGTCTTGACAAGCGCAGGGCCCACAAGCATGCGGGCTCCAGAAGTGTGTGTGCCGGGGATTGCTAGTATCGTTTCCTCGGATGATCATTTCGTGCGTAATCATTGTGACGATAATTGGCCCTTGTTTTGTTTCGGTTCATCAGACAGACACCAGCTCTGGAACCAGCACAGCCGCCCTCTTAGCGTTGGAGAATCGGGGCAGGCAATACGAGACACCTGTGACAATTGGCACGAGCAGACTCGCAAGAGTGACGAGGGGACGGTGCACATCCATGATCCGGTATAATACGGAGTGCATGCGTTAGCGGCCACGAATCAGGAGTCCTATTTGGTAGACGCGGGTGCTCAACCCCAAGCTCGCCAAACCATCACACGCCGCGCCAAAGTGCCTGACAAATGGACCCCTGTTGCCGAGACCCCATTGGCTGCGGGTGGGCGCGGAAGTGTCACCGCAACTGCACCCTTCCCAGCGATCGCTGGGTAGCAGAGCTCCGGGTAGCGAGCGCTGACGCTCATCGAGAGTGGCCAGCCATTTCTTACGGCGGCTTCCAATCGCCCTGGTTGAGACAATGCAGTGTCTTACACGCCCCTAGTATTGGGGTGCAGAGTGGTAAAGTGTAGGGCGTGTGCTGCTTTTCAAACTCTGCGTAGCCCCAGAGAAACGAGGCAGCCTATTTATTACCCACAAAAGGGGGTCACTGGCGAGAAGGGCGACAGTTGTGTAACGCCGCGGAAAGGCTCCAGACGATAGCCGCTTCCATGGGTGTGCAGGTATGCAAGGACGGCCGCACGGATGAGGGAACAAGGAAAATGGGAAAGAAAAGAGAAATACGATATCAACCCGCGGTTCTTTTGCAGCTGTTGGTTCTGAGCAGAAAAGTCTCGCATGACCACCCGCCCCGCGGCTGAAAGATCGCTTGTCTGTCCAACAGTTGCCCCATGTAGGTATGTACTTCAGGGTGGTGGGGAAGGGGAGATGGAAGGAAACGAAGGAAGGAAAAAGGCTGTGCCGTCCAATTTTCCACTCCTCTTTCCGCCTCACACCAGGTACAGTACCTGGGTACCTACTTGAATAGGTATGATGGGATGATACCCACCTAGCCGAGGAGCGACCTGAGCGTTCGAGATCCTGGGAAATTACAGGCAAGCATGGGTTGTTCTTACTTAACTTGCCATAACGTATTTCACATGCCTACCTGCGTGCGTAGGTAGGTGAGGTGGCTAGCTGGTATGATGGATACTAGGTAGCTACGACCAGTCCTAATTAACAGCCCAGGCCATTGGCGGGAGGCCGCACACTTGGGATGCCCGCTTTTTTTTTTCTTTGGCGCAGGTGTCTGGCGTGGGCGCCCATCGACACGGGAGGTACCATTCCGCCAGCACCAACGCCAGCGTATGAATACCCCTGTCAGCCACCTCCATGTACCGGTACACACAATCAAGGACTCGTCCTCGATTGAGGTTGAAGCGCCATGCCGCCCAAGCAGTTCCAAATATTGGAGCTGGGCTCCGGGCTTAGCGATGGGAAGCGGGTAGAGGTGCCTGGGGACGAGAAATGGTGATTGTACAAAATTGAGAAACTCCCACCGCTTCGGGTTGCCCGTCGTCGTCGCCACGTACTCCCGTCCATCTTCCTCACTTGCGTGCAGTCTTACATAGCGGGTACTGGGTACCTTGCTATACCCGACCACGGCGACCACCCCTCCTCTGCCATCCCTGCGCGCCTTTCATTCTGACCATCGTCCTGCGGTTACTGGCACTACCTACTGCCCGACAAGAAAGGGCCAGCGGGACACCAACCATTCCTTTTCTCTTCTTTTCTCTTTCCTTCCCAAACACTTGCGCCGGCAGGACTCTGCACCTTCCGCCCTTTGTCAAGGCTCGCGGCAGGCTTTACATCGCGATAGCAACATCAGCTCCAGGAGGCCGTCCTTTCAAACCCAGTGTCCGTTGAGGTTTCGCTCTTTCAGGTTCCCGACAGGACAGGCGCAGCATAATCGCGCGTCAAATTCCCAAGCGCCCGCATTCCGTCGCAGCAGATCCCCAAACCAGCCTGGATTTAAGAGGGAGGGAGGGCAATTCGACGACCACAGATATAAGTCAGCACATCTCGCCTGCAGCTGTTGCAATCAATCCCGGAGAGGGTATTAATGTACCTCTGACTTGTCAACGCTCATTCTTATCCCATCCAACCCCAGCATTTCTATCTTTCTCGCTCAGAGAGGTAGCTGGCAGCTGGGATTCCCGCACCCCACCGACCACAAGCAACACAGGGTTATCGTCTTGTTCTTTTTCTGGTCTCGTCATCACAACAGCATCGTCGGCGTCACCCTGTCAACACCCCCCAAGCAGCAACTCAGGCAGAAGGCCGGACAAATACCAGGCTCGAGACCTCATACTGGGCCCTGGCACAATCGAAAAGTCCACGCCAAACCTTCCGAGGCAGCGAAGCGCACGCGCCGCCTCCTCTCCCCGCCATCATCCAAGTGATCCTGCTCCTGCTGGCTGATCACACTTTTTAAACGCCGATTCATCCCAATTGAACACGCCGTTCTCCAGCCCCTGTCAGCGCGTGGCTTCCCGCGTGCCCACAAAGCGCCGCAGTTGCTGCGCTTGGCTCTTCAGGCAGCTCATTTATCTGCCACGCCGCCTCAGTCAGCGCTGCCAACCCTTCCGGTTTTCCATTCAACCTTTTTTTTTTTTTGTCTTCTGTGGTCTCTTGCGATCGACACAATTTTGCGTCTGCCGCATCTTGTGCGCATCCCCGTCATTTCGCTTCGTCTTTGGTACGCCAGCGTTTCAGTCGCAGTGCCTGACTACGGAGGGGCCGGAAAGCGCGTTTTCGCCTCGCGTCGCATCGCATTTAAGGCCAACCATTGCCACCACCATCTTGTACCGCCCATTGACGCCTTGTAAATCTCGTTCAACCCGGAGCGCTGCCCCCCTCGATAGGAGAACTCGGAGCATAAACACTTGAAATCTCGGTGGTGTACAGCGCATCGCCCAGTCTACAGTGCGAATGAAGATGTCCACGTTCACAGCTCTGAATGGCGGCTCGCCCAAGGCGACCGAAGGCATCAATGGAAGTGTGGATGTTCCCCGTGCGAGTCCTACAGAAAGAACAAACGGCCAAGCCACCGGCACGGACGCTAGAAGGGCCGGCGAGGTGTCGACAAGCCAGAGGGATCGGGAAAACTGGACCGGACCGAGCCACGATCGCCCACCATATCCGTCCGCCAGCTATCCGGATGTGGAGGGGTCTCACAAGCGCAAGCGATCAGAGTCTGATGAACCGAGGCGAGAGCACCGAGACGACCACCGGGACGACCGAGACCACCGCGACCACCGCCATTCACCACCAGAGCGATCAGAGTCTCATGGGCGCAATCGACCACACTCAGAATCACGTGACTCGTATGAAACTCCGCAGAGAGACTATCGGTCATACGCCGAAGAAATCCGCGAGCGCGAGCGCGAGCAGAACGATTCTTGGTATGCTCAGCGTTCCCGAGAGGGGCAGAGTACCCCGTACGAGCGCCACCATTCAGGTGGGCCGAACTCGGCCCAGTCGGATGAGCAGATTGGGGAAACTCTCCGAAGGGCAACGAGTCAGCTAGACGCCAGCGACTATGGCAACACGAGCCCGGGTGGAGACGAGAGGTCAGCGTCCATGTATTCGGGACAGTATGGCGAGCGGCGAGATGGCGTTATTCAGTCTGATCCGAAGAAGAGGAAGAGGAACTTCAGCAACAGGACTAAGACTGGATGTCTTACTTGCCGCAAGAGAAAGAAGAAGTGCGACGAGACGAAGCCGGAGTGTAAGTTTGCAATGTGATGGTGTGATCTCTCCTGACCAGATATTGACAAACCCTCAGGTAGCAATTGCATCCGCGGCAGTTTCGTATGTGCTGGCTATCCTCCCCAGCGAGGATCATGGCCCAAGCCGGAGAACAAGCCAACAACGATCCAAATCGAATCGAAGGATCCCACATATGTCCCACCTGGAGCATATGGGATGCCGCAACAAGCTCCGTACACCAACCAACCCATTATCAGCCAGCAGCAGAAACGCGAGCCTCTCCCATCTTACCGTGGACAGCCGCTCCGGATTGACCCACCTCAGAGTCGACCTCTTCAGTCAGATGACGACCGGCCCACTGCATCGACTCTTCCCAGCGCGTCCATTGCCAGCCCGGACAACAAGCTCTCCGCCATGTCCGCCTATCCCACGGCTGCGAATGCCTTCCCCACGCCTGTCAGTGCTGCTCCCATGACGGCATTCTCGGACCGGACGCCCAAGGAGTATCAACGAGTCCCGCCCCTCCACGACCTGACCCGAACAGATCCGGAGCATTCACAGCAGGGCGAGAATAATCTGCCTCGGATCAGCGTCCTTAATCCCACGAGGACGAACAGCCCTTCGTCGCAGCCCTCGCAAGCTCCTCTCCACCAGACCAGCGGCGTGCAGGCTACTGCGCAACTCGCACTCTCTCACGCGCAATTCCCGTCGAATAGGCCGCGGCGGGAGAAGGAGGAAATGCTCAACGGTCGGCAGTATTATCCCTTCGACAAAGAGCTTGTTCTGGAGCGGGAGAGATGCAACGCGGCCTGCTGGAGGTTTAACAACTCAACCAATCCGAACATTGGCGTCTCACCGGCGGAGCGGGCTAGACTCTTCCGAGAGGTCCTCGCTCCGCCACAGGGGATCCAGATCTCGCCGACTGTCACGTCACCCGTAACACATGCTGGGAGAGTGGGCGATAACGCCACGGTTGAGGCACCCTTCAACTGCGATTACGGGTACAACATCCAAATTGGCGACAATGTTTCCATCGGTCGCAACTGCCTGATCAACGATGTCTGCAAGGTCAAGATCGGCAACAATGTTTTGATCAGCCCCAATGTTTGCATCTATACCGGCACCACCACGACCAACCCGCATCGCCGCTACGGTAACAGAGGCACTCAGTTTGGAAAGCCCGTTGCCATTCATGATGATGTTTGGATCGGCGCCAACGTTGTCATCCTCCCAGGCGTAACAATCGAGAAGGGCGTCACGGTTGGCGCCGGTTCAGTCGTCACAAAGGTACGCTCGCAACTTTCCCATGACGGTGGTGTGAACCTTTGACTAACTGTCATTGCTTAGGATCTCCACGCCTTTACCATATATTGCGCTCGAGGCGTTACCGAAGAAGTCAGGCAGATCGCCAGGTAGAGAGATGGGTTTTGATCTTGAGTTGTCCGATTTGCAGCGTTTTCGTCTCCTTTTCCCCCTCTTTTCTTTTCTCCTTTCCCAATCGGTTCCTATGATACCCAGTCTAATGCCGCAAGGGGGGAAACAAAAATTATATCTTCCGTTTCAGTGGCTTTTCATGCAATCTTAGCTTATCATAACGGTGTTGATGGCGGAGGATCGAATCTTGCTTTGCTTTTTCTTATTATATACCTACAGGTAGCGAGATGTGTTGTTCGAATACACTAGCTCTGGCAGCTACCATCGGGTTTGGGGGTTCTTGATGGGATATCTTTTTGCGGGTTAAATCTCTCCTCGGATAGCGGAGCCTGTTTCGCTTTGGTGCTGAGTGTGCTACTGGCTCATCACTACATAATGCCGGAATGGATGATATGACAGTAAAATTAGCTAGATAAACATGAATCCAACGGGTGATCTAAAGTCGGCGATCGGGAATGCGTGTATCATGAAACGGGGCCATCAGCTACGGAGCCGAGCAGAGCCCCTTACTTTTCTCAGGGGTAGGACGGAAGCAGCTAGAAACCATCGATCCGTCTTGGTCTTGTAGTCTTGGTTACATGAGAATTGGAGGCAAGAGGGGAGAGGGGACAAAATCAGAGAAAATGACCAGGTTCTATTGTTGGTTCTGTATGATCAGGCTCTGCATGCTGCTTCACCCCGTACCCTGAGCTCAAGGAACTCACTGACTAACTGGCGATACCCTTGCTCACCAATGGGCGCCCGACACTCTCATCCCGGAAAGGGGACCATCCACCGGAGGAGCTGGTCTGGCTCGAGTTCGCTGTAGCGGGTGGCAGACTGACATGCTACCTACCTGCCTACCCAACGAGGGAGTAGAAATAGCCCGGTGAGGCAACAGTTCCCCCCCCCGGAGACAGGTGTCGATGTGTGTGTGAATCTGGGTGGGGATTGCTACCCGTGACAGGAATCTATAATCTGTCCTCTAGGTCGACATTTATATTAACCACCCCACTCCTAGCCTAAAACAAGGAGCAAACCTCTTCCCCCCCTACATCCGGCACTCAGCACCGTATCTCCACGCCCCCCTTGCTGATGGTGAGGTACTTGACGCCCTTGTACGGCTTCACGGCCTCGCCGAGCCCGCGGCTCCTCCGGGGGTCGACGAGGATGCTCTCGACCCTGATGCCGCTCGGCAGCCAGCCGCGGACCGAGAAGCCGACCGACGCGGAGCTGGGCATCAGCATCTTGTTCTGCGCCGCCCTGCGCGCGTCCCTCTCGCCCTCGGTCGCGGGGGACGACGCGCCGCCCTCGCCGCCGGCCCGCGAGGTCTTCTTCGGCGCCGGTTTCGACGCCGCCGCGGGGGGTGTCTGGTAGGGCTCGTCGTCGTAGGCGTATTCGTTGTCGAAGCCGGCGCGGTCCGGGTCCCCCCGCTCGTCGACGTCGTCGTCGTCGTCGCCCTCGGCGGCGGGCGGCCCGACGACGGTGCACCGCAGGCCAAAGTACGGGGAGGGCGTCGCGAGCTCCTTGGGCGCGATGCGCCACCGCAGGAACCGGTCGCCCGGGTTGTAGCTCGCGTCCCCCCTGCTGGGCCGCACCTCGGAGAGGTTCCTCACCCCGTCGGGCAGCGGCACCGTCACCTCGAGGCCCTCGAGCGACGGCGCAGCCAGCGTGCCCGAGTGCGGGCCCCCGAAACCCCTCCCGGCGGCGGAGGCGGCGGCACCCGCGCTACCAGTGAAGCCGCCCCCGCCCCCGCCCCGGGCCGATGATAGCGCCGCCGAGGCCCCGCCACCGCCGCTGCTGAAGCCGAAGGACTTGTTGACGCTTAGCCTGACCTCGAAGTCGGAGCCCGTGGGGCCGAGGCCGGTCTTGATGTCGAGGCTCACGGGCAGCCTGAGGTTGTTGGAGCCCAGGCTGCCGGTCTTGCCGTTGGCGAAAGGCAGGAGGTCGACCTCGTAGCCGGCGAGGACGAAGCGGCCGTCGGGCGGGATGAAGCTCAGCTCGCCGGGGCGCTCCTTCCACCGGGACAGGCGGACGCAAGGGTGGAAGACGGGCAGCTCCATGATGCCGTGCAGATTGTGCTTGCCCGAGGGCCCCGTCAGGGTCAGGACGATGTCCGGCACTCCGGACACCTTGGACGTGAAGGCGATGGTCCCGTTGGCGAAGGCGGCGAGAGGCCGGCCCGACGGGGCGATGGTCACGGAGAGGGTCTCGACGATGTCGGCGTACATCTCGTTGGAGGTGTGCCTCACGTTGGCCCGTCGCCAGGGCAGAGCCGGGGTGTTTGAGGCGGCGAGCGAGGGGGCGCTCGAGTTGCCGAAGTTTGTTGTGCTGAACCCGGTCTTGCTGCTAGGCACCGGGGAGCGGCACGTTAGTAGTCTCTCTAGGACCTGTCTGTGCTTGGCATTTGGGGAGTGGCTGGCTTACGTGGGCAGGTTGAGGTTCCCGAGCAGCTTGCCCATGAACCCCTCGACCTCGACCAGGTCCCTCAGGGCGTTGGGCTCGGTCGTGTTAATCGTGCCCGCGTCGCACATCTCCGTCAGCAGCTGGGCGACCACATCGTAGTTGTTCTCGATCCGGTGCGCCAGCAGCGGCGCCCCGAGGAACTCCTCCAGGACATCGACGACGCGGTGCAGGAATTCGAGGACGAGCAGCGGCTCGATCTCAGACGAGGTGGTCAGCAGGAAGAGGAGGTTGGAGTGGGTCAGGCTGAAGACGAGGGTCGGCGGGTTGGTGTTGGGAAGGTAGATGAGGTTCGGCCGCGGTGGTGGGTGCTCAAGGTAGAGGGGCAGGAGATGGGCTGCCGGGAGCGGGCGCGATGTGTAGGTGTGGGAGAGAATAGGGCTACTTCGGGGCGGGGTGTCAGCAATGAACCAGTAAAACCACTACGAATCTATGGCACTTACTTGCGCTCGTCATAAATGTGAAGAGCCTCAATGACACCGTTCATGGTTGGTGATCGCGCCGCTGCGGGAATAAGTTTTGGGGGAAGGGTGGGCAGAGCTCCATCCCGCGGTGACGCAATGGGAGCAAGTCGCTGATTATAAGGCCAAGAAATGGATGTTAGCCCTTCGAGTAATCCGTAAGTACGGAATACACCCACCCACCTTATTGCCAAGTCCCACCGCCTAGATATGCCAGGCGATGAATCAGTCTTGGAGGGACCTGGGACCCCGTCTGGAACCGAGGAAATAGCATTGAAGTTGAAAATCTCGAATGAATTAATGCCATAGATACCTACCTGGGCTGTATGTGTACAACGATCCGCAGCTCTATATACGGGAGCAGTAGGACTTCCCCTCCATCTCCCGGCCCATCACCACTTCCTCCACAGCTGTAAGAGTGGTGGTATAGGCTCCACCAAAGTTAACCAGACCCAAAGCCCCTGAGGGTATCCCTGTCTCGTTTACCTGTTCCATTTCGAGGAAACAGCTTCTATGTCTTGTTCTAAGCTCGCATTGTTGCCCCTGTCCTTCCTATGCCGCCAACCATCCGAACGCCAAACCAAATCCAGTGTATGTAGATGCAACGTGCTATACTTGAGGGGATGCAAATGTGCTAAAAAAAAATGAGGCCACCCAGGGCCGCCCCTCCAGCTCGCGTTGACAGTTAGGTCCCGGTGTCGATGGAAGCAGCCGGAGCCTGGCTCTTTGGTGGTGAATCGAGAGCTGTGTGCGCTAATGTCCGACGACGCCTCGGCGAGGCCAAACTCGTGAGATGCTGTCAATATTGGCAACCCTCCGCCTCGACAAGTTGCCCGGGGAGCGTTGTTATTGCAGGAGAACGTCCTCTGCCGGCTTCAGGCTGACGAAGAAATCCCGGGCAACCTCGAAGCTCAGCCAGCTCGAGGCCATACTTGGCGCGACCTTGAGCAGGTTCGGGACAATACCCTTATACAGGCCTTTTATGCCTTCCTGCGTCACGATGACCCTGACTGCGTCTGGTATCGACTTGTACTGGTAACCCATTCCAGACATGGTATTTATCTGGAACCGGCGACGAAGCACATCACTTAAAAGTCGTTAGCTAGGGGAGCAGTAGGGTGCGTGCAGGGCCGAGTTTGCTCACAATGGATATGTGCACGTCTGCGCGACGGCTCCCGAGACCGCACCGGCGAGGAGTTTCCTCCAAGCATCGGGACTCTTTTCTCCCTCGGGCGTTAGGTACGTCCGTATGTGTTCGTACACCATGAAGTTCAGGCCCACCTGGAACGCCAGTCAGCCCTTGTCATACAGTCCGTCTTCTGTGGTTTCAGATCATGCTTACGTATGGTGCCACTCCCGCAATCGTGGGAATAATGCCTCTGTATAAGGCGGCAAACCCTCCCTCATTCTTGTACATGGACGCCATCGTCGCCCACATCCCGGGAAGTTCCTTCGGTTTCGATCCGAGGACCGCGAATGAGGCGGATTGGATCGAGAGGCGCGTCCGAACGATGTCGAGGGGGTAGGTGAACGTCACCGAGGTAATACCAGCCATACCTCCGCAGGTTAAGCGTGTAAGAGGGCTCAAGTCGGCATTGGGGTACGCCTCGAATAAACTCTGTTGTGTTGCCCAGCAAGTCAGTCACCCAGTCAGTCAGTCAGCCGCCGTGTTGCCCGGCGCCCCAGCGACGTGCTCATCCTGAACTCGCTACCAAGCTCAACCTCCCGGGCACATGCCCGGGGGAGCCCAAAACCCCAAGAAGAAAGAGCGAGGAAAATGACATAACCCACCCGCTTGTAGAAATTATAGCTGCCGAACTGGACCGCCGAGTACGGCACGATGCGTATGCAGTTGGTGCCATTGCCGCGCATGAACCCGCGCCAGCCCTCCTCGCGCCACATCTTCCCGAGCGCCTTGCCGACGCCGAGCCTGTACTCGTCGCGCCCGGCGCTCTGCACCTGGAACAGGATCTTGAGGCGCTCCAGCGGCGACACCACGGTGCGCGACACCGCGCCCGCCGCGCCGCCCGCGCAGAACGCCGCCACCACCGGCTCCGAGATGACGCTCAGCGCCTGCTCCGTGAGCCGGAACTGCCCCGGCGGAGGGGGCAGCGGCCGCCGCGGCGGCGCCGCGGGCGCGGACGGGGACGCGTCGCTCTGCGGTTGGGTTTTGAGCATGTGGGGCTGAGACTGCTGTGTTTGGGGGAGTGGCTGTCAGCACATGAAAGCTCGAGAGGGTTTTGCTTGAGAAGGCTTTTCTTTTTTTTTTTACACAATGCCCAAGCTAGGTACGTAGGTTGAGGGTATGGGGAGGGGGAGGGGTGGGGGGAAGAGCAGGTAGGAACGTACGGCCGACATCATGAAGATGGCGAGGGAAGTCGAAAGAGGAAAGAGGAGGAAGAGGATGTGACGCGCTGGGAGAGAGGCCGAGCACAAGGCTGGGAAGCGGCTGCGTCACAGGGGAGTGGTGGTGTTCCGTAAAGGGTCGAGTCCTGGGGCATTTAAGGAGTAGTGAAGCTGATATCAGGGAACAATGAAGGTGGACGAACTGCCGGCAAACAGCCTTACTTTTCGTACGTAGGTAGTGTGAAGAGGGAATCACGAAAGTGGGGCCAGATAGCTTAAACAAGAGAGGTTCGAAGAATAGGTGGAGTCTGCCTCAAGTTGAGGCGATTGATGGGTTGGCGATTACCTAGCGCTGGCAACCGTAGCCAATGCGTAGGCGCGCACGGCTTGATTGCTATTAAGGTACGATGATTCAAAAATGACAAGGAGAGTCACAGTCAAGAAATATCATTGAGCACTGATTCAACGGGCTCTGCTATGCTGAGAGTTTAGGTTGGCCATCACGAACACTCATTTCTTTCTCCCTTAATTTTTTTCTCTCTCCTTCCGTTTATCGCCTCTGTAGCCAACAAACCTCAAAATTGCGTGCCAGGGACAATCTGTGCGATGTAACTCTCGATCGCCAACCGCTGATTCGCACGTTGCGACGGGCCAAACGTCGGCTTCGTCCGGGACCGGGAAGACTTGGACTTCCGTGCCAAGTGACCTACCGACCGATTCCACGTTGGTTGGTTTCTCGAGGCACAAGATCCCCTTCGCATACAGGTCGCAACACATGACCTCTGCCAAAGTCAACTGCCCCAGGCATGCCGGGGCCAAATTTAGAGGCCTTCACCTGTTTCAGGCAGCTGCCAGAAAGGCCATGTGCGAGTGACCAAGTTCGCATATAGCTTTCAGCCAGGCCACTGTTTTGTGGCGGAACCGTTATGCCATTGCTACCTAAAATGTAGAAATCTAATTACTTTTCCGGTTTCTCTGCCATTTTAAGCAGCAAAACACCGCCTTTACAGTTCTACAGCCTTCGTTCGATTCGATTCGTTGTGTGCTCCGGTGCTTGTCGCTACCATCATCGTTACAATGCACAAGATCGACGGCGAACTCGAGTCGGATCGAAACTAAAAATAGACGGATGTTTGAGGAGGTAAGAGGTTAAGGGCGGGTGACCGCCCCAAATCAGTAGCCGACGAATCAAGAAAAGAGAGAAAAACCATTGCGATACCAGTCTTACACCCCTTGGGAATAACATGTCCCTTATAATCAGTATTGAACCATGATTGAGTGGGCGCCGTGTTTACTACTCGGCAACGTCGAGGTCGTCATGCGCTGGCGGAGGAGTGTCGAGAGCTGAGAGCATGTTAGCAGATGCGCAAGGCTGTGGTTGTTTAAGCGAACTGCTCAGTGGGCTGCTCATACCCTTGCGGTCATCGCCATTAGCACCGTTCTCGCGGCGGTCATCCCGATCATCCTTGCTGTCCCTGTCCCGGTCACTGGTACACACCATCAGTAAGGCTAGTCTGGATTTCGAAAGCCGGGCGATATATGGCTTACCGTTGATCTGGGCTGCGAGAGCGGTCGCGGACGTCACGGCGATCGCGGTCATAATCCCGGTCCCGGTCGCGACGATCGTCCTTGCGTGGAGAATAGTCGCGGGTGCTGCGTCTCGGGCTGGGAGTGCGGCGACGCGGCGAGCGACGTGCGGTCGTCCTCTCACGATCACGGTCACGGTCGCGGTCACTGCGATCAAAGCGCCAGGAAGCAGAGGGGGGAGTACGGGCCCACTATGACGTTGAGTTAGCGACTAAGCTCGTGCCTCCTGTAAGATAGGAAGGATATGGAGAGCCTTACCTCGATCTTTAGAATGTCGTCGCGTCCGATGCGCTTATTGTGCATGTCATGATAAGCATCATCGGCATCGCGCCGATCCTCATACTCGACAAATGCAAAGCTGTTGCTCCCAGTTAACTTGCGTTAGTCAACCAAAACAGGGGGAAGGCGAAACCTACAGTCTGCTGCTCGCAGATCGGGGGGCCGGGATGTCACAGCGAACAAGGCGGCCATAGCTACAGTTAGATGCTTGTTAGTGTCTCTGCAACAATGAGGATGGGAAACTAAGGGCTCGCTGAGCATTCGATCGAAGCTCCAGGAGCCTGCCAGGCTTGGCAGGCGACTCGCCCGATGGATAGAGAAATGTTTCATCGCCGGCCGACCGCTCGATCGAAGGGGAAGGACGATGGCTGGCGCGGGAGCGGCAGCGGGGACGCGAGGAGCGAGATGGATGGAGATGAGATACGTAGCGGGAGCTCGATGCGCGGAGGAAGGGGGGTGGACATCGAGGGAGACGAGGGGGGGTCACGATGGAGGGGGATGTTGATCGAAATCGCACTCGACGCCGACGATGATCGAGTTTATCGACGTGGCATTGGGACGTACCGCTCGAACTCGTACGCGAGGTCTCGCGCGCGTGTGCCGTGGCTGAAGCCGGTCACGTAGAGTGTGGTGCCGCCGCGAGACATGGTTGCCTTGTTAATCGCGAGGGCACTAGTCTTGAGACTGGAGAGCTTCCTTAATGAAGAGGGTAAGGGTTGTAAAACACCACTATGGGGGTTTGTGTTGATGGAAAACGAGACGAGGTGGCAATGACGGTGACGGAAAAGTGTCCGAAATGGTTGGAGTTTTAGGGACCACCGGAGAAACAATGGAAAGTTGAAGCTGGAAAGAAAAGTTTCCGGCGTAGCAAATGGAACGTGCAGGGGCTTATTCCTACGTTGATTGGTTGAAGATGGGCACTGTATGATTCACGGCCGTCCAGCTGGGGCCACAGTGCGACTCGTGCACAGTCTACGAGGTTGGCCTCGGACTGGAGGAAGTTTACCCCTTCGAGGTTCACTTCCATTTCTCCTGTTGCCCTTCCTAAACCAGCCTCGTGGCCAGCAAAGCTCAAGAAAACCAAGATGGCCGGAGATAAGGCCCCGTCGGTACACAGCCTTGACAAGCCGGAAAAGCTTCAGGACCTGTTAAAGCAGGATCGCGGTGACGACTGTCTGCCTTGCAAAATCATGGGTGAGTCTCACGAATTATACAGAACTCAGGTCCCGATCCTAAGATGAGATTGATTTAGGAGGAGGAGCCTTCCTTGGACTTGCAGCATACAGCTACATCAGTGGTCAAGCGCAGCTTGAGAGACAGAGGGCCCAGATCATTAGCAGCAAATCCATGTTTGGCATGCGCAGTCGAAAGTTGGGCATAACGGGCATCTCACTGGCCCTTGTTTGGGTGGGCCTTTGGAGACTAGTCAAGTGAGCCCTCGTCTCGAGACGGCTTTCGCAATCTTCCCTCAGTCCACTGCTGGAGAGAAGGACTGTTCGACGAGGATGGGTGATGGTCGCAATCCCATTCGACCAGTATTTCCGCCACCGCCGCAGGCAGCCGACTTATCGCTCTTACTCGTGTGGGCCTCTCGAGCTTCTTTTCAGACTAAGATGTCAAAAGACTGCAAACCTATCTAACCGGGTCGGAGCCGGGAAGCCGTCTAAAGCTGGGAGACGACTTCTTTGTTCATGACCGTTTGGTTGCGAGGCAAAGAAAGCGTACTGGAACCCCTGTAAATCATTGTACTGTACATATATGTATATTGATGACTATCACTCGCATCTATTTTGACCCATTTGATTGCGCATGATTGCCCGTTACTTGACGTAGTTTAGGTCTCGACATCTCGTCAAGCGATTGAGCCGATGGCAGTCCAGCAACATCTCCATTCAAACCCCGAAACCAGCATCGGACGTTCTAAGCTGAGGGTGCGCACTGGGGGTACTTGATTCTAGAACAACTAGCCCAGGGAAAATCCATTGGCGCTGCTACACTGCACCTAAGGAATACGAGTTGTGAAGACAGGCTCTCCAAATACCATTTGTTAATCTACTATCCAGATGTGGCAGTGTATCATGGATGGCGAACATTTCCACAAGAGGAGCGAGCGTCTAGCAGACGAACTAGTGATATTGCCAGCATGGTCTCTTCCGCTACCAATATCAGGGAGGCCTAGGATAGACTATGAGAACAAGAGGATAGTCTCACGCTAGGGGATGCGGTGTACCTATTGTCAGACATCCATACCTACATTTACACGAGGAAATTCAGACAAAATCGCAGCCTCGCCGTTTAAGGTGGGTCAAGCAAGGCCATAACTGCCTCCCAATGTTGCCCCTACCGAGAATGACCCGCAGGCCCATTTGTTTCAGGCAAGTCTGCAGAGGGACGTTGTTTGACTGGCCCAGTTCAAACTACCAAGGTACATAACTTATAAACCAACCACCTTGTAAGGCTGGTGGCGGTTAACACACCACACAACAATACCATTCCTCAACATCACCTCTCACCGTCTGAAATCGCAAATTTCTCCATCATCAGTCAACCTCTTGATTTTCCGGGTCTCCTACCGCTATCCATAATCCTCAAACACTGTATTCGTCTAGATCGCTCATTTCCTTTTCTTCCCGACTTGTTCCTGCTAAGGACATGTCGACGAAGGATGGGCCTGGGTCCGAAAATTCGAGCTCGGCTTCCAGTATGGTCAACGGCGAACATGGAAAAGAGATAGAGGGTGCCCAGGGCGTTAGCCCACTCTCCGCATGGTACAGTACTCTTCAACCCGTGACGTGTGACATCGTTGGCGAAGTGGCCGGGCATGGGCTCTTGGCCATACATGGCGAGTCCCTACTGGCCCACTGTCTCAAGGAAGCCAGAGTCGATTTTACCTGTAAGTAGCAACTGCCACTAACCACCCACTGGCCGTCCCACTCTGCTGTTCCGTGAGGCAAAGGCTGAACCGAGATATCTTCTAGCCGGATTCCAGTTGCTGCATGCCGTCCACGCTGTGGAGAACTTTCTTCAGAGCCTGAAGGACCGAGGTTGCCACTTCCATGTTCTATGGTTTGACGAAGACAAGCACCTGTGCATCCCTGATCATGGGGTGGCGGATCTGCGTGCCCATGGATATCTCCTCGCCCGGTCCGTTGTGATCCAGCACTTGCACCGCTACGCCAAGGCCACGGCGTCCAAGTTCAACTTCCGGTTCCCCTCGATAGAGAGCAACGCATTCGAGAACTATGTGAGCGGGAATGCCGTTCGCCTTTTTCTCTGCCAGGGTGCGAGGGAGGTGGCCAATGCCACCAGCTACCAGCTTCTTGTCTACCGGTTTTGCAAACGCGGCTACAGTACTGGATACATCGATGACCTGGAGTTTGTCAGCTCCAAAGTCAATGCCCCGATTATTTTCCCTTTGGGCAACCAGGTAGAAATTCCTCTCTCTGGGACAAAGCCACCGTCTCAGCCGGAATCAGAACCAATGTCCAAGACTATGGGAGAGTTTTCCAAACAATGGGATATGCTTACACGGCGGGACAATGGAGAAGAATTGTCAGCAAGGGAGGTTGTCTCATTGGTCGCTTTAGGAGATCTCCTGCTCGACAATGATGATGTCTCGGCGAAGGACAACGCGGCTGCCTTCTTGGTACACCTCGCCCTTCTGGAAGGGTTGAGTCTCTCGGACCGAGCGTTCAAACCACACCAGAACCCTTCGAACCAGACGATAGCTTTCATGACACAATTCGCAGAGACAGCCTTGAGTGTCATCGACAAGTGGTTCGAGGACGAGTTGACAGCCAAACTGAGTTGGGATATTCACGACCTTGTTGACGGTCGGTTGTACTTCCAAGTCGTTGCCAGGCGCGACTGTCTGCGGCTGAGTAAAAGGTCCGCCGAGGTCGCCCTCGAGTTAGCTGGGCGTCTTGGCCGTGTCACGAACATTGACTTCACCACATACGTTGGTCACTATATCGCAGGAAAGGAGGACCTCTCCGATCTATCGCAGTCGGTTGTCAACGGTCAACCGAGAGATCTGGGTCGCCTTCTCCCGTTCAATCACCCAGTCCTGGACCCATACCTGGAGAGCGTCGAAGTAGAAACGAGCGATGAGCCAAGACCAGATGCCTCGAAAATATTCCAGGAACTGACCCATTGGCACAATGAAAAGAAACCCGTCGTCACCAAGCGAGTCATCGAGAAGAAAGGTTTCCATGCCTTGAGGAGGACTCAGAAGTTCATGGCAGATACCATCGAGTACTCTGCCAGTCTGACGAATGCTGCCGGAAAGCAGATCGATCCCGAAATCATCACCGTACACACAGGCAAGCCGGCAAGCAAGCAGGCAAGCAAGCCGGGCCGGGAGAAGGCCGAGAGCCAGCCTGACAAGAAGGAGGCCCCGGGGAAGAAGCAAGCTGGCACGGCCGCCAAGAATAAGAAGGCAGCTCCGAAGAGTGGGCGGGAGAAGGCCCACGAAGCCGCTGCGGCCAGGCAGAACGAGAAATTGCAAGGGAAATCCGTCGCCGTGACCGCATTCTGGGTGAAGCGGTGCCAAGAATTCGAAGCCGAGAAGGACTTGGTGAGGCGATATCTGAAAGGTACCAGATACCTGACGTCGCTGCCGAATGAGGACGCGGCCGTCGTCGGTGCTGAAGCAACTCTCTACCTCTGCAACACCTTGGTCCTGTTGCTGAGCCGCTCACAGAGTGGAGCTCTCAGCGTTAGCAGTAAGTCGAGCAACATGTGTTGTCCCTCCTGGGCACGATGGAACCGCTGACAAACTGTTGTTTAGATCTGGACATTACTGCTCTACTTTGGGCCACGGTGTACGCAATCCACGACCAGCCGCTTTCGAAGGAGCTCGCAAAGCAACTCGAGTCGTTCAGGCTTGCCTTCAAGCTCCCTGGTAATGTCACGGTCAATAAATCCGAGGTCTCCCGGAAATTGCCATACCGAAGCGTGCTGGGAACTCCAGGTGTCCCCGTATTTGCACCCGCCAACCCTGTCGACTTCCAGTTGGAACGGTGCGGCCCGTATCTCGAACGATCGTACGGCTCGGTTCCAGACGCACGTGTACCATTTCAACCTGATCACTGGCAGCGGAAGGTCCTCGATGCCATCGACGACAGCAAGAGTCTGTTGGTCGTGGCGCCAACCTCGGCAGGAAAGACGTTCATTTCCTTCTATGCCATGAAAACCATCCTCCGGGCCAACGACGACGACGTCCTGGTGTATGTGGCTCCGACAAAGGCGCTTGTGAACCAAATCGCCGCCGAGATACAGGCCCGATTCTCCAAGACCTACCATCGGGACGGAAGGTCGGTGTGGGCGGTTCACACCGGGGACTACCGCGTCAACAATCCGACCGGATGCCAGATCCTCGTCACGGTTCCGCATGTCCTGCAGATCATGCTTCTCGCTCCGGCGAACGCGCAGAAGGCCAGCTCGTGGAGTCACAGGGTCAAACGGATCATCTTCGACGAGGTTCACTGCATCGGACAGGCCGAGGACGGCATCATCTGGGAACAACTGCTGCTCCTTGCCCCGTGCCCAATCATTGCGCTCTCGGCGACCATCGGGAACCCGTTGGAATTCAAATCTTGGTTGGAAGAAACTCAGCGATCCAAGGGCTACGAGCTCGAGATGATCGTCCACTCGGCTCGTTACTCCGACCTGCGCAAGTTCTTCTACAAGCCGCAAGCACAAGTCACGCAGGGATTCAATGGTCTGGATCCCGTGCAACGGCTACCGATTCCCGGATTGGATCAAGACGAACATGGGAGGTCCTGCTTCCAGGTGGTTCATCCGATTGGGGCCATTATGGATCGGTAAGATTGTCACATCCCTTTGCCCCTCATCATATCTTTCCCGCTAACCTTTGCTCTCAGTTCCCGGGGTACCCTCGATGATATTCACATGGAAGCTCGAGACTGCCTTACCCTGTGGCAGTGCATGGCGAAGCACCAAACAGAAGACTTCCCCTTGGATGCTTCGCTACATCCGCGCAAGTTCCTTCCTGCAGTAATCAAGAAGTCGGACCTCCTAGAATGGGAGAAAGCCTTGAAGGCCGCTGTTCTCGAGTGGATCAAGGCTCCGAATTCGCCATTCCCCTCGGTGCGTGCCGAGCTCGGGAAAGAAGTGCAAGCGCTCAACCTGGAGGAATCCACCGAGTCGGAACTGGCGGCTTCGAGCCTCTCGTTAGTGACCGACCTCCGCAGATGTGGCGCTCTGCCCGCGCTGCTGTTCAATTACGACCGCCTGCAGTGTGAGATTATCGTCCGTGCCATGCTCGGTCAGCTGGAGGCGGCGGAGGCGGAATGGAAGCAATCCAGCCCGGAATGGAAGAAGACGACCAAGGGGTATGAGGCGTGGCAGGAGCAGCAGGCGCGGGCTGCGGCCAAGGGTGTGAAGAAGCCTGCCAAGAGCTCCAAGCGAAGGGACGCGGACGATGACGAGTCGTCGAAGCTCGACATGGCCCGCGACGCGGCCAGCGGGGAGGGAAGCGTCTGGGACAGCTTCGATCCTGATGAGCCCGTCGAGCAGTTTAGCTTCGCCGACAAGATGAAGGTGGCCAGGGCAAAGCTTGAAAGCATGATGGATAAGCTGAAGTGGGCCGGCGTCCCGGAGGATCTCGTGCGTGGGCTGAGGCGCGGTCTGGGTGTCCATCACGCCGGAATGAATCGCAAGTATCGTCAAGTGTGAGTCGCCACCTTCCTCCATTTCATCTCTTGCTGTTTGCTAACAGTTCTGTCTACTCCAGGGTTGAGATATTGTTTCGCAGAGGCTTCTTGACAGTCGTGGTGGCTACAGGCACCCTCGCCCTTGGCATCAACATGCCCTGCAGGACAGTTGTCTTCACGGGGGATTCGATATTCCTCAACGCGCTGAATTACCGGCAGGCATCTGGTCGGTCCGGTCGCCGAGGATTTGACCTGCTCGGAAACGTGGTCTTCCACGGTTTGGACCCCCACCGAGGGTTCGAAGTCATGTCATCTACCCTTCCCGACTTGCGCGGCCACTTCCCCGTGTCCACTACACTAATCCTCCGGCTCATGTCCCTACTCAATGGCACGAACAACTCGAAGTATGCCGCCAGGGCCGTCGAGTCCCTCCTTTCGCAGACGCGGCTGTACTTGGGCGGACCTAGCAACGAGATCGCGATCAAGCACCATGTGCGATTCTCGATCGAGTACCTGCGACGGCAGCGCCTCCTGTCGGACAAGGGAACCCCCCTGAACTTTGCCAGTCTCGTGGGGAACCTGTACTTCACCGAAAACGCTGTGTTCGCCTTCCACTCCCTGCTCAAAGAGGGATACTTCCACAGCCTCTGCGCCGGAATCGACCGTCGCCCCGAGGGGGTGCTGAAGGAGCTAATGCTCGTGCTATGCCATCTGTTCAGCCGCATCCCTTGCCATCGCTACAAAGATGAGGAGTGGCTTGACCGGGTGGTGAGCCGGTCCCCATCCTTGGTGATCCTGCCGCCGCTCCCGGAGACGGCACTGGGGATCCTCGAGGCGCACAACCAGGAGGTGCTCGACATCTTCAAGACCTACGTTTCCACCTACATTCACCAGCACCTCTCGGAGGAGCCCGACCGCGAGCTCCCGCTTACCAAGCTCGAGGTGGGCGCCGAAGAGACGCCCGACGGGCTACCCCCGGCGCTCGGCACCCCACAGCCGACGACGATACGGTCCCCCTTCGCGGCGCTGTCGGGCCACACGGACGCCTTCGGTTCTGTGCGGGAACTCTGCTCGACGACGCGCGCGGGCGTCTTCCTCGAGGAGTCGGCCGTGCCGCGCATCCCCATCTACCCGGCCGAGACGGGCGGGGTGCCCTGGAACGCGTACGCGTACGACTTCTTCCGGCACGGCGACGCGGGCTGCATCGCGCGCGACAACGGCATCGCCGCCGGGGACGTCTGGTTCAAGCTCAGGGACTTCTCGGTCGTGCTGGCGACGGCGGTCGCGAGCCTGGAGGGGCTCCTCGGGGACGGGAGCGGCGGCGGCGGCGGCGGCGGCGGTGGCGGCGGCGGTGGCGGCGGCGGAGGCGCGGACATGGCCGACGTCGTGGGCGTTGCGGAGACGATGGAGCTGGAGCGGTGGGACGACGAACCCGGCGATAAGATTGGCGCGGACGGGGACCGGGGCGAGATGGATTCCGACGACGAGGAGGGTACGCCGTCGCTTTCGGGCTGGGACGGTGACCGGGAGGCGAATCTCGTCAATGTGTGCAAGGCGTTCAAGATGCTGCAGGAGGAGTTTGACGAGAAGTTCAGGAAGACATGGTCATAGAGGGGTTTCCATCGCTGTAGGGTTTGGGGGGCAGGGGGCTTTCCGAAGTTTGTCAGGGCCGTCATGCGTATGTCTAAAAAGGTAGGGCCCACTTGCGTTACAGGAATCACAGAGCAGTGGGTAGATACCAGTGAGCAGAAAAGCTGAGGGATGATGATCAAGCCCAGTACGATGCCTGACGTGAGGAATCGGTGATGCATTATATGAGCCACGAATGCTAATTGGTACAGTTGAAGTCGTGGCAGACTCGCCTCCCACTATCCCGCGCTTTAACAAAGGCAGGGCAGATGGAGGGATTGGTAGTTGCTGCAAGTCTTCCCACTCGGCGTGTCACTCCCAGTCTGGAAATAGACCTGCCAATAATTGCCATTCGCCTTGCAGACCAGGAAGTTGAGTTCTGTAGCCCCAAAAATGGGGAAAGGTCAGGAACTCGTTTCCGTTGTATGCTGAGTGAGGTGAGGAGAAGGAAAGGAAAGGGGACGGGTTGAATTATCGGGGACGGGAAAACAACTCACGCCTGCCAAAGCTGCTCGACGTCGTGGTGATGATGGTGTCGCCCTCCAGCCCCCAGCCGGTGGTCGACGCCGTCGCGCCAAAGGTGAGGGTCTTGTACGAGGTGCTGTCGCTGCCGATGTTGAGGTACATGCTCGTGTTGGTCGACTTGATCGTCCCGCTGATGTCGAAGTACTCGGACGTCGACTCGGGCCCGAGCACCACCATCGTTGCTGCTCCCGGGTCAGCCAAGCCAAGCCAAGCCAAGCCTCCCAAGGAGGAAGAAGCCCTACTACCCCTGATTCTGGGTCGAGACGGAGAGGTTGGCAGTCAGGGGCACCTACGGTCGGTCGGGTTGGCCTGCAGATAGAGATGGAAGACGGGGTCCTGGTCGCTGCGGATCTGCTCCGGCTTGCCTGCGGCGAGGCCTATCGCGGGGACCGCGAGGAGGGCGACGAGGAAACGGAACATGACTGGATGTCTGGAAATGGTGGTGGTTGTTTACATGCACACGCAGTCACACATACACACAAGTTACGTATCTCGCGCAAATGTGAGGGAAGCTTTTTCCTGGTATACTCGAACAAACCCTGGTCATCATCCGTAGAGGGGGGATGTTGGCTTCATATACGGGCTGGAACTACACTAGAAGGTGAAGAGCAACTTTACTTTTACTCCATAGCCTATGTCGAACTCGGTACTCCATCATGTTTATTAACACGGGTAAATGTAAATGGGTGGGAGGGGTTGAAGCAGCCATAATTCGGAGGCAATCAATGTCCTCCCCCAGGTCGCCAGATGCTTATCCCGGTGTCCGCTTCACCTTACGTAGTGTCGGGGGATGGATATTTATGAAGGGCAGCGGCGGTAGGAAGATCGATCACTTCCATTTTCTGCGAGGCCCGAGGCCGAGAACTGGTTGGCGGGAGAGGAAGGGCTGAGGATGAGCAAAGAAACAGCACCAAATGGGCAGGCAATCCCCACCTGTACTATAAGAAACGGAACATAATGGCCGCACTTTCGAAATTTCCACATCAGGGACTCTGTCTACAGTACTTGTAAGACACGCCTCTGGGGACTCAGTCGCTCACGCGGGCAAGTAAGTTTAACTGCGAGAGCAAGTTTTGAGGACTGATTCCAATGTTTGGGGAGGGTAGAGTCAAAAGTGGTAAGGTATTGTATGTACTGTAAATACAAGATCTGGGTGACAGGAGAAAGGCCACAGTCGATCCTCTCATGCATTTAATTCAGAACTACAGCGGCCATGGCAGCGCCTTTTGTCTGGATCGGCGCCTTCCCCGGCACCGGTAAGCTCACAGTTGCCAGAGCCTTGGCCGCGTTGGACGGGCCAAGCATCGTTCATCGACAACCACCAACTCGTCGATCCCGTCGCCGCCCGGGAAGCCGGACGGCCTTTCCTACCCGTCTACCGGTCTGGCGATGTCGACGTCGACGCCAACATCAGAAGAGCCGCCAGCCATGATCGCGTCCACGGAACGACAACCAAGCTCACCGACAGAAGTGCTGTCAAGATCTCGGCCTGTTGAAGCAGTGAGGATAATGATAGCAACAGATACCCAGTGTCCGGTGTCGAAATCCCCCAACTGCTTCTAGGAACTCGCATGAGTGCGTCTCCCTAGTCACCCAACTACTCCTAGGGGAGGCGAAACTGCACAAGTGCAACTGGTTGTGAATCGTGACTTGAACCTCACTTTATATTAGTCCTGGTCCTACACTAGAACCTCAGTCTAACTGAGCACCGTAGTCGTGTACATATATATATATATATATATATGTATATTTCGTAAGCCAGAAACGCCTTCCTATCCAACGGACTGAGCAATTACCAGTTCTGAACCCGCCGTGATTGTGAGACGGGGAACGTGATAAAAGGAGGGAAATAGGAAAAGAAACCGAGAACCTAGCAAGATTCACGATCTCCGACACAAACCAAGGGCACAACATCCTCTACTATGCACGCTGCTGATGCAACTTCCGAAACGCGGAAGAACAGAACTCCCCCAAAACTGCTGTTGGAAGCCAAACCCCGGCCCCCCGTCTGGCCCCAATTATTCACAACCCCGAGCGCCCCGCAACCACCACCAACAAGACGCCGTTGAGCGCGCACACGACCGCGAACGCGGCCCACACGGCCAGCCAGCCGGCCCAGCCAGGCGGGTCGGGCCGGGCGACGTTGACGCTAAGGGCGGCGCACGCGCACGCGAGGCTCGCCACGGCGCCGACGACGGCGCCGGCGTCGACCTCGGCGCGCAGGCGCCTGCGGCCCGCCGAGATCAGCACCCCCGTGAGACCGAGGAGCACGAAGCTGACGGCGAACCCGCCGACCGTGGCCCGGAGGAGCACCCGCGCCCGGTACCGCGCCGCCGAGCGCTGCTCCTCGATGCTCGGCAGGCCGGACGCCAGGTGCACCGAGTACCCCGCTGGGAAGTCGTCCGATGTCGGGTAGGACGGCCGACGCCGGCCGATGGGCCTGAAGTAGGACGAGTCCTCGGCCTCGGTGTCGGTTGGGAACAGGGAGTCGCCGTCCGCAGAGCCCGGGTAGCTGGCTTGCGCGCTGCCGTAGTCGTAGGTGCTGCCGGTCAGGAGCGGGCCGTGTTCCTGGTCTGTTCCGGGTGTTTCCTCGTCGAGCCCGCGGGTAAGCCAGGTTCTTGCCTTCTCGACGGGTACCCGGAACATGGCGACGAGTGTGGCCATGCCCGGGAAGCCCGCATCCTCCTGTGGATCGACGTAGATGGCATAGCCGCCGTCGGCCTGCTTGTCCATGTCGCCCGCCTCGCTGCCGTACTCGTATTCATTCCAGTAACCCTCTTGGTAACCTTGTTGGTTATCGACACCAAAGTCTCGGGGTTGCGAGGCCGGCCCTGGGACCCCGTTCACTCCGCTGGAGGCGTCGTTGTGGGACCCCGGTGGCGTCCCCGGCGGACTGGAAGGCGAGAGAGTCCCGCCGGTGCCGGCGGGGGTTACAGCCTGTAGGGCCGCAGATAGATTGTCGTACTGGAGCCGCAGGTGGGAGTAGTCTCGTCGGGTGAAGCTCTTCGGATGGGATAGGACAGTGTCCTTGAATCGACTTCCGAGAGCGGCGGAGCCTGTCCACTTGCGATACTTCTTGAGAATCTTTCGGAAGGCTACCGCCTGGGCATTGACGAAGCGGGACAGGGACTGGATATCGTGACCGCATCCGGCCAGTTGTCTCTCGTATCGGGCAATCCGCTGTTGTCGCTTGAATGAAACGTGGTTGCTTGAGGAGGTCGCACACCGGAGGAGCAGGCGCTGGACATGGTGGGATAAGTGTTCTGGACTCGCGGGTTAGTCAATTGAACGCGGGTTTGAGGGGTCAGGGGTGCATTTAGGCGTTGGAAACCTTACGTAGGCGTCTTGAGAGCTCATCGGCTTTGCTTGTGACGAAGAGATCGACTCGGTCGTGCTGCCGGCATAGTTCCAAGAACAGCTCATCTTCGAACTTGGCCAGAGCAGTGTCTTGATGTCCGGGAATGGCAATGGCAGATGCTTGATCCCGGGTCGTATGCACCTTGATATGGTGTTTCAAGGCGTTATAGTCGATATTATCTAGCATCAGAAGGAACACGGTTAGCCATCATGGCAACGGGCAGATATCTTTGCAGTCACGTACGAAGGCTCCATTCTGGCACTGACTCCCTCTCAAATTGCTCGCCGTATTTCATGGCCTCAACGGCCGACGTCTTTCCAAGCAGTTAGGGCAAGAGGGAGAATAAGAGGATAGTCCGCTTTCTTTTCCGAGTCTTCCACTCGATGTTTTTTTTTGCGGGTTGCCACAAATGCACGATGGCCGAGAGGAGTTGAGTAGCGGGGGCGGGGGAAGAAAGATAGGTTGAAATAAATATAGTTAAGATAGGCAAGGGAACGACTGTTTCCATCCAACATCAATCTTTTATGGCGTATCCATTCCGCACTGCCAGCTCTGAGTCTTCGATCGTGATTGGCAGCGGAAGGGAGTCGTCTCTTGCCGTAGGTATTCCGTGCTTGGAACTACTGCGCAGTATCTCTGTCAGGGTCGTGCATGTGGATAAAATGAGAAGATGGTATAGGTCGGACACCTGCAAGAGGTGAAGAAGTGGGGGTCAACTGCGCCGACCTGCAGGGGTTGTTAGCGGGGTCTTGAATTGGACCGGGCTGGGCCAAGATCGACCATGGGAGACCCCATCCAGTCCGTCGAACATCTACCGCGTGAGAATGATAGATATAGATGGACGGATGCTTTGTTTAACAAGTATTGTAATTGCTCACCCCAATCATCTTCGCGGCCCGGGCCTAGTCTCGGCCGTCGGCCAATATCGCCTGTATTCTAGGATGATGCTCACATGCGAGGCTATATATACTCGAGTTTTCTGGTCGGCAAATGTACACATCTGCGAGCTGTTGAAGGATTAAATACTCCGTACGTCCATCCAGGTCCAGACCCGATGGCCAGCTGAGGTATGGTCTCGCCGATGAGAATCTCCTCATGCGAAGACGGAACAGGCGGCACGAGACTAGATAAATATGAGTTATCATGTTATGGTCTGCGGCAGTTGCGGCAACCTGAGGACCATTTATCACGAACATCGATAACAACCCCAACCCCAACCCTAACCCGTAATATTCCATATTCTGCCCGAAAGAGACTTAAGGGTGGGGCAACCGGAAGTTAAATGGTCTGAGCTTCTCTCTGAGGTACCTAGTGGGTTGGCTCGGTGGGGCACAGCCAAGCAAGTTTAGAAATTTTTATTTTTTTCAGACTTCCTAGCAGGTAAGGACATCACCATTGGCAGGACGAAACATCGCTCGCCAGCGTCCTCTGAATAGTGAGCTATGGCCGCAGCCGGCAGCACGTCGCCATCCCTCACATCTTCCTCTCACACTCTTACTGCTGGCTCGACAACCATGCCTCCGCCTCCAACCACAACGGCCACTGCCTCGTCGAACATGGCGGCCGGAGCTGCCCTCCTCGAGTCCATCACCACGCAAAACCGGCACTCTTTCCTCCAGCCCTCGGCCTCGATACCGGCTGCATCCCTCCAGCTCGTAAAGGAGACCCTGGATGCCTTTGCCGGCCGGGTCAGCGACGAGCAGCAGCTGAGGCTGCGCGAGGCCGGCAAGAAGAGGAAGCGGGAGGCCGGCCTGCTGGAGAGGGCCGAGGTGCTGAAGATCCGCAAGTTGCACGTCGATGGCTTCGAGACAGGCCAGGTGTGGCAGCAGGCCAAGAGGATCATCGGCTCAGCGTTGAGGGAAAGCCAGGATGTGATCGAGGAGCTGGAGGAGATGGGTCAGTTCCGAGATGTCCTGGAAATCGGAGCAAAAGAAGTGGATGCATCGGATGCATTGGGTACAGACGAATCGGAATCTGTTGAGGGCGGATCCGAAACTGGCTCGGAACTTGGCTCAGACGAAGACGAAGAAGATGACGAAGACGCCTCGAATGACGAAGAAGACTCTGGTGCCGAGATCTACGACCTACTCGACGATGAGGCCGAAGAGGCCGATGATGCGGAGTCCGATACCAGCGATCTGCTTGAGGAGAACCTCGAACTTGACGGCGAGGATCTGGGATCGGAGGATGAGGACGGGGAAGACGAAGAAGTCGGCTCAGACGAAGCTCCCGAAGAATACGTCAAAGATCCACACGGTCTCAATGATGAATTTTTCTCCATAGATGAGTTCAACAAACAGACGCAATACTTCGAGGATCAGGATGCCCGAGCGGACCCCAACACCGATATGGCTAGCGATGATGAAGATGTCGACTGGCATCTCGATCCCATGGCAGAGTCAATGCCGAATGGCAAATCAAGTGGTAAGCCCTCGAAGAAGGACAAAATAGATGAAAAGGCCCTCAGCGATGCGGACGACGATGAAGATGAGGATGACGAAGAGGGCGGCCCTACGTTTGGTAATATGGAGCTTGATGCCCCTGAAGGGGAGAGTGACGATGAGCTCGAGAAAGGCCTTCAGGATGGTTTGGATCTCGGCCTCGATCTTACCGCCAATGACATCTACTACAAGAACTTTTTTGCACCCCCAAAGAAAGTTAAGAAGGGGGGCAAACCGAGACACAAGGAACTGCCACGGCCATCGAAACCGGACGACGCTGATGTGGAGCGAGCCATCAACGATGTCCGTCGTGACCTGTTCGACGATCTATCCGAGCGCTCTGACTCTGAGGATGCGCTGTCGGACGTCTCGGCCGGTGACCCCAGATCTCGCCGATCGGCCCACGAGCGCCGGCAGGCCAAATTGGCAGAAGAAATCCGCAAGCTCGAGGCAGAGTCCGTCGCCAAGCGAAAATGGACACTGTCTGGCGAGGCGACGGCAGCGGAACGGCCCATCAACTCCATCCTTGAACAGGATCTTGACTTCGAGCACGCGGGCAAGCCGATTCCCGTCATCACGGAGGAGATATCCGAATCCATCGAAGAGCTGATCAAGCGGCGGATCCTCGCACAGGAATTTGACGAGGTGATCCGACGTCGACCGGACTCCATGGCGGACGTGTCAAACGACACCCGCCGTGGTCTCGTGGAGCTGGATGACACCAAGGCCAAGCAGAGCCTGGCAGAGATCTACGAGGAGGAGCACGTCAAGACGGCGAATCCGGACACGTACGTCAGCAAGTCGGACGAGAAGCTACGACAGGAGGAGCAGGAAGCCGAGAATATGTGGAAGGAGATCAGCGCCAAACTAGACGCCCTGAGCAGCTGGCACTATAAGCCCAAGCCGGCGACGCCGAGCCTTACTGTCGTCGCAGACGTCGCGACCATCACTATGGAGGATGCACAGCCTACGACAGCACAGGGGGTTAATGGTGGCGAGAGCATGATCGCGCCACAGGAAGTCTACAAGGCCGGCAAGGAGACGGCTGAGCAAGGGGAAGTCGTTGCTAAGAGCGGCTTGCCCGTTGCCCGACAGGAGATGAGCCGGGAGGAGAAGCTGAGGCGACGCCGGAGGGAGAAGGAGAGGATCAGGAAGAGCGGCGGCGGCGACGAGGGCAAGAAGCCCCTGAGCAAGAAGGCGCAGGAGAAGAAGGATACGATCAGCGAGCTGAAGAAGGGTGGGGTGAGGGTTATCAACAAAAAGGGCGAGATCGTGGACATGGACGGCAACAAGGCAGCTGCTGCCAGGAAGGCGGCTACGAGTGGAAGTTTCAAGCTGTAGTTAGCCCCTGCGAGACGAGCAGAGTGCGAGCCATCATCAGCTCCTTTTCCCCCTCGCTTGATAATAAAAGAGTTCTCCTGAATTAGAGTCGTTTCATTTTGAGTTTCCTGAAAGAAATGTGTCAGTCCGGATTATCAGGGGTCTCGTCCAAACAGAGACATGTCAGAATCCGGCGCAGTGATGTATCAAGGCTGGAGATTTGATTGGTGGTGTGTAATTGGTGGTGTGTATACCTAAGTAAGACAGCCGGGAGCAGAAAACGAGGTCTCATCCCACCAACCCAAATTTTGAGTTTAAAGAGCTTCCCCACATCGATGCCCCCCTCCAGCTCAGGTACCTACCACCTACCTACCTAATCTCTGCTGGGTAGTGTAGATTCGCAGGAGCTTCAGTTTGGCCTGGAGTGTGACAAGCAGCAGATCCAGAGTCCTTATCAAGACTTCCCTTTGTTTGGAGGTCACGGACAGACCGTGTCAAGTCTTGAGGATGGGGAGATTGGCGCTTCAAAAACTGCACGGCCGGGCTGGCTGAGAGGCTGAGTGAGACATGGATTATCTTGGTCTGAGGGTTCCACTGGCAACCCCCTACCTTGCTGATGGGGATCGCTGCAACGACGGGCGATCAATCATTTCGGTTACCTGGTAAGAAGGAGAGAAGTGAGAATTGTAGATTCCAATCGCGATCTAGTCGGACAGCAACGAGAGAAATGGAGGTTTATGTAGATGCTCCTATGCGTAACTACCTGCCTACATAGGCGCGTAATCCAACCTGAAGCTCGTGCGAAGAGCTGTATCCTAGTTGGTGGGGTCGCACCATTCATCAGCAAAAGAAGCTCGTGGAAACGCAACCAACTAGGGCCCCGCAAATGTGATTAAATCCGAGCTAGTAGTACTGGGATTGCCTCCCTGCTTTTCGCATGATGACAGTGTTAGCTCTGGCCGCACTCGAGACTTCCAATTGTCACGCATCGGATAGCTTTTGCTCCTTTTCTTCGTCTTTGTGGCTAGCACTCTTCTCTTTGAGCTTCAACTGTGCCTACGGGTTGAATTATATCTCGCGAACTGCCTACTACCTTCCGAAATCATCATCTACCTGCAGCGCCATTTAGCCTCGCCCAGTCGTCTGGTCCCGGTAGCTTTTGCGCGCATCTTATCCCAACCCAAGCTCCCAAACTTTGCTCTCCCAATTATCCTGGGTTGCGCTATCTTGAACGACGTCGATAGAATCCTCCACCAGCAACGGAAAAGATGGGCACCTTTACATTCAAATGGTCAGTCACCTTATATTTCTCGTGATGGCGCAGCGGCTAGCAAGCCTCTGCGGCGTGCCTCGGAAAGGCACAGCACCTGGCGCGGTGGTCCTCAGGCTGCAGTCGCTAAACTTCCTCCACCCGTGACGGCATTTCTAGCTCTCTCTCCTGATTGCATGCTGACCTTGGTTTCTTCTTCTGCAGGCCCCATGCTGCCGAGGAAGTCTATGTGACGGGCACTTTCGATGACTGGTCTAAGAGCGAGAAGCTGGCCAAGGTCGGGGATGCTTTTGAGAAGACGGTCACACTTCCTGAAGTCTCCGAGCCGATCCTCTACAAGGTTGGTCGCCTTTCCTAAGATATCTCGGGTTCGCACAATCGGAACCCTCGTCTTTCCCCCCTCGTTGATTTTATTCTTATTTTGCTTGATTTCCTTTTTTTCTTCTCCCGTCGCGTGCGACGAGGCTAGATGCGGCGAGGGGCCTGCGTCGTTTGCCCGTGGACCCGGCCTCGCCCGCCTTGCCACGAGGATTGCATATAGCTCCATTAGCTCAGTCATAATGGGCTTTCAAGCTGTGCGCATGATGGAGAGTCATTTCTTAGAGCTCCTCAGAGCTCCACGCGCTTAATTGAGAGCTAGCCATATTGTTGGATTCGGGGGTGAATTGGTCACCTCCCGCAAAGTATGACGCAACGGATTTGCCTGTATCGCCCCAGCCAGTGCTAAGCGAGGCAAGCGGTGAACAAAAGCAATGACCATCCTCCGCCCCCCAACCTTCCCAAACGTCTCACTCCCGGTCCGTATTATCCAAGTTGTGGAAAAGGAAGCAGGGTCCTCGCAGATCCCAAGGACAAGCGCCAATTGCACTCTCCGATCCCATTCTTAATCCTGAGACGAACCCCTCAATCACTTGAACCCCCGAGGCTGCCGTTAGTCCCAATTCACCTATCCAACCACCCCCCCCCCCCCCCCCTCTTCCAACTACTCCTCCTTCCTCTCCTCTCCTCTCTTCACCCTCTCTTCGCTTCCTCGTCTTTCCTACATTGCTAACTCACCCCACCAGTTCGTTGTCGACGGCAATTGGACTACAGACCACACTGCCCCGCAAACAAAGGACGCCTCTGGCAACGATAACAACCTCCTGAAGCCCGAGGACATCTCCAAGGAGACCGTACCCGCTGCCGCAGTCATGAACACTGTCTCGCCAGAGTCCACCACCGCCGCGTTGGCCAAGGATGTTCCCTTTGAGAAGAAGGAGGATCTACTTCCAGGAACATTCCCGGTGACGCCCGCTGCTGCGTCTGAACAAGAAAAGGAATTCAAAGTCGACCCGCTGCCGGCGACCGAGGGGGCTATCAACCCAATCAAACTCGCTCCCGGTGAGAAGATACCCGACGCCCTGAAATCCAACGGCACCTACGATCAAGTTACCCTGGACAAGGAGTCGTACGAAAAGAGCGATCGAATTCCTGGCCTTGAGACCGAGCTACTACCTCCTGTTTCCGGCGCCATGATCCCCGAGTCGAGCTTGCCTCTCGTTGCTAGCTGGTCCGGCATCAACAGTGCTGCTCCTGACTCGTCGACCGCTGCTTTGGCTGCCGCCGTTCCCCTCGAGGAGCCCAAGGTGCCTGACGTTGTCAAGGAGAGCCAGGAGAAGGCAAATGTTGCTCCAGAGGCCAGTGGTATAAGCAAGGAGGTTGCCCAGAAGGCCGAGCTCGAGGACGAGCTTGCTGAGAAGGTGCCGGAGGCGCCGTCGACCTCGGAAGGCACGGCTGGAAAGGGCACCGAGAAGTCCGAGACCGACAAGACCATCGGTGAGACCGTCGCTGCTGCCGCTGTCGCCACTGCTGCTGCTGCCGGTATTGCGGCCGTTTCCACCGCCACCACGGCCAAGGACGCCCTTGCCGAGAAAGCCTCGGGTGCGACAACTCAGGCGACCGCTACCGCGACTGACGCTGCTGCCAACCTTCCGGATTCAGTCAAGCATGCCCTTCCAATCTCAGTTCAAGAGGCCATTCCTCATACCACCAAGGAGGATGTGCGGGAGGAGGTATCGCCTGAGGTCCCTGCTGAAGTCAAGGAGTCGATCACCGAGGCCGAGAGGAGCCCCGAGGCGGCCGCAAATACGGAGGCTGTGGGGGAGAAAAAGGACGTCGAGACCGAGCTTCTGAAGGAGGTCAAGCGCGTTGAGCCGATTGCTGAACCCTCAACAACCAAGGAGGAGGCGCCGAAGCAGGCCGCGACCGAAGAACCAGTTACGGTGGTACACGTCCCCAAGACGGACGAGTCCGCTGCAGGGACAACTGCCAAAGCTGAGGGAAGCACGATTGAAGAGGCCCTGCGCAATGGCCCTCCGCCTGAAACCACCCAGCCTGCGGTCACCGCACCTGCTGTCGTCACCGAGTCCGGGATCATCCAACCGGAGGTGAACGGTGCCAAGAGCGCAGCGGCCACGGCTCCAGAGACTCCAGTCAAGGCAGCTGCGGCCGCCCCCGCCAACACCACTGCCGGCAGCAGCAGGCCCGCCGATAGCCCAGCCACGGCGGAGAGGAAGAAGAAGAACAGGCTAAGCTCCATCTTCAGCAAGATCAAGCACAAGGTCTCGGGCAAAGACAAGCCCTAAAGGAGAAGAAGACGCTCGACGAATAGTAATCTGGACCGTCATTTATTTTTTCGCCATACTCGGCCGGTAATTTCCGGGCTGGCATGGTTTGTCGAATGTTTTTGTTATTAAGTTTCCATTCTTCATGATTCCCCGGGCGTTGCGAAGCAGAAGGAAGGTCGATTTATCTATCCCTCGCTTCGCATCTTGTACCATAATAGGATCCTCCTCCCCCTCATCGTGCATATTTTCTCATCGCAGGGATGGTTGAGTTCACGCGTCTACGTTACTGGGGGGAGTGGCTTAATGCGCCGTGGATGAGCAGGGCATGCTACCGGCTTGGTTGGCAGGGTTAGGTTAGGGAGGCTACAGTACTTGAATCCGAGATGCTTGAGGAATTATAATATCTCCTGCTGAATCCCTCTGAACATGCTCTTGTCTCTTGAATGGGTGGATGGATGCTCAGAATGCGATTCCTGGACATAAGGTGATATATCGAATGTAAGCGTCGAGAATAGAAGTATGACATCATTCCCCAAAGTCGGGACTTGACAAATGCGAAACTCAATCGGAAGCGTGATAGATCATGTGACTGAGTATCTGATCTGCTCGAGGTCCGCGGCCATCACCAATTTGCCCCGCCGGTGACTCGTTCTAATATTCTCCCCCACCCCAATCCCTTGGGGTCCAACCTCTTTGGACCCCGCAAACCTCCGTAATCAACGCAATCATCTATCGTGGACTCATCTCTGGAAGGTGCTTCTCGAAAGGCACGTTGATGTGCAAGCACGTCCCGGGGGAGCCTCGGAGAACGATCGAGGTAGGCAGCAAATCTACAAGGGGCGGGAACTTCGAGAAGAGTGTCGTGTCAGATGGCTAACTCGGTTTCAAAGCGTCAAATCTTGTTACTTTAGAGCCGGCCGCAATATAATTCTCATCTCTTTCTCAGGTCGACTCGCTGGTCATATTTCTACATATGGGACGGCGATCATGAGCTCGACATCCTCGAACCTGGGCAAGTCCCTCTCAATCTCATCAACGTCGAACCACTCCCCTGGCCCAAGCCAGTCCGGTGCCTCTCCCAGCTTCGAATCTACCCGCCGTCCCAACCAAGTGAGCCCGTCACTTTCACACCCGTCTCCCCGAAAGGGTCAGGGATTGAAAAAGCAGCACCGCAACCAACGAAAACCCGTCCCTCGCAACCCGAACGTCGACGAGGAGGACGCAATGGCGGAGCTCCGGGCTGTCCGGAACGCCTCCAGCCGCCGCGGCCAGATGTCCATCACCCACCTCCTCAACTACGCGGTGCCCCACCGCCCCTACAACGACGGCCGCCACCACCCGCACCCGCACGGTGCCCACTCGCGGTCGTACCGGCGTAACCCGGTCTGGGGCCCGGGTTCGGGCCACCACGCCGCCGACAAGGCGCGCTACGTCCACGCCAACTACCGCTTCGTGGTTTCCCCGGCGGGGAGCTACGGTGCCCACGCGGTCGACGCGGACAAGCACCTCGACTGGGTCGACGTGCTGCAGATCCTGGCCAGCGCCGAGTCCCAGCAGGCCTCGTGCCCCATCTGCCTGTCGGAGCCCGTCGCCCCCAGGATGGCCAAGTGCGGGCACATCTTCTGCCTGCCGTGCCTGTTACGGTATATGGATTCGAGTCCTGTCGGCGACGACCGCCCGGGGGGGGCGGGGGGCCATCAGGTCAAGCAGACCAGGTGGAGGAAATGTCCCATCTGCGAGGACAGCATCTACGTCTCCGAAGTGCGGCCGGTGAGGTTCTACGCCGGCCAAGAGAGCCCCCTGCCTCGACCGGGGGACGACGTCGTCTTGAGGCTGATGATGCGGAACGCCAACAGCACCCTCGCACTGCCGAGGGAGGGGGGCGCCGAGGTGCTTAGCTCCGACGAGGATGTGCCCTGGCACTTTGCGGCGGACGTGCTGGATTACGCGAGGATCATGAAGGGCACGGCTGGGTACATGGACGAGCAGTTCGACCGGGAGATTGAGGAGATGCACAGACAAGAGAAAGAGGATGAGCTCCTGTTCCACGAGGACGGCGAGTGGACGCAGAAGGCAATCAGGGCCATCAACGCGGCAAAGGAGAAGATCAAGGGTCTAGGCGACGCCGAGGTGGCCGCCTCCGCTGCGGCTGACGTGTCGAGCCAGTCGAGGCATGTCGAGCAGGACTTTTACTTCTATACCGCCCCGCCGCATCTTTATCTCTCACCTCTCGATATCCGGATCCTGAAGACGAAGTATGGCTCGTTCTCGGCCTTCCCGTCCACTCTGCTGCCCAGGGTCGAGCACATCTCCACCGGGCACGTAGTCGATGACGCGATGCGCAGGCGGGCGAAATACCTTGGCCACCTGCCCCATGGATGTCTCATCAGCTTCCTCGAGTGCGACTGGACGGACATTGTCCCGGCGGAGACGCTCGAGTCGTTCGCCGAGGAGATCGAGCGCCGGCGCAAGCGCAACCACGACAAGGCGGCCCAGGAGGAGCGCGAGCGCCTCCAGGCCGAGCGTATCGAGGCGGCGGCCATCCGGGACGCCAGGCGCGCCATGGGCGGCGGCGGGGGCGGCGCGGCGGACGAGGACGTCGTCGCGGTCCGGTTTGGCACCTCGCCGCCCGGGGACGCCCCCGTAGACTTCAGCGACTTCCAGCCCCTGGGCGGCGCCGAGTTGTCGCCGCCGAACCACAGGCCCGGGTTCTCGCAGCTCGCCGACGTCGGCACCAGCCCCCCGAACTCGCAGCACCGAACCGTGTGGGGCACGCCGGCGGTGGCGACGTCGCCCGAGCTGGGGCCGGTGCGGCCGCGGCGGCCGGCCGACGATGGCTGGCTCAAGGATGACGAGCTCCTGGGGACGCTCGGGACAGCCGAGCTGGCGATGCAGATGGAGGCGTTTGGGATCGAGCCGGCTGAGAACAGTGGTGATGGTGGTGCTGGTGGGATCGAGAGCGCGGCTGGTGCCGCTAGCCGCAACGGGGCCGCGGGAGGAGGGGCCAAGAAGAAGAAGAAGCAGAAGATCACGCTGATGAGTACTGGTGGTCGACGAGGGATTTGAGGTGTCATTTGGTGACTTCTTCCGTCGAGACTCTAGATGCTCCGGAGGTGTGTTATGTAGAAGGGATGGCTGGAAGAACACGCAGTCATCGTCGCGGAGTTTGGACCTTGAAGATGAAGGCTTCCTTACCCGGCGTTAATTCGGTACTTCCATGGGAGAGGAAGCTGGGAGCCTTGGTACTTTGACTCCAGATTGCAAACTGAGTTTGCCCCATTGCCAGGGAGACGTGACAAGCGAGGGGAGAGAGAGGTAAAGGGTCAGCTGTGGCGGCTGGGCGATATTATCATCTGTCATTCGGAATCCAGCCACTTGCTTGGAATGATCAAGAAATTATAACCAGCTCGAAATGAGAAGTATTAAGAATTATTTGAATCATAAGCTCACCGATTTCCCTGCCTGCCCACATCACCGGGAGACAGAGGTAGGATGAAAGGGTGCATTGTGATCAAGACAAGAACTTTGATTAGACTACCAACATATACCAATATGTGTAGAAGGACATCCAGCAGCCCAGTCTCTCTCCACCATAACGCCTTGCGGGCTCAGATCCAATTCCCGCGCTCGAAAATGCCCGAGTCCGTCCTAAAGATAAAAAGATAAAAAATATAGATAAGCCGGGCAGGCCAGTAGATTATGAGGACCGCTCCCGCTCCTCACTCCTCATCCTCAATCTCCTCAGTCTCCTCGAGCGCCCTGAGGACCTCCTCTATCTCGGCCGGGTCCGTGATGGCCCAGACGCCGCCCCCCTTGACGACGTCCCTCCCGCGCATGCCGACCTCCTTGCCGACGAGGTTGCGGCCGACCTTGCCCGGCCCGATGCCGACCCACCTGCGCACGCGCCGCTCCTGGTCGAGGTAGCGGATGCTGTCCCACCAGCGCACCGTCTCGAGGCACTGGCGGGCGAGCAGGTCCTCGAGGTCGGCCTTGCTCTCAAAGGGCCGCGCGCTGACGTTGCTGACGACGCAGGGGATCCGGCCGGGGAAGGTGACGACGCTGGACCTGCCGGGCACGCGGCTGGGCCCCGAGAGAATGGAACGCATCACGTCGACGGCCGGCCGCATTATGGGGCTGTGGAAGGGGCTGTCGGCCTTGAGGCGGACGGCGCGCGGGTCGTGACCCAGGAACTGGCGGACGTGGGCGATCAGCGTCTTGATGCGCTCGATGTTGCCCGACAGCACGATCTGGTTCTTGCTGTTGACGTTGGCGATCAGGACTTGGTCGATCGGGCTGCAGTCGCCCCCCCGGGCGGCGGCGGCGGCGGCGGACCCGCCCGAGCCCACGGTGCCGACCTCCTCGACGCCGGGAGGGGAGCCGCTGTGGCCGATGAAGTCGTGGATGGCGTCGATGAGGCCGGCGAGGCGGTCCGGCTCGGTGACGACGGCGACCATGCCGTACTCGCCGCCGTACTCGCGCTCGGCGCGGCGGGTGGCCTCGGCCATGACCTCGGCGCGCCGGCGGACCATGTACAGGCTGTCCTCGAGGGCGATGCAGCCGGCGGCGACGAGGGCGGCGAACTCGCCGAGGGAGTGGCCCAGCGCGAAGTCGGCGCGCTCGGCGGCGTCGAAGCCGAACTCGCGCTCGAGGACGCGCAGGATCAGGATCGACGTCGCCATGATGGCCGGCTGGGCGTTGGGCGTCGCCGTCAGGACGCGCGACGGGCCCGACTGGATGATGTCGGAGAGCTTGTAGCCCATTATGTGGTCGATCTCGTCGACTATCTCGTTCGCGGTCCGGGGGAAGGCCTCGAGCCAGGGGGTGAGCATGCCGACTCGCTGGACGCCTTGGCCTGGTTGGGAGGGTTAGCGATTCTGCGTGCTGCTTTGGGTTGGGAACAGAGGGATGAATGAAGGCCTGGGCTGGGTCTTGATGGTGGTGGAGGGACATACCCGGAAAGAATATGGCCGTCCCGGGCCGGGTCTTCTTCTTCTTCTCAGTCGATGCATCACGTCGTTGTTGTCGGCAAACAAACTGTCGGCCGTCTTCACGCCATGTCCTGATCGGGGACCAGAGGGTGGCGCCCGTAGCGACACGGCTTGGTGTGCGCAGGGGACGTGGAAGAGCTCTCGTCAACATTTCCAGCCGAGAGTAAGCTGGGGCAGTCAGGGAGTTCGCTCATCCGCTAGAGATATTGAGCTGTGCATTGCTTTGTGGGTAGTCGTCTGGGCACTCTTGGGGGGCCGCGGGCGTTAAGTGAGGCGTTCCAGCCGGTGTTCGTGCCGCTGTGTGGGGAAATGATCCGGCTGCGCCCGGTCCAACCTCACCCGAACTGCCGGTCTTGTCAGCTGCCGCCCAGCCCCAAGAAAAATAAAAGTCCACCCAAGGCTCGAGAGAGATCCATGTTAATTACGGCAGTCGTGAGAGAGAAACGAGGGCGCCCTACGGATATTTTCTGCCACCCAAACACTCTAGTGCATTTCTAGCAAGTCTCCAGCACTGGTTCTAGGACCCTGCCAAGAATTGAGCGAGCATCAGCGCAACGAGATACCGGAAAATTCTTTTGAGTCTCGCTTGCCAAGGCGCACATCACGTAGCCTACATAGGCCGCCGGCCGCCTCACCAAAGTCGAACATGCCAATCACAATAATAGCACCGAAGCCGATACCACGGTATTTTGGGCGCGATGAGGAGGATGCCTCGGACTCGGATTCAAGCAGCGGAGGGGCCGACCTCACAGGAGACGTGAGGATGCGACCGACCAAGCGCGTTCGTCGAGACGACAGATATGAGATCGTGACTCCCGGCGAGGTCATTACGGATGATCCCCAGTGGATGAGGTATGGGGTTTTCCACTTTTAGCAGTCCACGTCCCACGCTACGAATTCCTTTCTGACCCGAGGCATCCACAGAGGCCACGGCACATACATGACCGCGGGCACGACCACCATCATCTCGTCGGTGGCGGGGACGATCACGCGGACCAACAAGCTGCTCTCGGTGCGCCCCCTTCGCGCGCGCTACACGCCCGAGGTGGGCGACCTGGTGGTGGGCCGCATCGTCGAGGTGCAGGCGAAGCGCTGGCGGGTGGACGTGGGGTCGACGCAGCTGGCGGCGCTGCCGTTCAGCGCCATCAACCTCCCCGGCGGCGTCCTGCGCAAGCGCACCGACACGGACGAGCTGCAGATCCGCACCTTCTTCGCCGAGGGCGACCTCGTCGTGGCCGAGGTGCAGCAGCTGTTCGCCGACGGCGGCGCCGCCCTGCACACGCGGTCGCTCAAGTACGGCAAGCTGCGCAACGGCGTCTTCATGGCCGTGTCCGGCACCGGCGGCGGCGGCGGGGTCGTGCGCAGCCGGCGCCAGGTCTGGACCATGGAGGCGGCGAACGGGGGGGGGATGGTTGACGTCGCGCTGGGCGTGAACGGTTACGTCTGGATCAGCAAGCACGTGGAGACGCCCGAGAACCTGGACAAGGCGACCGGGATTACGAATATGGAGGAGAGCATCAGCACCACCATGTACTCGAGCCAGAATGACAGGATCGAGCCCGAGACGATGCGGGAGATCGCGAGGATCCGGGGGGTCGTTACCGCGCTGATCGAGAATGGGCTGCGGGTGGACGAGGATATGGTCATGAAGGGTTACAACGAGGCGTGCGAGATAGCATTGCATTCGGGCGACGGGCCCGAGGACGTCTATCTTGGTGGCGAACGGGGCGAGCAGCTGGCTGCGGCATTGACCGGGACATAACTACGCTGACGACCCTTCTAATATAAGGCCACGATAAATGATAAACTGCCTGCGTTTGTCGTCGACTGTTGGGCTTCTCTATTCACATAACCCTCAGTGACTCGTGGCAACGACCGAGTCATCTCAGAATCTCAGCCATCTTCGAGAATCTGCTCGGAAACCAACGAGGCTGACTCTCCTCTGGCTGCTTAAAACAACCCCCTGGGTTCGATCAGGGTCCGACTGCGGCGAGGAGGAGTGACGCAGGTGTTCGATAGCGGACCTATTGGCAGTTTAGCCGACAACTAGCAATCATTCCTATGCCGTCGTTGGATATATAGGGCCTCATCTACCATACGGAGTAAGTCTTGCATTTCTAGACTTTTGACCCGCGCACGTGTGATCGGGAACCCAGCTAGCGCTGACGTCATCTGGGACCCCGCCAACCCTCCCGCGGAGATCCATCTCGGGCATCATCCGATCTCCATCCGACTCCGGCGCTCGGCCTAGTTTAATATAGGTAGTGAGATTCGCAGCATTATCTCTAGCCTCTGCGTGACACTCTTGACGCTCTTCGATGCCTTTGAACTGAACAAATTTGCATCCAGACCAGAGTATCCCCATTCCAGTCTCCCCCCCCCCCCCCCCGGCCAGTAGGCGTCCCTTCAGTATCATCCACCAAAATGGTACCCATCCCCGGATTCCACCGCTCCCAGCCCTCCCCGCCCCCAGCAACCATCCTCTCGTCCTGGTTCCCGCACATCCGCCTCCCCCTCATCATCTCGGCGCCGATGCTCGGCGTCAGCAACGGCGCCCTCGCCGCCGCCGTCAGCAAGGCGGGCGGTCTCGGCGTCGTGCCGGGGGGCTACGACTTCAGCCCGGGCAGCGCCCACCTGACGGCCCTGGCCGCCGAGCTGGCGGCCGCGCGCGCCGCCCTCGGCCTCGCCGACCGCACCCTGACCCCCCTGCCCCTGGCCGTCGGCCTCATCCTGTGCCACGGCGAGAGCGCCGGCCGCTTCGCCGACGCGGCCCTGCCGCTGCTGCAGGAGCACAGCCCCCAGGCCGTGTGGCTGTTTGCGCCGGACCCGGGCGCCGACGTCGACGCGCAGCGCGAGATCGTGGAGCTGCTCCGCCGATCCGGGTTCACGGTCATGATCCAGGTAGGCACGGTCGGGGCCGCGAGGAAGGCCGTCGAGGACGGCGCCGACGTGATTGTGGCCCAGGGGGTGGATGCCGGGGGCCACCAGTTCGCGCGCGGGGCCGGGGTGGTCAGCCTTGTTCCCGAGGTGCGGTCTATGCTGGATCGGGAGTTCCCTGGGAAGCGGGTCGTTGTTGTTGCCGCGGGCGGGATTGTGGATGGGCGAGGCGTCGCGGCTGCTTTGGCTCTTGGTATGTTTAGATTCCGATGGGAGCAATACGGGACAGTCAGTGGTCCGGGAAAGAGGTATATGCTAACTGTCTGCAGGGGCCGAGGCAGCGGTGATGGGAACCAGGGTATGTCTCCCAATCCCTTTTTTTTTTTTGGTTCCCTTGGCTCGAGGCGAACTCGATGCTAACGGCGACAACAGTTCATTCTTTCCAGGGAGTCGTTGGCTCCTGATTACCGCCGCCAAACTATTACAGAGGCCGTGGATGGAGGAGTCTCAACTATCAAGTAGGCATTGCAGCCTGGATTCGTCTGCTGTGCCAAACTATGAACTGACAATGACAAGATCTACCTTCCATGACGACGTCCAAGGAACGACATTATGGCCGAGCCTATATGATGGGCGAGCACTCATCGGGAAATCATACCAGGATCACGCTGCCGGCGTCTCCTTGGAGGAGAACGCCACAAAGTTTAAGGAGGCGAAGGAGCAAGGTGATAATTCGCGGATGATCACATGGTCGTAAGTATTGCCGGAGGAGAGTTGAAGCATTCGAACTAATATGCCGCAGTGGAACTGGCGTTGGACTTGTCAACCAGGATCTCCCAGCGGGAGATATCGTGAGGGAGGTGAGGGAAGCCGCTAAGAAACGGATCCAGGAGATACAGGCATACGTATGAGCCGCCCTGTAATCTCGGTCGGGCATATAATCCTGTTCTGGATCGTCAGCGCAGACGAGATGTAAGTGAGGTTAAACGTGAGAGCTTGCTGCCGTCTGATGGTCCTAGCCACGAGCTGCTGCTGCTTTAACCTGACGATCAAATTGCATCAAGGAGATAGACTCCAGAAGAGTCGAACTAGACAACAGTATGGATGTTACAGACCAGGTGTGACATGGTTTTCTCCATTTACCCACACAATCAAGTACAACATGTACAATAATGCTGAAGCCCCTGAAACAACTTGAACTTGTGGCAAAAACTCTTGTAGGAAGAATTAGTATCGGTAGCAATAATACGCGTAGAATTAAACAACGGTAGGGACCAGTGAGATATAGAACCGGGGCGTTGCTATGATCCACATCTTAGCTTCCTGGTTGGCTTCCCGGTACGCTCCCTCATTCCACTAGATGACGGTATGGACAGGGAGGGCAGTGGATGCAGTCCGCTCCTAGATCCTCAGAAAGGGCTGTCTCGACCAGTCTGAAGCCCCAATGGGGACAGACCCATTGGATTGAAAGATGGAGAAGTACAGCATCATTCATTACATCATGAGGATGATGTCATCCGGATCTTTGACAGGTCAGGAGTATATCATACCGTAAATGCTCGCAAAGCTTTCGACATCACTCTCCCTTCACGAACAAGCCATTGATCCAAGCAATTGCAATATTCTGTTCCTAAATCAACCGTCCAAAGCACATATACAGTACCACACCACAAAACCATGTCCTCTCGCAAGGCACCAGGCGCAGGCCAGAAGGTTAGTAGCCGAACCCGATTCTCGATAACAAGATACCCAGCTGACACCCCCATCTCCCAGGTCACACCAGGGCAGTCCGCCCCCGAGCGCCGCGAAGGCGCCGGCGTGGTTGACTCCTCCTCCCTCGCCGCGGCCTCGGAGCGGTCCGGCGGCGGCTTCTCAGAGAACCGCGGCGCGAAGCAACCGTTTGATCAGCAGCCGCACGTGAGCGGCTCCGGTAGCGGTAGCGGTCCGGCGTCGTCCCTCGAGGCCCAGCAGTCGTACGGCGGGGCGGCACCGACGTACGTCCTTGGCCAGCAGATGCGGGACCCGGCGGGCCCGCATGGGAAGAACCTGAAGGAGGGGGGGTTCGAGGGGTCCGGGCCGGGGGATAGCATCACGGCGGAGCCTGGGAGCGAGAGGGACCCGGCGAGGGTGGCGGAGGGGGAGATGGGTCTGGCGCGGAATAGGGTCGGGAGGGAGGCTGGGCCTAAGCAGGGGGGGTTGGAGGGTGGGCACCCTTATGAGGTGCTGGAGAATGAGAGGTCGGCGTAGGTTGGGGGGCGTTATTGTTGGGGCAAAAAGTCCGTTGTTAAAAGCATGCTAGAGTGCTGTGTTGACATATAATCGCCAATTCCTAAAAACCGAGAGCTCGATTCCTCTCGTTCCGAGCTGAGCGTGTCTCCTCGATAATAGTGTATGGGTGTTCACCAGAGAAAAGAGTTTGGACTGCACATTCCCACCGATGATGCTCGCGGGCTCCCGGGGAAACATCTCAAGCCGATATCCAACCGCCAGGCCAAGGAAGTAGCATTAGGAATAGGTAGAACTAGACATTAAAAATAAGTAGGTTTGAACAGACGTTCAAGACATACTTCCCGGCCAGACATTGGGCTCGCCACCATTACTTCGCTCGAATCATTAACAGTTTACCTTAACCCCGCGGCTGAACAACTCCTAGCGAGGCCATTGGCATCCCAACGCAAGAATTTTACTCCGACTCCCCCCCAAATAACCTCAGGGCCATCCCCTCTCTCCCTCACAAGATTGCGATGACAACGCCCGCAACGGCAGCGAGCACGCCGCCGGCGTTGAGCGCCAGGTCGGCGGCGCTGTTCGACGTCGTCGCGGCGGCGGTGCCGGTGGAAGTGCGGGTGGAGCTGGAACCAGAGCCGCCGGAGCCCGAGCCAGAGCCGGAACCAGAGCCGCCGGAATCAGAGCCCGAGCCGGAACCGGTGGCTTCAGCGCCGCTAGGGTCCACGGTCGGCGTGGCGGTGGCGGCGGGGGTGCCGTTGCCGCTGACGACCTTGGCGGTCGGGGTGTTTGGGAACTGGCTCGCGTAGCCGCAGAAGATCTGCTTCTGGCCCGCGGCGTCGTGAATGCGGGGGTCGTTGGGGCAGTTGTTGTAGCAGCTGTAATTTTGGGGGGGAGGATGGTAAGCTTCCCACCACAAAACGGCGTGGGCGAAGGGGAGGGTTGAAGCGGCTGGCTGCGAGGACTCACGTCAGGATGTCGGTGTGGGCAGCGCACTTGCACTCGTAGTCGGCGTCCGCGCAAGCTGCGAGCTTGGCAGTCTCGGAGCCCAAGCAAGCCTCGACGATGTAATCGGCCCCGCAGGCGGAAGAAGTCTGGGCCACAGCGGCCGAGGCGAAGAGAGCGAGTGGGAGAAGAATGGCCTTCATTTTCGCAGATTACACGTAGAAGCGAAGGGAGGCTTGGCGAAGCTAAGAACGATGGCACGATGGTGTAATTTGAGCGTTTCTAGCAAGCAGTAAAACGAGTGACTAGAGTTTAGGAGAGCGACAAGAGAGAAGAAGCTCGAGAAATTTAAGTAGATTAGACGGAAGCTGCGCGTCAAGGTTCAAAGCGAGAGAAGGTTCGAGACTGGGAAGAAAAAAAGGAGCGAAACAGAGGCGATGCATATAAAGCCAATAAACAACGCCAGCCAGGCCGGGCCGTTTCGCTCGGCCGGGGTTTGGCGTGGCTCGTGAGCCTCTTCTCATTAAACGTGTCCGGGATGGACGACCTAAACCCGCATGCGTGGCTTGGGCTAGTCTGTTTTAGAATTAGCTCAGAGTCAAAGTCCGTAACCCGGTCACCCACCGCATAGGTACAGTAGCTTTCCGCTGAGCTTGAGGCTATCGCAAGATTGCCTGTCGTGCCAAACTCGGCTAAAAAGGAAATTCTGCATAAGACATGTGTTTTGTTTTATTTTTTCCTTTTCCTTTTCCGGTTCCTTCTTTCTCCCTTTCCTCTTCTCCTCCTTCTTTTTCTTGGGCGTGCGTGCCTGTCAGGTTCAAAAATCGGGTAGCAACAACCTGCCAACTGTCATCAGCCATTGAGTTTGCTTGAAACGTCGAAGTTTCTCCTGAGTGACTTGTGGCTCCAGTAATTAACCCCCCTCACATGCAAATCAGGTCATCCCACGCAGATGCTTCACGTCGCATGCGAAGTATGTCGCTAGGCGCAATACGAGAAGCATCCCGTCCTCGCAGTATTCCCGTCCCATTGCTCTGGTGTGTTCGTGGCCGAAACCGCTTGTTAATATGTGCCACGGCAGGAGCCGGCAGGAACCGAAGGGGAAAATGGGGCCGCTTCCCCTGCCACGGTTGTGCTAGGAATTTACGAATCCGTACCTTATCTCATTAGACTTTTGGGGAATGTCTCAGTGGAAAGGGGCACATCAGTCACGCAAGGCCGTCACTGAAGGCCCGGAGCTGGTTCCTGAGTTGCGCGTTGTCGCGCTCCAGATGTTCGACTTTAGCCTCGATCTCTTCCATCCGCTCCGAGGCCCCAACACTGAGCTCTTCCACGATCTTAACCAAGCGCCACAACCGCAAGACGATAACCAGCGACGCGATCTCCTCGACAATGCCGTGGACCAAAAGGTCGATGACGAAGCTCAAGAGGATGACGAAGCCGTCAAAGCAGTGGAACCAAGAGGCGAAGTACCTCGAGTGGCACATTTAGTGACCGTCATGTAAAGACGCTGAAACAACGCCGTGGTAACTCACTGGAGACCAAAGGCCCAGACGGAGAGTGCGAGTTCAACGAGGAACAAGGAGCTGAAGACGAGACCTGCAACCTGGAAGCCATAGTGGGTCATGTTCACCCAGTCCTCGTTTCGCTGCCCCGTATCACATGCAATCAAGGTGACGAATATGTCGGCGAGAATACCGGCAACATCTAGAGCCACGAGGCCCATGATCAAGTAGTGATTCTGCTTCGAGGACAAGTACTCCCGGGTCTGGACCCGACGACGAGCGGGGTTAGAGGTACTTCCGTCCTGATTGCTCCGTAGCAGCGGGACGCTTGCAGAACCATCGCCGTCTGCCATGCTCCCAACACGAATATCATGAAACAGTAAGCACCGTGAGCGTTGAAAAGAATTGCAGATCAATCGTCGGCGTCTAGGTAGCTAGGTGGGATATCCCGAGTTCGGTTGGTGGAGTTGAAACAACTTCAAAGAATACGACGACATAGACACGTGAGTAGGTTGGTGTATGGTTTGGTTTGGGTCTGGATTTACCCCGCTTATTGGGACTTGAAGATGATTGAAGATGTTAAGTTATCGAAAAGTCCACAATGTCATCACAATAACAACGATTGTTTCATACCTTGACCCGACCTTGGCAGGAACGAGAATTAGTACGAAGCAGAGGCGCAGATCTGCCCTGTTTTCAGGGGACCGTTTTCAGATTAAAAAATACAAATCCGGAAGAAGTCGTGACGGTCGAGGAACACATGGTTTTCCTGGCGTACGGGCGACCTGGCGTCGAAATCAGCGAAGGAAGATCGGATGCTACGCATGCGGAGCAGAGGTCGTGTTTAACAGAGCAGCAAAATCACTCGGACAAACCCCCACAACCATGCATTTTCAGCAGGTTATGATGTGACGCTGCTGGCATCACTGAACGCAATTGCGCTACTATTATCTGCCAGACGCTATGTCGCATTGCATGCTTCCCAGAGCCGCTTCCTAGAGCGAGATACACTCTCTTCATCCAGAACACCGATTCTATGATATATCGTTCCGTGTCAACGCCACGAATGCCCAATCCGCCCAACTCTATGCCCATTCCCAGTCGCTTCTCACCCCGTGCAATGCCCCCGTCGCGATGCCCATGATCCAGAGAGACATGACGTCAGAAAAGCTGCCAAAGAACGCCGTGTAAGGTGGGCTATTCATCGTCTCGTATGCACGTGCTTTCGTGCTCGTGCTCGTGCTCGTGTTGTGCTTGTGCTCGCCTTCGTCCCGTCATGTCATGTGTGTCGACTCCGCTTGCCACCATTGCCGAACGGGTCTTTGCCAGAACCTAGGCTACCCAAGTCGAATATCTCGGCAAAGTTGATTTTCCGTTTCTGTCCAGCCCCTCGGCCCAGGTGGCTTGCTGATCTGGAGTTCGTCCGCGCACCGTTCCCATGCCGTGTTCTTGACGACCTGGACACGGGGGCGGCCGTAGCGCTGTGGGAGTCTGACAGGTCGAGGTTGGCCAGGTTGAGGTAGGGCGGGTAGGGATGCGATGACTGGAAATTGAATGTTTCTTGCGTGGGAACGACAATCTCAGGCTCGGGCTCCTCCGCTATTGTAGTGACAGGCTGGACCACGGGCGGTGCAGAGTCTCGCATAGTTGCCTCGTTCCGCAGGGCCGGTAGTTGTGTTGCGCTGGTCGATCGGTGCGTCTCTGGCGACGATGCTGTCGTCTCGGCCTTCTCGACCTCGTCCTCACTCTCCATGCTCTGAGGCACCCCGTCCCGCCCCTCCAGCCGGTCGGTTAACCACCTCCGTACCCTCCGGCCTTCTCCATCACCCAAGCCGATGTTCTCTCTGTCGAGGAAGGATTGCAGGTCGTCGAGACAGTCCTGGTAGCCATCTGTTCGAGCTTTGGTCTGCGCTGAAGCCGAGATTTTATACAGTTTTGTGACGGAGAGCGCGGCAGCCTTGAAGGCATCGAGCAGCTGCTCGGGCGGTTCGGCGCTCATGATATTGCGTTGCTATGGAAGTTGTATGGGTGGACACACCGTATTCCAGCGAAAAAAGGCGTGCGGACCCCAATGTTCTTCTAGCCGAAAGTGTGCAGACGTCAAGAGGGCTTTTTGGGGCCGAAACAATTCAACCAAATTGTGGGTCAATAGGCGTATGGAAGAGGGTCGGTGACTAATAGGTGATGGCGGAAGTCACTCGCTGATGAGCCCTGCGCTTCTGGTAAGAAGTGTGATATATCGGGGAGTGAAAAATGGACTGCACCGTTGGCGAGAGAGTTGGGGAGTGTGACACCCTTCGTGCCCTGGCCTTGTTGGGTTTGTCGATGATGTTGTTTCCTTTCTTCCTGGGCTGTTGCCACAGCCAAGGCTAGGTACTAACAGGTGGGGGTTTTCAGCCACAGTGATCTGTGCTGGTAGTGGCTTCCAACAGCTACTAGAACTGAGGAACAACCTAGGTACCGAGTACTCTCTCGAGTAAAATCCATAGGGTAACTTAGGTGGGAATATTTACAGGGGAAGTAATTAAACCACACTCTTTTTGCAATCCTCTATATTCTAATGCCAGCTGAGTATCGCAAGGCACCTGGATGGCTAAATCGTGACGAACTCGGCAGGCAGTCAAACGGTAGGTAACGTGGTACTTGAGTAACGGACGGCTTAAAATTCATCCTTTCCGTTATCGATCCATTCTGATTGGCCCATGCAGCTCAAAATGCTCCAAAGGGCTAATGTCTCGATTGCGCTATTCCCAATTTGGATGCGATTTCGTGTGAATGGATTTTTGGTTGTCTTCGACACGGAGAACCCACCACCAGACCACTTATCCTCCTCAAACAACACTCGCCAGGGCAGTCAGTCTTTTACCTCGCCATCAATCTCAGCAACAAGATCTTGACCACCCCCAAATCTAAGCAGCGGCATCCAAAACAGTCCTTTCTAAACCGAAGACTGTGTTCGCGGCGCGTCTAAGTCGCGTTTAAGTGGAAAGCCGCGACAGAGATGGCTTCCTCTCGCTCTCGCGCCAGCGGCAATGATACCGACGCGTCAATGCCCGACGCTCCAGAGCCCAGCCATCGCCCGGGAGATGAGATGGTACGCTTTCCCCGATATCCCCTGGATATGTCCATGTTCCTGCCGTGGGCTACTTCTACAAGGCTCTCGCTTCTGCTGACACTTAACTACCTGCCTAGGAGGTGGATGAGACCCCTGACTACACCGACTCCGATACCAACCCGAATACTACAGCCAGCAGTGTGGTAGGCGAACCGCTTAACGAAGGCCGAAAGCGGCGAACAGAGGCCAACGAGCTTCGGCGGAGCATCTTTGGCAAGAAGCATGATGCGCTAGGAGAATCTAAGGTGCGAGACTGGTTCGGACGCTGCGCAGAAAACGCCGTTTGAGTTATACTCAGCTACTCACACAACAGATTTATAGGAAGATGATACACTTCGAAGATTCAGATACCTTCTTGGCTTGACCGACCTGTTTCGCCACTTCATCGACACCAACCCCGATCCCAAGATCCGCGGCATCATACAAGAGATTGATCGTCAGAATGCTGAGGCCAAAAATAAGAAAGCCGTTAGTCGTCAAGGTGGCGCTACTAGTGACAGACGTCGCCGGACCGAGGCCGAGGAAGACGCTGAGCTGCTCAAAGATGAGAAGCGTGGAGGATCCGCAGAAATCGTCTTCCGGGACTCGCCTGCTTTCATCCAAGGCACCATGAGAGATTACCAAGTCGCCGGCCTGAATTGGCTCATCTCCCTCCACGAGAACGGCATTTCCGGAATCCTCGCCGACGAGATGGGCCTCGGGAAGACCCTGCAGACTATCTCATTTCTGGGTTATCTCAGACATATGATGGGCACTACGGGGCCGCACCTGATCACCGTTCCCAAATCCACGCTTGACAACTGGAAGAGAGAGTTTGCAAGGTGGACGCCCGAGGTCGATGTCCTTGTGCTACAAGGTGCCAAGGAGGAACGACACCAACTCATCAACGAGCGCCTCATCGATGAGAAATTCGACGTCTGCATTACCAGTTATGAGATGATCCTCCGAGAGAAGGCGCATTTGAAGAAGTTTGCTTGGGAGTACATCATCATCGATGAGGCGCACCGAATCAAGAACGAAGAGTCTTCACTTTCCCAGGTCATTCGCCTCTTCAACTCCAGGAACCGGCTTCTCATCACCGGCACCCCCCTGCAGAACAATCTGCATGAGTTGTGGGCCCTACTCAACTTCCTCCTTCCGGATGTCTTTGGTGACGCCGAGGCCTTTGACCAGTGGTTCTCTGGCCAAGATCGAGACCAGGACACGGTTGTTCAGCAACTCCATCGAGTCTTGCGGCCCTTCCTTCTTCGCCGTGTCAAGAGCGACGTTGAGAAGAGCTTGTTACCGAAGAAGGAGGTCAATGTATACATTGGCATGTCCGAGATGCAGGTTAAGTGGTATCAGAAGATCCTGGAGAAGGACATCGATGCCGTTAACGGAGCTGGCGGGAAGCGGGAATCGAAAACGCGACTGCTCAACATCGTCATGCAGTTGCGCAAGTGCTGCAACCATCCGTACCTCTTCGAGGGTGCAGAGCCTGGCCCGCCATACACGACGGATGAGCATCTCGTCTACAACGCCGGAAAGATGGCTGTTCTCGACAAGCTCCTGAAGAGGTTAAAGCAGCAGGGCAGTAGAGTCCTGATCTTCTCCCAGATGAGCCGTCTCCTAGACATCCTCGAGGACTACTGCGTCTTCCGGCAGTACAAGTATTGCCGGATCGATGGTGGCACGGCTCATGAGGATCGTATCGCGGCCATTGACGAGTACAACAAGCCTGACTCGGAGAAGTTCGTCTTCCTCCTCACCACCCGAGCTGGAGGACTCGGCATCAACCTCACTTCGGCCGATATCGTCATTTTGTACGACAGCGACTGGAACCCACAGGCCGATCTACAGGCTATGGATCGTGCTCACCGTATCGGCCAGACTAAGCAGGTTATCGTGTACCGCTTCGTCACGGACAATGCTATCGAGGAGAAGGTCCTGGAGCGAGCGGCGCAGAAGTTGCGCCTTGACCAGTTGGTTATCCAACAGGGCCGCGCCCAAATCGCTGCCAAGGCAGCTGCGAACAAGGACGAACTACTGTCCATGATTCAACACGGCGCCGAGAAGGTCTTCCAGACGAGAGGCGCCACGGGAACACTCGCAGACAAGGGCGCCGAACTCAACGATGACGACATCGACAACATTCTTACAGCCGGTGAGAACCGTACTAAGGCACTGAATGCCAGGTACGAGAAGCTGGGAATCGACGATTTGCAGAAGTTCACGTCCGAGTCGGCTTACGAGTGGAACGGAGAAGATTTTGCCGCTCGGAAGAAGGATATTGCTGTCTCATGGATCAATCCTACCAAGCGTGAGCGAAAGGAGCAGATCTACTCGATCGACAAGTATTACAAGCAAGCATTGCAGACCGGAGGCCGTACAGCGGACTCAAAGCCCAAGGCCCCTCGCGCGCCGAAACAGGTCCAGGCTCACGATTACCAGTTCTATCCGCCCAGGCTGCGCGATCTCTATGACCGCGAGACGGCTTACTACCGCAAGGAAATTGGCTACAAGGTGCCACTTGCAGATGGTGACGATGACAACCTGTCCGAGCGGGAGGCGGAGAGAGCTCTCGATCAACAGGAGATTGACAGCGCGACGCCGTTGACTGAGGAGGAACAGGAAGAGAAGGAGAAGCTTGCCGTCCAGGGATTTGGTGATTGGAATCGTCGTGACTTCCAGCAGTTCATCAACGGCTCTGGACGCTACGGGCGACACGACTACGAGATGATCGCTCAAGAAGTCGACAACAAGACACCGGCCGAGGTTAAGATGTATGCCAAGGTCTTTTGGCAGCGATATAAGGAGATATCCGATTACAACAGGTACATCAAGGTGATTGAGGACGGCGAGGAGCGGATGCGGAAGATTGAGAACCAACGCAAGATGCTGCGGAAGAAGATGTCACAGTACAGGGTCCCCATCCAGCAGCTCAAGATCAACTACTCGGTCTCGACCACCAACAAGAAGGTCTACACCGAGGAGGAGGACCGCTTCCTGCTCGTGCAGCTGGACAAACACGGCATTGATTCCGAGGGAATCTACGAGAAGATTCGCGACGAGATCCGCGAGAGCCCGCTCTTCCGCTTCGACTGGTTTTTCCTGAGCCGCACGCCCGTCGAGATAAGTCGCCGGTGCAACACGCTCCTCACCACGATCGTCAAGGAGTTCGAGGACGTGAACACGACCAAGGCGAACGGCGCCGCCTGGAAGTCGAAGAGGGAGCCGGACGACGACGAGAACGACGAGGATAGCGTCCTCGGCATGGCTCCCACAAAGAAGAAGTCCAAGGCGGCTAACGGGGTCAAGGTGAGAGATGCCGATCACATCACGTTTGCGTCCGGGAATAAATTTATGCTAATCCATTTTGCTACAGAACAAGGCACTCGATAACGTCAAGTCGGGCACGGCGAGCAAGGCCAATTCCGCGGCCCCGTCACGGGCGTCGAGCGTCATGTCCAACCAGTCGAACGCTGGGAGCAAGAGTAAGAAGGGCAAGAAGAAATGAGTTTCATGTCGATTTGGCGGTGTGATTTGCGAGGCAATCGAGACGGGAGGTGCGAAATCGGGTTCGGGTCTCGATAAGCGAGGTAGTTTGTCATAGGACTAGGGGTGTCTCTACTCTGGTGCTCGACTCTCTGTGGCTCTGCAAGAAGAGGGGACCTGGTGTTTGTTTGGTTCTGGTGCGGTTTCTCAGAACAAGGAGTTGTTGATTTCATTTTTTACCGGTCGACCCTCGGCGATTACGGAGGGAAGGGGGCATCGTTATCGGGGCAGTCGGTAAAATTGATCTTGTTTGTACAGGTCTCAACAGAAACAAAATCACGATAGCTTAAGAGAGTTCTTTAGGCTGCCCTTTTTTTATGAAGTGGACTGATAATGATTTGTGGTCTTGCAAAGTCATTGTGATATGGGCTTGATTACACATGCCAGAATCTACGATGGGTTTACCTAAAGCCCACCCCCTTTACCAAAGAGAAACCCCCTGCTGGATCAGAATTTTCCCTGGAAAAAAAGAAGAAAATAACGCCATGAGATAGAATGCCCACGCCTGGAAACAATGGGAGCCCACGAGCAATGAGCCCCCACAGATAGAGAGAGAGAAGACACACAGACACACATGCAGCAACCACCCTCCCCCCAACAACCTCGACCGGACCTCACTGGGCCAATCGGTTCTGCCGTTCCCTCTCGACCTCGTAGGTGAAGTCGAAGTAGGCCTTGTCGAACTGGTGGAGGCGGACGTAGCCGTCCTCGCCGCCGCTGGCGTAGCCCTTGCCGGTGGGGTCGGCGGCGACGGTGTTGAGGGGGCCGAAGTGGCCGCGGACACGGCCGATCTCGTCCTCGAAGATCTTGTGATAGAAGCGGGCCTCAAACTTGCCCTGGCGGGCCGAAGTGCGGGTGACGTCCATAGCGGCCTGGCCACCGCCGAGGATGACGAAGTCCTTCTTGGGCGTGATGGTGGCACTGTTGAGGGAGGTATCGGAGACGTAGGTCTTAAGGACTTCGAGGTCGCGGGCCGAGATGAGCTGTCACGGGGGGTGGGGGGTTAGCGGGAACAGGCCTTGTTTGTGCATTTTGACTTTTTATATAGAGACGTAGGGTGGAGGGAATGGAGGGAGTTGGGGAAGGGAAGGAAGAGAAATGATAGGAGTGAGTGATGTGGACGGCTTACCTTTGCACTCTTATCTTTGCATGCGGTGATGAAGTATGTCCGGTCCTGACCCCACTGAAGATCGGTAATCGCCATGTTCAGTTCGTGAATGGGGATGTTGATGAGCAGGTCGCCGGTCTTGGCGTCGTATTGCGAGACGGAGCCGTCCTCGTGTCCGGCAATGATGTACTTGCTCAGATAGCTCCACCCGGCAACAGTGGCCTTGCTCTCGTCGCAGACGATAGTGATGGCCTTCTCGTCGCTCTGCTCAGCCTCAACGTCGATTACGACGTCCAGCACCACAATGGTGCCTAGGTGGCCCATCCGCTTCTCGGTGACGCCCAGCAGCTTCGTCCCGTCCTCGTTAAACTCCACCCTCTTCACGGCGGTCGGGAACTCCCATGTCTTCAAGCACTTGCCCGACTTGATGTCCCAGAGGCGGATGGTGTTGTCGGCTGAGCCGCTCGCGATGATGGTCGAGGTGGGGTCGACATCGACGGTCCAGATGGCGCCTTGGTGGCCGTGGTAGGTGCCGAGACGCTCGCCGTTATGTGCGAACCACACACAGATATGCTGATCTTTAGCGGTGGAAAAAATCAAGTCGCCATCACGGTTGTATCTGTTGTTGCAGCGGCGCCATTAGTAGCCATTCTCTCCCTGGAGGTACTTTGCGGGGGGCTGGCGCATTTTCTTACTTGATCTGGGTGAGGGCTCTCTCATGGCCCGACAATAGAATGGGCCTCATTTTTGCACTTTATATGCACCAGAAGGGGTGGTTTTGGTACGATGCCTGATATGTGCCTGTTGTCTCGGAAAGGCTTCGTTGCAAGGTCGATTTGTCGATTTGCACGAGCTGGTCTTGGTGGATTGAAATTTTTGCCGAGTTGTGCGTCTGGAGGCTCAAGGACGGGGAACTCATCGCGGGGCAGCCCCTCCCTCTCAGCCACAGGTTCACTGCATTGTGGCGGCGCTAGACTAGAAATACTTTAGTGTGACTAATGCTGCTGTGACTGGAGCCATCTCAACCATCATCATGGCAACCCGAACCCTTCGTCGAAAGAACCTGGAACCAACCTAGCCCATTTTTGTTACTTAATCTGAACTGCCGTATTGTCAAAGCTCGACGCAGTAGGTACCCCTATACCTGCCTACATATTATTAATGGTGTCGGAAGGCGCGTCTGGCTCGGGGCTGCGGTTAACAATCTTAAACGCTCCGTTGCTCGATGTAGAATAGACCAGCTGCTTTGCAACGTGGTGCGCATTGAGGTATATGGAGATTTGTCCTCCCATCACGGAATGCAGCATCGCACCGCACCTACGTAGCGAACTTGTCGATATTTTTCAGGCCCACATTACCTAAGTCTCTCTCTCTCTAGGCCCAAGTTGAGTGTTGAGTCAGAGTCTCTTTGGTCTTACGCAGTAACACAGCACTACTTCCTGTAAACGGCCCCCTGTGGGGCGACTTGGGGAAAAAGGTATGACTCTCTCAGCCATCGCCAATGGATCTTCACATGCAGGTTGGATGGCTCAGCGCAGCAGCACCACCATCCTTCAGAGCTCAATAAGCCGAAAAAGACTACGGGTGCCATTCGCCATTCGCCCGACTCAAGCCGGCAGCTTCTCCCAAGGCTTCGATTCGGCTATTCGAATACCCTGGGCGGCCCGACGAACCCCACCAGCTTCGTCCGGCGCCGGCTTGTCATCATCCTTAGCTCCTGGTCTGATTATCTCGACGACGCTCGGCACCACCCTTGCTCATTCGAGTTCTCACCGTCTTGATATAAGCCATTACTGTCCAGTGAGAGGCGCCTTCTCATGCAATCCCCGTCTCGCTCCACGTAAAGCACTCTTCTCCACCTCATCTCGCGCAATGGTTGCCACCAAAATTGATGGCACCGCCATCGCCAAGAAAATCCGGGAGAGGTTGCACGCAGAAATCGCTGAGAAGCAGGCGATAAACCCGAGGTACAACCCGTCGCTCAAGATCATTCAAGGTGCGTCACCTCTTCAAGAACTGTTCCAGGGACATGTAAAACAGAGAAAGCTGACTCGGTGTTTAATCTAAAAGTTGGTGACCGACCTGATTCTTGTACGTTGACCGCCCACTGGGAGAGGATTTGTTCTCACTCCATCTTCCCCCAAGCTGACCATATATCCCTCAGCCACATATGTTCGCATGAAGTTGAAGGCCGCCTTGGAGGTGAGTGACCATTTGAAAGGGGCCCCAACTTGGACCAACGCCGCTGAACAAAAGATGCACTTCAGGCGGGCATCCAATGCGAGATTCTCAAGTTCGAGGAATCCGTCGCCGAAGCCGAGTTGCTTGCCCGGGTCTTTGTGCTCAACAACGACCCTGACACCCACGGGATTCTGGTCCAGCTCCCCTTGCCCAAGCACATCGATGAGTATGTCGTGACCTCGGCTGTCGCCGATGAGAAGGATGTCGATGGCTTCGGCACCACCAACATTGGCGAGTTAGCCAAGCGTGGCGGCCACCCGCTCTTCACCCCCTGCACCCCCAAGGGCGTCATGGTCCTCCTAGAGGAGACCGGCGTCGACCTCCGGGGGAAGAACGCCGTCGTCATCGGCAGGAGCGACATTGTGGGTAGCCCGGTCAGCTATCTGTTGAAGAATGCGGACGCAACAGTCACCGTCTGCCATTCCCAGACTACGGGCCTGCAGGAGCATTTGAAGCAGGCCGATGTTGTTGTTGCTGCCATCGGAAACCCCGCCTTCATAAAGGGCGAATGGCTGAAGGAGGGCGTCGTGGTGATCGACGTCGGGACCAACTACATCCCAGACTCGACCAAGAAGTCCGGTTCGCGCCTCGTTGGCGACGTCGACTTTGAGTCTGCCTCGCAGGTCGCGTCTTTCATCACCCCTGTCCCGGGCGGCGTGGGGCCGATGACCGTCGCAATGCTGCTGCAGAATGTGGTGGATGCCACCACATCACACTTTGAACAACAAAAGCAGAGGCGGATTGTTCCCCTACCGCTCAAGCTTGAGTCCCCGGTGCCCTCGGATATTGCCATCTCGAGAGCCCAAACACCAAAGCACATCACCCGTATTGCTAAGGAGGTGGGGATTGCACCATGGGAACTTGAGCCTTACGGTGCCTACAAGGCGAAGGTCGATCTCAGCATCCTCAAGCGCCTGGACCATCGACGAAACGGTCACTACGTTGTCGTCACCGGCATCACTCCTACACCCCTGGGCGAGGGCAAGTCGACCACCACAATGGGCCTCGCCCAAGCCCTCGGTGCTCACATGGGCCGTCTCACTTTCGCAAATGTTCGGCAGCCCAGCCAAGGCCCGACATTCGGTATCAAGGGCGGTGCTGCCGGGGGTGGATACAGCCAGGTCATCCCCATGGACGAGTTCAACCTCCATTTGACGGGCGACATCCACGCCGTCAGCGCCGCGAACAACCTGCTGGCAGCCGCCATCGAGACTCGCATGTTCCACGAGGACACACAAAAGGACGGCCCACTGTACAAGCGCTTGGTGCCGGCCAAGAATGGGAAAAGGCAGTTCGCCCCGGTCATGTTCCGGCGGCTGAAGAAGCTGGGCATCGAGAAGACCGATCCCGACGAGCTGACCGAGGACGAGATCCGCCGATTCGCCCGCCTGGACATAGACCCGGCGACCATCACGTGGAAGCGGGTGGTGGACGTCAACGACCGGCACCTGCGGGGCATCACCGTCGGGGCCGCGGCCACGGAGAAGGGCCACACGCGCGAGACCGGGTTCGACATCTCGGCCGCGAGCGAGTGCATGGCCATCCTGGCGCTGAGCACCGACCTGGCCGACCTGCGCGAGCGCCTCGGCAGGATAGTCGTGGCGACCTCGCGCGGCGGCGACCCGGTCACCTGCGACGACATCGGGGCGGGCGGCGCGCTGACTGCGCTGATGAAGGACGCCATCAAGCCCAACCTGATGCAGAGCCTCGAGGGCACCCCTGTCTTCGTCCACGCGGGGCCCTTTGCCAACATCAGCATCGGCAACAGCTCCATCCTGGCGGACAAGATGGCCCTCAAGCTCGTGGGCACGGAGCCCGACGAGGACCACTCCGCCAAGGCCGGGTTCGTGGTGACCGAGGCCGGCTTCGACTTCACCATGGGCGGCGAGCGCTTCTTCAACATCAAGTGCCGCGCCTCGGGCCTCGTGCCCGACGTGGTCGTCATCGTCGCCACGGTGCGCGCCCTCAAGGTCCACGGCGGCGCCCCGCCCATCTCCCCCGGCGCCCCGCTTGACCCCGTGTACCTGCGCGAGGACGTCGGCGTCCTGCGCCGGGGCTGCACCAACCTCGCCAAGCAGATCGCCAACGCGCGGTCCTACGGCGTGCCCGTCGTCGTCGCCGTCAACCGCTTCACCACCGACACCGACGCCGAGGTCGCCGCCGTCCGCGAGGAGGCCATCGCCGCCGGCGCCGAGGACGCCGTCCTCTCCAACCACTGGGCCGAGGGCGGGCGGGGGGCCGTCGACCTCGCCGCCGCCGTCGCGGCCGCGGCCGAGAAGGCGAGGGGCGACGCCGACAGCTTCCGCCTGCTGTACGACTCGTCGGGCACGGTGCACGAGCGCATCGAGCGCATCGCCGTGTCCATGTACGGCGCGTCGGGCGTCGAGCTGGGCGAGCTCGCGCGGCGCCAGGCGGACACGTACACGCGGCAGGGCTTCGGCGGCCTGCCCGTGTGCGTGGCCAAGACGCAGTACTCGCTCAGCCACGACCCGGCGCTCAAGGGCGCGCCCACCGGGTTCGTCGTCCCCGTCCGCGACATCAGGCTCGCCGCCGGCGCCGGGTACCTGTACGCCCTCGCCGCCGACATACAGACCATCCCCGGCCTGCCCACCGCTCCCGGGTACCTCAATGTTGATGTCGATGTCGAGACGGGGGAGATCCATGGCTTGTTCTAGGGGGCGGGAGGCGCTTTTCTGTTGTGTGTGTGTTGCGCTCCGAAAACGGGAAGAGAGGTTTGTAGATCTCGTCTGATGTCTAGACTCAACGTAAGAGGTTGGAAGAGGGTTAGTTAGGAGGGGCCGTGATCGGTTAGGAAGGGCACAATGGGAGCCTGGTACATGTTTTCAACAACAGGCGTGGCATGAAGAGATCGGTGCGATATCTTAGTTTTATTCCTCTTTTTTATTCAAGTTATGAGATGGAAAGAGGTAGAAAAAACTAGACATGCTCTACTTGAAGGACATTCTAATCAGTTTCATCATGCTCGAGACGTTTTAGACGTTCAGATGTTTATTTGTTCGTCATGACAAGTAAAGTCTTTTCTTTCCCCCCGCGGTTATAACCAGGGAGACTGCCCTCCCGCGGCCGCCCGACTTGTTCCTTTCTCCACGCTTCTCAGTCGCTGGCACACCCACGTTGCTCTCGGTCTGAGAAGGAAGAGAAGCAAGAGGCATACAGTAATTGGTGTATATACAAAAGACCGATAGACGCCCCAAGATATGCAGCGAAAAAAGGTGACAGCGGTGGCTGGTGGACGGGCGCCTGTATGCAAACGAAGGGGGTGGGTATGGAGGAGTTCTAACAAACGAAAACATACCCGGTCTTTTGCTTTGGGTGATCGGATTTGATCCCATTCCGTCCCTGCACGCCGCCCAAGGGGGAGTGGAAACCCCATTGCCTGTCCGTGTAGGTGAGTGGGTGGTTGCCTGCATGCGGATACATGCAGAGGTATAATAAATGAAGAGCCTTCTTCCCATTACCAAGCCGTGTGCGAAAGAAGAAATGATCAGGACTCGTCCTAGTATATCCGGCCATAAAAGGAGCGTAAAACAGACAAATCTACCAGCTAAACTGTTCGCAATGCAGCTCCACAGCAGGCCCGTTGGCTCGGATAACGCTGGCCGTGGCGTCCCTCGTAACCTTCATCAGGCCGGGCGGTCCACATGCCGCTATGAGTACTCTCTGTGATGAGGGTGTTGAGTTGACGGCCTGGCGGATCAGGGTGGCGGCATCGGGCCTGCCAGCCGTCACGCGGGGGTTCCCGTGCTGCTCTGTGTCCTCAGCCTCCTCCGCCGCCGCCGTTGTGGTGGTGGTCTCAATTGCCGAAACCCTCTTGCCCTTGTTGGCGTGCTCAACGTGCAACCCCCGCTCACGCTCCATCTCCTTTTCGATGTCGTCCGATAGAGTGGAACGGTGGTGTGCAATAGGTGGGAGGCTGATCTTGGCGCGGGCAAGCGCTTTCTCGACATCGGGGGTAGAGGCGGTCGGCGAGGCGCCTAGCGACGACGACGAGGACATTGTGTGGGTGCGGTCGTCGTCCGGGGATTCGACGCGTGGGTTCAAGCGGCCCTCGGGAGAGACGGGGGCACGAGTCACGTAGAGTGAGAGGTTGATTTTGCCAGAGTGGTCGTGAGTGCAGAGGGTTTGGAGATGCTGCGTGAACCAGGACAGGCTCTCTGAACAGACGGACGTGTTAGTTGCTAGTCCCGCGACCCTTCTCGGGACTGTGTCTACTCACCATGCTGCCTCACAGTCCATATGAAGACTATGGACTTGGTCGATGTCTCCTTCATCCGCTCAAGCAAGTTGACAGCAAGGCCGAAGGTGAAGCTGGCCCCGCTACCCCCAGCAATCAAAACGATCTTGTCGTACTCCATGGGGTCGGGGAAGGTGCCATATGGTCCGTCGACAGACGCCCTAAGCTTCGCACCCGGATGGGCTTGGGCAAACTTGTAGAGGTCGCCGGTAAAGCCATTGTGCGAGTTGATGATGAATTCCAGTGGCTGCGTGCCGACGATGGTGAAGGGGTGCATCTCGAATCGCCGAATTGCCGGAATCCAGACAAAGAAATGCTTCCCAGGAACCGCCCTCGTGGGGACCTTCTTCATGACAACCCTCGTGCCGCCATTCGGGAGTGGGTAGAGTGTCGCTGAGTTATTGGAGGCGTAGTAGACCGCCCTTCCAACTCTGATGGCGCGATCCGTAACCCACATGGAAGCCGCGAGAAGCAGGATAATGATGATCCTCTTGCCGAGCTCGTGTTGGTGGAAACAGGCGCAGGCGATTCCGACCATGAAGCAAGTCAGATGGACCACGTAAAACAGTTCGTACCAGATCCGACGGAGCACAATGGCCGAGAGGGTGGCACTTAAGAAGGCGAAACCGGCGATTATGGCAGCAATCTGTTCCTTCTCAACAAGGAGCCTCAGCAAGTCCTTCTTGGAGAAGTACACGGTATAGGTGATCGCATGCATAGCCATGAAGAGGAAGGTGGTGCAGCCCGCAATCTGGTGCAGGCAGTTGAGGCGCTCGTACGAGTATGCTGTAAGGAACGCCAACGGGGTGTTCTTCAAGGCTAGGAAGACCACAAAACACAGATTTCCAGCCGTCATCCTGCACAAGGGTCAGTCTACCACGTCCAAACAAGAGTATTATTAAGTCGAACAGTAGACGGAAGGCTACCTACCAGCCGGCCCTCGCAGCAAAGTTGCTGGCAACCGAGAAGTCGAGGTTGGTGAAGCAGATGGCAGCGTTGATGCCCACATAGGAGGCGACGACCAAAGCATGACCGGCAGAGTTGAATCGGGGCACCTTGCGGATCAGAAGCCTACGTATACATCTGGTGGGGAGGTTAAGGTTAGCCACCTTCTTCCTAGGTCCGATACGCGTTCGCGGGTCCTTACCGTGTAACAGCACCAAAGGGTGCAGCAAGGGGCATCGTAGAGCAGGATGAGTGCGAAACCTTGCTGAAGATGGCGCGGGACCAGTGCAAGATGATGAAGATGCCCATCAAGCCACAAATTGCTGCCGCGAACATGGCCAGCTGTCGCTCGTTCGTAGCTTGCCTCGCGATCGCCGCGGCTCCCCCCCAACTACCACTACTGGCATGGCCTCCTCCACCACCATTTCCAGAGCCAGAGCCACCCCAGGTAGAGTTGCCAGAGGCAGAACCGCCTGAGCCCGAGCCTGAGCTTGAGCCTGAGCCTGACCAAGCCATCTTGTTATATGGGTGGGATGAAGCGTTGTCGGCACGCCCTATGTATGACAAGATATGTAGGGCCTAGAAGAGGTGGGAAAGTGGGAAGTTGGAAAACCGTGGATGCCCTGACATAAAGCAGCAGAGCGGTCGGAAGAGAAGTTTCAGGGAAGCAGAGTCATGGCTATGGAAGAGAAGGGTGAAGTGTATAAAACTGGGTCTAGACTGTTCGAATCAAACCACACCAGGATGTAATCGTGTTTTATATCCTATGCCTCTTCCCGCCTGTGAGTGCATCATGGGATATGATGGTCCACCTATGCTCCGGGGTAGAGGACCGGGGGGGAGGGAGAAGAGGGCACTCGATAAATGAAGAGGCAGTAGCATCTCGACTTTAGATGCACAACAAGCAGGATTGATAATTACAGGGTCATCACATGAAAGTAGGTACAAAGTCAAGAGGCAAAACGTTGGCAAGCGCACGGGTGACCGTAACATGGTCGGGAGCTTACCGACCGGATGAGAGGCATCAGGGGGGGAAGGGGAGAAAGGGGCGGAGAAGGGAGCAAGCCAAAGCGTCCTTCCGCTGCGACTGGCCTGGGGGCAAACTGGGCCGAAGCAAGCCAGCATGACAACCACTTCGGGGAACTTTCAAATTAGTTGATATCCAGAACGGAACTTTGTCAGCTTGACAAAGCAAGTAGCTCTCAGGGTGGAACCACGCATGGGAAGCAAGCATGGAGTGGGCGCTGCTGGCGATGCTGGCGACGCGAACCTGGGAGGCGACAACGGTTTAACCGCGACAATAAATGATCCGGAGCCGCAATTGGCAGAGGCGGTAGTGTGAGCAATATGGATAAAGCTGTGCAAATTAAAAAGGTGACCGTGACAGCCACCCGGTGTGTTGGGGAAGGCAGAGCGACTGGAGACACATGGATCCCCCAGAACGGCCATGATAATTACCCCACAAACGCAAGTAATATCGACAAATAAACAAGAGATAATGTTGGCAGGGCTTGACAGGTTTCCCTGTCTTGAGGGGCCGGGACTTGCAGAGGCACGAGTGGCAAACCCCCCCAGGTAAGAGGTCTCCAGACCCTTCGCGGTGCGCCATCGCGTCTGTATCTGGACAGATGCAGGACGATGAGCATGTTAGATAGACCGATAGGGTTGCGCAGGCACAGACAGGCAGACGGGATGTATGCCGGGGTGCCGAGAGCCAGGAGCGACGTTGAGGCTTGCGCCACTTAGCTAGAACGGTGAGCTTAACAGGGGGACGGGCGCACGGCGCTGAGAGCCAAGCTGTTAGTTCGAGGGGATCGATGGGAGCTTGGACTGATTGCCCGCGGCAACAGTCTTGGACTCTTCTGGTGGTTGCTGAATCGTAGCACGTCCCGGTTTTACTTGGCAAAAAGCGGCAACAAGGTGTGATCGACGATGCGGGAATCTCAAGTTTGGGCTTACTGTCCGGAAACGAGAGCCGCCCAATGCAACCTGACGGATGTCCGCGAGACTTAGAGACGGCTCCGTTCCAGCTTGTTGGCTGACGACAGGACCCGGAGGCGTTGGATAAGGCGATAGAGGCGGAGAGAATGTCTGTGTGTGGGTGTGTGGGTGTGTGAGTGGCAGGCCAGAAGCTGAAGAGCGTGCGGCAATGCTACTCTCTGCAGCTGCAGGTTAAGCATTCGAAGGGACATCACTAAGCTGCCATACCGTCACAAGACCGTTCCTGGGGGAGGATTTACACGATATTCCTGGTTGGGAAAGAACCGTTTTGGGCTGAGATCCTTGGTGGGGACCTGCTTGACGGGAGATCTGGAGGACTTTGGTTGGCTCCGTTGCACGCCGTTACACCAGCCTTGGCCCAATTAGGCAAGTTCGACGCCCGCCCTCCGCCCCTTCCAGGAACGCGTTTCCGAGCGGTCTCCCGCCGTCGACCCACACTGTGTGCCTATCCCCTCCCACATTTCCAGAACGCAAATTGCTCGTCAAATAAGGATCTATCAGCGGGACTCGAAGTGCCTTATTCTTTTTGGCCCTCTGCAATGACGCGCTTAGAATTCAGGAAATAAGACGGGACTATGCTGATCACAAAGCCACCCGCTGAATTGCTGCTGGAATCTCGGCAGCGGCTGCCAGCACACCGACCTGGAATCCCCAGTGTAGTTGGGGCATCGGTGCCTCCGTGCCCCCAGTCTGGAGATTCCATCGCCGGACGACCTGCAACGCTCCTAGGATGTGTACAACGTGCATGTACATACATGTGTACACGTACCAAGCCAAGGCCAAGGCCCCGTTTGGATGACGACAGGCACAGCGACAGGGAAGTCGCGCAGAATCGCCGCTAGGTTCTGGTGCTGCTGCCAAGATGGGAAGGAGGAATGTTACTGGGCGATGACACTGCTGTGGAACGCAGGGTATGTGAGCTTATTTGGAGCTCTGCCCCCTCGTCTCCATAATATCGTCCCGTGCTTTCGGACTCTCCCCATTCCATCATCCATCTTGGCAAGAAGACAAGAAAGCCCCTTCCTTTTCCCTCCCATTTTTCCATTTTCGACACTAAGCCTGATCAGGGGGTTGTATGATTGACGACTAAAGGTGCCTGTGCCTGGGGTTATTGATAAGATCTACCAACTATATGCTCAACGCCCACCTACCCCATTTTAGAACTGATATGTTCTATGGGGGATCTGTTCCGTTTAGAAAGCAGGATTCCGTCCAGTCGCTTCGACTGCCGAACAGAATGATGCCCCTATTCCAGCAGGCGCATCAGAAGCCCCAGCATTGAACTTGGCCGAGGACCACCTCGACGCGGCCAAACCACGTTATTAACTGAGATCGTGTGGCGGTCACTGGCCACGAGTCTTATTATCTTAAAACCTGGTTGACCAGTGAGAAGGGTTTTGGTCATCGAAATCTGGGGTGGCAATATCGCATTTATTACCCACCTCGGTCGCCCTCATACGCCCTCATTATCTTATACGCCCCCTTATATCTCAGCCACCTATCCCACTCTAAATAATTGCCTGAGTTACCTAGTCTAGACGAAACGGATACTCGTCAATCTGGGCAGGCCACCCCATTTCTGCTGGAAGGGTCGCGTCCCCAGGCTGATACTCCAATTTGTGTGGTGCTTCGTTGTCGGTGTAGATACAGGCGGCGAGCGGCACCGGCAATTGCTTCATACCACATTGCATGCCTCGATTTCAGCAAGAGAAGGAAGGCATAGCTTCCAGAACTATAGATACTATCCATGTCGTGCAGTTGCCATAACATGAACATATTGGAGGGGTCCCTAACTGCGAGGCAGCATCCAGACAAGAGCGAGGTGCTGGTCCCTCGGCTGCCGGCCCTCTTAAGGCACCCTGATTCCCATCCTGTCACTCTTCGAAAACGTCACCAACCCCGCGGTTGGCACTTCCTTTTGAGCGAGTAGCAGAGCAAATGTTTGTGCAACTGTCTGAGCATGATCTCCGATCGACTATCTGAACTTATCCGGGCCCCTTTTGAAACTGCCGAAGCCCACCAACGCACTCTTCCTCTCACCAATGGTTCCTGGAACAATGCCTGTAAATGGCCGATTGATGACAATACTACTACATCCTTTTCCTTAACTCGGCAGATGCCTCCCCCTTACTCTCTTCTCCTCCTCCCCGCCATGACTAGGCGGCGCCGTGCCATCCACAGTCGCACTCCATCTTCGCCCCCGGCAAGGCCGGAGGCGAGGTATGATGTCGCCAAGATGAAGGCGGCGACCTGCCACCAGGTGCGGAACACGAACACATGGGTGAGCCCGTCAAAGCCCCCGTGGTAGTAGAACCCGTATGCCTGCGAGAACCGCTGGCTGGCCAGCACCCCGTCCACCGCGGCCGCAAGCAGCGCGGCCACGGCCAGGAGCGTAACCCACGGCCGCCGCGCCCTCGAGCACGAGACCTCGTGGTGGTGGCCGTGCCGCGAATCCGACGGCTGTCGTGCCGGTGTCTCGCTCGTTGCCACCGCGCCCTCTCTGGGTGTCGTCGGGCTGCTGTCTGATGTCAGGCTCACAATGTCGCTGCACTTTCTCGTAATCGTCTCCACAATCCCCTTGATCCCTTCTCTGTCCCTGTGGTATTCCTCCAGATCATTCCTGGCCTTATTGAGCTCTGTCTCAAGTCGAACAATCCTCTCGTCTCTGGCCTCGACTTCCTTGGACATGTCCTCCTGACGCCCCTTGCAGTCCTCGAGCTCGGCTCCCAGGTCCGTAGTCCGGTTGTCCTTGCGTTTCACCTCGGCCTTTCTCTCCTCGTGGCATTTCTTCAAGTCCCCCTCCGCCTGGCTTTTTGCTTTCGCGAGCTCGTCTTCCAGGTCGCAGTGCAGTTTCATCTGCTGCGTAGCCGTATCTTCCAGACTCCGTCTATGCTTTTGTCCCTCGCTTAGCTTCGCTTCCGGGGTGCGGATCTTGTCCTGGAGGTCTTCTTCCTGGCCATGATTCTGGCCTTGGAGGGTATCAATCCGGGTCTTGCAATCCGATTCTGCGCGGTCTCTCAGTTTCGTATCCAGATTTGGAATATGGCTTTCTTTCTCGTGATCTCCTTTCTCGTGCTTCTTCTTGCCGGGCTTCTGCGTCTCCTCGTAGCCAGCGGCTCTATCGCCCTTCTCCTCGTCAACACTCGGCATGTCTTCTTTGCCGCTGCTGGCTTCGTCCACATCGACCCCTTGGGTGTGACCCTTGGGAGCACCAGCAATCAAGTCGCCCGGTTGCTCTTGCAGTAGCTTATGATCTTCCAGTGGACTCGTCTCGCTCTTCTCTTCCTGAGCTGTGGCCGCCACGCTCGTCGCTTGAGTCGAAATGTCATGGTCCTCCTCACCCGAAAGTCCGGTAGGCTGAGGCTTGTCGATTATGTCCTTCTGCCCGTTCTCACCCTCTTCGGTCGGCCCTCCTGACCCTTGTTCTCCTTTCTCCGTGGCCTGCACATGGCCGTCGTCGATAATGGTATTTGCTTCCTGAATCGCGGTAGTTGTATCAGGCTGGCTTAACGCTGGGGCGGCAACGTATTTCACTGGCCCTGAATCTCCAGTGCTGACGGCGTAATCTCCTGGCGTCGGCATGGTATCGGATTTGTGTTTGCTAGGTATAGGCATTGTCGTTGAGGCAGTATCTCTGCTGGTCAGGAAATTAAGACTGTTCAATAAACGAACGACTGGATGGGACTCCTGAGTCAAGTGAGAATATCTTTTGGGACGTCTCGTCGGTTAATAAATATTGTAATGACAAAGACATGAACTGCTGTTAGACCTTGTCCAGACGCCATGTCCCCATACGTCGGAGACAAAGAATCTGGCATCGTCGCCTCGGGGATACAAAGACAATCTGCCTCTAGGCTTCAGGACGTTAAGGTACCTAGGCAGTGGCTCCCTGGAGAAGTCTCTATCTAGTTTGTCGGAATGACGGTTTCTTTATAAGTAGAAGATGTTTTCGTACTCGGAGCTATCCCACAGTTGGTTCTCTCACTGGCATGCAGCTGCCTGGATGGCGTATTTGCTTGACCGATTTGCTTCGACCCACACTCATGGCATAAAGAAAATGCAGACGTTGGAATTGTACCAAAGTATCGAGTTGCTCATTCCTGTTGAGCACCACGGACACTCAGGGGCAACACAAGGTGGGAAGGCTTGGCGAGGAGAGGTTTGATAGTAGGGTTTGGATTTGGCTGGCATGGGGATGCAGATAATGTACAAGGTAGTTGAGCAATACAGGCATGGAAATGTTGGGTTAGATAGAGTACTGATGGAAGAAGTGGAAGGAGGAACTAAAAGAAATAAAAAATAAAAAAGTAAACAACAGGGAGTGGTGCAAGGATCGAATGCCTGCCTTCAGACGAGACCCAGAGGTGGCTGTCATAGGTGCGGCGGTCAGCATCACATTTGACCATTACACCACCCCCTGTTGTTATTGTACCAAGTCACTTAATTTGTTTATCAACCTTTGTTCTGGTGCGACGGACAAGGAGCATGTCAAAACCCTGAGTTCAACCCAAAAGTGAATCACTACTGCGATGCCAGAGCAAGGCCGAATCTAAATTCAACGCCAGCGAGTTGTTATCAAACGCCTTCCCCTTAACCGTCCTAAACCCCCGCTGTCCCCCCAGGTGGACAATGATATCGCCGTCTTCGCCCCTCAGGAATGCGGCGAAACCACAGCATCGCAAGCTCCATCCTAGAGACTATCCCACAGGCAAGCCAGCCAACCCCTTCGTTATCTACCCCCAAAGGCAATACAATCACTCCCAGGCACAAGGAACCTCACCCTCCTCCTCCACCACCACCGCTCCTCTTCCTCCTCTCTTTCCCTCTCCACAACGCCTTGGGCGCGAAACCGGCCACGGTTCGCGACTTCCTGCGGGACCACCTCCCCACTTCTCCCCTCCTCCCTTGCACTCTCCTCCCTTCCCCTCTCCCCCCCAACCACCCTATTCTCCTCCCGCCCAGCCCTGAGAGCACACTCCCTCGTCAACGCCTCCAACCCCTCCGGCCCCCCGTCGGCGGCGAAGGACCTCACGCACGCCGCCGCCACGTACGCGGCCCCGGCCTCGCGCCACCGCCCCAGCGCCCGGAGCCCGTGGCCGCGGAACAGCTGCGCCTTGGCGACCAGGTCGGGGCGGCGGGCCTGCGCGGCGCGGCGGAGGGCTGCGTCGGCGAGGGTAAGGGCCTGGAGGGCTTGTGGGTCTGGGTTGGTGGTTCGGGAGGCGGGATGGTGGCTGGTCGGTGTTGGTGTTGGTGGTGGTGAGTCGGCTCCTGCGAGGAGGGCGGCGCAGTGGAGGATGGTGGTGTTGGTTGATAGTGTCAGGGATGAGGTGTCGGCGCGGGAGAGGCGGGTTGTGGGAGTCGAGGCGGGGAGTTTGGCGACTGGGGGTGGGATGGGCTGCGCCATGGTCTTATGTGGTGGCCGAGCCGGTTCTCCTCGTGGATACTCCTGGTTGGTTTCGCTTCTGAGACGGGAGCTACGCCGTCCGATGGTCAGGATGGTCCTCTGTCCTCTTGGGAGAAGGCAAGAAGCAAAATATAGATGTCAGCCGGGTGAGCTTTGGAGGCTCAGGAGGGTACCAGTATTGTGTGATCTGAAGGAACCGATAGGCAAGGGTCTTTATTCTCCTTGGTGGTTTATCGATCCGTGTCAAAGACATGAATGGGGATTATTTTCATGTCTCCAGAGCTAGGGTCATATCAATCTCACAAAGAACGCGGCCTGACTGCCCCTTGGATATCGTGAAGAATCTGATATATCACTTTTCGACTGAGATCAAAATGGGCCACCTACAGCTGGCGGGTCCGGGAAGCAATCACACTTGGCTACACTTGAAATATCATATGGGGCCATTGTAAGGTAAAGTAGTGGCAAGACAGCTTCAAAGAGCTGCCATGCAGGGTGACAATGGAATATGTACAGTGACTGGAAAGTAGACAGTACTCAAAGTGAAGAAGGAAACCCCTGGAATCACAGCAGATCTGCGGCTCTTTCTATCTTCAAGTGTCGAACAGTCTGCCGTCCAAAAGATTCATGGGAGCTACGCTTTCTCCGTACTTATACTTGCCAGTATAAGGATAACCTGACTCTCTAGACAGGGAAATCAAGACGATGGACAACGAGGGAGAGGCATGGCAGAACGTTCAGCTTTCTCAATCTTTCCCGTCTCGGATGATTGACCCCTGAGATCTTATGAAAACAAAGTCATCTGTTGATGATATTGCTATTAGGGGTAACCCTTCCTGCATGAGGATGAAGTCAAAGTGGGCAGACGATGCTGAATAGGGGGAGGATCTTCCCTACCAGTTTTATGGAACTTCAATGTCGAATTCCCCCCTTTTCTCCGCCTCTTTCGTGTGTGCACGTTTACTTCCAAACCGAAGTGGAGTTCCTTGGAACTGCAGTTGCTTGAGACGCCAAAGTGTATCTCTCCTACAGCCCCGTTTCGAGACCATGGGCCGTGACATTGCCCCCTCAGATGCAGGTCTGGCCCAAGAATAACCAGGCTAAGATGGCAGACCAGAGCGTGACGTATGGGCTTCAGAGGCGTCAGCTTCCGGATACAATCTGCCATCGCGCCAAGAACCACAAGAAGGCCCCATCACCCATCTTTGATCCGAGTCTCACATCGACAAAGTTGGTCACTTCATATTCTCCAGTACTCTGAGGTCAAGTTATAACCATTTATTTCCACCAGAGCCATGAACGTAACGCCGCGCCAACCGTACCTCTATCCATCCTGATGGTGCCGAGCCCGAGTCAAGGGAAAACTTCTGTAGCCCCTTAAGACCCAAAACATAGAAAGAATTACGTAGCCAGCCTAACTGGCAAGTGAGATAAAGACCGGGGTATTGCAAAGAAACAATCATAAGAGACTGTGCTTCTGCTCAAAAAGAGAGTCCGCCCAGGAAGCACGACAGACCTGACCAAACGCTTCGGTCACCATATATTCAATTTATTCCCTCTTTGTCGTAAAATATTGTTGATCATGAGTATCATATGACGCCACAGGCTCACCACAAGTTATCAGCCTTGACCAAGCTGGGCCGTCCATTGCGTACTGGGGTGCCCGGCGCCCGGCCCAAACTCGGGGCTAGACGGGGTGGCGAGCCCGGCGACGCCACGTACTGTGGCGGCCGGGGTGGCGGCCCGGCCGGCCTATAAGGGGGTCGACGGGGCTGGTAGGTGTTGGGGACCATCGCCGGGAATGGCGGCGAGATATCCCTCTGGTGGGCGCGGCCTTGTTGATCCCTCGGCCGACGCAGGGGTAGGGTCTGGTCGTCGGCGGTGGAGGTGAAAGGGCAGGTCTCCTCCCAGGTGTCGCCGAACACGGCGCCCGCCGGGAGTATGGAAAGGATGGAGCAGGCAAAGAGCACCAGGGCGCCGTCGAACAGCGAGGAGACGATCTCGGACTGTGACAGGGCGCCGCCGAGCCCGCCGGTGAGTGCGGCTACTCGGACGCCGGTTCGGATGAGGAGGAAGGCCGCTGCAAGTTGAATGACTGTGCAGTGGATATCATTAGCAGGGTACGAAAGCGGGCGCATGGGAAAGACCTACATAAGAGAAAGACGCCGAACTTGGCAGAAGAGTACAATTGGGAGTACTTGGGGTCGAGGATATTTTGCCGGTGGTGAAGGCGAAAAACGAAATACCAATAGACGGTGTAAAACAGCGCGATGCTGCAGATTTGCATCGCCAGGCCCGTGATGAGTACGTTCGTCCCTTGGACAATCTAGGAACACGTGAGTAACAGGCCAAGGAGGTCGGTAGGCAATGTTGGGGCTCACCTCTTCCCGGCTACCCCCTGTCGCTGTGAAGGCGGCTCCCACCGCCTGGAAAGCAAGTGCGAAAGCGCCGAAGGCGAGAAAGAAAACGGCGAAACGAATGGGCTGCGAAATCAGGGTGAACTCCTTCCCATACAGGACGAGGATATGAGGTAGGACCAGGAAGATGGCCGCGGCGATAAAGGTTGGACCCATGTTGACACCAATCGTGTAGAGAACAAAGTACAAAGTGCTGGCAGAATCAGATCTCAGGAGAATCCTTCCGACATGTCCCATGGCCTCGAAAGCCAAGCCTGCGATGATGGCGGAGGAGTAGAGCGCCGTTTTGTATCGGATGCCGGTGAACAGATTGATGGGAATTAGAAAGCAAAAGGCGACAAGAAAAACGGCGCTGCCGGCAAGGGATGGCGATGATGAAAAGAAGCCCTCGGGCACGGGGCAAGTAGCCAGGGTGCAGTCCTCCGGACTCCCCATCCTGGCGATTGCTTGGTCTCCTTCGGCTCTGCCCGTGGAGACGATGGCGGGCAAACGACATGAAATATAATGAAATGCCGAGGGGATGAGAGAAGCAGACTTTCTTCGGCATGCCGAGAATATGGGAATACGCAGAGGTAGATATACACGGATTCTCGCAGCGGGTTAGTTTGGGCGATCACCATGTTGGACCCGACAGTCTGGTATCACTCTATTCTGGGCGCCTAAACAATGTCGACAGCACCCCGGTCTGTCCTTTATCCAGAATGCCCGGGCGGGGATCGATCCACAGCAAGCACTCGCTTCCTGGCTGATTCGTTGGAAAAAGCATCGAAGGCGAGATAACAAACGGCTTGATACGAACGTATTCTACGTGGCATGCCGATTTTCGACGCACTTCGCCTTTTTTTGGCCATCACTTTGAGCCTCTCTATGGCATCATAGCCGCTCATCGCTACTGGGACACCCTCTCTCATGGCGTTCATGGAAATCAGTGGCGCCACTGGCAACGAACTTGACTGGTAGACCATAACTGGGAAACTGAAAGGCCATGGAGAAGCAAACACGGGTGATGCTGCCTGGTACCACCAAGCTAGTTGCGACTGACCAGTCAGCTGTTGTCCCAGCAGCCTGGTAAGGCTATTTCGGTTGGTTCCATAACTGCACCCCTGATCCCATTGCGCGAAAATTCCACCAATCGAAGGCTGCCAATGCGTAATAAAAGCCCACCAGTGGGGCTTTTTTTCTTCTTTTTCTTTTTTATTTGTGCTCCTCCTTATGCACCTGGAGCGACATAAGCCAAAACAAGCGCCTCGACTTGGTGAGCGCTTCGGCAAGGCTGATGTTGGATCCGTATCGCGCCACGACTTCCCACCGCTGAACCTGCCTCCGCGCGGCAATGAGCAAGCAGTAGGTGCAGCAGTATCTTGAAGCGCTACTGACAACCAATGCCTCCGAACCAACAGGCTGAGTTTGTTTGAGAGATGCTTTGTTTAGAACCAACGATCCATGGGCAGTTGACGAGAAGGCAAACGTTTACCCCGTTCCGGACCCATATTTTCCCGTGATAATTGGGCGGGAGAATGGAAAGCTGGGAAATCAACACGAAATAAGCCAGAAGGATGCTTTGTGAGAGAGCCCCCACGCCCCGTATGAGGTCTGCAATGCCGCGAGAGACCACCGCCACCGCCCCATGTATAGTGTGAGAAGGAAATGGCCATGTTGAGGATCTTTTGCATCCTGGCTGGGGGTCCTTGGCCGACCTTGGGAGGACCTTAGTCGCTCCACACGCCTGCGCTTCTTTCCAGAGGAGGATGATGGCAGGTTGGGTTACTTCAAATCCCCTCTCCGCCCGAGACGAACGCAAGTTTAGCACAGGTTAAATCCGACGGATGCTGTACCTATTTACTTCTTCATTCCACGTTTTGACTTGTTGAACCAGACTGGTCAGGACGACGCCCGTGTAAGCATCCTTTTTTGCTGGCATTCAACCACAACCGAATCTCGTAGGTCCGTCACCAAGATGGCAACCCCTAGGTCTTATGACCCCTAGGCCAAGGGCAGGCCAAGGCTTCAATATTGCTGGTTAGAGCATCGTGTGGGCGATACGTCCAACATGAACCGCCGCCTCAGGTCTCCGGGGAACCATTCACACAGGCAGGTGCCCATCCAACGTCTCGGCAAGTGTTGTTGAAGGATATATTCTAGTGTCCCCGAAGTGTGTTGCCCGTCCCTTGAAACTGCTAGAGTCTGCTCGAGTCTTCTCGGTGGTTTCACTAGCATCTGACCTTGGTACGAAGCCCTGCCTTGTGAGAGACTTCCGGTCTCATGAATCTGTGGAGATGCTTCTGATAATGAATATGGGGTGGCTCCCCAGGGACAACCCACAACATGGTACGAGATATGATAAGTGTGACCATCGCAGTTGAAACTATGCTGTTAAACCTACGTAGAGAGCTCGGATACACCATTTGTGCTGCCAGCTAATATTGCCTGCTAGCCTTGGCAAAGGACTACCTGTGTTATCTCAAGCTTGATTTTAAGCACGGCAGAATCTGAGCGACAAGTGCCGATTTCGTACCGACTACTGTGTAATGTCTCGCCGACGGATCCTTCTGTTTCCACGGCGTCCAAAGATATGCGGTCAAAGGGGCTCAGTCTGGGCGAAAGCGGGACGCAAGATGCGGTGAAGAGAGCATTATCGGAAATTGGTCCAAACAAACTATTTTGAAATAGGCCCGATGTGTTGTGCATAAGCACAGCTTGGCAGAAAGTAGGAGGACGTAGGACTACATCGTGTGATTGGAGTGGAGGGCCATATGTGCTCGTCATCGGACATCCATGGTAGTGCGACCTCCCTGCCCATGGAAAGAAATCACGGGATAACAAGATCCTCGGAAATTTGCACGAGGTTGTGTTTGCAAAATACATTTATCGTGCCCTACACAACCATCGCTTACCGAGTAATATTGAGAACGATTTGCTCTCCTTGCTCTAGGGAAGTGTGCAATCTAACGTGGTCACAGGCGTGACGACATCAGGCCAGCTCGTGAGCCCACCAAGACGCTGGAGCATTTAGTGTGATATCGCACCATAGCAAGTCCTTGAGGTTGAGCGGCAGATCTCGAAGAAAAGACTGGGTGATCTTACAGTACTGCAGCAGCAGCGGGGTTCTGGGGACGGCTGGAGAAGTAGCAAGATGGGGACGGTGACACAGTTGGAGAAGCTATGAATAGATAAGTAGGTAGCGAGTTGAATCAGGGGTTGTGCCACAGTACCCTCCAGCGGTGAGAGATAGGGCGAGCCACACCCAAGGAAACCCCACGAAAACTCGAGTTCACTGTGGAGAACACTCATGGGGACTTACTTCCCCGCGCAGTTGTGTATGGAATGGCCACGACCGACCGAGCTTAGGACCCCCGCACCGCACGGAGCGGCACGGCATGGGGCCCCCCGGCTCCCCCACGCGGTAGATAATGGCAGGGCCGAGGATTAGGCGGTATTGAGGAGAAGGGAGATGGGAGATGGGCGAGAGCCATCGGGGTCCCCAGAGCGAACGTTGCATGGTCCTCGGGCTTGGCAGTGAGCGAAGCCGCCAAGACTGTTGGGCGTGTTGGGCGTGCTGGGGTACGGCGGGTGTTGGCGATAACGATCGCCGTGATGTGCAAGTCATTTGAACACTCGGCACTGCGGTCAGAGGGTGATCAATGAGCTGGCCGCACATTCTGACCAGTTATATTAGAGAAAGGCTGTTCGACTAGGCTGAGTTTAGTAGGAAGTCAAGCCAACTAGCTGCAAGTTAAATGGAATGGAAGGTGGTAGTCAAAGCTCTAAGTTGGAGTCGAACGCCGGGGAGGTGGGGAAGGTGGTCGATCCGGAGAAAGCCCAGGCTCAAAATGATAGCGACAGGCATTCGCACAACTTTGGTCATAGACTCTCGACGTTGTCCTCGGCCCTGCTCCAATAACAGCGGGAGGCCGAAAGCTACCGCGAGGGGTCGAAAGTAACATTAAAGAAGCGGGGACGCTATGACGGGAACCAAGATAGGCACGGTCCCTGACAGAACTTAATGCTCCGAAGTGCAGGCGGGTGGCTTGCCATGGCTTGCGTCTAGGCTGCTAGCTCATCTTGGTGTCGGGGCGATCATGCATGGGTCTTGTGGCCATGCAATTTGGCTGACGCGACTTTGCGCGGGGAGGGTCCATTGTTCCAGACCACATATCGCGTCCCAAACTGCCATCGCCGCCGGTATTTTCTACTTCCTCTTTGTATCTAGCACGTTCTGCCCGGCTACATGTCTTGTGATGCTGCTGGGGGAGTGGCAGTGGCAGGTGAGGAGCTGCCAAGCTAAGACGCAACCAATCAGGCGTACATGTGACGTGAACTCCTGTTGGTTTTCGAATAGGTTGATCGCTGCATGAGTCGCCTGTAGGGGGTGGGGGGGGTTCTTCATCGTCATTCGAGAAGGGCTAAAGAAGTCTGTAAGAAACAGCAAAATATTTCAGACCTTCTATCGCCTCCGGCTGGGTCTGCCCTGAGTGTTAAATCCCGCAGCCAAGGTGAGTCTGTCTTGTTTCTCAGTCCCTGCTTCGAACCTTGCCAGGAGCCGTTGGGCATAGGCAGCAGGATGGACATGGATGAAGATTCAAGTTGCAAGCTTACTTTCCAGGTAGGTTCAGCCAGAGTCGTACCTAGACTCGGCATCCCGACGTTGAAAGGGGGTCTGTCGGGTCTTGACTGCCGCTTTAAGCATGGGCGCCATCCATGTTCCCGTGTCCCACCGGTTTCCCCACTCTGTCTTCCCTGGTTCCAAGCGCCCGACGGGACGTACTAGATGCTGTGTCAAATGTTGTCGAAGTAAAAGAAGAAGAAAAAGACAAAAAAAAGCCAGATACCACCCAGACATTTGTACATCCGGCCGCACTGCACCACTTCCCCACAAATCCTGCCTCTCTCATGTCCTCTGCCTTCCATTCTAGTTGCACTAACGACTTCTAGGTTGCCCGTTTCCTGCGTGCCTACACTCTGCAGTACCTACTTTCTACGCTACTTTGCTCCCCCTGACCTTGATAGCTCTATTTTTCCAGAAGCTCGGCCGAGTTCGCCGGACCGATTAGAGCCGTCACTTCGGGCACCCTTTTGTGCCGACGGCTACGATGAAGACGGGAGGCAGGAAAGACCGTTGACCCGCGCCGTTCGCCTTGGATCTACCACTAGGTACCTCCTCGCTCTCCCCATCGGGCTGCCAAGTGGTAGGTACCTACCTAGGTGCCATGGGTGGAACCTGGCGAGAGACTGCATTCCGCACCGCTGCGGAATGCGAGAGTGTTCACGACATCGACGATCCATGGGTCCTTGCACCGTTGCACCTTCCACCGATATGCTCAGAACCTTAACCCAGGCTGCTGCACCTAGCATGCATGATAGGTAAAGTACCTACCTACCTACCTACCGTAGGTTATCATGCAGTGGAGGCCCCTACCTCTAGGTAAGGCGGGTAGGATTGGTTACCTAGGTACTTGGTCTGGGCAGGATATCCCCAGCCTACCTCATTCATGTTCGGCCGCCTATGATCAACTTGTGGGAGGTGAGCCTCAGATCCGATCCAACCCTTGGTAGGTAGGTATCCTCTTACTTGCCTCTCTCCATACCTACATTCTCCTCTGTCACTCTACACCTTCCTCATTCACTCCCGTCCAAGGTACCATTTGTTTATTCTACATGCCGGTACCTAGGTCTGCACATCTAGCCGCTGGCCACGATGTGTTCGGCTTGGTAGTCTCACCTATTGAAGATTATCGCCCCTGGCCTCCGTTATCCTAACTTCTCTTCCGGTTCCTGCTTCCAGGTTGCTACCTTTCGGGGGTACAAACTATTTTCGGCCCTGATGCGTTCACCTGGTCAAGGCCCTGCCCGTGGTCACCAGCTACCTCACCCTCCAACCTTAACTACTCCCCTGTGACCTCTTCTAGGTTCTCAGCCTTACGCTTCCTGATATATTTATATGAGAACTCCTTCCTCTTTTCGTCGACCTGTCCGCCTTCTCACTCGACACCTATTGCCTCCGTGAAACATTGAAAGACCTCTAGTCTAGAATTCTTTACCTCTCCTCTGGACACGGCCTCCTCAACGCCGGTCATACGATGCGTCTCTCTAGTCTAGTCACAAGCCTTGCGGCCTTGGGTTGTGGCTTCGTGCAAGCTGCCTCGACTTTCAAGCCGACAAGGGCACCGGCCTTTCCCTTGCTCGTGCGGTCTCCGTACTTGAATTCCTGGCTTCAAGGCGAGAGCGGCGGGCTTCTCCCCGGTAGCTGGCCTCGGTTCTGGACGTGAGTACTCTACCAGATACGGTGGGATGGTTTGTGCAGGACTGATTTTGGACAATAGCGGCCAGATCCTGGGCTGGCAGGGCTTTGTTGCTGTGGATGGCACCACCTACAATTGGATGGGGGCAGCCCCGGGTCCAGCAAACGCAGAACAGATATCTGCAGAATACACCTCAACCAAGACCATCTTCACGTTTAATGTCGCCGGAAAGGTGACCTTGACGGCCACCTTCCTCTCGCCAGTTTATGCGGATGATCTTTCAAAGCAGTCCCAGCAGTTCTCTTATGTCTCCCTAAAGGCCAAGTCATCCGACGGCGCTTCTCACAGCGTCCAAGTCTACACGGACGTTTCTGGCGGTGAGTTCCTTTCGGGAGATGATACGCTCGGCGAGTCATCGGGAACTGACGAAACTCCTAGAGTGGGCAAGCGGAGACCTTTCGCAAGTTGTCAACTGGGACTTTGGCACCGCAGATGGTGTCTCTTACCACAAGTTCTTCCGTGCCAACCAAGCGCCGTTTACTGAGAGCGGCGAGATCGCTGCCTGGGGAACCTGGTATCTTGCTACTTCCTCTGCCAATGATGTGAGCTGAGAAGGCGCCCCCCCCCCCACCCTTTTTTTTTGAACATACTACTTCCCGCTGTTTGGCCTGGCTTACTCACGCTCATTGACAGGTAACCTGGAGGAGCGGCTTTGCAGATGACGTCCGGGCACAATTCAGCGACAAGCAGGTACTTGACAATACAGCAGACTCGAATTTCCGTGCCGTAAATGACAGATGGTGAGTATCACACAGGCATTTCTACAGCGGCACCTTATCTAGCCATCTAACTTGACGTACCTTAGGCCGGTATTTGCCTTCGCCAAGGACCTGGGGAACGTAAACTACAATGAGCAAGAAGTCACATTTTCTCTCGGTTTAACCCAGTCGCAAGTTATTAGCTTCGCTGGCGCAGACGAAGGAATGTCTTCACTCCCCGGACTCTGGTCTTCTTTCTACGCGAGCGATGTGGATGGCATGGCGGCTTTCTACAACGATTATGCCGATGCTCTCAAGACTGCAAACTCTCTCGACGACCGAATCCAGAAAGATTCGGTTGCTGCGGGTGGCCAGGACTACGCAACCATAACAACTCTGGCTGTCCGCCAGAGTTTCGGCGCCTTGCAGTTTGCCGGCACCTCCAAGAAGCCGTACATCTTCCTGAAGGAAATCAGCTCTAACAGCGACATCCAGACGGTTGATGTCATCTTCCCGGCGTACCCGATTCTGCTCTACCTCAACCCCAGTTGGACCAGGTATCTTCTGGATCCCTTGTATGAGAACCAAGAGAGCGGTCGATATCCCAATAAGTATGCAATCCACGATCTGGGAACCTTTCCAGTGGCCAAAGGCTACCCTTCGGGCAATGATGAGGCTATGCCGTTGGAAGAGTGCGGTAACATGGTCATCATGACCCTCGCTTACGCCAATCGGACCGGCGATATCGACTATCTCACCGCTCATTACAAGCTGCTCTCCCAGTGGGCCGAGTTCCTGATTGAAGACTCGTTGATCCCGGCAGAGCAACTTAGTACAGACGATTTTGCCGGAACATTGGGGTAAGTAACTGATGCTGATCCGTCAAACTCTAGGCCGTGAAGGAGCGTGATCTAACATGACCCTTGTAGCAACCAGACCAACCTCGCGCTCAAGGGAATCATCGGCCTCAAGGCCATGTCTGAAATTGCCCGGCTGACGGGCAACACGGACAGTTTTGGGTCCGTCGCAGACGACTACCTACGGCAGTGGCAGGGGTTCGGCATCACAAAGTATGCCAACCCACCGCACACGACCCTTTCGTACGGGAATACCAAGAGCCACGGTCTTCTGTACAACTTGTACGCAGACCGGCTTCTGGGGCTCAACTTCGTGCCGCAGTCCATCTACGACATGCAATCTGATTTCTACAAGACCATCGCGCTGGAATTTGGCGTCCCGCTCGACACGCGCCACACCTGGACCAAGTCCGATTGGGAGATGTTCTGCGCCGCCATAGCTAAGCCCGACATGCGCGCGCTGTTTATCTCAGACCTGGCCAAATGGATCGGCCAGACCAGCACCAACCGAGCCATGTCGGACCTGTTCGACGCCATCACCGGCGGTTACCCGGATGGCGGACCCACTTTCGTTGCCCGCCCCGTCGCGGGCGGCACCTTTGCTCTCCTAGCGTTGCCGTAGGGACGGAAGTATGGAAAGTAGACAAGGGCTGGGTAGTTGGGTCTAGCAGGATTGGGGCATATGGGCCACTGGTGCGAAGGAGCTGAGATAAATCGACTTAGGAATAGGGGCTTGCTACAGTAACGATATATACTTACTATTCACGAATATACTATTATGAGTCGTAACGAGGCTACTGGCTCTCGTCCCCCTCAGCTGGAAGGATGGATTAATTGTGCTCAGCCAAGCCGCCACCTAGATCTGCACCAATGGAGCTGCTTGTTACTATCGACGCGAAGTCCCAACGCCCTTGGCGAGACGACAGGAAGCACATTATGCTTTTGGGATGCAAGCCACATGAGTCAACCAAGCAAATCTAGTCCAACCGATGCCAAGTGATGATGCAAGGCGAACAGCTTCAATCCCATGGCATCCTAGTCGAAGTATTGCTATTGCAAAACGAACTTGGCTGCGAGAAGGGGGGGATCCAAATGTGGTCACGAGGCGATCTGGATTTTCAACCATGGTCGTTCCCCAAGAAAGCCATCGGTTGGATAACACAAGGTTGATGTGGCAGGTACGTCATATGGGGCAGAAGGGAGGGTGACAGCGGTCTGCCCAAGATTTTCCGACTGAACTCCTATGTTGTTGTGGCTTGCACATGGCTGGCTGCTCTAGAACATGCCTGAAGGATAGCGCTAGAGACTGGGTATCTTTACCAGCTTGAAATGGTTTGTTGTCTTGCTCAGTCGAAGGGCGTTGTGTTGTAGAAACATATGGCAGTGAAGAGCACGTGCAGATGCTTGGATTAGAAAGCGGAGGTTAGCTCCGATTTCTGTATTACCTAATCCACCTACCCCACCATTTGAAGACAAGGATTATTCCGCTGTTGCCAGTGGAGAGGAGTAAGGTACCACAAAGAGTGGCCAGGGGGGATCACGGCAACAGCATGAATTTGGTTGTCAAGGGCAAGGGACCCGGGCAAAAATAAACAACATTTGGAAGACTGCTGTTTGGTGACCCTTAGCTGGCTATCGGGATGCTGGAAGAATAAATATCTTTCAAATTGCCGTCTAAAGTTTCCTGCATCCATCCTCTCATCAGTGCAATCCCGCTGTTGTGAGACCAGACGTCTGCTTGGCCATTGCCCCACTGCCGTCAGTTCAGAGGCCTCGATAGGTCCAGTCATTCGGCTACCTTCAACTCCATCATAACCTTGGGGACTTCTGATCCACCCCTCCCTACCTGAGGCCTATCCCATTTTCAGATATTCTGCATCACCAGCGACAAAAACACTCGCTCCACTTTCCATAAAGAAACGAGACGACGGCCTGAAAACACTGGGCGATACCTGCGAGTCCGAAGATTGAAGCGTTCTGGAAGACACCTTTTGCAAAAACTACCTGCAACCATGAACCCTCTCCAGAAGAACAAGGTGGACATCAAAGTAAGTCACCGCCGTCCCGACCGAGACCGTAGCCCACCTTGCACCATTTACGAGTCGAGCCATGCCATCCATTCCTCTCTCCCTACTTCCTCTACTTGACATGCCCAGACCCCCATCATTTCCCCCATCCAACTCTCTCCGAAACCCAAATCCGCCCCTCCCATCCCCCAAAGCCGCAACCCCGCTAACGGATCCCGCTCTCCTCTCCCCCAGTCCCTCTCCCCCGAGGAGCAGCGCCTCTTCCGGCTGTACGGCAAGCTCCCGAGCCGCAACGACCACCTGGCCAAGCACCTCAAGGAGCGCAAGTACTTTGACAGCGGCGACTACGCGCTGTCCAAGGCCGGCAAGGCCGACAGCGTCGACACGGGCAGCGTCGGCTCCCAGCACCCCAACCCGGAGGACATCCCGCACCTGTCGTCGCCCGTCGGCAGCGGCAGCGGCGGCGGCGGCAACGGCAACGGCGGCAACAGTGTCGGCATCGGCGGCCTGGGCCAGCAACACCACCTGCCGCTGCACCACCACCACGGAAGCATGCAGGCCGGGAGCCCCGTCAAGGAGAGCAGCTTTCTGAACCAGGAGACTACCGCCGAGGAGCTGGAGGGCCAGGACGGTGGCGCCGCTGCTGCTGCTGCTGCTGGTCCCTCTGCGGGGACGCCGAGCAAGCAGGCTGCGATCCCGATCCGTCGATGAGATGTTTCAAGAAGGCGGCAAGATCTGGAAGTGTTCCATCTCGGTCTTTCTACAAACCGTGGGCGGAGGAAGTTGTATGGGTTGGAGGCGGCCCTTGAAGGGTTGACGGTTTCGGGTTGAGTGAGGCGATTCGTACTCCGTTTCCCACATGAGTTTTACGATGTCTGCGGGCGTTGGGTTTGGAATTTGCTATGGATTTGACCCGGCGGATGGGCTAGGGTTTTGTTTTTGCTTGACGATGTCTGTCTGTGCATCTTGGCCGCCTGACGGATGGGATGCTCTCTGCCAACTTTTCTCGGTACATTTTACTTTTGTCGAGCGGGTATTCGACACCAGATTGGAGCCATTTCTACGGGTAGTAAGGTGTGAAGGTACCAGTTTCAGCAAAACAACTTGACTATGAGAGACGAAACTAGTGTCGAACTGTAATTTTACACAAGATGCTTTTCTCCCTCTTCTACGCCGTCGATACCCACTGAACCAGCCCAAACACATGTCTGTCCCATTTATTCTAGCGGCTCTGGCCTTCGCGCCGTCCGTGAATGTTGAGTTAAATGAACCGTGAAACACCCTCCCAGCGCCTAGTCCTCAAGAGCCTTCTTTGCCATGGCCAACGCCCCCTCGAATGTCTTATTCCCGCCGATGAACCCCGCCGCGTGGACGAACACCCCACCGGGTATACCCGTGATCTCGTCCAGCTTCTCGTCCCTGAACCCCCTCCACGCCTCCGGCAGCGGTCTCCGGCTCTGGAACGAGTCCTTGGACAAGGGCACGCACTGGACCCTCCACTTGGCGTCCGGGGCCGGCTTCTCCGGGTACAGCACGTAGAGGACCCTCCCTGCGCTGCCCCCGGCCTCCTCCAGCGTGTACAGGTGGTCCTTCCACGGCACCGCCTGGCCCCTGAGCACCATTATCCTGCCACCCTCGGCGTCGGCGTCGCCGCCCCGCGCGAACGCCTCGGCCACCACCTCGCGCGCCGGCAGCCACGCGCCGGCCAGGTAGTCGAGGTCGCGGTCGAACTCCTCGCCGATGCGGCGGCTCGCCAGCTCGAACCGTGCGTCCTCGGCCGCCTGCTGCGCCTCGGCGCCCCCCGACGCGGGGGCGGGGTCGTTCCAGTTCGGGTTCAGGCGCCCCACCATGGCGCCGAGCGTGAAGCCGCCGTCGGAGAAGCGCTTCTCCAGGCCCGCGGCCGCGAGGGCCGCCGGGTCGTAGGCGCCGATGCCGTTGTCTTGCGCGTCGAGGGCCTCGACGAAGGACTCGTACAGCTTGTTGTAGACGAGCGTCACCTGCGGGTCGTCCTCGGCGGAGGTGGCGGCGGCGGCGGCGGTGGCCAGGCGGCGGGCGACGATCTCCCGGCCGAAGTGCAGGTAGACCAGCCCCGCGGAGCTGAGCTTGGTGGGGCGGCCGGGGAAGGTGGTGTTGAAGGAGCGCTGGTGGTGGTCGTAGCGGTTCGCGGCAGGGTCGTACTCGCCACTGACGTCGACGACGGTGTGGCAGGTGCTCAGCAGGGCCGGGTCGCGGGTGCGCACGAGCTTGGCGCCCGCGTAGGTCGGGACATGCTGCCGGAGCATGTGCACCGCCAGGGCCTCGTCGGCGTGGAAGTGCCCGTTGTGCGTGCCGATCGTCACGGGGCTGCCGTCCGTCTTGAGACGCTTCGCTGCGTTTTCGGCCATCTTGACTATGGGAGAGAGCCGGAGCATGCGGATAACTCGGTCAAAACAGTTTGTCTGGATTACTTTCCTGGCTGTTAAGCTTGGTGTTTGTGGGGCACCATAGCAAAAAGCGCAGGTACTTCCCGTTTTTGACAGTTTGCTGCCCCACATGTGTACCTGGGTACATATGTACGCATTGTGGATAGGTGTTTGGAGCTCCACATTAGACCACCAACCTGCGGCCTTCACATCCTTAAATGCTATCCGATGCTGGTTCTTCATCGGACTCCAACTCGTGCACACCGTCTCCGTTCTCAAGGACCTTGACCTTGTATTTTCCGGCCGACGTCGCCATGGTTTGCATGGTCCACTGTCCTTGCGTGTAAGACTTGCAATCTCCGTGGACATCACACCATCTCCCCTGGTTTCCATTTGGCTGTCGTACTGTCTGCGTCGAGGTTGTCTACATAGTCGGCGATGTTCTGCCCTTTTTTCCTGCCCTTATACCGTATGTTAGCATAAGGTTCCAGCTGCTTGAATAGTTCACTTTTCATTTGTTTCTTGCCCAGTCCACATTATTCACGGACACATAAGCATACCCTGAATACCTATCGACTCCTGACGCAAGATTGGTAAATCTGCGGTCTGCTTCTCCTACACCCTTTTTCACTATGGCGCTCTCGAAGTTTCCTCGGTGCTCTCCCTATGAGGAGTACGATGTCGGCCAAATCTTGACCCTCAACGTCCTGCCCGAGCAGACCTCACCTTCATCAGAGCTTCGGGTGCGAGTTCGCCAGCTTCAAAAGCCACGAACACTCTCCTGCGCCATGGTTGTCGACATTTTAGATGGTTGTAACCAGGAAATCCAACCTGCGACCGCCTTCCTGAAGCTCTTTGACCGACGCTTCGCCGATCAGCTTCGACGGGATAATGGAATTGATCCATGGACAAAGAGCATGGAGGAGAGCTACATTAAGTTTGTCCATGGCGGCGGAGTTCACCATTTTCTACACGACCTCCGACACGTCCAGGATTTTCAGGAGAAGACCGAAGACGACTGGGATGACGCTCAGAACGAGGCTTTTCTAGCCAACGAACTACTGCGACTATACACGGCTGAGACGGCTACCTACAACGCACTACGCAACTACCAGGGATGTCTGATTCCCCGTCTTTTCGCGGCAGTTAATCTCGACATTACGCCACCAGACGCGCATGGCGAAGTTAGCTTGCCGGAGGAGCTCTTTCAGGTCAAAGGAATCTTGCTCCAATACATAAAAGGTTTTAGTCTATCAGACCTACCGGATCGCACTCCTCAGTCGTCATGGCAAAATATCGTTGACCAAGCGGTAAACATTGTTCGCGTCCTCGGCGACAATAATATTTTGAACAACGACGTGCGCCCTGACAACTTCATGGTTTTCTCGAAGGGCAGTGGTGAGTATCAGGGTTTTATGATCGACTTTGGCTTATGCAGGTTTCGAGGAAAGGACGAGTCAGACCTTGATTGGGGGCGGGCGAAATATACCAAGGACGAAGAGGGAGCTGTTGGGCTAGTTATGAAGAAGAGGCTGGGGAAGTATGGGTTTGAGCTTGATTACGCAAGTTCTGAGAGATATATCAATTGGGCTGAGGGAGAAGAGGAAGAGGGGGATCTAACCCAGAAAGGCTTCCGAAAAGATGTAAGGCCAGGCGTGGTACTTTACTCACGGGTGCCATTGCGGTCCACACAAGGATGATCCTGAGCCTCAGAGATGGGTGCTCAGTTGCAACGGAAGCTCAATCAACCAAAGAGCATGGAGGAGGGCTACATTAAGTTTGTCCATCGTGGCAGAGTTCACCATTTTCTACACGACCCTCGACACGTCCAGGGTTTTCAGCAGAAGATCGAAGACGATGTCCCGGTCATGTGACAGTCGCGGCTAAGCCGTCGCCATGGTTGGGCATGCCGTCGCTATGGTTGGGCAGCGGCATGCGTGCGAAAGTCTTCAGCCGCAGCGGCCTGGCGCCTAGAGCCTCGTTCTTCCATCGTGACAAGCCGGTTTCAAACCCTGTTCGTCGGGCTGTCTGGCGCCGTCAATACCTTCAAACGCTCAGCAACTTAAGCAGACACAGTCGACCACAATGGTGAGTTGGCGATCACGTTCGCAATCTCGATCCCCGCTGACAAGAGAACACAGCCACTGCGACAACTCTTCCCCGATCCCCAGGACTCGGCCGGCGAAGTGGCCAAGGTTGAGTACGTGGAACTGCCGTCTCTCGTGTTCCTGCTAATGATTATAGTATTATCGCCGTCCACGGCCTGAATCCTCGAAGCAAGAAAGACGCCGACCATGCCTGGGACACATGGCGCACGCCTCCTGGTCCGAACGGCCGCCTCTGGCTCCGCGACGATCTCCCCAAATACATAGCCGACTCGAGAATCTTCCTATATGAATACAACGCGACGGCAGTCTACGGAGAGGACCACGACACGTTTTCTGGGAAGGCGAATGAGCTGCTCGAGGCGATTCGAATCAAGAGAGTTGACGTGGAGACCCGGCCAATTCTGCTGTTGGGTCACAGCATGGGCGGACTGTTGATCGAACAGGCGCTGGTCAACGCCCATAATAACCCAAAATATACGTCTATCAAGAATGCGACAAGAGGACTGGCCTTCTTTGCCACACCACATGACGGCGGTGAGTGGAAGCGGGTGACCATGGGAAAGTTGACAGCCAATATCGCCATCTCCGCGGGGTTCCAGAAAGGGGACAATCTGGTGGAGGTTCTGCACAAGGGGAGTATCTTCACGGACGTCTTGAAGGAACACTGGAGGCATCAGTTGTTGGAATACGACATTGTTTCGTTCTGGGGGGCTCGGGACAACGTAAGTAGTTGTGGAAACGGATATCTGTCAGTACTAATTCCACATGGCAGATTGTTCCAATGGAAAGTGCGCGATTCGGATTACCTGGAGACCGTGAGAATGTGGTAAAACTGAACGCGGATCACGGGGATGTGTGCAAATTTGGGGAGAGTCAGACGGATCAAGACAACTTCGAGTTGGTGCAGAGTAACATCCAAGACATGTACAAGAACGCGCTCAAGCTCCGTGAGTTGAATGCCATCTCTTCTGTTGATCGGGAAGGAGGGATAACGGGGGAAGACAGTCTGCGAGAGCGATTCGAGAAACTCGGTGGTCATACATGATTGTACGAGGATGAGACGGCTCAATGGATGATGTTTCGTTCAGTCATAAACCCCGTGTCAGGATTGCGCCAATATTAACTTGTGGGTGTTGATAGGCTTCGCGCCACCGCATCAAACTTGCCAGCCTTGTCACTATATCCCCTTCCGCAAGAACACGCGCTTCGTCGGACGAGAGAAAACGCTTGATGAACTTCGAGACAAGCTATTCGACCAGGAGTGTCAGACGGTCGCGCTTGCGGGACTTGGTGGTGTAGGCAAGACACAAGTCGCGCTCAAGCTTGCACATTGGACGAAAGAAAACAAGCCAGCCCTCTCCATCTTCTGGGTGCCTGCACTGAGCAATGCTGCCTTTGAACAGGCATATGCCGAGATGGCGAGGAAGCTCCCGATTCAGAACAGAAGCGAGGGCGAGGACACCAAAGAGTCGGTGCGACAGTACCTGAGCTCGGAGGCTGCCGGGCCGTGGCTTCTCGTCGTGGACAACGCAGACGATACGGCAGTCCTCTTCGGAGAGCCAGATACACCAGGCGGAATAAGCAAATACCTTCCAAAGAGTGAGGAGGGGCTGACACTGTTCACTACACGATCCCGAGACGTGGCAGGAAGGGTTGCTGGGAGTGATGTGGTCGACTTGGTCAGGATGGACTCCCAGGAGGCGACGAGTCTTCTGGAGAGATTGTTAACTCGAAAGGAGCCCATCATTGGCACGGTACTTCAGGAATTGCTGGAAGAGCTCACGTACCTTCCCTTGGCAATCACACAGGCGGCGGCCTACTTGAACAGGAACCAGGTGTCGATTGCCAAGTACTTGGGCCTGCTACGAGGCACGGAGAAGGACATGGTCAGCTTGATGAGCAGGGAGTTTTGCGACAGCATGCGGTACGAGGGCACACAGAACGCCGTGGCAACGACGTGGATTGTGTCGTTCGAGCAGATCCGTCGGTTGGACAGCGCGGCAGCGGATCTGCTCTCGTTCATGTCGCAGATCGAGCCGAAGGCGATTCCGCAGTCCCTGTTACCGAAGTTAGGATCAGAAGAGATGGTGCACGCGATTGGCACGCTGTGTGTGTATGACTTTGTGGCCAGGCGGGACGACGAAATGCTAGACATGCACAGTCTCGTGCATCTAGCGACGCGTATATGGGTGAGGGAAGGCCTTGGGGTCCAGGTGGCAGAGAAAGCAATTCGGCACCTTGAGGCGGTATTTCCGTCTGATGACTACGAAAATCGCAGCGTATGGAGAGAGTACCTGCCGCATGCTCTACGAATTCTTCAGGGAAACGAGGTTGATGACCTAGAAGAGAAGTACAACCTATGCTTCTGGGCAGGACGATGCTTGCGAGTAGATGGGCGGATTAAGGAAGCTGTGAAGTGTCTAGACATATGCTATAGATGGAGGATGGACAACTTTGCCGACAACCACCCTGACCGGCTTGCTTCACAGCATAATCTTGCAAGTGCCTACCAAGCCGACGGGCAGATCAAGAAAGCTGTCGCGCTGCTTGAGCAGGTTGTGGCTATTCGAGAGACGATACTTGCCGACAACCACCCTGACCGGCTTGCTTCACAGCATAATCTTGCAAATGCCTACCAAGCCGACGGGCAGATCAAGAAAGCTGTTGCGCTGCTTGAGCAGGTCGTGGCTATTCGAGAGACGATACTTGCCGACAACCACCCTAGCCGGCTTACTTCACAGCATAATCTTGCAAGTGCCTACCAAGCCGACGGGCAGATCAAGAAAGCTGTTGCGCTGCTTGAGCAGGTCGTGGCTATTCGAGAGACGATACTTGCCGACAACCACCCTGACCGGCTTGCTTCACAGCATAATCTTGCAAGTGCCTACCAAGCCGACGGGCAGATCAAGAAAGCCGTCGCGCTGCTTGAGCAGGTTGTGGCTATTCGAGAGACGACACTTGCTGACAACCACCCTGACCGGCTTGTGTCACAGAATACACTTTCATACTTGCACAAACTTCAAGCAGCTAGTACTAATGCCATTACATAGCGCTGCATTTTCACAACTGCCATTCAAACCTAGTTTCCAACTTGCTTATACTTTGCATAGATAGCAGCTATCTCACTTTATCTCCTCTTCTTAATTTATCTCTCATAGCGTGTCATAGGACGGGTCTGGGGCGATCGATAAACTTATAGTTTTGGAACCAAATTCTAGTATCTACGAGATGGTTCGTTGGCAGTGGAGTTGTAGTCATGTCCCAAATTTGTAAATCACGTGGTCAAAATTTGTGGCAAGCTGATTTTAAATATCCTTTAGATAGAAACATAACAAGACAGCAAGTTGACTTCAATCTCCTTCTGCGCTGCCTAACTCCTAGATTATGGCTGCTAAGCACTCCTCTGGACCATGCTGTGATGCTTGCGTAGCTGTAAAGTGCGTTGCATAAGTCTCTGGACTTTGGGTCGTACACATGCGGCTGTGATTTGAGTAGTCAATGGGGCCAAAAACCGCTAGCCAAAATTGGCACCAACGACGGCAAACGGAAGCTCAATCAACCAATCACAGAGATCCATTTTCTGCTTAGCGGAGGTCAATGGGCATGAGGCGAAAAAGCACGCCCCGGAGGGCAACGTTCAACCGTGAGGGTTCCGCCGGGGCAACTTATTTTACCTCGCCTCAATTCCATCCTGTCCACCAACATCGGTCGACCTCTCCACTCTTCGCTGTCTAGCGACTTCATATTCCTTTCCGGTTCAAAATGTTCCCGTCAACGAGGACAGGAGCCTCGCTGGCCCTGAGAGGTGCGTGTCCAATCGAATACCCTTCCTCCCCTCTGCTTCTCCCCGCCTTCCGCCATTGAACCCCCCGGTTGCTAACACCCGACTTCTCGATCGTAGCGAAACCCACTTCGTACCTCGTCCCCTACCGAGCCGTGGCCGCGATCTCGTCGTCCTCGCGGAAAGACGCAAGTTCCCTCCAGCCACACACGGCGCCCGGCGGCCATGGCCTCGCCAAGCCGCTCGCCAGGGACGTCCCTCTCGCCAGCCAAGAGGGCACCAAAGGCGTGGTTCAATATGCGCTGTATGTAGCCCTTCCGCGGCCAATTGAGCAGCCCAAACCCGGTTGCAGTCCCTTTCTGCCTACCTAGCCCCCCCGTCTCGTGACGAATTCCCCAGCTGACAAATCCGATCTCTCCCCCCCAGCACGACCCTCGACATCATCACAAACTGGGCCCGGCAGTCCTCCCTCTGGCCCATGACCTTCGGCCTCGCCTGCTGCGCCGTGGAGATGATGCACCTGTCGACGCCACGCTACGACCAGGACCGGCTGGGCATCATCTTCCGGGCGTCGCCGCGGCAGTCGGACGTGATGATCGTGGCGGGCACGCTGACCAACAAGATGGCGCCCGCGCTGCGGCAGGTCTACGACCAGATGCCCGAGCCGCGCTGGGTCGTCAGCATGGGCAGCTGCGCCAATGGCGGCGGCTACTACCACTACAGCTACAGCGTCGTCCGCGGCTGCGACCGCATCGTCCCGGTCGACGTCTACGTCCCGGGTTGCCCGCCCACCAGCGAGGCCCTCATGTACGGCATCTTCCAGCTCCAGAGGAAGATGCGGAATACGAAGATCACCCGGATGTGGTACCGCAAGTGAGGGGGGGTGAACTCACTCACCCTTCTTTTGGAACAGTTGGGGGTGCGCTGGAGGGGTATTTGGCGACGGGTGGGAGAGAGGCCAGGATCTTCGCCTCAATTTCTTGGAGGATGTTGCATTTTTTGGCATGGTGGGGGGCTCTAGCTGGGAGACTATGGAGCAGGTTGATCGCGCATGCGCATCCACGTGAGCCCGGGCCACTGGTCATTGGGGATTCTTCCTTCGTTCTGTAGGTGTACATACACTATCAGGTTTAGATGCTGGTCGAGTCGAGTCACAATGCAGACGGGGGGCTGTACAGTACTTCCTCTTTTTCATTTGTCCCCCCTGGGATCATGACCTTCCCCTATTTTGTCCAATGATTCAGATCATGATAAGTACTGCTGTGACAGCTGTTGAGACAGCATTGATCTGAGGGCTTGGTAATTGCTGGAGTACCAGGTCTGACTCCTTGACGGCAACGTCTTGGTAAATTACCAGAGCCCTGGCATGTCGCGTCCGTGGCCCTCCCACTCGAAATATTAACAGCAGTAGTGCAAGATCTCATTGTGTTGTGAGTAGATAGTGGATGACGGTACACACAGATGTGTACATAGGAGTTGGTGAATCCGCTCTGTTCTCTCTACTTGTATAATATATCGAGACGCTTGGATCTGCTCGACGAGCACGAAAATAAAGCAAAACACACCTGATAACATGAGGCGGTGAATCGTTGGGAAACCAAGGCCTCGATCCTTCAAAAACTCCTCCCGTACGCAAGAAACGACGACTATAGTACCGGCGGCTTCTTTGCCATCACCCCCATCTTCGACCTCTGCTTACCGCACCTCGAACTGCCTCTGAACGTGTTGGTACTCAGGTCCTAAACCTACCTAGGCCAACCCGGAACTCTCCAAGCACCCTCGCTCCCGCCGTCGTACATCTCCCTCCTTGCGCCGCGCAACGGGCAGCCTGTCCCCCTCGGCATTTGTACAAGACAGAAAGAATGGCATATCTTGCCGCGTGCCTTCACCCCTAAAGGCGAACAAACCAGGGGTCTAGCAAAAAGGAATGGGGAAAGGGGCCAGAATACGTCGTTGATCCAGTTGCCATTAGGCCGCGTATTTCCGATACGCAGCCAATTTTATATACAATGTCAGCCCACCTCGTCTTCGCTTACTCCTGACCGAAGCCCATCGTCTCCTCGACGGCTATGGTCATTTTCTGCTGAAGCATCTCGAGAGACTTATATGGCGGTAGGTCAAGTCGGTTAAAGCTGGATGGGAGGTTAGTAGTAGTCTCGACAAAGAAACACTGGGCTCGGAATCGAAACTTACCAGGTGTGTGCCTTGGGTAGATTGGTGATCTCGCCCGTCTTTTCGATGGTGAAACGCCGTGGTCCATCGCTTCCCTGGAGATCCTTGAAGCCGTTGACGGGGATACGCGAGGTGCCCGTGGTGAACTGCAGCAGGCGCGACTTCTGCTCGCCATCCCAGCTGCGCACCGTCTGCCAGAAGTATTGGATGACCTCGTCGGACTCGGTGTATCCGCGGTAGTCGGTGTGCTTCTTCCAGTCGTCAACGTCGATCTCGGCGATACCGCCAATGAGCAACTCCAACTCGCGCTCGTCGAATACGTTGATGAGGTCCTGGGGAATGAGCTCCTGGAAGCCCTCCTTGAACGCCTGGAACTGCTCGGCAATGCGCTTCTCGATCCTCCACTTCACCATGAGGTCCACGTACTCCTTCTTGTTGTCGTTCGTAACATCGATGTCACGACCACCCGGGATGAGGTCTTCAACGGTGATGACGCCGAACCGCTCATCCTCGGTAGAAAACGTCTGCTCCAGAATGCCGCCCGAGATGTCGTTGTCCAACATCCACTGCAGTGAACGATGGAAGTCTGCATCCACGCCCTCCATATCCGCCAGAACCACAGACTTGCCCAGGACCATCTTGTACAGGGCTCCGATGAAGAAGGCGTCAAGGAACCGCCTGTGGAAGATGGCGAGACCAACCACGCGGCCGATGAACTTGAAGTAATTAAGATGCTCGGGGTTGATGCCCGAGTGCGGATTAATCTGGAGGGTATAGTTGTCGTGTGCGGAGTACTCGAAGAGGCAATAGAAGGGGTTGAACATCTCGTGCGACAGCAGAAAGAAGAACTCTCGCGAGAGACCGCCGTAATCCAGACCGTCCTCGCCGTCGAACTTGATCATCAGTCGCTTCTTGAGATCGGTGGCGGATTGGCGCGAAATCTCTGCGAAGGAGTCCTCGAAGATGTGAGACCGTCGAACCTTGATGTGGCACTGTCCTGACAGGATACGCATGGCGGGTTGCGACCGGAAGTAGATGAGCTTCCTCCTAAAGTCTCGCTTATACTGGGGCACGTTCTGATCCAGGGAAGAGGGTAGCCGGGGGTCGTCCCAGGTGGTCGTCTTGGTATTGTGATCAACAAAGTAGACGCGAGCGGTGTTGGTGAGGCGCATCTCCCAGCCGCTTGGCAAGGGCCCGAGCTGGGAAACTGGCTGTTGCTGGATGGTGCCGTTGGTATTATTCTGGCCCCCATACATGCGGATATATTGCTGGCGACGAGGATCAACCCAGGTAGTCGTGCGGGTGTTGTGATCGACAAAGTAGGGGCGGCCTTCCGGAGTCCACCTTTGTTCCCAGCCGGGAGGCAGCTCACCAGTCCCGGGGCTCGTAGCTCCTGTGTGCATCAGAGTGGCGGCATTCCCGTTTTGAGCAGCCGCAGCCTGCTGCTCTTGGAGGGTTGGCGAATTCGCACCCGTCCTGTCCTCGGGCAGCGTCCTGTTCTGGTGTCTCTGACGTTCGACTTGAGTTGCGGCCTCGACGATGCGCGAGTCGGTGGTTCCAGTCCCCGTCGGCCTAGTCCAGCTAGTGGTCCTTGTGTTGTGATCAACATAGTACGTCCTCCCCAGGTTGTCCTCGCGCCGTTCCCAGCCGGCAGGCAGCCGACCCTGGGCATCTTCAAAGGGACTTAGGGTGCTACTGGTACGTGGGTGGCCGGTGCCATTCGCGTTGCCCGGGGGGGCGGAGGATGAGGATGCTGCCATGCTAGCCGGTCGATGGGCAACGGAGAGTTGGTTTCCCGCTAAGAGGTTACTGTTGCCCGACGACATGGCCGACGTCGGTCTTTCGGATGCCCTATCTGCCGAGACGGTAGAGCCTTGCGGGGTGAGGAGGGAGGGACGACTGGACGCAGCGGAGGGTGGCGGCTGTTGACCACCTCGGACGGGCGTTGAGAGGTTCGTGGAGAGATTGACAATGAGTTTTCCATGGACTACCAGGTTGTCGGTCGATTTCTTGAGGTCTCGCGTGAGCATCTGGTCTATCGCAGTCCAAAATGTTAGCGATCCCTGGGCAGACCAAGCGGGGAAAGGGACTGTTAAATAGCGCAAGGGTATCGCACCATCTGCGTCTGATGCGAGCTCTATCAGATCGCCAATCCTGATGTTGATGACCCCTAGAAAGCCCTGGTCCTTCTTCTTGAACTTCTTCTGGTCAAACACCTGGACAGCCAAGATGCTGTCCTCATTCACCTTGCTAAATTGGCAGTAAGCATCAGGGTACACCAGGCTGGACGGATTGGCGGGGAGCATATTGGCTTACAAATCGAAGCTCTCGTTCCAGTATGGGTTGAGGGTCCTCTTGGATACTGTGGTGGTCTTGGTCTGCTCACCGTTGATGGTGGCTACAGCAAATGGATCGGGGAAGCCTATCAAAAGCAATCAGTGTTGTCCGGGAACTGCTGAAGTCTCCCAAGGTTGGGAAGGACGCATACGGAACACATCTCGCTTGTAGAGACCGTCGGCAGCGATGACTGGAACAATGGGAATAATGAGTTAGTAAAAGACGTGGAACCGGCGCGCGGTTATCGCAGAGGGGGTGGGAAAGTCTACTTGTGACTCGAAGGTTTGGCTGGCTAGAAGGTTATTAGCGACTGCTTTTGCCCAGGTAGGGAGTGAATGCGGCTGGCACTTACGGCGGCAGCCCAGAATCTCGACTTCCGCTCATCGTTGCGAGCAGGAGTGGTCGTGTGTGAACCGACCGAGGTCCAGGGTGGGCTGTTTCTCGACTGTTCGCTTTGCTGTCTTGATGGTTATCGCGGAACAGCGAGGAAGGTTGTGATGGGTGTCAAAACGGTATCGAGATGTCGGGATGACACGATGGCAGGAAAGCTTCCGTGCGATGTCGAGGTGGATGTCGATTGAGTGGGTGAGTATCCGTAACTGGCTCGTGGCTCGGCGGGTTGAGGCTGTGCCTTGTCGACCTCCCCGCTTTGGCAGTCCTGTTAGGACCAGAACGGTAAGGAACCGGTATGGGAGGTGCTAAGGTGACGCGGCGCTTGTAGCAAGTCGGTGGTTATTCCGGTCCGTTGCACGTCTCGCAGGACCAGCCGCTGAGGGAACGGGAGTTTATTGTTTGGCCTGTCGAGAGGTGCTGGGTCGGTGTGCTATCTTTCTGATAACTATCTTTTTGAAGGATTACGGTTCTGGTAACGAGGGGCGGCCGCCAAGAAATCTTACATATCTTCCAAAGGCGAATTTCGGCCTGGCGGCAAATTCACTTACTAACCACTGCAGGAAGGTCCAGAAGCATATGCAGGTAACTTACATGAATGCTTCGCAATACGCATAAATCAAGATCAACTACAACGCGTAACTTCCATTGCCTGGGTACCTATTCATAGTAAATTCTGACAGTATATGTACCTAGGTTCCTAGGTGCCTGCGCCCCCCTTTAACTTTTGTCTGTGCCTCCCGGTTGCCACCATGACCATGTTTTGTCCCTGGAACTAAACCCGGCGTCGGAGGCACCTGCCACAGTCAACTAGGTTCCGAATTCCGATAGATAACGACGGGGAACAGAGCTGCCCAAGGTTCTTTATCAGGTTACATTGTGGCTGCTTGAGCTCTCCACGCGTGTAGTAGAAGAAGATGTCGCTAAACTCATCTCAAATTCCCTTGGAATGAGTCCTGTCTTGAAGTAGGTATCTAAAGAAATCGCAAAGTTGCCTATGAAATACATTGAGGGTCCGCCAGAGGTTAAAAGGACGAAGCAAAGAAGCATCCCTTCCGTCGAGGTAGCGAGGGACCATGTTCTGACGATTAGGGATACGTCATGGAGACGCAGGGTTGGGTACATAGGTGGGCGGGCTAAATATGGAAAACGCAGGTGCAACTCCTAGCGAACACGGGATTGTGAATCAGCGCAAGGGAAGTTAAATATAATATTGCACCCTTCCCCATCACGGCAAGGCCAAGGTCTGGATTGAAGGCAAGCAATGACGGCATCCCATCCGTCCATTTTCCATCCCATGACGCCACACAACAAAATAGCAAAATCTCCAGACACTGTGTTGCGTCGCCAAAACTGGCCGCCTCTTGATCGTTATCTTACATACACGCAAGGCAGGTACGGAAGGCTGGACCTTCGCCGGAGCAGCCTTCCAAAGGGCAAAGGGGCCGGATGCATCGACCTAATAGGGGCTATACCCTCCCCGGCCGCGGCCACGATAGCCCCCACGGTACGAGGCCCGAGGAGCATACCCACCTCGAGCCCCCCCGCCGTAGAAGCCACGACCACCTCGGAAACCACCTCTTCCACCACGGCCACCACGAGACATGCCTGGCAGGTTGGTCCTTTTGGGGACCACCTTGATGTTCCGGCCCTTGAAGACACTCTCGTTGAGCACAAGGGCTTGTGCAACCAGGCTGGGCTCGGTAAATTCGACGTAGGCATATCTGAAAGCAGTCCACATGTCAGCATCGCTCAAGGGGTCACATACATCCTTTTGGCCCCAACTCACCCCTTGGGCTGGCCGGTGAATTTGTCCAGCAGGATAGTGACACGGTTTATCGAGCCACAGCTCTGGAAATGTGCCTGGATCTCCTCAGGCGAGGCAGAGTAGTCAACGTTGCCAACAAAAATGCTGCGGCTGTCAACATCCTCTTTGTCCTCCGACAGCTGCTGCTGCTGGTGTTCCAGGCTCTCCTGCATCGCGCGAAGCTTGTCAGCCTCCTCCTCCATCTCGGCCACGCGCTTCTTCATCGCCGAAATCTCCTCCTGGAAGCCATATTGTCAGTGGATCGCGTCCCTGCCAGATGGCTGCGTGCCCAGCCACGTACCTCGTCATTGACCTCCTCTTCGCCGCCGGCATTCTCGTGCTTCTCCTCAATCGGCTTCTCTTCTTCTGGCTTCGGGGAAGCCATTGCTGCGCTTGATCGGAACTTAGCGGGGGGATCAGAAGCAGGACTCCGCAGACAGCTCACTGTGAGATGCAATTGTGGTCAACTTTGGGCTCTCGAAGGGAGCAACTGGGATGGGAAAGACAAGACAAATCGCCTTTATCTGAGGTTGCAATGCCATCAAAGTCTACTTACCTCGCCGAATGGCGATCCCAGGTATTCACTTGTAAACTGTTGGTGGATTGAGAAGTTCGACGTGGGCTGCAATGCGAGCTTCAAGGTAGGAATCTCACAAAGGTGTGTCGGTAAGAGAGAAGCTCCGACATAGTGGGGGTATGTGCGGGATGGTGCAATCGCGTTTGGAGCCTTAAATTGGATAAATGAATATTGCGATAAAAACCTTTCCATATGCAGATATAAGATACCTTGTGCTTGGGTGGGACTGCCGAATTCTGATTGCTCCGTTCTCACTGCTCGGTCCACCCTCTTGTACTGTACCTCGACCAGCAAGCCTCGAGTAATTACCGGCCACTACACACAAAGTCACCGGGTCTTTATAAATACACCGCATCCCTATCCTCCCTGCCCGTCCCGTCTTAAACTCCGTCCCATTCATCTTCTCCATCCCGTTTCGAGTTGTGTTTCAGCCAATAGGGAACTCAGCACCTTGGAGGCTTATCACCGTGCGGGCTTGTCACAGAACAGACCTGTTGGAGCGCCCGTGTCGTATCCTCCAGCCCACCCTCCACCCTGCAATTGGAGAGCTGAGAAGTCTCTGAAATTCCACCGCTCATGGCGGAGTGAGATAGTACTATATACTGCTTATTACTGACATTACTCCTCCTTCAACATTTGCACCTGATCCGCGGTCTTCAGCAAGTAATCGCCACCCAGCAAAGCCATCAGGACGCCATAGATGCCCTTCAGCGGCCAAATTGACCAAAACAAAGCCAACAACCAAGGCACCCACTTACGCAACTCACGTTCCTCGGCTTCGGTATCGACCTTCACCTTATCATAAACACTCTGCAGCCACCCAGCGCCATACTTTGCACGCAAGGCGTCGTATGATCCGCGGTCATAGTGCGCCCAGAACTCAGCCTCGGTATAATACGCGTGGGCGTACAGCCACTTCTTCCCGCCGAGTTCCTGCACCTTCAGCTCTAGCAGGCGGTTTTGTTGCACGAATTCGCGCCGGTTGAATGAGCCCGGACCCCAGATACCGAAGTTCATGAGCCAGCCAGCTTCTGACTGCGGGTCCAGGTCCGCAAAGTCGGAGTGTAGGCCGTGGCGCGCGTTGGGCGTGTCGCGCACGAACCGCAAGGGGCATAGCCAGAGTGGGTAGATGTGAAGCGTGTTGTGGAGCCAGTCAATGAATTCCGAGACCTTGTCGTGAGGGATGCCGACATCTTGCACTAAATAGTTGTCCGACAAGCCGCTCTGATGTAGGGCTCGGTACATCGTCCTGGTGTGCATCAAGGGGTCGAGGATGAAGCGGGTCACGCGGTTGAAAGGAGTGATGAAGTAGCGGAACGAGTACATGGCCACCCAGAAACCCCCACGGTCGTATCGGAATAGGTAGTCGACTAGGGGAATGAATTCGGTGACCTCGGTGGACGGACCCGAACGTAAACGCTTCTGGAGCCGGCGAACATGGATATAGAACCAGGGGTCTCTGCTCCGTGTAAAACGTTGAGGTTTGGTACCTTCAGGCAGACGGTCGGTAAGCCGGCCAGAACATACAACTGTGCAGTCTTTCGAAAACATAATGCCATCGACGTAATCAACTGGCTCCTTAGCTATTTAGTTGTTTTCGGTTTAGCGTTTCGTTTCCTTCTTGTCGAACCATTTGGACAATATGACAAATACAGGTACATACCAATCTCTTCTCGAATGCTGGCATTCGCTCTGGCTGCGTCGCCATAGAGCGAATAAGTCAACCGGACGTAAGGCTTGGCTTCTCGCAGTTGGACTTCCAAGAGCGTGATCACACCGAGAGTACCAAACGCCGACGCAGCTCCCCAGAACAGGTCCGTCTTCTCATTCGTCGTGCGCGAAGCCTTGGTAACCTCGCCGTTAGGCAGCACGATCTCAATCCAATTGATGGTAGTGTCGAATGCGCCGTATCGGAAGGACGAGCTCTCGCCCGAGGTTCCAGAGAAGCCGCCTCCGACCGTAATGCCCGGAAATTCCATCACCACAAGAGGTACTAGACCAGCCTTGAGGGTAGCTGCCACAAGTGCGTCCATAGGCACGTTCGGCTCAACCAGTGCCGTATTCTTGGAAACATCGACATCGAGCACGCGGTTGAGGGAGCTGGTGTCTACCGTGTTGTCACGGCGGCGCTGTGAGGCGCGCGTGCTGTTTGTGGAACCATGATAGATCCGGAAGGGCTGCTTCTTCCCGAAGAAATGTCGCACTCGCGAAGCTACGGCCGCGACGGCCTTGTCATGAGCCTCCATTTGTCTGTTGGGAATTGAGGGGAATGATTCGAAGTTGCGTTGTCAAATTTTGGTGGCCGCGCCTGTGGAGGAAAACGAAAAGGAATCAGATGAGTCTCGAGCTGACATGCTGCGCTTAAAGGTGGGGTTATAATCTGCAGTGTCAAGTCTGAATCGACTTCACACTTGAGTTTATGAATATATTAAATCTGCTTAGCCTTAGCTACAGTGTAACTTGTTAGCCATCTTGTTAATCAATTCTCTATCCAAAATCCCGTGAGCATAGCACATCCTAACTAGCGTAAAGGTTTTCGCTGCTTCCGTTACTCTCTTTTGCCGAAGATTAAAAGGAAGTCTGCACCCAATAATAATGAATACTTCGTCTCCTGAAAGAGTCCCGCGTTGACAACGGCTAATTACGGAATCAGAGATGAAAAAGTGCTCTGTGGGGCATACCCTCCTCATCCACTTTTCAGTCTCTCTGTGAGATTCGGTAAGGTTATCAAATTTTGCGCAACGATCCATAAACGCAGGGCGGGTTCCTGCTATACTGAGAGGCACATCCGTCGAGGAATATTTCTTGTTGAAATTCGATTCCAATTCAGTTAGTTTGTCCCACGGCTTGCCGTATAGGAATCCTTCAGCAATGTTTTAGACATGCCACGAACTCCAGTCACTGTTGCGATATGAGCTGCTTGGAGTACCAGGCGCTTGTCTTCAGGAGAATGTCTGGTTTCCCCGAGGCAGAATATTTCCTAAAGGAGGTGAACATCGATCCAAGAGGAGCTCCATTTCGCCAGTCTGGTACCAAGGTTGGAAGGTGTTGTCGTATCGGCCCAAGCCCGATCGCGTCGTCAAATGTAGCTGTAATATCGGTGCCGATTAACGATCGAGCAATCATTATGAATACTTCCTCGGTCGACAATCTATAGTTGGGACGGATGGGCCAAGTGCCATGATGCTGGGAATTGTTGAGCATGGCAAAAACGAGGTCCCTTGGGTCCCCTGCCTTCAACTTTCAGGTTAATCGCATAAGCGGTAACTGATGGAGATAGTTTCCTAGGTCTTGGCTGATGCCTCTTTCAAAGTCCATCAGCATAATCCGGATGAAAAACGCACCCATACGTCCTCTGAGATCGTGGTCTCCCGTCGGATTGGAGTTTTGTGTGAGCTGCGAACCTCGACATAGATGCGTCCATGCAGTCCCACGATACCGCACTGAATCACCCCCACTCGGGCAACCATCACCTCCTGAAATATCTATTTGCGCGTGAAATAGGAGTAATCAAAATCCACTCTGCTGAATGCCAGTCTTCCGTTGTCGGAGGGATCTTTTATCATCTCTAGTTCCTCCGGCATGCAATTGTAGTGACGGCAACGTCCCCTCTGTAGGTCCCAGCGACCATGCTTGGAGGGAAGGCAATGGTGGTGAATCCGGCAAATCGACAGCATTGTCTTTTCTATACCCTCATAATGTTCTCCAAGCCACGAAAATGTAACGTTAGTCTGTTCATAGATCCTCTTCATCATCTGGACCAGGTTGCTTTTCTCTTCGTCATCCACCTGATTGCCGTAGCTCTATATCGAATCCTCAGAAGCGCATCATGAAGGTTCCTCCGGATTTCCAGTTGGTAATTTTCGTTGCAGATAAGAGGGTAGGGTTCAGTTCGTGTGCTCCGTTCATACGAGACCGCAAAAATAAAGCGGCCTGGCGTCTAGGTCGGCAATGGTCATGGTGCACGCTGGTGGTGAATCCGGCTCTCCAGGCAACAGGTGAAGTAGGCGTATGTGAGTTTCCTTTAAGAGAGGCTCATAGACGTACGGCAACCGGGTAGTCCTATGCTGGCCACTTCCTAGAAGACTTCTTTCTGCCACGTTTTCAACTTTGACGAGCAGTGGAACACCTTTCGAATGCAAGCCTCTACAGCGCTGTATTGGGTCCACGGTTGCCAAGAGCTTGATGACGTGTTAGGAAATCGGATGATTGAGGTATTACGGGGTAATCACGAATAGGCAAGATGACCGATTGGGCGTTGCAAAGAGTTGGCAGGATGGTTACGCAGGCAGAGTAGGTTAAAAAGGAGCTCCGCTAGGTGTACCCCCATTTTGCGCTCTGTGTACTAAATTGTGGCCTGCGCACTAGTTTCTAAGTTTTAATTGGTCCGAGCCACAGAGGTTTTCTGTTGTGTTACAATCAAAGATTCTGCGAGCAAAAGTTTACAATACTTAGGTCATATATACTAAGGGTTCAGCACTGTGCAGGTACTGTTACACTGCGAGGATATGTGCCCTGTCTAATATGTACTTATTGAGGCGGCCTAGACTGCTAAAACTTGAGGCCATATGTTGTCTGGGTGGAACATGGAAGGAAAAGCTTGGGCCATGACAAAGGTACGTAATTCTCCTTAAGGCTTACCGAGTTAGGCTGTCTGGTGTCATGGATGGCTGCATAGGTTGTAGTTCTGCCTTTGTCGTCCCATGCTATTCCAGCAGTTCCAGAGATTGCCGATTTTCCTGTCCAGTTCCCTTGTTACCTGGTCAAGACCACGCAATGCTACTCAGCCACATAGGTGGTGTTTTCAGGTCCGTTTCAGCCTCGCGGTTTGTCAGGCGTCAGCATGCATTGCTGCCCCGCAACGCCAGGAGTTGCCCCGCCATGGGCATGGAGGTGGGTGGGTACATGGATACCTGCCTAGGGTGGGCAAGCGGGCAATAAACCAACAATTTATACGACAGCTTGCCTGCCTTACAGTTGCCCAGAACATAAAACGCCACTCCCATCCAGTTCTCCTTTCTCCTTGGCGCTCTGATACTTCAAACCAAGCACGTAAACATGTCTATCGACATCCAAAAGATCCTAGCGGCGTCCCCGGTCACCACCCGGGGTCAGCCAACCCAGCTCTCCTGCGACCCCAAAGGCGAGCGCATAGCTTATGCCGTATGTGTACCCCTGCATCCCGCTCCCTGGCCGGGCCCAGCTCGACCCGCGGACCCCCGCCCTCAACCAAACCCCCAACGGCACTAACCCTCCCCTCCCCAGTCCGGCAAGTCGATCTTCCTCCGCTCCATCGACCGCCCCTGGGAATCGAAGCAGTACACCGGCCACACGGCCGCGACGACGGTGGCGCGCTTCTCCCCGTCAGGGTTCTACGTGGCGTCGGGCGACGCGGCGGGCAACGTGCGGGTGTGGGACGCCGTGGAGGCGGTCAACACGCGGGGGGAGCACGCCGTGATCTCGGGGCGGATCGCGGACGTGGCGTGGGACGGCGACTCGGCGCGGCTGATCGCGGTCGGCGACGGGCGCGAGCGCTTCGGGCGCTGCTTCACGGCCGACTCGGGCAACACCGTCGGCGAGGTGTCGGGCCACAGCAAGGTCGTCAACGCCGTCGCCGTCCGCCAGCAGAGGCCGCTGCGCGCCGCCACCGTCAGCGACGACGGGAGCATGTGCTTCCTGCACGGCGTGCCGTTCAAGTTCGCCAACAAGGAGGCTGAGCTGCACAAGGGGTTCGTCTACGGCGCCGCCTTCAGCCCCGACGGCGCGCTGCTCGTCACCGTCGGCGCGGACAGGCGGATCCAGCTGTACGATGGGAAGACGGGGGAGCCAACCAAGGTGATCGGGGAGGGGGTGCATACGGGGAGCATCTTCGCCGTCAGCTGGGCGAAGGACTCCAAGAGGTTTGTGACGGCGAGTGCGGACCAGACCGTGCGGGTGTGGGATGCCGAGAGCGGCGGGAATGTCCAGACCTGGAGGCTGGGACCCGAAGGGGGCGTCAGCGTCCCGCACCAGCAGGTCGGTGTAGTGTGGCCGCATGGGAGAACCGATGGCCTTATTATTAGCCTGGGTCTAGATGGTGACCTCAACTACCTGGTTGAGGGCAGTGCGAAGCCAATTAAAGTCGTTCAGGGGCACAACAAGAGCATCACGGCCTTGGCTGCCGCATCCGACGGAAAGGGCCAAACCCTCTTCACGGGTAGCTTCGAGGGCAGAATCTGCGGTTGGGATCTCTCGACGGGCACTGGCACGGCGGTGGATGGCCAGACACACTCAAACCAAGTCACGCAATTCGCTCCGTCGTCGGGCAGGACATACAGCGTCGGATGGGACGACACTCTACGGATCATCGACGAGTCCGCCGGCACCTTCGCGGGATCGTCATCCAAGCTCAGCGCCCAGCCAAAGGGCGTTGCTGCTTCGGGGGGTCAGGTCATAGTCGCACTCACCTCGGGTATTGCGGTCTACTCCGACGACCGACTGGTCGGAGAACTCGGCACTGACTATACCCCCACAGCCATCGCAGTACACGGAAGGCTGGTGGCGGTGGGTGCCGACAACAACACCGTCCGGGTGTACCAGCTCGACTCGGGCAACAAGCTCTCGCAGGCGGAGACATTGAGCAACTCGACGGCGCAGATCTCCGCATTGTCATTTTCCAAGGACGGCAAGCATCTCGCCGCCGGCAACTCGTCGGGAAAGATTGTCGTGTATAAGACTGCTGGCTGGTCTGTAGCAACCGATCGCTGGTCGGCGCATACGGCGAGGGTGACCAGCATCGAGTGGAATGGCGAAGGAACCAACGCGGCCAGCGGCGGGTTGGACACGAACGTCTTTGTGTGGAGCCTCGCGAAGCCCGGGAGCAGAGTCAAGGCGCTAAATGCACACAAGGATGGCGTCAACGGAGTGGCCTGGGTGGACGGCGGCATCGCCAGCTCTGGAGGTGATGCCGCGATCAAGATCTGGAAGGTCGATGGGCTGCAGTAGATGGCGAGTGCTTTGGGCATCACCTGTCCTGCCAATATAGGAGTACGATTCCCACGATTGAGAGAAATGAATTATTATGACTTTTCCATTTGCCGTCCTTCGGCGGGGGTATCTCCTTAACTCGTGGGATTCAAAGCCAAACAAACCCAATCATTTCATCCTCCCTTTTTGAGAACGCCCATAGCTCCAGACACCAAATGCTCCCCCCTTTTTCATGCCTCGTATATGTACATAGCGCGTTGGCCAGTTGCTGGGGAGCTGAAGCACCAGTCGGGAGAAATCGACCCCTAGTCCATTTGCAAACCAGCGACGTCGGACGGCTGTGCGGCCACCGCCGAGCCCGGCGCCGGCGACAGGGCCTCCAGCTCTGCCAGGTGGACCTGCTTGTCGAACTCGGCTGGGTAGCACGTCAGCACCATCCAATCGAAAACGTTGATGCGCTGGTCCTCGGGGACCGGGAACGGAGGGTCCGTGTAAGGTGGTAAATCGTCCATCCGACCTTGTATGACCTGCTCCTGGGAGCGGTCAATCGCGTCATCTAGCTGGCTATGCAGTGGTGAGAGCTGTCAGTTTATGAACCTGGCCATGCGGGATATTGAACTCGGGTCGATGGGTTGGTTGGTAGTACTCACCCAATCTTGCCATAAACTGCCCAGTTCTGCTTCTCACATTCTTCAGCGAGTTCGGCCTGGTGGTTGTCCAGGAGAGTCGAATTGGGGACCACAATGAGCGGAACTCCATATCGAATTGCCTCCATGACAGTTCCAGCACCTAGAAAAAAAGAAACGAGGTGAGCGGGGCAAGAGCAGAGAGTGGCCGGGAGAGAGGCCAGGGGAGATAGAGAGAGAGCCACATACCAGCATGGGAGATAATGCAGCCAGCTGCTTGGCCACCAGAAACACCTCGGCACATGAGCATGTGGTCTTTCATTTTGTTGGTGTAGGCGAAGCAACGGATGGTCGGCCGCATGTCTGGTCCTGCCTCTGGAAGATTGTCCACCTGGGCTTTGAACCAGTCATAGTCAGGTCCACACTGGACTTCCAATACACCAAAGTCATGGAGCCATAGTGCGTCAAGAAATTTGGGCTGCAGGATCTCGGTGAGAAGGGCCCGAAAACTGGCAATGGATCCAACTGTGACAAAGCAGTGTCGAGTGAGCGGGGCCATCTCCCTGTTGAAACTCGAAATTTTGAGTCACCGATAACACAAGGTTATCAAAAAAATCCGACCCGAGATTGGATTGAACGTGTCGAATGTTTTGAAAAGTGGTTGATCTGTTGTCGTCTTCGGCGCACATTCATCATCGAGGCAGAATCCATTGTGAGCTGGTCTTATCGAGCCAGCAATGTGGAGTTGATAATGAAGGTGGTGAGACGGTTAAACATCGGTTATTCTCAGGGGGAAAGTCGGACATTCAAGATGTGCAGGGGTGATTTGGAGAAGGCTTATGATTGGTCACGATGTTGGGACTGAAAGAGCCCCAAATTTTTAGCAGTCTATCAATTGGATCCTTATGGCCTGGGAAGCAATCAACCAACAAGACGTGCACCCCTAATTACCTCAAGGGGAACAATTGGGATGGCTGCAGGAGCTCAATCGCTGCGCCTTTGTCTTCGGAGCTATAGGCAAGCTCCAGCTTTCCGGGCTCTCAGGCCAAACACCCCCCAGCTTCGACGAGCATTATCCACCACGACGATAGCGCGACGGAGGGAAGCCAACGACAAGGATGCCGTCGACCTCGGATTCGATCGAGTATACGACAACCCTGGCGATGTCGTCGACGATCTCTTACGTACCGAGTTGTTGCCCGCAAAAGACAGAAACCAGCTAGCCAAGGCGCAAAGCGTGTGGAGCGAACTCCCACACGAGCAGAAGCAGGCCCTGCAGAAAGATGTCCAGGAAGTTCGGCAGGCAATGGGTCCGCTTAGGAGGATTCGGAAGGCAAAACGATCTTCATTCTGGGGCGAGGAGGAGACTGACTCGGACCTTATCACGGACGAGTTGGGCGAGGACGATTTCGAGGAAGATGACATCCTGAGTATGGGCCACGGGAAGCTCGAGGAGCATCGGGAGCTCAGAGAATATGCACGCATAGCCATATGGGAGATGCCTCTGCTGTCGAGTAAGTTCCCAGGCTAGTCTCGCCGGGGCTGCTTCTCAGCCCGCTGACCCGTGAGCAGAGCACGCCAAGCCATTCCAGCCCCCGGTACAGGGAGAGGTACTGCGCTTCCGATACACGTCGTACATGGGTGAATTCCATCCGGCCGAGAAGAAAGTCGTCGTCGAGTTCTGTCCGAGGGACTTGGACCTTAGCGAGGTGCAGCAATCGAAGCTCGCGAAGCTTGCTGGTCCCCGATACAACCCAGAAACGGATATCATCCGCATGGGCTGCGAGATGTTTGAGCATCAGGCACAAAATAAGCGATATCTAGGCGACCTGGTGGAGAAGATGGTCGCCGAGGCGAAGGTACCGCCCACAAGGATTGGCAATCTGGGCAAGAATTTGCAGCTGACTCGTCTCAGGATCCCACCGACACGTTTGAGGATATCCCGTTGGATACACGGCACCACACCTTCAAGACGAAGCCCAAGTTTCCGAAAGAATGGCGGTTGACCCCGGAGCGACGGGCAGAATTGGAAGCCCTCCGGCAGCAGTCCTTCCTCCTGGATGAGTCGAAGAAGAATGAAGGAGCTCTGGTTGATGGCTCGCAGAGAATCCAGCATGCCCTGGCTCCTCCTCCCGCATCGGACATCCAAGGCAAGGTCGCTGAACTGTTGACGGTGCCTGCACAACAGAAGGCATCAGGCCCGAAGGCGAAGCGGCGATAAGTAAGAAGATGGGATTTCTACCACCTGTCCCGTGGCAAACAGGCGCATCCCGTTGCCAGCATGAGGGGATTGGAAGCGGAGAAGCCGCAGGGTTAATGCCCGTGTATATCACAACCCCAACTTGTAAAGTCATGTTGTATACTTGGAAATAAGAAGATAGAATTTCGAGTCGAATCTTGTGGTGACATATCAGGCGTATCTGTTCTACTGCTCTCCTTGCTCATGCCTCCCACAGTTACTATGTAACGTTTCCAAAAGTTCGGTGCACAATCTGTTATAGCCCCCCTGCACGCAGTGCATTACGGATGTGTACATAGTACGGATCCGTACAAGTACATGAATTCCGGCATTAAGCTGGGATGGCCCCACCGTTGCCGGCTCTCGTGGCAGGGCGGATAGCTGGGCTCGGGCCCGGAACGGAGCGGGGCGTCACTTCCGCTGGCCACCGTCCGGAGCCAGTGTTGATGGGGTGTACGCCATAGACCTAGAGGTTGCAGATACTGTACTATGCACTAAACCTCACTTTAATGCCAGTTTTAGAATGAGTTCCTCTGACCTTCAGTACTTGATTGCAAGGCTTCAGTTGTGCCTCGGCAGAGCAAGGTGGGGAAGCTACAGGGGTTATGTTCACATGTCTTAGCTCGGTGAATATTGATGTCCTGTACCTAAGGTCCCTATAAGCCGGCCTTCACTCTTCAACCCGGGCATCTCTGATCGCCATTTAAACTTGACTCTGGCAGTATCAAGAATCTTTCTCATCTCCCTAAGCTTAGTCGTATCTTAGTCAACGTTGTTTACCAGCTCAATTCATTCGGCTGTGCTTTCTTACCCCGAACTGTCCAGTTCTTGGACTGATCCATCGCTTTCCTTTCCCTTTGCATCTTTGCTTTCTTTCCTCCTACATCGTAAGTTCATTCATCTCATCGGGGATATAACTGAATATCCCCATCATCCCGCAAAGTGGGATTTTCTTGACTTACACTCCGGCATGGTGGAAGATTCACCCGAGATGGCTACCAAAATCTCCATCCCGGAATATCGGGCTACTGCGGTGGAAGATATCCCCGACATTGCTCGCTCCGTGCGCCAGACCTTCCGGACTCATAAGACCAAGGACGTCGAATGGCGCCTGGTCCAGCTGCGGAAGCTCTACTGGGCCTTGAACGATCTGAGTCCCGTGATCACCGAGGCTCTAAAGCAGGATATCGGAAAATCCGCCTTCGAGTCGGTGCTCACCGAGGTTGAATGGCTCAAGAACGACTGCATCTTCATGATCGAGAACCTGAAGACATTTGCCAAGGATGAGAAACTCGGCGCCCCGAGCGTTCCTCTCAGCTATTCCATGCTGAATGTGCGAATCAAGAAGGAGCCACTGGGTGCTGTCCTCATCATCGGACCGTACAACTACCCGCTCCAGCTGATTTTCTCTCCGCTCATCGGTGCCATTGGTGCGGGCTGCACGGCTGTCATTAAGCCGTCGGAGATGGCTCCGGCGAGCGCCATGGTGTCTATAGAGATACTCAAGGCCCTGGATCCGAAGGCCTTCGCCGTGGTCAACGGCGCTGTTCCCGAGACGACAGCTCTTCTCGACGAGAAGTGGGACAAGATCCTGTATACCGGCAGCGCGAATGTCGGTACAATCATCGCCAAGAAAGCCGCCGAGACGCTCACGCCCGTCTGCCTTGAGCTTGGAGGCCGGAATCCCGCCTTCGTCACCAAGAACGCCAATCTGGCCCTCGCAGCCAGACGGCTTCTCTGGGCAAAGACCACCAACGCTGGCCAAGTTTGCATGTCGCAGAACTATGTCCTCGTTGACAAGACTGTCGCTCCGACTTTTATCGAGCATCTCAACGCCTCGTCTCGCGAGTTTTTCCCCGACGGTGCCAAGGCAAGCCAGGACCTGTCGCGTATCATCAACAAGAGACACTTCCAGCGGATGAAGAAGATGTTGGACGACACCGAGGGCAAGATCGTCATGGGTGGTAAGATGGATGAGTCGGAACTGTTCATCGAGCCCACCGCCGTGCTCGTGAACTCGATGGACGATTCCATGATGCAGGACGAATCCTTCGGCCCCATTTTTGCAATCTACCCCATCAACACGCTGGACGAGGCACTCAATATTGCCAACCGTGTCCACAGAACCCCCCTGTCCCTGTTCTCCTTCGGCTCCAAGGCCGAGAACAAGAGAGGTAAGATAACTTCGTCCGCATTGATCCATCCACGCGCGCTAACCCCCCCTGCCACAGTCCTCAACGAGATGACCTCGGGCGGCGCGACGCTGAACGACTCCTTCTTCCACGGCTCGATCAACACGGTCCCGTTCGGCGGCGTGGGCGACTCCGGGTGGGGCGCGTACCGCGGCAAGAGCAGCTTCGACGTCTGGACACACGCGCGCACCGTCGCCGAGACGCCCTCGTGGATGGAGCGCTTCATCCGCGTCCGCTACATGCCCTACGAGTGGAAGCAGCTGCGCTTCCTGCAGCGCCTGACCACCAAGAAGCCGGACTTCGACCGCAGCGGTAAGGTCGTGCGCGGCGGGCTGGTTTACTGGACTGGCCGGCTGCTGGGCCTGGGCGCCGGCGGCGCCAAAGGTGCGTTCCTCAGATGGCTCCTTGTTCTCGTGGCCGGGTATGCGGCTCTGCTTAGGAGGCAGCAGCAGGCGTGATGGTCTTGGGACTTTTCCTTTCCGTCTCCGAGCTATTGATGGGCGTGTTTCTAATGCGTGTTGCTTGACCTGGCTCTAGGCGGAAGTGATGTATAATAGTACCAAGAGCAAGGCGGCGAGGGCTATGAGTTGTATCGGTAACCAGGCGTCAGTACGGGGATATTGTTTGTACACTCAGTACGAGACCGGCACAGATTAATTGTTTCTATTGCCGTAGTAATTACCCTCTTTCATCAGACCGTTCATTGTAATTGCTATTCCATGGGCCACACCACATAGTCGCCGATAATTCCATCCCATATAAGATACATGCATTCTAACAAACTGAGTACGGTACACACAAAACTCTTCATCTTCACCCACCATCTAGCAAGAACAAGCACACTTGAACAGAGGCCACGCACCCTTCTACCTTTTTCTCCACAGTTAACTAACCAGTTTCCGCGACGTCCGTATGTCCCTAGAACTCCCACTACCAAGGCTTCTCCTACTCAGCGACGCAATTCCGAACTCACTTCCCGGACTCGGTCGTGCTTCCCATACCCATCGGTGCCAATCTGTGAGTGTCGTTGTCAGTTCCGGCTCACTTTATCGAAATGACAACGCCAATAACCCGAGCTGAGTGCAACTTACGCAGGTAGATAGTAGACACTTGGTTAGCCCGCCTGGCGTGATATCGTTGCTCGAGTCTCGCTGCAGAATCCAGGCCTTCAGTTTCTTCCTTGTGCATTTGGAACTCCGATATATGGTAGATATCCATGGAATCCTTCCTCCAGACCATCCCCGGTTCGCAGACACTTGTGACGCCTCTCCAGGCCGACACCCCCATTATAGCCCACCACAATCTGCATTCCCACAAATATCAATGATTCCCCAATATGTCCATAGAGCGAGAGTAAGGCGAAGAACGAGCGGTTAAGTGGAACCTCCGTGCCGGGGAAAAGGAGACCAAAGACGAGATGGAGACCGCCATTGCAAGCAAGCCGTGAGAAGGAAGGGATATGGCGGTCTCCATGGCCAAAATGAGGGACGATCCCGTGCTTCACCGAAAAAATATTCCCGAGCGTCCAAGACGATACTTGTTTGACTGCCCGCTGTCATGAAGTTGTTGGCTCCGTTCCCTCCACGGCAGGGTCAGTGGATATAGCCGGCTCCGCAGGCGGGATCCGCGCATCCCCGGCACCAGCCCTCCTCTCCATCTCCTCGGCAACAGGGCTCGTCACCTCCTCAGCAGCGGCCTCCTGCAGGATCAGCCTCGGCTCCTCCAGCCCTTCCGTCTCGAGCGACCACAGCCTGAGCTGGGACTCCATCGCCTTGTCCAGGTAGCCCCTGAGCCGGTCGTACCTCTCGCGCCCGCCCTTCCCCTCCCACCCCTGCGTATACGCCATGGCGTACACGGCCCTAGGATCCTCCTGGAACATCCTAGCAAGCTGCCCAGCCGGCACCGGCCCCGCCCTACGCGACCGCCCCACCACCGAACTCCCCGTCCCCGCCACCGCCGCCGCCGACCCGGACCCCTCCTTAGCAGGCCTCTCATGCTCCGCGCAATAAGAACCGGTTCCACTGCCCCGCGCCCCGACGCACCCCCTCCGCGCACAAGCATGCCCCTCGCAGAAGAACCCCCCACCCCCACGCCTCCTAGCCGGACACCCCCCGGGCCCATCCCCCTCCCAAGCACAAGCATGCCCCGCGCAGAACCTCCTCGGCGTCCCCGTCGCCGCCGCCACCGCCACAGCCTCGAGGCACGCCCGCACCCGACACGTGTGCGCCGCGCAGAAGCGGCCCAGACCCTTGGGCCCGCTGGGACATTCCGCCGCACCATCCCCGCTCCCATCCCCGCCGACGAACCAGCACCCATGGTCAGCGCACAGGCGACCCGCCCGCCGACACGGCAGCGGACACGACGCCACCGCGCACCCGTGGCTATCGCAGTACTCCCTCCCCTTGCCGGCCTGGCGCCGACACGTCTTGAACGACCACCTGCACGCGTGGTCCGCGCAATACAACCCGCCGCCACCGCCTCCGTCCTGGGCGCGGACGCATCCATCGGCGCGGCACGTGTGTAGCGCGCAGGCCTCGGCGCCGGCGCCGCTGCGGCGGACGGCGACGACGGCGGACCGGCACCCATCGACGGGGCAGGCGTGATCGGCGCACGCGGCCGCGTCGGCGGGCTTGGGGTTGCGGCACCCCTTGCGCGGGCAGGCGTGGCGGGCGCAGTGGAGGCCGCTTCCGCTGCCGCTGCTGCCGCTGGCGGGGGCGCAGACCGATGGGCAGGAGTCGGCGCGGCAGGCGTGGTCTTGGCAGGCTCGGCTGCGGGCTGTGGGGGGTGGTGACTTTGTTTAGAATAGGATTGTGGGGGAAAGAAAAGGGGGGGAAGGGGGGAGGGGGGGAGAACTCACGATCATATCCGCCGGCGGCGGCCATGGACGGCAGGGGACACCCGGCGTACCAGCACCCGTGCTCGTAGCAGTAGGGGGCGTCGCCGTCGCTCGGCAGGGGACATCCGTCGATGCCGCAGGTGTGGTCCTCGCAGTAGTCGCCGAAGTAGGAATAGCCGCGCCCCTGAGTTGGGGCAGAAAACACCGGCTCCCGCCAGCAGCCGTCTACGCCGCAGCGGTAGCGGTGGCGAGAGGAGGTGTACAGTTCCGAGGACATGGACATCTGACGCTGAGAGTATTGCTTTCTCACAGAACGGCACTTCTAAGAAGAGATCGTTGCGAGGTCGCGCGACAGGAACTAGAGGTGGCAGCAAGCATGGGCTTTACTCTCTGAGATTGATCGGTGGTTCACGCACCTGATATCCATCCATGCCATCCAACACACATATGCAATGCGCCAACCAGTGCACCATCGGTTCGCAGATCGGGTGGAAGACAGGTTGGTGCATCGTGTTGAACGTGTTGCTGGGTCATTGGTTTGTATCTGCATGCCGCTTCGTCTCGACGTGCCCATGCAATCTTGGAATGATGCCCAGCCTGACCCAAACGCAACTCGTGGTCTCTCATTGCTGCCGTCCTAGTTCCTCTACTGGCTGGCGGCTGTTGAAACATTTTTAAGGTACCTAGACTGACGCCCAAATGAAGAGATCTGCGAGCTCCAGAGATCCGTTTTGCCCCTTGCCTTCGAACGAACCTGTCAAAAATCGGGGACGGCGAACTCAATGGCCTACCTTGTCAACAAAGGAAAGTTTCCATTTTTGTGTCAAGGCCCTCGAGGCCGACTTCCCCAGAGGCGCTTCCTCGTGTATCATACCTGAAGTAAGCGGAGGAAGAATTATATAAACACACAAGGCTTCGGCACCCAGGTACCTGTACACCCGATTTGATAACGACTATCCGTCCATCCATCCATCCATCCATCCAACCATCCGGAAAATGCAGGGACAGGAGGTAAAAGAACGCCAGAAGCGAAACTCCGAAATCCGGCCAGCTTGCCACCTTCTTCGGGTCTGCCCGAGAGAATCCATTTCACAGCAACCCACCCGCGTACTCGTCATCCTCTTCAGCGGGCTTCGTCGCGCTTCCATACGCACCTGCTTCCACCTTCGAGGCGGTTTGCATGTCGTAAGCCTTATTGACAATCTTCCGCGCGAGGTCCCACGTCGACTCGTACCAGCGATCGAGCTGGCATTTGTCCGTGTAGTAGCGAAGCTTGGAGTCCTCCCATTTCATCGCCTCGAGGAACTTGTTCCGCCAGTTCTCGTCCATGTTGGCGAAGCGCGGGGGCACATATTCCGTGTACGCGTCCAACGCATTGGCGGGCTTGACGTAGGGTGAGAACTCCGGATCAACAATCTCTGTTCCATTTGATCAGCACGAGTCTTCGTAGGCGCTTGAGCATGGTCTCGCCACAAGTTAATAAGTACTTACGTTCGGCGATGCACGCAAACGAGGTGCGGTAGGTGGCGGTCTCGCCAACCGTAGCCAGCTGATCCAAGTCTGCCTTGTTGTTGGTCTCGTTGACACTTTCCCAGTCGTCTCGGATGAAGCACCGTCTCCAGATCACTCGCTCGGCCCGCGTGCGTTCCCGACCCTTGAGGCCGAACCGAGCCACCTGGAGGGCTAAGAAAAACTGGTCGCCGATGGCGTCGATATGCTCGGGCTCCAAGTAGGCCAGAGTGAGGAGATCGATCAAGGAATACGGATCCAGGGCGTTGTGCTTGACGAGGCGGGTCATGGCCTCCCTAAAGATGTCCTCGAGGACATCCTGTTCCTTGGTAACCAGGCTACCGTGCGCGGCCACGGCCAAGTCGACTTCGGCGGACTCGTCGATAGCCCCGCTGATTGACGGTAGAATCTGGCTGTACAGCCCATCTTGAATCTTGATAATGCTCAATTCGCGGTCGACCTTCTCCAGGGTGGCCTCCGTCTTAGCTTCCTTGTCGGACTGGCCATTGTTCGCGCTCCCCCCCTTAACCGAGTTCTCGGCGTCTTCGGCCATGAGCGCCAGCTTGCCGAGGCTAAGCTCGATCTTCTTGTTCCAGACGAGCTGTTCGCGGCTGAGGCCAAGGTCGATCAACGTTTCCGCAGCATGGTCAATGTCCCTTTCACGCTCCACGTCATTGATCCACGAGATCTTTGCCAGCTCCGGCTTGGTTCTGAGGAACTTGGTTGCGAACCCAGCCTTATCGCAGGGGAAGTCCAGAACGGCCTGGACGCCGCTCCTCGAAAGTAGGACTTCGTAGGCGGGTAACGCAAAATCACCACCGTACTTTTCAAAGTACTCGCCCATCTGCTGTTCCTTGGCCGCAGCTAGCGCGAGTTGCTCCTTGGCCGTGCTTGCGGATATGGTCCTTGTCGAGGCCTGCTGTCGTAGGGAGCATATTTGTTCCACCAGAACCTCGGCCATGACATCGCATCTACGGTGCTGTTCGGCCAGAGCAATCGCTTCGTCCCAGAGGTTGAATTCCTTGAGTCTAAGGATCTTCTCGCGCGAGTCCTTCTTGTAGCCATCACGACAGATCTTGCCCCAGCGCCGGATCTGTTCATCGTCGCTATGATCAGCCCACGATGCGTACTCGGTGAGTGCAGCGAGATACACGCTTGTAAGGGGCTCGAGTTGTTGTCGGGTGGACTCCAGAAGTCCTGGGTCGACGGCGTCACCCGATCCGTGGAGGTAGTACTCCTCCATCCAGGGGTAGCAGAACTCGATGAGACGCTTGTAGTTGTTGGTTATGAAGTGCGTCGCAGTCCAGGGCTCCAGGGTGACCTCCTTGCTAGACAATTGTTCGACGCCATAGGTGGAGCCGTAATGCTTGCGGTAGAGATGAGCACGTTGAAGCGCCCCGGTGCAGATCGTGACGGCTTCGTAGATCAAGCGGTTGATGCCAGCCGTGTCGGAGAGGCGTTCCTGATAGTGGTACTTGATGATTTGGTAGCCCCAAGCGATGAAGATATCGAGACGCCAGACGTCGTGGATGAACCAGTGCCGGACGGGGTCGACTTGGCCGATCGCCACGTTCGGCTCCGTCTTCTGCTCCTCGTTGATGTAAACGGCTGTCTCGGAAACGATGCTCTTCTTGTCTTCCTTTGGGCGCTCCGCGAGGAATTCCTCGTGCTTTTTCCAGACCCACGACGCGACGGTCATCTTCTCGGCATTGAAGAGCAGAGTTTGGCGTGCATTTTGACTGAGGTCGACCTTCAGCGCATTTAGGTGGTCCATCAATTTTTCCAAATAGCTGATTCGTGTCCGCATGTTGATCTCTAGCGAGGCTGGCAAGCTCGTGATGTGAGGTGTCTTTGAGCTCACAATCTCGAAGCTCAGCTCGATGGCAGCTTCTCCGATCTCCTGGCTTGAAAACTGCAGATCTCTTCGACCTTCAAATATCAGAGGGTTGTCGTCTTTAATGCCAAAGAAGACGGCCTGCTCCAGCTTGCTCTTCGCTGTGACCTGCGGCGGTTTGTCGCTAACAAAACGATCCACGTCGGCAAGGGCAATCCTGATAGCACCAACGCCTCGCACCAGGAGAACAGCAGCAGGATTCTTCGTCTTCTGGCGGTGGCCTCGAGTCTCCTCCAAGACTGAGCCACTTCCCAGGGGCTCCTCAATACCGGAGCCCACTATCTCCAGAGTGTCTTCATCTCGAAAATCGATGACATCTTCAAAAGTGGCCGGGATCATGTGGCTCTCCTCCTGGAGTTGAGAGTCCGGGGAATCGGGCGGCGAAGCCAGAGACGCAACGACAACGGCCCGGTCGAACACGACAAACGCAACCAATGCAGGCCTGGGGACATAAAGTCGCGGTCGCTCCGGCGCCTCGGCTCTGACAGGGCTAGTATAGGATGTGAGAGGCCGTATCATGCCAACCTCGAAAGTTCCTGCCGATAGGGCAATCTCAACCAGCGAATACCGATAGTGGCGCTTGCCGCCGAACGACACCAAGAGCAGGAGGTGTTGCAGCGAGTCGTCCTCGGAGTATATGGCGCGGCTGAACCGAGTCAGGTCGCTGTACTTTCGCTCGATACCGCGGGGGACAAATGTGAGGTCAACGACTTCGAATGATTCCGCCGGAAGGCGTCTGCTTGATGCATCGCTGTCGTGCGCGGCACTTATGACGGCCTCGCGAACATCAACCTCGGCGAGGGCATCATGATGACCACCACGATGGAGTCTCCACGAGTGGAGCTTGCCCTTGGATGTCGCAGCGACAATCACTCGTTCTCCGACCTTGGGGCCGTTGTTCGCACGCACGGCAGCGAGATCGCCCCTCAGAGATGCGGCGGTGAGGGCGTGACGGATGCTTCCGAAGAAGCCCCCGACGGCATTGCCGAGTCCGCCGCGAAGGAACTGAACCGATATTGCGGGCCGGCCATGTCCATCTCTCACGCTCATGTAGGCCATTCGGCCGCTGCTAAACACAAGCACAAATCCAGCCGATTCGGCGTTGACCAACTGCACAACATGTTCCCCAGAAAACATGCCGTGGACGGCATGCTCGACTCCAGTTCGTTGCTGGCGAATGAAGTCAAGAGTGGCAGCACTGGAGATTGATTCCCAGTAGGCGATCTTTCCGCTGACGGGCATGACAATGACTAGGCCAGGTTCTTCAGATGAGGCCGAGGGCGAGACTAGCGAGCCGAGAGGAAGGGGGTCCGAGGCATGTTTCGCCGGGTAGGGCAGCGCAAAAGTGAAGGTTTCGGGTGACGGGGTCGTCGAGGTATAAGGCCAAACAAGGGCATGGGTATGTCCGAGGGTGAGGGCATAGCCACTGGAGGAGTAGATGGCGCCATGTTGTCGGTCTTTGATAGAAACAAGTCAGCTTGATTTGGAGGGAAACTTGTGCATCATCTCTCCAACGGGGACGGAAGCCTACCTTGCGAATCTGCACGGAGTCTGTCGGGCAGGGCCGGCAGCTTGCTGACTGTGTAGGCATTGTTTGTAGTCTATATTCACGTCAGCCTCGCGAGGTCACCAAGCACTTCTCGCCCGGACCCGGCAACGCATGCAACGCACCAGGACAATGCTCCCATCCCCCTTGCTGACTCTCTCTCCAGCCTTTGGCTTTCTGGACCGGACACTGAGCTCCTTGCGGGGGGCTCCGAAATTCTCGATTCCATCGCGCTTGATACCCGACAGGCTGGTCTTGTCGGATTTCACCTCGAACATCTCGGGGCGGGCATCGGCGGGGACATCGGGGTTGGCGAACGTCGTCTCGGACAATGGGACTCGCTGACGCTTGGCTTTAGGTTGCTCTAGGGTGTCGGAACTCGAGGGTCGTTGTCGTCGTCGACTACTTCGTGTGCCCTTGGCGGGCCCGCCCTCGTGAAGCGCCGGTGAGAACATCTCGGGCTCTTTTGGACGACAAGTCGGGGCAAGATGGAGTCGATATTTAGTTTTGCAGATGGTTCATGACGGGACTCAAGCAGGATTATTTCATTCTCTGACGGTGGGGAAGTGAATCGAGGCTGCCAGAAAAATGGATTCCGGCCTATGCAGTAAGGCGAAAGCAGCAGAGTGACGAAGTTCGATAATTGGACCTTGTTGACTTTTGGCCAAAAAAGCCCTCTGGATCTTATTGGCCAGTGACTGGATCATCATCCAATGCTGCCCAGCTCCAGCCATTCGAAGGCGCGCTAGTCCCGATTGAGCATCCCCACAATACATGTAGTGTAGAGACGGGAGATGCCCTCACAGTGTGACGTACCTGCTTCTAGGTATGGATTCCTCAGGCAACCCGGCTCAACCAACAAACAAAGAGAATCTGCACAAGCGCCAACAAGCCGGTAAATCCTTGCCAGGTGCAGATATTTGGCAGGCCTGCCAAAGGCTGTTACCGTTCCAGGTTGCCATAGTTTGGTTGCTGTACGGATTGGTTGCTCTGCACCTGGTATGAGTTGTCGATGCACGCGCAGCAAATGGAAGACGTATGGAGTCGCTTCACTCCCAATCTATTCGCATGCGTAGGCCTGGTCGGATTGGGACAGTCAATGTGTCCCCTACTATTCACATTGCTAAGGTATCTAGTCTACCAAGGCGTCGCCAACAGCTCATCCTATTCCTTGCCAAGGCCAACAGCAATAGGGCATTCGGCGCGTGACGACGGACGCTGCCCTTTGCGCAATCGACCTTGTGAGATCGATGGCCCTTGTCATGGACTTATACTGCCCAATATTAGAGGTCTGAGGATCTCTTCAAAGGGTGCAAAGGTGGGCGGTCACCACCATACCCGTATGGTTCGTGTATGCCGGGGCTAGTGGTGTGTGTCGACGTTTGAATTGACGCTGGCGGAGACCTTGCAACACTAACGCGAAGATCAGCCAACCACGTGGGAGGTTCCGACACCGAGTTAACGTGCAGAAGTTGAGAGGGAAGTCGAAACAGTAGTCGAGACGAAAAGTCGAAAGCAGAAGCAAGAGAGCAAGCTATATTATCATGGTATCAAAACGCGGCTTAATGCCTAATAGCGAAGGCAAGGTCAGGCATGAATTATGTCCGCCGTTTGTTTCTCCGGGAAATGTCGGCAAAGGGTCGCCTATACGGAGGTACTACATACCTAATTAGAAGGTTACATACCAGGTACCTCAAATAGGTAGGTAGGTACGGATCTGTACAGGCGTGCGTGTGCCGCTTGCCTTTTCTATAGTCCCAGAACAGCAAAGATAGACCCTGCCCCCAGGTCAATTCGAGAGTGTCCCTAGTTCCTCCCGCGTCATGCAGGAAACCAATGGAGGGAAGGAGGGGGCTTGGTGTAAGATGATTGGTGGTCAAATCGATGCTTTGCCTGCAACGCTCCCAGAGGGAAGACTGCTAACCAAATAAGTAAGTACATAGTATACGTACTACGCAGTATACTATCAAGTATGAGATGAAACCCATCCGCGTCGTGCCTGGCGAAAAAAAGCAGGGCGTGTTGATCTGTTAAAAAGCCTCCAAACAATTTAAGGCGTTGCAGGTTTCGCCAAGGCATGGAATAAATGCTCTACACCTTGACCGCTGACCGACAGGATAATTACCGACTTTGCCGGTCGTAACGGTGAGATCGAGGGTTCTCCTCGCGATCGGGGATTGGCTGCCGGAGCATGTGCCGCCGGAGTCTGGCTTTCCTATTTCCTCTTCCCCCATCCCCTTCATCCCAGGATTCGAAGCAGGGTAACCACTGTGAGTGGCCTGTTGCCAACCAGGCCAGGGTTTCTTTACGCATTAGATACTATGTAAGATACTATGTATGTGGTGGGCCACCCACTATCAGGCAACCTGTACACTACCAGATCATTGCCAGCAGTAGAAAACAGATCACCTCACTTACACCCTACCAACCCTGCCAACCCTGTTACGGTGCTGAACCGTAGACCCTTCCCTCCTGCGACTTGCCGTCGATGCTGTCTCTGCAGGAGTCGTGGTCACGGCTGATATGAAAGCCAGGCAGAGCCGACGTCTGAAGCAGGCAACCCTTGTCCTGGGGGGCTGTCTAGCACTATACTGCCTCCTTTTTGTTTCCAGCAGCACCATCGACGATGAAGCTCCGGGTTCGGGCAGCACTCGGTCGACGTCGAGACCTGCTTCCTCGAAGCTGCTGACCCCCGACCTGCTCGCCAACCTGTCCCTGAGCGAGGAGCAGTGCAACGCTGCCTTCCCGGGACTCACAAAGGAGATTGACGACGCCGTCGCCGAGGGCCCCTTCAAAGTGAAGCAGACTGGGGATCTGGGTCCTCTGCAGGGCAGGATAAAGGATGGAAAAGTATGTCGGCACCGCGCAGCATGATCGCGACACAGCTCGGAGACTGACGATGATGAACCCTTTGCTAGCTCTCCATCATCAATACACAACGGAAGGTAGACCTATCGAGGGAGATGGCCAATGTAAGAAAGAACACGTTTCTCCCTACCCTCAGTTTCAGCACCTGAAAAGGGGGTATCTATCTTCTGGTCCAAAAACGCTGATGAGGGTGAACCCCGTTTTCCAGTCCCGCAGCGCCGCTATGCACCAGCTCCACCGCGCCCTCATCACCTCGCCGTCGCCCCTGCCCGACACCATCTTCTCGCTCAACTTCCAAGACCAGCCGTTCGGCACGGCATGGACGTACAGCCGACCCGCCGACCCAACCTTCCGCAGCAAAGACCCCGACGTGCGCAACTTCCTGATGCCGCACTTCTCCTTCTGGGCCTGGCCCCTCCCCTTCATCGGGTCCATGGACCGTGCCGCGCGCGCCATCGCCGCAATCGAGTCCAGCCTGCCCTTCGCGCGCAAGATCCCAAAGGCCGTGTGGCGCGGCACCACGTGGTTCAACAGCGTGCAGAACCCGCGCCTGCGGCAGAACCTGATCGTGGCCTCGAGGGGCAGGCCGTGGGCCGACATCGAGGCCCTCGAGTGGACCACGGCCGAGAAGGGCAGACCCGGCGCAGCCGGCGCCGCCGGCGGCGGCAACTCGCGCAACGCCTCCAACGCGCTGCCCATCGAGGATTTCTGCCGCTACAAGTACGTCGTGCACACCGACGGCATCGCGTACAGCGGCCGCTTCCAGTTCCTGCAGATGTGCGCCAGCGTCGTCATCACGCCGCCCATCCTGTGGATGCAGCACACCACCCACCTGGTCCGGCCCGTGTTTTCGAGCGACCTGGCCGGAACGGGCGGCGGCGCTAGCGCGGACTCGCGCGCCAAGGCGGCCGGGGCGCCCGGAACCGGAGCCGGCGCCGGGTGGGTGGAGTCGGAGCGGATCCGCAACTCTTGGCCAGTGCGGTACCGCCCCGAGGAGGCGAACATCGTCTTTGTCGCGCCGGACTGGTCTGACCTGGAGGCGACGGTGACGTGGCTCGAGGACCACCCGGACGTGGCCGAGGGGATCGCCAGGAGGCAGCGCGAGATGTTCGTCGGCGGCGGGTACTTCAGCCCCGCAGCTGAGGCGTGCTATTGGAGGGCTCTGGTGCGTGGTTGGGCTGAGGTTGCGCGGACGGAGGGAATGGGCTGGGAGGATCTGGAGGGTGTTACGTTTGAGACGTTCAGTCTGACAGGAGGTGATTGATACCGCCGAGTCCGAGGTGTCGGTTTCAGTCCATGACCTTCTGTTTTCTCTTGGATCCATGGAAGGGTCTGGCCCAGCCGGTGTCTGTATAGTGTGCCAGATGGAAATGGGGTGCCAGTTAGTCATCTGCGAGGAGTCGCTATAGCAGAATGACCGGGGTGTCTGTCACCTTTCCCTCACCTTACTCGTAGACTAACTATATAGTCAAGGTCAAGCAATACCCATGCAACAATCAAATCACAGCCCGATTTGTGTAATGGTAATCCTGGAGAGTGTCGCAGTAAGATCACGTTTGCCTTTCCTGGGAGCTAGGACGTGCGCATGCGCAGAAAGTCGGCCAAGTTATACCCAGGTTCCCGGTTCGACTCCGGGATCGGGCGATTCTTTTTTTTCTTCTTTTTTAACCTTCCTCATATTATCGTCGTGGTCAAAGAGGAAGCGGAAACCCATATAGTTAGTTCTATGCACCCAAAACGCCGGCCCAATGCCTCTGACAGTGTCATCCATCATAGATTCGTCACTCCCGGAGCCCACGTCTCCCCTATTCGCCTCATATCCTCGGAAAACATCCTGCTCGTAATCCTCTTCCCACCCTGCCCCGTCGGCGGCGTGTGCTCGTCCGGATCGTAGAATGGGTTCTGCAGCAGCTTGACGTACGCCGCCTGCATAGCCTTAAACACCTATCACCCAAGTAACATAAAACGTCAGCGCACCGCCGTTCTGTCGTTTCACTCTCCCCTCGCCCCCCAAAAAGAACACCACCCCCCAAAAACGCCCAAAATAAGAAAAGAACAAAACCTACCGGCTTCATCTCCCCCTCCCTCAACCCCACCGCCGCAGCCCCCCTACTGCGGTCTCGATCAACCGCCGACGGCCCCGCGGCCCCACCTCCCGCGCCGTCGAGGGGGCGGCCGCGCATGTCCACGACGGCGACGAACCTCGCGCCCGTGTTGGTCTCGAAGCCGTATGCGGCGAGGCGGTCGTCGACGGCGTGCAGCAGCCCGAGGTCGCCGGTCGTGGCGCCGGCGCCGGCACCGGCTCCCGTTGCCCCCGCGGCGGCCGCGCGGGCGCGCAGCTCGAAGATGTCGAGGGTGCTGGAGAGGAGGAGGGAGAACTGCAGCGGGGTGCGGATCGGGGAGAGGGTGTTGGTGGAGGGGTCGTAGGAGGGGAAGATGGTCGTGTGGAGGGGGTTGTTCTGTTGGGGTTGGTTAGCTACTTGGTGGGCTTGGGAGGGCTGGGTGGGAAAGGTACATTTCTTCCGATGATGCCGAGGCATGCTATTGAGGGTATTGTGGACGCCATTGGCGGCGAGATTGGACACTTGCCGCCAGATTGACTTTTTGTGGTTATGGTGTTTGAGGTGGGAGAGCAGGGTCCAAGCTACCTACCTACCTGTACTCCCTCTACAGTGGATGTGGTTGAAGGTCAAAGCTCCTAGTCCCTGGTCCCACTGAAGGCCAATCAAGATTCAACCTTTGACACCCCCCTGTCTCCTCATTATCGTCGGTCTTTCTCTTGCACAAGGATCACGGCAAAACATTGTACTCTGATAATGGCGATTTACACAAGATAGCCACGGATGGTGGCAGCTCTTAAGAAAGATGGCCGAAGCGGTAGCACCCTCCAATACAACTCGAAGTACTTCAAATCATCCTGCAAACCCACGAATACTGCCCTTCTCTCTCGTAGGAATGGACTTGAAGCCCTGGGCGATACAATTTTCGGCCACTGGCATTTGCGAGCGCGGTCGAAATCGAGGCAAGCTCTTGTTTGAAGGGGCTTAAAATTGCTGGATATCAAGTATCATCGCATATCTTCCATCGTAAAATGCCAGCAGGATCGAGAGCCTCGTCAGGCTGCCCGCCCGCCCGGGCTATAATATCCCAAACCGTTGACTGACGGCGGTCCACAAACGCCAGAAATGACATGCGTATCCCACTCTTAAACCGAATATCTCGTGCGAAACCCAAGTCGTAAACTCCCAACACTCCCTTATTCGCCAGCATCATACAGCGGAGTGATCACCTCAACCGACTCGCTTGTCCGTCTCCGCCAACGTCGCCTTGTCACCCAAATCCGGGTTCAGGTAGTCTGCGTTCTCGGCAGCCTCGTACTCGGAAATTAGGTCCGTGACGACCTCTCGTGCCTCGTCAAACTCGTTCAGGTTATCAGCGAAGGGCGCCGTCTTCTTGTACCCTTCCATGAAGGCATTTCTCTTCCTCATACCGTCGTACTGTTTGACGATCCTCTTGAACAACTGTGATACACGCGGACGTGGTCAGCTATTAACTTGCGCAACGGCTTTCTCAACAAATCACTTACAGTAGCGATACTCGTATGGTTAGCCAGCATCAACCCGCTAACGCGATGGCTCATGGGGATATACGGGCTCCGCTTAGTCAGCGCCACCTGGATGCTGGCAGGGCCCCAGGGGATAAAGGAGGCGAGCCGCCGCTCCCGGATGCGGAGGAGACTCTTGTGCACATCCGTCGGGTCGACCTCGCCCTGGATGACGTTCAGGATGGAGATGTAGCAGCTCTTCTTCCCCGGAACCGTCGACACCATGCGGTTCTTGGGCTGGAGAAGCCGCCGCATGACGTCCAGCACCGTCGTCTTGCGGACCGTCTTTGCCTGTTCCACTTGGTCGCCGGTGAAGGGTGTGTACGAGGTCATGAGGAAGTGGCATCGCGGAGTGGGGATCAGCGCTGCAAGGATGCTGACGAGGTCGTTGTGCATGTAGCCCGGGTATCGGAGGGTCGTGGTGCTGGCCGACATGACTGTGGATACTAGCTGGTTCGTTTGCTGGAAGGAAGGTTCCTGGACATGCAGCCGATCCGCCGCTATATGTGACAACGCCCCATTGTCGAGGACGACGACCGAGTCCGCATTCTGGGTTAGCCTCCTCATGGACAGCAAACTGTTATAAGGGTGAACAACGACGTCTCCGGCGTTGGTGGTGTCGGGGAAGACGGAGTATGTCTGGATAATCTTCTTCGGAAATCGGTCGTTCAACCTCTCCAGCAGGAAAGATCCGAGGCCAGAGCCTGTGCCGCCGGCAATGGAATGAAGCATCATGAATCCCTTCCCCACATGTCAGCCGCTCTGTTTTGGGGACCTGGGTCGACAGACCGAGTTACCTCTAGTGAATCACTCCCATCCGCTTCCCGATCAATCATCTCCATTATGTCCTCGTGGAGTGACTCGCCAGTCTGGTAGCCATCACCCCAGTTATTTGCGGCTCCAACGCCGTTCTTGCCAACGTAGAAGTTTTCCGGGTTGTAGATATTCTTGTAGGGTCCTGTCTGGATCCCATGGATGACCTGTTTTTGACGGTTTTAGCGCCCTTGCTCCTGGCGATTATCCACCCATCATGTCATGAAACAAACGTACACGAGGTTCGAGGTCGATCAGGATTGCTCGAGGAATATAGCGGGTGTCATCGCTCTGGTAGTAGAAGACGTCTTTCCTGTCACCGCCCTCAGTCGCGAAATCCTCGAGGTTGCCATCTTGGCTGATTCCGTGTTCCTGACAAAGCTGCTGCCAGAATTGACTGCCAACTGTTCGCGGATATCAGTCATGTGGTGCTCCAAGGCGTCGCTGAGAGAACTAAAGGGGTCGGGCGTTGGGATAGACGTCGTCTGAACTTGGGGATAGGCGGGGCAAACTGACTGCTGTTGCCACATTGGCCAGCTTGGATTGTGATGATTTCTCTGATTTCAGGTTAGCCCGGGAGGTCGGAGGTTCATGGTGGTTATGATCCGTACCTAGGCATTGTTGCCGCATGTATAATCAACCCGAGTTGTAGCTGCTGACATGAGGTCGTCGTGGGATTGGGCTGGAGGTTAGTCGACGCGTCGAGCCGCAGGACGCGAAGTGAAATTTGTGGAGGGGCAGCCAGGCGTCCAGCCGTCGTTAGGGCCCCCCAGGGTACAGACCCACTAACGGCTGCCATCCCTACAGCTCCTGCCGTTATCGTTTACAAACCACATGCTACCAAATAAGGATTCATTTTAAAACTGAACCAAATGTTCCTCTGCTGTATGAATAGACGAGTGGCATGTTGCAACAATGTCCCATTTCATCCACCGTAGCTCTGTCTCCTCTCTCCCCCAGCCCTCATCTTCGGGGTTGGCATAGCTTGCGATACACGCAAAAATAGTCTCTGTTTGTACGAGCTATTGTATGTACCTGGCGTAAATGGGAATCCTCATTGACTTTGCGAGTCTCTTGAATAGCTGCCGTGACTGCGCCTATCCGTTTCTACGGAGAAAACAAACCACCCTCCACAAACCTCTGCCACTGACCCCCGACCTCAATACAAAGGTCGCCAGCAGTTCTCCCTTGCCCATCTTTCAAGAACCTGATATCTTCCTTTCCCGGCCCGGCCTCCCCTCTCTGCAGACCCGTGCCGAGAGCAGTCTGGGCCAATGCCTCGGGGAAGTTGGTTGTTGGCAAACCACTCGCCAGCCACAGCAGCAGCCAAAAGACCTCCTCCTGCCCTTTTTCGACTGCAAGGTGCAGGCCGCTGCGCATCCCGTTTAGGGGGTTCTGATACCTCAGAAGCGCGGCAGCATCCATACCGTCGTCCTCATCCTCATCAGCATCGACATCCTGCAGCAGCTCGACGATTCCACCGACATCACCCTCTGCACACATCAGGTGCAAAGCCTGCGCCGGCCGCGCCTCGGGATGCTCGGCCAGGTATGCCTCCTCCATGACAGTGGGCAGGATGTCGAGCCCCTCCTGCACGCCACCCTCGTTGATGTACCGCGTCAGGATCGCGGTCCTCTGGGGCGCGACGGCGGAGGAGGAGGAGGAGGAGCTGGCAGCCGAAGGCCCAACTGAGTTGGGGGGGAGGTAGGTATTGCAGGCTGGACAGCGGAGAGACGCGGCTAGCTGGAGGGACTGGTCAAGGAGGCACTGCCAGTGGAAATGACATCCACATGCCAGGAGAAGGTCGTCCGGGAGAGTCGCACCCGAGTCTTCAGGATCAAGATGTATGACTAGAGGGTCGGAGCAGACTTTGCATGTTGCCATGGCGAAAGGGGGAGAAGGAGTAGGTAGGGAGAAGATGGTGATAACTGGCAAGTACCCAGTGGGAACAGATATTATGTTGGAGGAGGCTTCTGCTTAGTGCCCCGTGATAAGATTGTAAAGAGAGATCGGGACTTAAATCTGGGATATTTCCAGCTAGGTACCAGAAACAGGTGGAGAGTGACCCGGGATATATCCTTTATCACCAGAGCAACCGCCGAGCAGGCCAAAAGGCCACCCTGCTCCAAGATGGCTTCAAAAAAGATGCCTACCTTGGCACGGAGATAAGTCAAGAGAGCTGTGAATTTACGTCTGATTGTTTTTCAAGCCGACGATCAGATGGGAGCGTGCTTGAAGTCGGGTCTCTCAACCTTCGAACTGGAAGCTGCATTTTTTTCCCCCTTCGCCAAGCCTAACCCTTTGCGCCAAGCATTGTGGCTTGCCCACCCTTGTTTGTCTGGTCACTCTGGTGGGGCAGCCCACGCAATCAAATGTGGCTGATGAGGCGCTGACATCAGTGCCTGGGCATTCAACCCCCTCCCCCGCCATTACCAACTTGATGAATGCGGCCGCCTGGAGTTACAAGCTGGCTCCAAATCGCACGATTCCCCGTCTAGCAAAACCACACAGCCTGAAGCTAGGCATACAGTGATAATAAACTCACCTGCTATTTTTTTTTTCCTTTCCACGCGCAATAGTGTCTACTTCGCTGGTCCCTCATCCTCAGCTCAGGCCTTAGGCGATTTACCGGCTCCCTCGGCGATCATGAATGTGCTCAAGCTGCAGAGGTATGACCTTAAAGTGCCTCGGATGGCCAAGTCTCTGGGCAATACCCAGTTTCCATCTTAGCTAACCTTTGCCAGGAAATATCCTCAGTTCCCGCAGAGTGAGATCTTCGGCCTCACTGATTCATTCCGCAAGCTCGATGTCGACGACAAGGGTTACATTGACGAGGCTACCGCTATCAAAGCTACCCAACAAGCCGAGCGGCAGCCATACGACGTCGTTCGACAGGCACTGAAGGAAGTTGAGCTCGACTCGTCGAGACGTGTGGAGCTCGAGGACTATGTCGCGGTATGCTCTTATACACTGTCGAGAGGCAAGAGGGTCTCGGGCTGCTCAGAACCACGATTGCTGACATGGTAGACTGCAGCTCATTGCGAAACTCCGCGACTCGTCGCCCGCCCAGAAGCGGCTCTCCACTGGCCCTAGCCCCTCGTCCCCGGCTGGTGTGATCGCTCAGAGAACCGGCGGCCACGCCTCCAAGGGCAGCATCGGCGGAGGCTCGGGCGGCAAGATCTTCGTGCAGGGTTCCAATTCTAACATCACGCACACCATCAACGAAGATGAGCGCACCGAGTTCACCCGCCATATCAATGCCGTTCTGGCCGGGGATCCCGATCTTGGCAGCCGCCTGCCGTTCCCTACGGATACGTTCGAAATGTTCGACGACTGCAAGGATGGTCTGGTCCTGGCGAAGCTCATCAATGATAGCGTTCCGGATACCATTGACGAGCGTGTGCTCAACTTGCCCGGAAAGAGGACCAAGAACCTCAACGCCTTCCAGATGACTGAGAACAACAACATCGTTATCGAGTCGGCTAAGGGCATTGGCTGCTCGGTGGTGAATATTGGCAGTGGGGACATCATCGAGGTCCGCGAACATCTAATCTTGGGACTCATCTGGCAGATTATCCGACGCGGTCTGCTTGGGAAGATCGACATCAAGCTTCATCCCGAATTGTACCGGCTTCTGGAGGAAGATGAGACATTGGAGCAGTTCTTGCGGCTACCACCGGAGCAGATCCTGCTTCGCTGGTTCAACTACCACCTCAAGGCGGCCAACTGGCCCCGGAGGGTACAGAATTTCTCGAGCGATGTCAAGGATGGTGAGAACTACACCGTGTTGTTGGCACAGATTGGATCTGAATACGGCTGCACGCGGGCTCCCCTCCAGACACGAGATCTGCTCCAACGGGCGGAGGAAGTGCTGGTCAATGCCGATCGGCTGAGTTGTCGGAAGTTCCTCACGCCGACCTCTCTCGTCGCCGGGAACCCCAAGCTCAACCTAGCCTTTGTCGCCAACCTGTTCAACACTCATCCCGCCCTTGACCCGATTACCGAGGAGGAGAAGCTCGAGGTCGAGGACTTCGATGCCGAAGGCGAGCGAGAGGCGCGCGTCTTCACCCTATGGCTCAACAGCTTGGATGTCCAACCTGCGGTCCAGTCCTTCTTTGACGATCTCCGAGATGGCAGTATCCTGCTTCAGGCGTACGACAAGGTCGTCAAGGGATCCGTCAATTGGCGCCACGTCAACAAGCCGCCGGCCCACGGCGGCGAGATGCTCCGATTCAAGGCGGTGGAGAACACGAATTACGCTATTGAGCTGGGCAAGCAGTACGGCTTCTCTCTAGTCGGCATCCAGGGTGCAGATATCACCGACGGCCAGCGCACGCTCACCCTTGGCCTCGTGTGGCAGCTCATGCGCAAGGACATAACCGTGACGCTATCGGCTCTGGCGCAACGGCTCGGCAAGCGGGAGATAACAGACGCCGAGATGGTGCGGTGGGCAAACGAAATGAGCCGCAAGGGCGGGCGCAATTCAAGCATCCGGTCTTTCAAAGACCCGGCCATCGGGACCGGCGTCTTCCTCCTCGACGTGCTCAACGGCATGAAGAGCAGCTACGTCGACTACGACCTCGTCACGCCGGGCCACAGGGACGAGGACGCGTACGCAAACGCCAAGCTGAGCATCAGTATTGCGAGAAAGCTGGGCGCCACAATCTGGCTGGTGCCTGAGGATATCTGCCAGGTGCGCAGTCGGCTAGTGACAACTTTCATTGGTAAGTTGACCAGTTCCAGTCCCCCCTAGTGGCATCCTGCGCGGTCCGTTTGACTAACCAACCACCTAACTAGGCTCTCTGATGGCGACGTATGAGAAGATGTAGACTTTTCTTCTTCCTCTTTTCTTTATTCTTTGCCTGCCTGCCTTGCCGAGAGGAGGGGTCACGGGAGGATACATGCCCGCGGCTTGCGGCTGCATCCTTGGGAAAAGTTGATTGCCGAATGGTTATCCTTACTACAGTTTTCTTTGACTTCATCATGTTTGAATGCCTGTTTCAGTAGTATCCTTCAAACTTGTGTGAGCCAACACCAGACCAAGGCATCCGTGAAGACCAGGGTTGATCGCTGATTCCACCGTATCCCCCCTACATTCGACATGTGCGCGGCGCCGTATCAAGTGATGCCGGAGGAGATCCAGAGTAAAGTGGCTGCCTGCCTAGCAGGCCCCACTGCCTCCCAAAGAGAGGATATAGCTTTCCTTCACCGTTACGGCGCCTTCAAAAAGGCGCCTTTTCGGGCTGCTGCTTAGGCCCAGCAGACAGCTCAAGCGTGACCTGATGTGACCAGTCGTCAGCGTACGGAGCCCTGTCCCCGGAAGGCTGGGACACTTGCCGGCCCATCGTTGACAAGGGCAACTTCCATCATGGCCTGGAAGACGCCATCCTTGACCCTCTCAGGTCGGTAGCCCTCCTGGACTTTCTGATAGAAGTACTGGTACAGCCTCTTTGCCTCCTCCCCTCCAAGAGCGCCATGGAAGTCAGGTTTGCTTCCTTTCTTGGTGGAGGCCAACAGAGTGAACTGGGAGACTACACGAGCCAGAGCGAGGTCAGAAGGCGCGAGACAAAACGGTAAAAGCGGGCTGCAACCATACCGCAAAGGACCTCCCCGTTGATATCTTGGACATTTTTCTTCCACTGGGAGGAAATGGAGCGTGAGCAATCCGAAGGGGGAACAAAGGAATTGGGAATGTGTATACCCGGCCACCTGTTTCATCATCCCACATTCTCATCTTTAGAACCTTGGCCGCCAGGGATTCGGCCTCCTTCTCGGTGTCACCGGGGGCCATGGCGGCAAAGACGAGGACGCCCTTGCCAATGGATGACACCAGCTCCTTGTCGACGGTGACTGAGGCGGATAGAACCCGCTGCAGGATGGCTGAGACATTTGGTGGAGCTGAGCGAAGAGAAAGCAGGGAAGAGGGGGGGACTCACCAACCTTTCATCCTGGCTGCCAACCGGATCTGAGCCAAAAATAGGGAATTGGAGGAGGAAACGCAATGGGAGTGAATGGGGGAGGGTAGCGACAACGCTTCGGCGTCAGAAATTAAACTTCGGACGGCCTTATGCATACGATCGTACAAAACTTGGAAGCACACACACACGCCGTAACTAATTATATCCACCTTCAAGTGTCTAACGACCTCCAAAGATTGGTTGTGGTTGGCCTTGGAATCCAAAGTAAGGCGGGCTGAAGTAATTGGCTCGTGCGTTCCATCCCTGCCGACCATCTTCACGATTCGAGGTATCGCCAGTTAGCGATGTGATAACGTCTGGAAGAAAACGAAGCCAAAACACAAATTATTTTCTCATCTCACTGCTCTGAGTCATTAATTAAAATTATCGCATATCAGATATTGAGCTCCGAACAGTCATTTTTGGCGTCCGTTTCGGTCAGAAGGGAAACCGCAGATCACCTCTTTAACAGGCAAGACGCGCAAGGCCGGGGCGAAAGCTACCTAGTCGTAGATGCAAGCACGCTACGAATACCTGCAGCTGCAAACTGACTGGCACGTTTCAACAGCTGCTGCCCTCTTGACCACGACCACCGCCATCGACATCATCCTTGATGTGCAATCAAACAGTCTGAGGTTACTGACCGACTAAGGCGCCACAGGCAAACCGATCTCGACTCGTTCCGTACTATTTAACCCCGCGTTTGGGGAGGGCTACCAAACCGAGTTTTCAGAAGATTGGTGGCACGTCAGTCGTCATCCATCGCGAGCGCAAGCTCTGTCTCCCCAATCGATACCCGCCTACCACCTACCACACATCTGCCGTAGATCCGCGGCCGAGGGGCTACGTCCGACAAGATGGCAGCACGAAAATTGGCACAGGAGGTGGACAAGTGCTTCAAGAAAGTCGCCGAGGGCGTCGCCGAGTTCGAGTCCATCTACGAAAAGATCGAGCAGTCGAATAACCCGGCCCAAAAAGAAAAGCTCGAAGATAACCTGAAGCGCGAGATAAAGAAGCTCCAGAGGTTGCGGGATCAGATCAAGACATGGGCGGCAAGCAATGACATCAAGGACAAGGCTCCTCTCCTGGACAACAGGAGGCTGATAGAGACGGTTCGCATGCCCTGGACCAAAACTAAACAGGGCGCTTGCTGTCGCCAGATGAGGTGTGTCGCTAACGTGTCTTGTAGCAAATGGAAAGATTCAAAGCCGTCGAGAAGGCGATGAAGACCAAGGCGTACTCCAAGGAGGGCCTTTCGGCAGCCGCGAAACTGGACCCCAAGGAGCAAGCCAAGGTCGTGGCAACCGAGTTCCTCAGCACCATGGTCGAGGAACTGGAACTGCAGATCGAGAGTCTCGAGGCCGAAGGGGAATCAATACAAGCGACGATGAAGAAGGGAAAGGGACACAGCGCCAAGGCAGAACGGATAGCCGAAATCGAGCGCGTCATCGAGCGACATAAGTGGCATCAGGGGAAACTAGAGCTCATCCGGCGCTCGCTGGAGAACGGCGGCGTCGAGACGGAACAGGTCAACGATCTTGAAGAGAGCATCCGGTACTATGTCTCGGATGGCATGAACGACGACTTCATGGAAGACGACACCATGTACGACGACCTCAGCCTCGGGACCGAGGAGGATAACTATGGCATGGGCCTGGATAACGACAGGCTGTCATCGCAAGATACCCAGTCGATTCAGGACGACACGGTGGACCTTCCTCCTGCGAGCATATCTAGCGGGAAGCCGCGCCCTGCGGCTGAGGCGCCAGGGCCGTCCGGACGACGACCCTCTACCCAGATGAAGTCGCCGCTTCCGACACTCGCGACAGTACACAACCCCTTAGCAACCATTAGCAACGGCGCGGCAGGTGCCCTTGCCATGAAGCCAGCGTCGGTCCCGACACGGCCAGCGGGAGAGGGCCTGAAGTATGCGAGCGCGGCAGCAGCGGCCGCCGCAAGCGACAAGAACAATGTGGGAATTGCACCGTTACCACCGCCGCCAAGCTCGATGGCAGCACTCGGGGTCGCCATCTCGTCATTACCGGCAGCGCAGGCAAGGGCCAGCTCAACGAGCTCACCTAGTACTGCACCGATACAAATGGCGTCTCAGACTGCACAGCAACAGATGGACAAGGCCGCATCTCAGGGCCCAGTCTCGACAAGTGCGCTCTCAAATATGGCCCCGGCGCCTCCTCAGACGAGCAGAGCCGAAGCGACAAAGGCCGGGTCGACTCGCAGCAGCGGCAAGGCCCCGGCACCAGCATCTGCACCGGAGCCGGCAGAATCATCGAAAGGTTTGTCGTCCACTGGCTTGCGCCTCTATCCTTAATCCCTATCACTCAAGCTTTTGCTAACCTAGCCCGTACAGCGCAAACGAACGGCTTGACGAACGGTGCCAAGGCGGCGGCCGAAGAGAAGGAGGAAGAATCAATCTACCACCTTCCGTCGTCATTGCGCGATCTCGTCGACTCGTTCGAGACAACCAAGCAACGGTCCGCGGCGGCCAACTCGCCCTTGACACTAGCGATGCAAACAGCGTCACGGGCACAGGCGCCAGACACGGTGGATTCGGAACCACCGCGAGCCGGCCGGCCGGAGGTGCGATTCCACTCGGCGTCTCAGTTCCCGCAGGAGCCGTTGGAGATATTCGACGACCCGCGGCTGTACACTCGCATCGACCCAGACACGCTCTTCTACGTCTTCTATTACAAGCAGGGAACCTATCAGCAGTACCTGGCTGCGAGGGCGTTGAAGGACCAGAGCTGGAGGTTCCACAAGCAATATCAGACTTGGTTCCAGAGGCACGAAGAGCCCAAGTCCATCACCGAGGAGTTTGAGCAGGGCACCTATCGCTTCTTCGATTACGAGAGCACTTGGTGAGTCTCCGTCCAAAGCATTTCTCGTTATACTCTATACTCACATCATTCACAGGATGAACCGCAGGAAGGCCGACTTCAAGTTCGCTTACAAATTCCTCGAAGACGATATATGAGCCTCTCCCCCTTGCTCATGTGTGTGTGTATCAGACGCTGGGAGGGACGGAAGCCCTTGCGGCGTGTGTCATTTTAAACAACGGACCTGTACCGGGTAGTTAACGGAAACCTATGTTTTGTCTCTCTCTCTCGCTATCTCTCTCTCTCTTTCCCTCTCTCTATCTCCCTTTCCCCCGCCGCTCCTTCGACCTCACACAGAGGTCTCGTCCATGAACGGGAAGTCTGGACATAATAGCCTTGGGCGCGGTGGATCAACAGGCCCATGATAACCCAAATGCTCGCGGAGTCACATACGTTCTCTTGCAGATGTGAATTTTGCTCTAGCGGCGCGCGGCAGGGAAACCTCGGCAGCCCAAGACGATCCTCGCGACCCAATCTCGCCGCACTCTTTGATTTTTTACTAGACACCTCGCTCGGCTGGACACACGTGGCATCGCGGCAATTTCAGTTGGCGGGAACAATCCCACCGTGTAAGCCTGCATTGCGGCCTAATAGGAAGTGAAGCCAACGTCCAGGCCTACCCCCTACCTACCTGTAGTTCGAGCAAGGTTCGGGTACGAATCAGGCCTACAGCAAAAAAAAAACGGGGTATATGTATAGGTAGGTAGGCATGTAAGGTTGCCTTCTTTTTGAGCCGGCTTGGTTCACTTTTCTCTTCTTTCCTTTTTTTTGCGCCGCTGTTTCGATCAGTCGTATTTTCGGTACCCGCCGGAGAGCATGAGAGGCCGCTTTTTTTTTCTTGTGAGGCCACTGAGGCCAATTACAAGCATGAACACAACCGAGATTATCGCTGTGCGCGCGCCGCCCCCCAGCATTGATCCGCCAGTCAAGTCAGCCAGCATGTGATGCTAGTTGAGCCTCAGCTGAGTTGAAGCGTCGCTACAGGCGGCGGCCAAAGAAACAGAGCGGCATCTCGTCGAGGGATTTGTCAACGAGCGGAAACAAGCGGGGGTTCCCGTCGAGATACGAGTCAGTAGTGTCCTTGAAGCCGCCCGAAACTCGTCTCATATGCAGGGCGCAAGACGCGCTTCCGAGTCATGTCATAATAATGACAACCTACTTCCATGTTATGGGCGAGATGCCAAGTCGGTATCGAATCAGGAAAGAACAGAAGCGGTCTCGGTGTGTTGACTGTTTGCATATTTCTGTAGCCCTGCATTGGATCCCCATTTCATCCCATTTGCCCGTGGGGGGGGGGGGGGGGGGGGGGGTGGGGGGGGCCCCCCCCCAGCCCCCCCCCCCCCCCCCCCCCCCCCCCGGGGGGGGGGCGGCGCCGCCCCCCGCGCGGGCGGGAGTTGCTCACCCCACCCACACGCACC